TGGCCGCAGACTGGTGGACTGGTACCTCCGCAACCTGTCGAGAACCTACTAAACAATGGATGCGAGAGTCAAGACAAGGAATTGATTCGAATGACAGCCATGATATAATGGCTCCAGGAGGAGGCTGCACATGAGAGGCAAGCAGCAGCAGCGCCCGTCCGAAGTCGAAGCAGGAAGGCAATGTATTGGGAAAGTGTCGCTCTTGTGAGCTACGGCGTTGCGGATTACGAAAGGACGGGCGGACTCGATGGATATGATGGGCTCTCAGCGAGCGAGAACAAAAGCATGTTTTTGCAATGTTTGACGAGCAAGAAGAGGTGCATCTTAGGAATGACGATGCATAGCGGCAACGAATATCTACAATTATCACATGTCAAAACAGTCACTCGAGTCTTGGCGCTTTGTATACGCGAGTCGGGCTTCGCTTGGTCGGGTCCAAGTCAACTTTTGTTCTCGTTGTGATCGTCAGGAGAAGTTCACCAGAAACACACAACATGGCGACCAACGGCAATCTGAGTCCGTCACTAAGACGGGGCTCATCCAACATGTCTTCGCGCCGCCCTTCTCACGGAGCAGAGGGTCCTACAATGATGAACACAGCCGACGCAAACATGCCCATGCGACACCCTCGGCCCTTGACCGCTGCTGAGCTGCACCTCGAGCTCGAGAAGGAGCAAGAAGCTGTCGTATGTTCTTTCCTCCATCTCTCACATCCTCAAGATCTAACCCTTCACCTCAGNGTCAACCGCCTGACACGCGAGCTCTCAGCACTTCGCGCCCAACACTCTGCCTCTGTCGCCAGCAACGCTTCGCAGACCAGCTCGAACCAGGCCCTGGACACTGGTCTTTCACATCCAACACCTACCCGTCAACACCGCTCTTCGTCGACCGCTTCAAACCGTAGTCTTAGCAACCCCTCGGCCACTTCGAGTCACGTCAACATCCACCACCCTCAGCCCACCGCTCCTCTCGCAGGTGTCTCGCAAGCCTCTTTCGATCGCGCCGCTGCAGCAGCAGGCTCCACAGCAACAACCTCATCCATCAGCCGCAACCCCTCGATCCGTAGTACCTCAGGCCACTCCACACCAGCCCTCAATCCATCGTCTGCTACATCCCTCCCCCACCGCCCATCCATGTCGCAAGCCGCCAGCGCGATCTCCGCAGCCGGTTCCTTCACACCTGGCCCAGTTTCACCATACACGTCCACATCCAGCGCCGCCGAAATCGCTTCCTCGCGTGCAGAACTCGACCTGGTCAAACAAGAGAACGAAGCTTTGCGCCAACGCGTCAAGGCCCTCGAACGCGCCCTCCGCAGCCGCAGAAACAGCGTCACTTCCGACGCAAGTGCCAACACAAACAACCCCAACTCTCGCATTGAAGCCACCGTCTCGCGTCCCAGCGTCAGTGCTTGGGCTGCAAACATGGCTGGCATGACCAGTGTCGCTGGTCCCAGGGAAAGAAGCGAAAGTCAGAGTACCACAGCAAGCAGAAGACCTGAAGGCTTGGAAAGAGAAGACTCCATCCGTGTAGGTGAAAGTGCTGCAAATGTGGGCTTGGGCTTGAAGTAGGAGTTTGAGCCCAAAGTCAAGTGGCAGAGCTGGTACTCTTGAGGCTCTTCGTCTGGCACGGAGCCTTGCAAGGAAGAGAGGGAACTATCGAATCAAGCATTTCTCGGGGTCGGTATTTGTCGGGTTGGGTCCTAGGGAATGGGAAATTGTTATTAGCAGGGCGTTAACAGATGGAACCGGAGTTAAAGGTTGGTTCTTTCATTCTCCTTGACTTCAGCAACATGCACTACAAATATCTGCAGCAATCGAAAGCACGATTAGAATATCAACATTTCTCACATTACCGTTCACTTTCTTGTCAGAGACTCCTTGTAACTCTGAAACTTTCACCTCAATCAGAAGCGAGCGGACACCAAAGTTCCTGCCGTTACGGTATAATTAATTCCCATCATGGACTATAAAACAACAACTTTATCTTCTCTTTTCGCTCCTCGTAACACGAGTTCTCAATCCAGTCCTTCGCAGAGCCCGAGAAGGAGGACTTTTCACTCAAGCGTGCTTTGTCATCGTTCTCTGGTCCTGACTTTGCTGTTGCTAGATTTTATTGGACGCGAGAGGAGTGGGACCTCGTGGAGCAGGTCAGTGTATCTTTTCAAAGTCATGCTGCTCCCGTTACCATTCTATCGATTGTTACATGGGATATCTGGAGACTGTATGTGATAGCGTGGGAGTAAGGATTCAGTAGCGGCTTTATGGTCATGGATCTCATCTTTTGGTCTCCATACTTCGCACGGCCTATCTCAATGGTAACTATAATGACATTGCTAACCAAGCAGGGAGTATTGCCGGCCCTACCGTGAGGGAAGTAGCGCGTTAGGGGACAATGGAAACGAGAACAGATTTGTGGACCTCTTTTCTTCAAAGAGGCAGTGTACCAGAACCCCTGCCACGCACCATTCTGTCATAGTAGTACTTGTTCTCACTGTTAAAGATGTGTTTTCTGAGACTATTTCTATGACGGCAGCCCTGAATGCATTCCATGAAGAGAATATCAAATCGAATGAGTTGGAAGGAGGTAAGGCAAGCTGTCTGTGGCGCCAGTTGTGAGCGCTGTTGTTGCGATGATCACGTATATAAGTCTTAGCTTGTATTCACATCAGTGAGATCACTGTCCACTCACAAAGTAGACATTCCCGCTTCTGACGATTGTTTTCCAAGTATATGACTGCATAATCTCTAGCGGGACGTCCTTGATGATCTTGTTACCTCACCACAGCAGGTACTTGATGAACCGATCGTCTACATGTTCTGTGACCGTCAAGTACGAAGTATCAGAAAAAGTTCTGAATATGCGTGAAACACTGTGATTCACAATGAACTCACTATATGGATTGTAGCCTCATGTACTATAAGTACATAGCCCTGGCCACAAACCACCAACCATGCTTCCCTGGAATATGATCAGCCTTACATCAAGCACCATGATATAGGCCACCTCAAGGTGGCTTCCGCAAGGCCAAACGCAGTCTCATCGCCCACCGGAACCTACGGACATTGACAAGAGGGAAATGGTCAGGTCCGTGAATCTTGATGATGTAGACTAACATCCATATAGCCTCGGTGTACAAAGAGTAACCTCTCGGTGCAGAATCCGAGGAGCTATAGATGACAAACCAGATTCACGGAACCGTTTACCTTCTCGCCTGGTTTAATGACAGTTGTTCGGATGTTCACCCTCGTAGTTCGCCATCCCGATTGAAGCAGCGAACAGTGGTGGGCTATGGGATTATCTGGTTCAAAGTACAGACCGCTTCATCCACGAAGGCACGACAGAAAAGGAACTAAAGGTGGTATGAAGAGAGCGTGGGAAGGGTTCACGCCCTGCTCCGCTTTCACTCCATCAGGATCTGTGAGCTGGAAGGCTGCCCAAAATGAAATTGACAATCAGTTCAGAGGATTCTTCGAACTTGTCGTGTATCTAAGATCGGTCCCTTTGCTAACCCTGAGAAGGTAAATAGCTCAGTCCACGATACTATGGAAAGCCAGCATTATCTCGTGGCTAGTTCGAAATATAATATGGTATGTGATCAAAGATGAGAAAGCTCAGGGGTATCACAGACCTCGTAATCTCGTCTCTCGGGGTAAAGAAGAGTGTGTGATCTCTGCAGGTCTTCTATGGGCTCACTTTTGTTCAGCCCAGGGCACGGTCGCGCAGTGACGAAGAACAACATGCGTTTCAGGGAAGCGATCTGGTGCAAGAGACGAAAATTATATACAGGGCGAAACTAGGGAGAAGACTACAGCAGAAAGCCGAAATTTTGCCTCAAGCTCGTCCGTGATCAAACGACTACACAGGACCACAAACTTCGGCGCTGTATGACTTGGTAAACTTGATCTCAGTCATGGTTCCGCTGTTGGCTGCAAATTTTGCTGAGCTGAGGATGTAGACTTCGTGCAAAGGGTCATCGTTTTTGATAGCCATCATTGTTGCACTTTTTGCCGCGCATGTGATGGGTGTATCTTGTCCGACCAACCCTTTGACAACATCGCAGGTAACAGGTGTATAGTTATAGTTGGATCCTCCGCCAGCTTGGGCCATCTGGATCCGGATGCCTTGTGGATATTCGATGTTGAAGTTCTCATAATATCCTGGCTCGTTGTATCCATAAGCAGTGTCTTTGTATTGTCCCGGCCAAAATTTATAGCTGATCACTTGAGCCCCGAACCAGTTCTTCGAGTAGAAACGCCAGATGATGGTCTTTGTGTTGTCGCGGATCACTGGTATAAGTCGAAAGTAGCTACTGTCTCCCGGACGTGAGCCACCAACTCCAAACACCTCGCCATTGACTGTTGCCACCATGCAGAAGCCCACGTTGAGAGACGTTTGAGCGCTAATGCCAGAAGTCGCAGTCTGAACGTCCAGAGCAGTTGCAGTCGCGATCAAATCGGTAAGTGTGGTCTCGGGTTCCACAATCGTAGCAATCTCAGTTTGTAGTTTGGTCACTGGGTCAGGCGTCTGTGTGACTGTCACGTAGCTGGTCGAGGTTGGTGTTGGTGCCGTGATGGTTATTGTGTCATCCCCTGAGCAGACAGACGCAGATGTGCTGGATGTCAAGTCGCGACCGAAGATCAACGATGTCTGCGTGCTTGTAGTCACTGTTGCTTGTGTTGTGCTGAATTCCTGTCAGGATAGCCTCACCACAAAGCGTTGCTGGACGTACCTTGATATCGTAGTTATAACCGATGTTGTGACATAACTTTTACTTGTCAGGACAATCCTGCAATGTTGGAAACTTTACTCTCATACCTGGTACCAGACTTGACAGTCGAGGATTCAGTGATTGTTGATGTACTAGCTGATGTTAGAAGATGCAATAGAGGTATCGTAGAAACTCCATACCGAGTCACAGGCAGGACGGTCTGTGTCGTAGTCGAAACGACGATCCTGTAGATGTTCAGTATGCTGCATCTTATTAACCAAAGGCTACCGACTTACACCATAGTTGGGGTCGATGTGGCAGTACAAGTGACCGGACATGACGTTGGAGCGACACCAGGATCCGTGTCGTTCGATCCCATGAAGCTGTATAGTATAGTGTATTTGTCTGATCCTCTGGTTTGGCCCTTGTTGGTAGCATAACCTTTGTCCCAGGTTTGGGAATACATGGCGCAATATTGCCCTTGAGCAACATTGTTCTTGTAGATCAGGTATGTGTTGAAGAACTTGCATGTCTTGGGAGCGCCTTTGCTCGGGGGATGTCTCAAATTGTAAGCACTTTGAGCAGTGCAAGCTGTAGCGCAGAGCGCGACATCGAAGGGGCCACTAGTGAAGAGTTTCACACCAAGATAAGTATCTTTGCCACACTTGTCGAGAGGTGCGCTCATTGCAGCGTTGCCGAGATATTGCGGTGTTTTGTATCCCACCGGTGTTGAGATGGAGTTGCTCGTGTAACCATTTGATCCTGCCATCACGAATTCAAAACCATTACGGGTTTGTCCAAAGTTTTTGGTATTGTCTGAAGTGACTGGTCCTCCCCAGAAGACACATCTGATACTTGGAGTCGAAGCTCCAGCCACGCAGGTTGATGGGTTNNTCGTTCGAAAACTATGGGTTCGGGTGTCAGCCTTGTTCGTGGTGAGCACGTCTTGGATATCTTTACATATGTTGATGGCGACACAACCGGCCTTTTTGTCGCACCGGGCTGAGCAGACAACTGGGTCATAAGTATCCAAAGTGTCCATGCCCATGTAGCCATAAGCACTGCTCGAAGCTTGAAGGTTGGAGAAGGCAAGAGAGTATCCGGACGGTGTCGGAGCATTGCTCGCGATGGATGAGAAGCGGACATCATTGAGGAAGGCGCTTGCAGTGTCTGGAGACGGAGTTGGTCTGGCGGTCTGCGTGTCACAAATATCGCGCTTTGCCACCACGGTCGTTGCAAATGAGTCTGGTGTTTCGATACCGCTGACACTGATCTCGGCTACAACTGCAGATGCGAGAGCGATTGGATCGTATGTTACAGTTACAGCAGCGGCAAGCGGGTTGATCGAAACCGAGGATGGGTCCGGAATAGAATCGATATATTCGAAGTCGATATCCTGAGGCAAGGCTCGAGCACGAGTACCAGCAACGAGTGCTAGCACTTGTACAAGGTAGGCGGAAATATACATCTGGCTATGCAACAATGCAAAGAGACAGTTGAAGACTGGAGATACATAGAGGGGAGCTCGCAGGTGTATTTATTCTCGAGTCTTCGCACTGCACGGGTTGCGCTTGGCCAGGCTCCAAACCATTTCTGATCGTGGTCGACGCGTTGACCGCATGAGGGCCGCACTCGAAATTGGATCGCGATGAGCATTCTCAGCTCCTTGATGAACACGCGAAGTAGGAGGCCATGCCAAGGAGCTTCTGGAAGGCTATCTGGCCAGCTACACTTGGAAGGTCCAAAGCGCGGTAGCAGAGGCTTCACGAGGAGCTGATGGTGCTCACTAGCACACTAATACCCGTTTGTTCATTTCGAGAGCGGCACGACATATGATATGTCTGACGAGTAAGCGCCCAAGACGTGGTGATGATGTGGGTGTCTGCCTGGGGCAGAAGAGCTGCGACACTGTATACCAAAGCTCATGTTAGGCTCGGGTATAATAAATCGTAGAATGCGATGCCAGCGAAATCGTGCGAGGGGCGGTACAAGAGAACACAACGTGGGGAAGATGTTCAAAGAGGAAAGTCGACTCAGCCAGCCACATCTCTTGGTAGCAGTTTAAGGTTTACGATATCTCGCTCTTGCCGAAAGGTGAACGAGACCAAAATAAGACAACAAGCGAAAAGCAGTATTGTCCGGTCGTGTGTAGGAGCGGTAGGGCGAACAATTTGTGTGATTCGGTGGCAAGAACTCGGTGATGATGTAGAATTAATTGATGTTGAGAAAAAGCGTATTAATACTCTACGTAGAGCGAATTGTCTCGAATCCCGCACAGCCCAAAAGCTGCTCCCGAGCGACTCCCTGGATTCTACCCTAGGATACCTATTCATCATCTTCCTTCAAATTGACAGCAGCATAGCTGATCTTCCAGAGCTTCTCTTCGGCCTCTTCATCGAAAGCATGAGGAGCATGCCCACTACCACCAAGAGGCTCATCTTCAGCAGCAACACTCGACACACCGGCATCCACAAGATAAACACCACCTTGCTTGTCGAAGTAGGGAGAAAGTGCTCCCCATACAGTAGTAGCCGCACCCTGCTCCACAGATCTCGCAAACGGTGCCAGAGGAGCGAATCCCGCAAGCTGTTCGGGNNGAGACATGTGACGTCCAAGCTGGGTATCAAAAATCAAGCCTGGGTGTACGGATACAGCACGAAGACCAGATGCAGCGTAGTGGCGATCGATTGAGTTGGCCATGTAGATGTTGGCGGTTTTGCTTTGACCGTAGGCCATCATGGGGTGGTAACCTTGCTTGGTCAAGTCGAGGTCGTCGAAGAAAATGCCACATGCTTTGTGTCCAGCACTGGAAACAGTAACAACACGGCTGGGTGATTCGACGGTTCCACTAGCAATCAATGTGGATTTGAGCAGCTGGAAGAACAAAAAGTGTCCAAAGTGGTTGGTGCCAAGTTGCGTCTCAAAGCCGTCGACGGTACGGCCTTCTGGGACGGCCATGATACCAGCGTTGGTGATCAAGATATTCAGTTGCTTTTCTTGGTCGAGAAACTCCTTGGCTGCGTTCCTGACGCTTTTAAGGTTTGCAAGTTCCATTTCGATGAGCACAGGCTTTTGTCCATTGGGATTCTTCGATACCAGGTCTTCGACGACGGCTTGTCCTCTGGCCTTGTCGCGGAACGTGAGATAGAGCTTTGCTCCAGTGGAGTGGAGGACACGAGCGGTCTCCTGACCAATCCCAGCAGAGGCACCTGTGATCAGAATGACCTTGTGTTGGAGCTTGCCAATGAGGCCGAGATCATTGAGGATATCTTCAGCAGTCGGGCCAGAAGCCGGGCCGCCGAGATATCTGTCGGCATAGGGTTGGTAAGGGGCGGTAGAACCAGACATAGCGCTTGGTGGCTTGGGATGATGAGTTGAAGAAGGGATTGGCACAAGAATGGACCGAAGACTGATAGTGTTGTTGTTATATCTATACGAGCGACTTGCCTGCTATTTATCATGATACCATGGATGAATCTGTGTCCGGTAGGATGAGCGCCATCACGAGAGATGGTCCACTCCGGATATTAGGACCTGTATACGCATGTGGCCACTCCTCTGACATTGATTGATCGACTCAAAAGCATCCGGACATAAACACAAAGGAGTGGTATACTCCGGGCGCTTACAGCTGAGTCGGCGTCGAGTTCGTCCGCCGTCCTCAAAGCGATGTGGTTGGCAAGTATCTCGTGCTTCGAGCCGGAGCAAACATCGAGGGACTGGTTGCCCCGCAAGAATGGCGCTTTCTAGATTGTTGAAGGAAGCAGTCGAAATGGATGGTCTCATGCCTGCCACACAATGCAAATGTTTGAAGGAGGGAAGCGAGATCCGCCAGCGCAAAAGTGATGCGAACTTGCCGCCAAGCTTTTTGTTTCCGGCTTGCAAGCTTCGTCCGCAGCGTCGCAAAGATCAACAACAGACATCGTTTCCATCAGAACAACCACGAACAAAAGAGCTGTTCGACACGATACGATTTTGGGTTAGAGGAAAAGAAAGAGCAAAACAAATGCCTCCTAACGGAGTCGAACCGGTGACCTCGGCATTACTAGTGCCGCGCTCTACCAACTGAGCTAAAGAGGCTGGATGGAACGTGCTTCAATATATCAGTTTATAACTCGTGGTTTTAACCCTGCAGCACAACATCAAACAACATCGCAGATCAACTTCCTATGCTCCTGTTCGGCAAGATCTTCATATACTAATGACTGTTAAACCACATGGCTACGGGCATGTTGTATATAAATTCAACCTTGGGAAAAAGAAAAGCCCTCGATACGTGATGAAAGACGCGTTCTTCGGAACCAGCAAGTCATCACTCCCGTAAGAAAGTATAGGCATCATCTGAAGACTGCATCAATGGCCTGACATCGCACTGTCTTTAACTTCTGCGCAAGGATCGGTTCTTTTCCTGGATAAGACTCCGTCGCCCCTGTTCATGGGCTTTGTGGCCAAGTTCGACCGGACTACATCGGATCACTGTCTGCTAGGCCTTCATTGTCCTAGGATCCAGATATTGGGCGTGTTCCACTATTCAGAGAACGATCATGCTGCGATATTGTTGACCAAATTATGAGTAGGAGTCGACATGTCGTTGGGTATAGCGAGACGGCCGTTACTCGCTGAGATGAAAAATGCCACAATCCTGAACGATCGTATCCTCAAGACTGAAGTCAAGGTCCGTGATCAGCAAGGGTAATGGACGAATAGGTTGACACAGCAAGAAGATTCGATTGCTCGTGTCGTGGTCAGTCTCCAGATGTGATGAGAAGCGCTGTGGAACCAGAGCCAGAGTAAAGATTCAGGGGCGCCTCAACGTGCCGATGAAACATGTCGAAGCTGGAAGGTTGCGAGTTGATGGCAAGAGCCTCAGCTGAGCGATGGTCGACATCCAGAGAAGCAAGTCCAGAATGGAGGGACAGCAATTTCCGTAGCTGCGGAAGATGGCAGCAAGACTCGCATCCACGAAAGAAGTGAGAGATTCCCATCCACTTCATCCGCCAACACCATCCTCCTTCTTAACCTCCCGTTGTTGTTCCTTCACCTCCCCACCATCAATTCCATCCCCCTCCTTAATCCATCCCCATGCCGGAACCTCCTTCGCAGGTCCCAAATCCGCATCTTTCTCATAACTCTCTTTCGTCCTCTTCAACAAATCTTGCATACCATCACTCTCCCACTCCCTCCTCAGATCTTGAACACCAGTCACTGCTCCGACAGCAGCTTTCTTTAATCCAGCAAAGGCGGCGAGTTTTGTGGTAGCGGATCGTGTCAGCGGGGAGATTATCGCTGGGATGGTGGTTCGTAGTGCGGTCAGCTGTGGTGTATTGTTAGTGAGTGTCTTGTTTGTGATGAGTGACTGGATGGGGATAGCTACCTTGTCGGTGAGGGCTTCCAGCTGTGCAAGAGCTGCTTCGTATTGTGCTTCTGTCCACTGTTCCTCCATTGTGATCGATCATTGGTCTATGCGGCCGAATATGAAGGACGCGACAGTGAGGTATGTTTGATGGAAGAGTCAATCGATGGAGTTGCGGGTTGGCTGCCTCCAAGTCATGAACTCATGGTCCAAGCGCTGCTTTCACATGTCAAGCTTTCTTTGACACACAGGTGCAATCGTATGGCTCTGGAGAGCTTTCACCAAAGGTTGCAAAACAAAAAGAGCGATTATCAAGTTTTGATATTACTGGAGTGTGATTTCTCTGCATGATAGTACAACTTAGAGAAGAAACGCTAAAAAGAGTATCTGCTCATGGCAAGAAACAAGCACGAATGCAGAGATGCAAGAGAACACAGCCGCATCCTTTTGCTTTCAATCATGCCAATAAGTAATACTGAGGTATAATACTGAGGTCATGTAGAGGCAATACGCAGCGCCTTTCCATAGCCCAACGCTCTGAGAAATCAATCTCGTGAATATTCGTCTGCGAATTCATGTGCGCAGGCATCACAGTCCGGCTCCTATCCGCGGTAGCGACCACCACCGCGACCTCCTCCACCTCTACGAGAACCTCCGCGCATTACATCATCCGAGTACATGCGACCCTCATCACGATATCTGGGACGGCGATCATCATAGCGCGGCTCGTTATAGCGTTGCTCGTTGAAGCCATATCTTCCATCTTGATAGTCTGGTTCCGCATGACGGTCACCACGGTCGTAGTCCTCACGGTACGAGGCTCTACCATCGCGAGACCGTGAGTTGTTGTATGCAGGACGGGGAGAAGGCTCGTGAGGTGGAAGAGGGCTGGGCTCGGTGGGGTATGCTTGTTCAATCTCCATCGTGTCTTCGGCTCCTTGTTCTTGAACGGGCTCGGGTTGGGCTATGACGACAGGAGAAGCGATGCGCGGCGTGGCAGACTGGATGGACTGTGATGGGCCTCCCTCCTTAAGGTAGACGTACAGGACTCTTCCATCGGCNNCTGTGCTGGGTCAGTGTGTGGAGTGAGCAAGCGCATATTGCAGACCAACCTTCTTGCCGTTGAACATGTTGATAACATTGTCGGCACCGGCCTTGTCCAGGAAGAGCATCTCTGCAATAACGGTGGGCGACGCAGAGACCAACTTGCAGGCAGACATTTCACCACCGACTGGAGCCATGACACTCTCAATGTCGGCAGCTGTTGTTCCTGGCGCAAAGTTGCTAGCGACTACACAGTAGGGACCAGCGGCTCCTCGGATTGAGATTTCGCTGCCGACAGTCGCAAAGGATCGTTGCTGGATGTTGAATGAGGCAGGTGGGGCCTGTTGTGCTGCCGTTTGGTATGCTGNCATCTCTTCTTGTGTCTGCACCTCCGGCTGATTGACGATTGTTGCGATTCTTTTGGTTACGGGATTGCTGCTGTTTGCCGAGTGTAGGAATGGACGCGGTCGAGGACGAGCGCTGCTGGGTGTTAGATGTGCTTTCTGTCTCTTTCAAGTCGGTCTACGCGCCTTTGTGATGCCGACTCGACTGGCCAGACTTCCGCCCAAGGGCGTTTGCGACTTCTTGTTGTTGGGGTTGTTCTGAGGGGCGCTCTGACGACGATTCTTGCCAAAGATTTCTTGAGCCAGGTTCTCTGCCTTGCGCTTCTGACGATCTGTGTATGCGACGTCAATTGCGAGTTCTGTTGATGGTGTTGCGCGCTACATGCCTGCTTTGATCATGTCATCGAACGAGAGGCTCGGCTTTTCTTGCTGCTGCTTATTCTTTGCCATGATTGCGTTGAAGAGAGAAAAGGACGATGTGGAAGAGAAGTAAACAGTAAAAAGTGAAGTGGTGTAAGAATCTAAAAGCTACTCCTGTTGGTTGCAAACCGATCTTGCATGTGTCGCGTCGACTCCAGACGCCGCCAACGACCATCAAAAGCTCAGACCTGCATCATCATTGCATAGCCCTCGGCTTATACCGACCTCTGATCGTTATATTAATTAGGACTTCTCGTCTCGGACGAAGTGTGTTCAATATACTTGGTGAACCTCGATCAAGTCTCGACACGGCAAGTCTTCTCGAGTCTTAGTAACAGAGACAAGCACAGCAAGCTTTTATGTGCGCCTTCAATTTCCGGTGTGCTACCTACTCAAAACATCACTCTTCATGGCAGACCTCCTTGACATTNNGAACTTCCGAGTGAGAAGCAGAAGTCCTGGAAGAAGTCCCACTCGCCCCTGACCCTTGCCTAGCATGAGTTCGTATACAGCCCAAAGGCCTCACCCTCCGTANCCTTGTGCTCATGCTTGTGACCTTTTTCCTTTTCCTTTCCCACACTTGTCTTTTTCGACTTGATAGTCCCTGTCTGCTCAGACTGGGCTTGCTTGTCTTGCTCTCNNCTTCTTCAGAGGAATCGCAGATTGCCGATGCAGCAGCATCTCCTCCATCCCCAACTCTGTCGCTCGTATCGTCAGACCCAACACCCTTCTCCCCAACAACCAGACTATCTTTTCTGTGCCTGTTCTGCTCTGACATCACCACCTGCTCTTCCCCTTGCTGCTGTTCTGGTTCCAGTCGTTCCCTCCTCTCCTCCTCAACACGGAACTTTTGCATCATGACTTGCTCCTTCCAAGCATGTTCCTGCAGCATCTGCCACCATTTCTCGCGTCGGAGATTGAGTTGAAGGGTATTGGGGCCGTCGGGGCAAGGTACACCACAAGGAGGGTATTTGCGGTAGGGGTTTTTGATGTGAAGGGTGTTGGTCATCTGGCATAGCCTGTCGGTGACATCGTCTGGAGGTGCTGGTGGCTGGTATGTTTGAAAGGGGTTGCTGTGGGCCATCTCCAGTAGTTGTATGTGTGTCTATTGTGGCGAGTCTTGAGATCGTTGTAGGGCCTGATGGGGTGGGCTTGTAAAAGTTTGGTTGTCGCTTACTTGCGATAGAGCTTGACACTGAACTGTCGCCTGTGATATCGAGATGCGAATAGCTATGTAGACGTGTTCTTGAGAAAATACCAGAGTAAAGGCAGACAGACGTAAAATATACACCAGACAGTTAGAGCGAGAACAAGCGGTATTCCATTCCGCCTTCCCCTCCTGTGTCAAAGACCTGCCTGAATGTCAATGAGGTCAAATGCTCGAGTTTCGATTTTGATGAGTCGTCAGAATGACATACCTCACTCGTGGCAAGCACATGGTGAGCTTCAAAACTAACCACTCACCAAGCTTGCTTGTGAGCAAGATTCTTAGGACCTACTCGAACAGGAAAACAACTCCGTCAAGGTTCGGAGTCAAGAGCTTGATACATGGGTGAATTGTTGAGACTTGAACTTTGACATGGTGGAGCAGAGATGTGGCAAGAGATGATTAGCTGTGAATGAGAGGCAGTTTTCTACACACTGCCTACTTTTCTGTGTAGCAGGTGAGTGTCGCTCTTTCTTGCTTTATTTGGTCTTCTAAGCATTTCTGGTCTGTAGGCTCTCAATAATTTGACCCACTTGAAGGACTAGCGCATCATCACCAAATTGTCCTATCACCTGCATGCCAACAGAATCGACATCTCCTGCTTCTGTTGCGCCACCTTGTAGCTTGACAGGTACACTCAGAGCGGGCAGTCCCGCCAAACTTGCAGGTACTGTCAACACATCATTCATGTACATCTCGACTGGGCTCAGCTTTTTCACTTCAGCTAAGGTTGGAGGTAACGTTGGAGCAGTCGGCGCGATCAGAACATCAACAGTGGTTGCATCGCTCGACCGCTCAGTCCGTGCATCCAACAATGGATTCTGCAGAGCAAACACATTATCAAAGTCCATTTGCACCAGTCTGCGCACTCGCTGTGCTTGGACAAAGTAGTTGTCCATGGCTTCCGAGCTCAGCGTGTAAGCTCCTAAAAGGATACGGCGTTGGACCTCTGGACCAAATCCTTCACCTCTGGTGGCAGCAAACAAGGGAAGGTTTTCTTTCGGGTTGGCATCAGGACCCGAGGTGCGATTACCGTAGCGTACACCGTCGTATTTGGCAAGATTAGAGGATGCCTCTGCAGGAGCCAAGACGTAGTATGCCGACAGTGCTTGATGTGTTGAAGGCAGGGATACTGGATGAAGCGAGTGTCCAGCATCTTGCAGTGTTGACAATAACTGAGACCAGGTTGATCGAACCTCGCGAGATAGTGAAGCAGTGTTGTAGTCTAGCGGTATGCCGATGCGCAGTTTCCTTTTCTCAGACCAGGTGGTGGTTTGACTTGCAATATTATCACGGACTGACTTCGGTAAGCTCGTAGGATCCATATGGTCGAAGCCGTCCAGCGCATTGAAGATGTCTCGAGCGTGCCCCACTGTCTGAGTCAAAGTTCCAACAGTATCCAGTGAATTGGCATATGCAATTACACCCCATCGACTCAGCCGGCCGTAGCTGGGCTTGAAGCCAACAGTACCAGTATATGCAGCAGGTAGCCTGACTGAACCTCCAGTATCTGTTCCCAGCGCAGCCCAAGCCTGACCTGTTGCGACTGCTACCGCACTTCCTCCACTGCTTCCACCTGCCGAGAGAGCTTGTCCGTTACGTTTGAACGGACTTTGTGTGGCCGAAGTGAAGACTGGTCGAGTATGTGATCCCATTCCGAATTCGTCCAGATTGGTTTTTCCGCATATCAGAGCGTGAGCTGATGCGAGTCTGTCGACAACAGTTGCATTGTATGGTGAGTTGTATGCGTCGAGGATCTTTGAAGATGCCGTGGTTGGGTAGTCTTTCGTGACGATGTTGTCCTTGATAGCAATTGTTTTCCCGGCAAGTGCTGGGTCTGTTCTCGTCAGCGTCTCCCTGCATAGTGAAGGCGGAAGTCGTACNNCTTCAGACTGGCTGTCGGCTATGGCACCAGCTGCATCCTCTAGTTGTGTAGCATTGGCGCGGGTAACAAAAGCGTTCAAACCAGAGTACTGCGCCTGTCGTTCAAGACATTGCTGCACTCGTTGCAAAGCCTTGCTCATCTCTCATGTTTTTAGAAGACTTGTCCAAATAATCATTCTCGAGCTTCTCGGAGGTTTGCATCTACCACGGATTTAGCGATTCAAGATGCCGAGCGCGGGCTCGTGCACGAGTCAAGACCGGGTGCCAAGATTTCACGCTGGACCCTGAGAGCTCTCCCACCCCATCACCAAAATTTGTGCAAAATCACAACCACACCTTTGATCGCAATTCTGACCCTATATACACATGTTTGGGAGCAAAAGAAGCATTTCTCGTCTCCAAAAACTGCAAAACTAACAGCCCCACGTGGGGCTCGAACCCACAGCCTCAAGATCTCAGTTCATCGAGTAGATGATTAGAAGTCTTGCGCGCTACCATTGCGCCAGCAGGGCTGGTTTGTTAAAGTTCGAGGCTATCACATTCAATATATTCTCAATTTTTGTAAGGCGACCTAGCCATTGGCTTCGACATCCGACTTGATCTTGCCCCATCTCTTGCACTCTCACTCTCATACACAACTGTTCACCATCAACAGTAGAGCGCGCGCATTATGATCTTACGGCAAGTATAACAGCGGCAGATCCTAAACTGTAACGTCATCACACGGAAGACTGTCCATCAACAGCCCGGACGATGTCACAGATATGCGCCTTTGAGCCAGTCCAAGGCTCACTAACTTCCTCCATACTAATCCAGGCTACTCATAGTTCCGACTGGAGGAATCTTCGCCCTGCATACTGTGCCCAAGCTCGCGTGGCTACGGTGATCATTACAGACGTGAGCTTTTTCTCTGTTGTCTTTCTCTTCTCATTCCAAAAAAAAAACTCTCTCTTCTCACATCAAACCTCCTCTTGCCTCTGTGCAGCATGAATCCACTCGTCTTTTTCTGCACGCGAGACTTTATCGTTTCACCTTAAAGTCCCTTCTTTTGTCTTCTCTGCTTACCCTTCCTTTACTGTTTGACTTTTTCTCTCGACGTGCGTTGTGCCCAGGTTGATGTTCCAAATTGCCTCAAGAACCTCTTCTAAATCACTATTCATCTAGTGTATTTGTTACTATGCACAGAGGCTGAGGATCTGTTTTCAAAACTATCTTTCTCAGATGATAATTATTGGAATGGAGTTTTATAACCGCTGCAGTGTTTGATAGGAGCACCCTGTCCAATCTCCAGACAAGGAAATCAAAACGTCCAAGGAATGTATATATAGAAGTATGGAGTCGGAGAAGGTCCTCCAACACTCCAAGATACGTATGGAGTGTATATTTACTCTATCCAGTTTCATCACTGACTGCTAGGTCGATGTATCATTGAGATCACATTCTTGCAGCCTGAATTTTTGAGTAACATGCCTATCAAAGCGCTAGGTACCCTCCGACCATTCCCGACAAACATAGAATCTCGTCAAACCTCGTCACCATGCTTGTTCTCCCTGACGACCTCTCCACTAACAAACGAAGGTTCATCAGCAGTCGCACCACGTCTATCCAGCAACGGCTTCAATCCGGGCACCGAGACCGCAGCAATAGCCGTAGCCATCTCAACCATACTCAAGATATAAACCAAATTAGGTTCGTTCGAATCAGTATTCAACGTGACGAAGCGGATCAAAGTCGTCAACGCTGGCACGATGCCCAAGGAAAAGGTAAAGTAAATGGCGGTTTTGTGTTCCTTGCTCATTCCCTTGAGTAAGAAGAGAGGAAGACCATAGACTGTACGTTATTAGCAAGCTTCTTCCTTAACAAGGAAAGATAAGGTTGATGGGATAGACTCACTGAAAATGTAGGATGAAAGGTTGACGGAAAAGTTAAAGTAGAATGGTGTTTCTGCGTAGAACACACTGCAGGCACCTTCTTCCTGGCTCCATTGGACAGAGACTGGGGTGCCGCAGTAGAAAGTGTCTGTCCAGAGAACGGTCATGTAGGCAGAGCACACATAGGCAATAATCACGTACATGGCCTTGCGCAGTATGGGTCTGTCGGCAGGGAATACGCCCCAATAAAATGCCAGCATGCTCAATTTGGGGAAGCCNNCTGCAACCATGTGTCAGTGAGTTCATATCAAGAGTTTTTAAGATCTGATTGCACTCACCATGCCAAAATCGTAGAAGTAGTTGGATGTAAACGAGATCTTGGACAACGTGACCGAGGACTCCCAATCATCCATAACTCCAAGCTGATACGTCAATGNTGCTGTTGGGCCAGGGTCAGCAAACAAAAAGTTGTAATGAGGCAAGTAAGAGCCAACTCACTCGCAGATGATAAATCCCAACCCAATCAAAGCCGAAAACAAAAGAATGTACTCGGACAACCTCAACTTTTGTCTTTGCACAAGCAAGCGAGTATACATTCTCAAGCCCACGAGGACATATGCAGCAATCAACAGAATCCATTCCGAGATNNCTGTCGTCCGATCAAATGTCAGTAATGCCCCAAAGAACATGCTATAATAGCAGAGAAATAAGATACTAACCATGCAATCCTTTCCAGTAATCGAGTTTGCCATCTTCGCAGGTCCCAAAGTAAGATCAACTCCACTCTTTCCCGCAGACACACAAAGGAAGAAAAAAAAGGAAAGGAAGAAACTCAGCAAGGTAAGAAAGTCATCGCTACATATATGAGCTTACCATCCATTTACCCATTCACCGGTGCAACTTGCAGCACCGCCCAGCAATTTTTGTGCTGCACCCTTGTTTCGCCCAGACTCCTACAGACCACGTCGGTTGAGCGATGGAGCGAGATGCATTCATCTACATCTTATGGTGGTATCACTTTCGCTTGGCCTCGCCGCAAATCCCAGAGTTGTCGAAAGTCACTCCCACCTTTAGAGCCGCAGAGCCAGTCTCTCGGCAGTCTCTGACTAAAAGAATTGTGCTGTATGAGGAAGGAGCCACTGGCACTTTATTGATTGGATCGCTCGGTGGCAGCTTCCTCATCCATCCTTCAAGAGGATTCAAAAGATGAAACACACGAGCCCGGGATCCGCGTGCTCGGCGAACCAGTCCACCGGGACTCTAATATATCTCGGTCCTCTCGGCTGAGTGAAGTCGCAGATATTCCCTGATGGTTCTGCTGTGTAAAGTATATGGAGTGTCTCTTGTGAGACAGCCTCTAGAATATGCTGATCGTTGATGGATGACCATGGATCCATTCTATATGTCTGGGTCTGTGGTATTAGTGGTATCTGATGTGAAATGTACTGTCCTGCTTTCGCGCTTCCTTGACTGTGGATTCATATTCGAGGATTTGAACATACAGATGTGGTTCCCGAATGTCGGATAGTGTATCAAACACCACCCTTACCAACACCACCACCATACCCATTGTTCGTCCAAGCCGAAGCCACCGGCCCTCCATCATCACTCTCCTCAATCGGCCTCGAATCAACACTAACCTCTTTAATCTTGTAAATAACATCTCTTTTGCCGACATGATTAAGCTCCACATCACTACCGCTATCATTCAGCGGATCTCCCCTCCCAAACACAGACTTTCGGTGCGAAGCGGTGACCACATAATGATGACCATTTGAATATGAATTTGAGCTCGTGGGAGTCTTGTTCTTGCGGCGTAGTAGTGTTTTGAGTGCGGGGAGGGAGACGACGATGATTGCGACGGCCATTTCGGCCATGGACCATATAAAGACGGCATTCCAGTTGTTGCCGGTTTGGATGGTGATGAATCGGGCGAGGTTGACGGCGATGGTGGCAAGACCTAGTGCGAATGTTACCAAGAGTCCGTATATCTGATTGCGATTGAGATGGAGATGGCGCAGGAGAGGGAACGGAAGAACAAAGANCTAGAGTATGGGAGATTAGCGATTTGGACTTGGAAGACTCTGTGTGCTTTGACAGTACTTACTCGCAATATCAGAGAAGCAGTTCATCGCCCAGTCGATCTGTAAGACAAGAAGCGAGTTGAAAGTCGAGCATGCGCCTTCCTCCAATGACCAGTTGCTCGAGACATTCGGCGCACACCAAAGAGTGTCGAGCAAGAACGTACATATAGCGCACGCGACCACAAGTCCAGTGACAATATACAATGACATCCTTAGCCGTGGCATGGTACTTGGGATGATCTTGAAGTAAAGAGCAATCAACGCAGCTTTGGGCCAGTACATTTCCGTGTCGTAGAAATAGTTCGAGGTGAACGATATCTTNNTGATGGTTGATCAGTATGAGCTTCGTGAGAGCAACAAAAAGTTTACCTTGTCCAGAATGACTTCATTCTTCATATCCACTGCCGATAGTCCTTCGCCTTGGGGTATGTATCGCATGCCACCCAGAGCATATGTCCAAGTATCGCCTGTAAGCTTTTTGTCAGCCATGAGAGTTTCCAATCAATAGAATGGGAACTTACATATAATCAGACCCAAACAATCTAGAGCATATGCTACCAACAAGCAATCCATCACGAATATCGCAGGACACGGAAACTCACCATGACGGCTTCGCCAGAGATATTGTACCCCATCTTGACACGACCAAGGGAGTATCAAAGGTCTGCGAGGGACAACTCAATCGACGAGTAGTAGACATGGTTCAAGATCCATCACCACGAGATTGAGAGGATATCAGCTTACAACTTCGCTTACCTACCTGATCGAACGTCGACTCTCGAAGCAAAGTGGCTGGACTCATGAGACGTACTACACCCCTCTCGTTCTTTCACTAGTATGTCGACATGATCGAAGGTTTGGGCCGTTGGAGTATCACGGCGGCTCATAGATGAACTTCATTGAGTCTCGCCTCCGGCAGAGGACTGATTGAGCCCTCGCATAACGGCAACGGGGTCTACTTCTTGTATAAGCGAAGACCCTTTGGAACCAGAAATTGCGCCACGGTAAAACATTGATTGTGTTCAGGCATTTGCGTGAGTGTCGCGATATGTCGATCAGGATGCCGAGAATCTGCCGTCTTTGATCTATTAAGTTACCAAGTGCTTGGGATCACGCCATGTTCATTCGCATCCTGGAGCCGAGGGCGCAATAAAGTGGAGGTCATATGAACCATGAAGTGCTGGAGCATGGCCGGCCTCTTGACAAAAGTTGTGGTAGTCTTGAAACAAATTGCCATGGATTGTGTGTTCCTACGAATTATTTCATGACTTTGGTTTCGCAACCTTGACACGAAGACCTCCCTTGATTCTTCTGATGATGCCGCCAGTCACATCAGCCTTCATGTCTGGATCAACCAGTGTCGTCTCGAAACCCAGTACCCAAGCGGCGAACAGGCTGGCAAACTCGGCCTTCGCAAANNACCTGGGAAAACTCATCAGCATGGCATTCACATCTCTGAATCTCCGGTCCCACTTACTGGCCCCAATACACCCCCTTGGCCCATGAGAGAAGGACATGTTTGAATAGTTGCTCTCAGCTCCACCAGTGTTGGCTCTACCAGGCCCCATCCATCTGTCTGGGTTGAACACTTTTGGATCTTCGCTCCACATCGACGAGTTGTGGTTTGCGGCTATCAATGGCGTGATAACAGTGGTACCCTCAGGAATCAATTGGCCAGAGAGAACAACGTCCTTCGCCGCGACACGGATAGTCATCGGTACAGGACAGTAGTATCGCAAAACTTCGTTGGTCACGGCATGAAGGTACGGAAGTTGTTCGATCTGCTCGGCTGTGACTTGCGCACTCGGGTCGCGAATGTCGGGAAGATCTGATGCACGCAGCTCGTCGCGCAACTTCTGCTGTACTTCGGGAAACTTGCCGAGGACGTAAACTGCCCATGTCATCGCTGTGGCGGTNNCTGCAACGAAGTGAGTTGGACATCAAAGAACAGGAGAAATACAACATACAGTTTCGTGGCCAGCGGCAAGGAAAGTAAGCAGTTGATCAACAATCTGCTGGTCAGTAAAACCTCCACTCTGCATTGCAACACTTAGGATGTCGACACCACCTGCCGCCTCATCCGGTTGATCCTTCTCTTGAGCAGTATTGATATTTGACCTCTTTTCTGCAAGCATGTCGAAACAGATCTTGCTAAGGTACAGTCTTGCCCTTTCCACCTTGATGTTACGCGGTATCGGCAATGCTCTGAGGAACCAGAAAGGTAGGAAAACATTCAAAAGTCCAACAAGACGTGTTTGCCAGTCCTGTTTGAATATAATCTGATAGGTTTGGTATAGCTTGCTGTTGGGATCTTCTATGGCGTTGAACGACTTTCCGATCGTAGCTACACCAATGATGTCGAGTGTGGCACGCGAGGTCCAGCCATCAACATTGACTTCGTTGCTGATTGCTTTCACATCCTCAGCATGAGTTTCGTTGGTCTTGCTCGCAATGTCCTTGTCGATGCCCATGATCATGTCGCGTGATTGGTCCCAGAAAACGGGATACAAGTCTTTGATGTGGCGATAGCTGAACGCCGGCGTGAGGTTCTTACGCTGAGCCTTGTGTTCCTGGCCTTCAGTCAAGAGAACACCATATCCAAGGATACGAGCCAGGCCTTTTATCAAAGTTGGTGGTTTGATCAAGTCGTAGCTCTTCAACGTTACTGCTTCGCTGAGGGCCTTGGACGTGGTCACCATAACTCTCTCTGTATTGAAGAGACTCCTGTAGTAGATCAATCCGTCGTTCTCGATATCTTCCATCCATTCTCGTTGAGGATACCCGGTGGGCTCCTTGAGGATCCTGCCAAATTGTCCAAACAGAAGTGATGTCTGTTTAGGGTGTGGAAGGTGACGCAAAGGGCTCAAGAAGAAAGGATAGATAAAGCTGGCCCAGAAGAATCGAACGGCGAGTATACCAAGGAAAATCGCTGCTGTTGTTTGCCATATTGATTCGTGTAGTAGTCGTTCGGGGGCATATGATTTGACCGAGAAGGATACAGCTGCTGCTGCAAGCATAATCGCGCGTTTCAACACCGCGACCATGTTTACGATGCGTCTATGGGGCAAGGCACGACCTGATTTACAAAATCAACAGGTTCGAAAAAGGAGTAGGAGGTTGGCCAATGTCGCACCTCTCGACCTCACTGCCGTCCCTCGGGTCTTGGCATCAACGCGTCATGTATATGCAGATCGGCCACTCTTTGCTCCGAGTACAATTGACTCCCTGAACCTACACCTTTGAGCTCTATCACAGACATCTTGAGATTATGGTCAGCCTCGGACCAGAACACTGAAGTTTACGCCTGGTACAAATGATATATCCTGCCAAGGGCCGCTGCTCCCAGCGACCCTACTCGTAATCGTGCGATCATACTTGACGATAAGAAAAATAACCAGAAAGCCGGGGTAGAATGCAAGCTATCGTTCACACCAGACTTCGAGAGACTTGTTATGTTTCTTCCGACGCGGAATATAGGTCTTTCACTTGCTGCTACAATCTCGCTGCGCCTCCTCCTGTCACTCCGCTTCGATCTTCACCACGACCTAGCCTCGACACATCACTCAGACCTCAAAGTCCTTGTAACCAGCCATACTACCCATGAAAGTAGTGTACATCTCTTCAGCTAAGACTCTGGCAGCTTGCGCAAGAGGCTTATTGCTAGCCCTGATGCACACGAGCTCGATATATTGTATTGCCCTCACAGCCTTCGTGCTCAAAATACAGTTGGTGCCACTAAGGGTAAGAATGCCGTTAGCCGCCTTGATGGTAACCCTATAGCCGTGATCCGTCAACATCTTCGCCGCGTACCCGAGTGCCCGCTGAGGCTGGCGGTAGTAAGCGATCATGAGCCACTCATGGATCCTAGCCATACCCATTGTGGGAAGCATCCCATTGATCTTGTTGGAAGCCCCATCGTAGGTAGCGAACAATCTTGCAGGATAAGTCTCCTTCAGGGACTTCTCGAAATTCTCGGCCTCCTCAACAAGATCAGCAGGAATGGCATAGTTGACTGCTGGAGCTGTGATCTGTTTGACCGGATGACTTTCTAGGAATGAAGTGACCTCAAACATGAGACTTGAGCGAGTCTTCCCATACTTGTTCTCTGCACGACATAAGATGCAGTCGCATGAGAGACCCCTGTTCTCCAGGCTTTGTTTAAGCCGGCCAAAGTCCCCATCGACAGGGCAACACATGGTGGTGATTTCCTCTCCCTGACGAATTTCCTTGTTTGCGCATTCAACCATCAAATCGCCAACGAAGCTACGACTGGAGTTGGCCAGACAGGAATGGTTCATGTGAGCGGCATGGGTCCAGACTCCGGAACAACCAGCCCTGACAGCTTTCTACGCGTCAACATGAGCTCTGTCTTTGTCAACCTCGAAGCCAAAGCTGTTGTGCTCGATAACTCCCTGAAGACGGAACACATCGATCACGGGCATGCCATCGATGGTCAGAGGGCTGGGATCGGTGGCCGATTCAGTGGGTCCAGGTGTACCGTCGTACAGGTCGGTAATGCTCCGACTCGAAGAAGGGTTGTGGAATGACTTGCGTACAGCGTCAATCCAGATAACAGCATGGCTGCCATGAAAGTCGAGATCAGGGTTGACGATCACCCTCAATGCAGACGAGTTCCGAGGGGTATTCGAGGCGACAAAGGCCTTCTCACACAAGACGATCTCTCCAGCAACAAAGTCCTTTGTAGCGAACAGACCTTTGAAGCTGTTACCGGCCTCACGAACACTCGTGTGTCGGAGGTAACTGGCTCGATCGGAGCGATAGTCTGCTGTGCCTGAGATCTTTTTGAGCATGGCGGCAAAATTGAAGACGCCCTTCTCAGCCTCCTGGATGCGCGACTTGGTGCGCCCAAGCTGTCTCAGAAGTTCGGGGTCAGGTGCAAAGGTGTTGAGTAGTCGCTGATACATGTCTTGAGACTTTTTATAATCATGGAGCTCATACGTAGCACGAGCAGCACGAAACAGAGCCTTTCTATGACTCGGATGNNGTTGCTCGAGTTCACCACCTCCGACAAAGAAGCAATCGCATCCGCTTTTGCCGCTTCGTAACAGCCTAGTGAGAGTCTAGCTTGGGCTCTGTTCCGAAGAAGATCGGACCTAAGGTTGCTATCTTGGATAGTTACAGCAGCGAGACCTCTNTGTGTAGCAGTGATTGGCCTTGAGATAGTCATCGTTGAACAAAGCATTGCTGCCTTGGAATCCCCACTGCGAAGCAGACTTCCTTGGGGCTGTCAGTTCCCATACGGAAGAAAACATGGGGTGATCCTCGTTGAGGAATATGGCATCGGAAGGATGGTGGACACACAATGCCGTGCCGAAGTCCTCCGAGACAGAACTGTAAAATGGCTCCTTGATGGCGATGACGGTGCCAGGTGGTAGCGGCTGTTCGGGCCAGGACGCAAGACTAAAATTGAGGATAGAGATTCTGTCCACGTCGCCCGTCTCATCCTCGACTGGCATGAATGTCTGGATCTCGGAGACATTGGTCGAGCGGCCGAATGTACGGAGGAAGAGAATGTTGCCGTAGTGATGAGTTTCCAGATGAAGATCCAGCAGGTTGATTTTAGTGAGCGTCTGGAGCGGAGCCATGCTGGGCTTGTAGGGCTCCAAGACAATGGTGGGTTTGGCCTCCGCAGTTCCGACCGTTGAGATGGCGCCGTGTTGTTCGAACTGTGTACGTATCTGACTGCCTCGAGCAGAGCGCTTCTTGTTTTTATTTGAGTCGACATGTTTAATCAACTGCTCCCTGAGATCAGAACTCTCATCTACGGCGATTTGCGTGTCCATGGTGAATTCGGTGATGAATCATGGATATATCCCATCGATTGAGACAAGATGCTGATGTGGAAGGTAGCGTAGGAGAGAAGAGAAGTCTAACCTGGTTATCGGCGAGTAAGTGAATGAGTCCTGGGAGTTTGACATTTGATTTGGTCAGACTTACTCTCTTGAAGACACTCGTGTTCTTGGAGAACGAGGTGGAAGAATAAACGAACTACCTTGCAAGGCACCACGCCCAGCGGAAAGATAATATGGGTTATATGGATGAATCTGCTAGTAATCAGCGATGTAGTTTGGGTATTTGGTTGTGGTAGAATTGATGATGGTTTTCATCAACGAGACTCGGCACAGTCTAAGGCTTTGCGCTTCGTGCACCACAAAAGACAAGGAAGCCGCGATGGAGAGATCTGAATTTCCCAGATATACCTACAAACTCGACTATTGGATATCATAGCCAAACGTTCCTGCCCTAATGAGACGCCACAAACTCCATACTTTTAAACGAGATGCAAAGACGGGCATGCTGATGTGAAGAAAGATGCAACTGAAGGTGAGAAGTTTATTCCATGTCCTCGTCCTCGTCGTCTTCAGACTCTTCCTCTTCGCCTTCGTCGTCATCATCTCCACCAGCATCAGCGTCGTCGTGCCAGACATCGTCGTCAAAGTCGTCGTCGTCGAGCATCTCGTCGTCCTCATCGTCGACCTCCTCGCCCGTGGCCTTCTTCTCCTTCTTCTTTCTCTCGACGTTCTCTTTTTGGATGCGTCTCCTTTCGGCCTTCTCCTTGTTCTTGATCTCCCATGCCTTGTCTTGTTTCTTCTGCTCTTCCTTGCTCTTGCTAATGTACTCGTGCCACAGAATCTTGCCGGCACAGAGTCCCTCCTCGACCTTTGTCAGACGAAGAGTCATGCGGGGACCCAACTCTTGCAGTTTGATGGCCTTCTTTTGTGTCTTTGACTTGCGAGGCTGAGGAGCCGGGCGTACGGCACCTTGGGGGTTGACGCCTTCAGCGTTGGCTCCAGTGACCTTTGCACGTTGGGCATCGCGAATGCGTTGACGTTCGTCTTTTGACATGGCCTTGCGGTTCTCGACGGCCAGGACCTCAATCTCAGCGTCAGTGTCGGCCTCAGTATCCGAGGCAGTGGTGAAACCAGAAGCTGTGGGGTCCAAAAGATAGTCTGCAACATCATCCAGGGCTCCGAGGTTGGGCAAGCGAGCGCTGTCGCCGCGCTTGAGGTGGTCGGCCTGCTCGAGTTTGCGCAGGGCTTTCGGTAGGGCAGACTTGGGAGTGACAGCGTTGATAGCGAAGTGGCGCAATTGTAGGACAAAGGCATGAGGGTCGTTGGGGTCGTTGGATGGCTTGCGGTCGAGTAGCATGACGCGCTTGATGGTCTTGAGTGAGGTGGTGTGAGGAGAGATGGGAGCGAAGAGGGATTGGAAGATTGTCGTCGTCAGGGATTCGAGGTTCTTGGGGATGGGGTTTGACTCGGACTTTGTGTCTTTTTGATCATCCTGCTGCTTGTCGGATTGCATGAAGTTGTTCATGACGAGGAGAGGCGAGGTCAGGTATTCGGCACCGTTCTGGCCCTTGGGACGGCGCATGCTTTTCTGGACATCCTTGCAGAGCGAGTACTTCTCAACGCGGAAATGTAACGTAGGACCTCTGGGAGTGGTGCAGATGCGGAGGTTCGTGTTTCCGGCGTCGGAGCGAGAAAAGAGCATGAGGTGAGAGACACCGAGGGGACCGGCCATGGTGATGAAGTCGCGCAGCTTGTTGGACTTGCGCTCCTTCAGGCGACTAGCAGTACCGGGCTCCATCATCAAACGGGTATCTCTGACAAGCTGCGATATGCTTGGGCCGACTTCTCCAGCGTTGATTCGGATAACCATGCTCTTGGGGGCCCTCGTCTCGCTCGCTAGGGCGGCAGCGGTGTGAGCGCCGGCCATTCCAGGGGCGGCAGGCTTTGCGCCAGCATGGGTACGCTTCTTGACTCTTCTTTTGGCCATTGTGAATGTTGTGAAATGTTGATGTTCTGTCGAGTCTCGTGGCTCCAAAATTTCTTTGCAGTCGCTGCTAAGCAGGTCTGTGCTTCGGTGATAAATTGCTCTGACGTGGGTTAACGCCGAGGCTTGCCAGAACTGGCGCCTGCCTTTTACAACTTTTTATTTTCTTAGCACCCGACATTCACGCATCAACCATGTCAGCCTTGAAGAAGAGAAAAGTGCAGCATGAACGCTCCACCTTCAGCGAGGAGGCCCCACGCCAACCCAAGCCCTCCAAAAAGACCATGGACCGCATAGACGACACCAAAGAAGCTGCCGAGAACCTGGCCAAGAAGGCTGTCAAGAAGGCCGCCACCGACGACGTCGAGGAGAAGAAGCAAAAGAAGGTCAAGAAGCGAAAAGCACAAGAAGAGGAAGATGAAGACCCGTCTGAGGAAATTCCTGCGCCTGCCGACGACGAAGAGGAGGAGACAACCACACCCAAGTCGTTCCGCGAACTGGGAATTATCGATGCCCTGGCTGAATCATGTGAAGCCTTGAACTACACAAAGCCCACGCCTATTCAAGCAGAGTCTATCCCTCTCGCGCTCCAAGGAAGGGATATCATCGGTCTGGCCGAGACTGGTTCGGGAAAGACTGCTGCATTCGCATTGCCCATCCTACAAGCGCTAATGGAGACTCCCTCGTCCCTGTTTGGTCTGGTCCTGGCCCCCACAAGAGAACTCGCCTATCAAATCAGCCAACAGTTCGAAGCCCTGGGCTCCTTGATCGGTGTGAAGTGCGCTGTTATTGTCGGTGGTATGGATATGGTCCCTCAGGCTATTGCTCTCGGAAAGAAGCCGCATATCATTGTCGCAACTCCCGGACGTCTGCTCGATCACTTGGAAAACACAAAAGGCTTCTCTCTGCGCACGCTCAAGTACTTGGTCATGGATGAAGCCGACAGACTGCTGGACCTGGATTTCGGTCCCATCCTCGACAAGATCCTGAAGGTCATCCCCAAAGAGAGGCGCACCTACCTCTTCTCCGCCACCATGTCCTCCAAGGTCGAATCTCTACAACGCGCCTCGCTCTCCAACCCCATGAAGGTCAGCATCTCCTCGTCCAGCTACCAAACCGTCAGCACCTTGATCCAATCCTACCTCTTCATCCCCCACAAATTCAAGGACATTTACCTCGTCTACATCCTCAACGAATTTGCCGGTCAGAGCACCGTCCTCTTCACCCGCACCGTCAACGAAACACAACGACTAGCCTACCTCCTCCGCGCCCTCGGCTTCGGCGCCATCCCCCTCCACGGCCAGCTCTCCCAATCAGCACGTCTAGGCGCCCTCTCAAAATTCAGAGCCGGCAGTCGCGACATCTTGGTCGCCACCGATGTCGCAGCTCGTGGATTGGATATCCCTTCCGTGGACCTGGTGCTCAACTTTGACCTTCCCCCAGACAGCAAGACCTATGTCCACAGAGTGGGTCGTACAGCCCGTGCCGGCAAAGCAGGCAGAGCTGTTTCGTTCGTCACACAATATGACGTTGAAGTCTTCCAGAGGATAGAAAAGGCGTTGGCCAAGAAATTGCCCGAGCATGATGCGCCCAGAGATCAAGTCATGGTGTTTGCCGAAAAGGTATCCGAGGCTCAGCGTGTGGCTGTTAGGGAAATGAAGGATTTGCACGAAAAGGCAAAGAATGGCGGTAGAGGTGGACCTAGAGGAAAGGGCAAGAGAGATGCCATGGACAGGGATGAGGGTTGATTTGCTGCATAGAATTCTCAAGCTTTGTTTTCATGATATCCAAAAATTCGAGCATTTATTCTTGATAATTGTCCTAACTTTAGTTTGTTGTGGGTTTTCATTGTTATGATCTTTGTATCAAGATCTTGCTCAAGTATGCCACTCGGATTTCTATGATGAAGAATAGGAGGAAGCAATAAACTCCCCAGATCAAGAACAAGTTCCTACCTCGGCGTAACATCTCCAGCACCGCCCTCATCCTCTCTCCTCCTCCTAGCAATAGCTTTGAAATACTGCGCCATCTGATCAAACTTTGTGACGAAAAACATGCCCCTTGCATCGTTTTGCCATGTCAAGACACCGATCGTGTCGGCGTGTTGGACTGCTTTGAGATATTCTTCTTGCGTGCCCACGTCTCTGATCAGGTACCCCTGCGTGGCCTTCATGCGCTCGTTCTCCAATTGCCACAAACGAACTTGGTCCACCACTGTTGGGGGCAGGATCGGCGTTGATTTGCGGAGAATGGGGTGGGCATGTGTAGTCAAATACGTGATGATTTGATCAGCAGTGATGCCAGCAGCGATGGCCTGTTGAATCGAAGATTTGGTGAGGGTGGCGGTGAACATGTTGGGAAAGCGGGTTTTGAGATTTGCAAAGAGGGAGAGGATGGATATGTTTAGTGGCGAGGATGTGTAGGCGTAGATGCGATAATTTGTTTCGACGATGATGTAACCCTTTTCTGTTTCTTGAGGGGCGATTGTGGTTCCGCCTGTGGGTGTGACACCGAGGGTGGTGGCTGAGACGGAGGTGTTTAGTAGAGCGGGCGAGTCGGATGTCAAAGTGGTGGCCAGTCGTGTTGGGTAGTAGCGTGATGTGTCAGACGCGCGACGGTAGATGACGCCAAAGTCGGATAGGTCGTCCAGCATATGCGCTTGTGTTGGAGTCAGGTTCTCGGTTGTGTAGGAAACACCCAGTTCGAGCGAGCCCAGAGTGAAGAGAAAACTCAGGACGTCAACAGCATCCATCTGAAGCCTTTCCGACAGCTTGAGATACTCGATGAGCAGAGTCCAAATTTGAGCGTTGGTCTCTTGCAGCAGGAAAGAGAAGCCGTCGCGAGTGATGTATGCGTTTCTGCCCTTGCTCATGACGAAGCCTCCACTTTCCAGCAACTCTTTTGTTCCAGCTGTAATGTCGACGGCACCACCCAAGCCCTGGCCTGCACTTCCGACGACGTAGTACAAGATGCCCTCCCATTGTTGGCGGGCGTAGGTGTCGAGAAAGTCGATGGTGACTTCATTCTTGTCTGGAGTGCTCGAGGGAACACCAAACGAGCGATGGTCTCCTCCACCAGTCAGAGCCAGGCGCAGGGACTTTCGGAAGGCTTTGTTGAGCTGGTATGCAGGTCTGTTCTGGTCGTTGCGGGTTTCTTCGAGGATCTTCAATCGATTTAGGATGTTGTTTGAGTAGCCGCTTGCGCGCACACTGTCGACGTCCGGTTTGACCCACGTCTCGAGATCGGATGCTGCTAACGGAGCAGGCATGAATAGCATGGCCATGACCAGATTCTTGGNCTGTCTTGTGTCAGCTTCATTGCTCCTCCGGTGCTGCCTTGTAGCCTTGATTGACTGACCCAGATGCGGCAACATGCGACGGAAGATGGCCAAGGCAGTCGAGGGCTGCTGGTACAGTCGATTGAAGATGATGCCCGGCTGGCCCTCGAGGTATTCGAGCGCCCGCTTCGACGCGACCGACATGATGACTATCCTGCCTCGTAGAGCATTGTGAGCATGTGCAAGAGAGAGTGTTAAGTTTCCCCACAATCGACACAACCCGACCAGTCAGACGTCATCACTGCCGACGTTTTTCCATACCATCCTTTCACGCAAGACCCTCACTCACCTCTTCGCCTTCCCTTCCTGTTCACCTCGGCCTGCGCACCAAAGAGGACCCCATGAGTCGTCTTTTACCTGGTGATCATCTTCTAGAAATTCAGGTAATCCCGTAGATCTTGGTTGCTTCATCAATCACTTTTGTGAAATGCTTCACAAATAAGCTCGGCTGTCGAGGCTCCCGAAAGCTCCGTAGGCTGCTGCGTTCTTTTATCAACGTCTTCCTCATCCCTTTGCTTTCTCATACCTACTCCCTTGCTTCATCTTTCTCCGCCAACATGGTCAGAATAGTCAACCTCGGAAGCTCCTTCTCCGCCGGCCCTGGAATTCCTCCTCAGGTCAATACTGCAGCAGGTCGTTCCGGCGCGAATTTCGCACACCTACTGGCCAAACGTCTCGATGCAGATCTGACAGACTTGAGCGTATCTGGCGCCACACTCCTCAACATAACGGAAACACCACAAGTCGCTGGCGATCGAACATTTGAACCTCAAATCCAAGGTGTTCCTGCAGATGCCGATATCGTGCTTGTCCTCGGTGGAGGCAACGATATGTCTTATGTGGGAGGTCTGTTCATGGAGCATACATGGATGATGACAGCGTTTTCTCTGATGAACCGACTCAAGGGTGTCTCGTCACCAAACATGCCACCTCCTACCGACAAAGAGGAAGTCATCAGACGTTATGGCAGAGTTCTGGACGCCATTCACGCCAAAGCTCCCAAGGCGCGAGTCATCGTTGTCGAGTACCTGACCTTACTGGGACCAGACACGAAGCCTGTTATCGACGTTCCCTCCAATGCTGAGAGATTGAAGCATCATCGAGCAGTTGCAGCGGAACTCCAGAGCGCCACTAGCAAAGCCGTCGAGTCCAGAGCAGACTGGTGTGAGCTCATACCCATGGCCGAGCTGAGCCAAGGTCATGGTATTGGCAGTGCAGAGCCATGGGTGTTTGGCTGCACAGCAATGGAACAACTAACGGGAAAGACCTGGTATCATCCCAATGGTGAGGGAATGAAGGCAGTTGCAAACGTTCTATACGAATGCATTCACGAGCACTAAATTGGCCTGGAGCAAATGGGATGTTGTAGATGCATGTCGCTCATTGCTATATACCCCCTTCCTCGAAACCCAAACATGCCAAAACTCCACGCTTTAAAAATCATTATGTGACAATGTACAAGACTCAGCAGTGATTTAGTCACTGTCACTGTCATCCAAGAACGGCAGTCTCGCTGTGGCTCTTGCTCGTGCAGGTCTCGCTTGCACTACATCTTCCTCGTCCTCATCTGCATCCGTCCCAGCCGTGACACTGTTCTTGAGCGGTGACACGGTGTCCATCGGTGTGTCTTCCGGTGCCTCGTCTCCATCGCTAATCCCGTCAACAGCATCGACATCTTTCATCTCCTCATNCTTCGTCGACTTCGCTATCTTGATCACTATCGCTGTCGATCGCGATGGTCTTCCTCTTTTACCCTTGGCAGTCTTCTCTTTCGTAGCCTTGGCCTTGCGCTTGTTCTTCATCCCAGCCGACTCATCCACCTCATTCAGCAATGCATTCCTTATAACACCACTAATCTTCTTTCTTCTCTGCTCTTCCAATGCAANAAACGCCGCATCCTTGTCTTCATCGTCTTCGTCATCCGAGTCAGTGATGCGCAGCGCAGACTTGATCTTTGCATTCTTTTCTCGCTCTTTGGCGTCTCTGTCTTTTGNCCGCAACAATCTCTCTGCTTCAGTGAGGTCAGGTGCTTTGCGCTGCAACAATCTTTTCCTAGATTTTGGCTTCTCGTAATCGGCGGATCGAGATGTGGGACCGCCGGGCTCAAACAATGCGGCTGCTTGAGCATCGAGATCGGAGAGTGTGTCGCCTTCTTCGTCGCTGTTGACTGCGCTGGTTGCGGCGCTTCTGTCTGCTCGGGCGTGTAGACCGGATGCACTCTTACTTCTAAGAAGAGATTCGGGGGCTACACCACCTTCGAAGGTTGGGAGGTCAAATTCGAATTTTCTGATGAGGGCGAGATTGGAGAAGAGCAGAGAGGAGGGAAGAGAGGAAGGAACGATCCAGGAAGCGTCTGGGTCGTCATTTTCGCCGAGGCGGTCGAGAGATAGAAGCTTGAGAAGCAAACGCAGGAACTTGTCCTTGAAGAGACTGAGTTTGCGGTCGTCGGTGTCGGGTTTGATTGTTATGAATGGGGCTTGGGGTTTTTCTTCTTGGTTTGCAGGTTCGACTGACTCGGCTGGTGCTTCAGAGCCTTGGTTTTCTGCGCCGTTCGTGTTCTCGGACCTGTCATTTGCGGTGTTTTCAAGGTTTGCCTGTGCATCATGTAGATCTTCCCAAGACTTTCGATCTTCGGCGGCAGAATTGAGGCTGTCCTTGACCCAAGCCAAAGCATCCAACTTGCCCTGGTTGACGAGCACACTGACAGCAACAGCAATCTGCTCCTCTTGGCCCAATCCAGGCTTCACCATCAACTCAGCTGGTGGCCTGGGTCTGGCCTTTGTGATCTCCATGTCATATCCGTTCTCGAGGTAGAAGATCGTGTTCGGCATCTTTGTGAAGAGCATCTCGACCATGAGCTCTCTGCGTTGGTCCAAGTTTTTCAAACAGCGTCTGAAGACTTGCTTGACCAGCTCTTCCCATTCCTTGAACAGAGGCATTTCCTTGGGCAACCCTTCAGGTCCCTTGATCATGCGGTTGAACAAGTGCAGAATATCGATCCTGTACAGAAAGATCGATCGCTCCATCTTGAAAGCACAGCGATAGAAGAAACGATGACACCTTTTCAGCTGTTCGAGGTCAAGATCCTTGTAATAGCCGGCGAATGTGACAAATGTGTTGACAGCACTCTCGGTCATGAACTTGCTGGCAAATCTGTTAAAGTCGAATTTGCGCTCGCTTACAGCACGTTGAGCATCAGCTTGATCCTCAGCCTCAGATGCTGCACCTTCATCTTCGGCACCGTTGGCTTGAGCTTCGACTCTACGCTTCTTCCTGGCACGTCGTTTCGATCGAACTTGCAAGTCGACATTCTGTTTGCTGTAGCGTTCTAGCATGCGCAAGAAGGTATGCGCCATATCTGTGCACGCGTCCAAGAACGCAAATCCTTGGCCGTTGTATCCACGGAGCACAGCAATGACTTGGTCATGTGTTATTTCTTCGTAAAAGATTCTGTTCTGGATGTTCTCTGCAATCTCCTGATCGTCTTCGGAAGCAGAGTCTGCCATAGCGGCGACAGTCAACAAAATCTGGGTAAAAGCCTGCATACAAGCGTGCAAATCAGACCATTCCTTGTCGTCCAAACTCTGCTGGATCTTTCGTCCGAGCAGGATGAAGTTTTCCTGGGTCATGACAGCAGCGATGTAGGCAAAAGGCGAGTCGTCGACAGCAGCATTGTGCACTTTTCCATTGCGCTTGAGCAAGTCTTGTCTAGCACGTTCAGCTTGCAAGAACCAGCCCATCAGGTAGTAGTATTGACGGGTGTGGTATTTCTGAGCTCGTTCGGCTTCCGAAGTAAGGGCACGACGAAGACTGTTGAACAAGGGGTTGAAGGAAGAGTCCAGGAAATCTTCGACAAAGCTGCGGACAATTTTGCGAGTGGGTTCGTCCAGGTTGACGTTGTTGTCAAAGTCGTTATTCTCGTCTTGAACCTCTGTGTTTTTCTTTCGGCCTTTCGGCTTGTTCCAGAGTTTTGACTGATCCATTTGATGCATGGTCTTTTGCTCGTCGAAGATGACGTTCTGGCCGCTGAGAGTCGACACCTTCTCGTCCGGTCGCTTTACCCATATCATGGTTCCGAAGCGGTGGTGCCGACTGGGAGCATTCCTCGCGTATGAGGCATTCATGGCTTTTTCTTTGTCCAACAGAGCCTTGAACTCATCATCCCTTGCGTCTTCCAATTGTTTCTCATTCTTGAACAAGTCCTTGGGGTCAATGCCTTTGAGCAGTTGGAAGAGAATGTCTAGGAGGACGATGTCGTGCATGGGATACTCGTCGGTGACACTCGAGGCGATTGTGAGCAGGAGCTGCAGGACGTTTTGTTGGTGAAATGCGTGGATGGTCTCCTGTCGGTTGATGTCGTTGTCATCGGCTGCACTCGGCAGGTCTGTTGGTTGAGCAATGATGGCGACGTTGCGAAGGAAGTAAAGAACGACACCGATGATGGATTCATCTCTTTGGCTGCGATCGGCTCGTGGCTGTGTGATACTCGGGATGGCGACACTGATTGCGGTACGAAGGATTTGGGCGGTTTCCCAGTGCAGAATGGAGCGCTTGTATTCGACTTGAGCGAGTCGGATGTATGGGAGATGTCGGTGGACATTGACGGTCATGGTCTCTTCTTTTCGCTCGATTGGCCATGTCAGGGTGTTGAGCAGATCGAGACAGCTGAGGGCGACTTTTGTTGCGAGAGCGCTGCGTTCCGTCTTGTCTCCTTGCTGGGCCAGGATGGGTAGCAGGTCTCCTCTGATCAGGTTCGCTTCGGCCATGCATCGCTTGACATCGTGCCTGTTCATTCGGTCATCGTACGATCGGATCCATCGCGACAAGTCCTTCAAGCAGGCCAGGGCGTCGTCTCCGAGGACATATTGGCCTTCTCTGACAGTACTACTGCCACCGATGGCCGAGATGAGCGAGTAGATGTGCGCTCTGACCTCGGGGTCGACCGTCTGACTCTTTTCAAACACCTCCATGGCGATTGTGATTGTAGTGTTGCAACCAAAAACGACCCTGATGATAATATTCCATGGACCCGCGTCGAGCAACGCGTAGCGTGTTTAATTGAAACAAACAGATCAAACACAGCTCCTTGTCGCTCTCCCCACGTTGACGCACGACCTCGGCACGTCGGCCCCGGACTGCCGCATGTGATTGAGGCCATATTGTCTTTCAATTGTTCTGCTTCTGTCCTGCCATCAACCACCGACTGTCGAGAATGTTCTCTCTCTCGTGCCGCACCGGTCTGAAGCAGGCTCCAAGGAACATCACCTCAATCACCAGTCGACAATTTAGTGCCACCATCCGCTCCAATGCTGAAATCAAGAAGCTCGGTGTCATTGGCGCTGGCCAGATGGTAAGAACAAAGTATGCCGTGTTCGGAAAAGATGACTTATCCGTGACANNGGGCTTAGGTATTGCTCTGGTTGCTGCTCTGAGGGCCAAAGTACCAGTGACGTTGGTCGACAACTCTCAGGCTTCAATCGAAAAGGGACTCAAATTCGCCGACAAGCTGTTAGCAAAGGATGTCTCCAAGCAAAGGATCACCCAGGACGACGCAGATGCTGCTAGACAACGGCTGACCCCTGCAAATGACATGGGTGCTTTGTCAGATGTCGACATGGTTATTGAAGCTGTGCCTGAGATCATCGACCTCAAGACCTCCATCTTCTCACAATTGGCAAAACTGGCTCCATCGCATGCCATCCTCGCTACCAACACTTCTTCCATTAGCATCACCAAGATCGCTGCTGCTACCACAACCGACCCCACAGATCTATCTGCCGCGTCCAGGGTCGTTTCAACCCACTTCATGAATCCTGTGCCTGTCCAGAAGGGTGTCGAGATCATCACTGGCCTTCAGACTTCCCCAGAAACTCTTTCCGCCGCTGTCGACTTCTGCAAACGCATGGGCAAGATCCCCTCTGTCAGCCAAGACAGCCCAGGCTTCCTTGCCAACCGCATCTTGATGCCATACATCAATGAGGCTGTCATCTGTCTTGAGACAGGAGTCGGTTCCAAGGAGGACATTGACGCCATCATGAAGAACGGCACAAACGTACCCATGGGACCTCTTCAACTTGCAGACTTTATTGGTCTCGACACATGTCTGGCCATCATGCGCGTCTTGCATGAGGAGCTTGGCGACTCGAAATACAGACCTTCTGTTCTATTGACCAAGATGGTCGATGCCGGCTGGCTAGGCAAGAAATCTGGAAAGGGTTTCTATGACTATTGAGACTCCAGTCTTCTAGTGTCGGATAGCTGATCAAAAAAACTCGATTCACCCTCTGGTTGTATACCCCGTTATCTAGCGAACCCCATCTCTACACATGGGCATTTTCAGTCGACGCAGGTTCTATGTTCAATTGGAAATGGTAATTTGTCAGGTCGTGATTCATTCAGCAAAATTGTGATGATGCGCACTGAGGGCCACGCAGACTCCAACAAAGCTGATCTTGTCGGTGTCAGGTAAACAAGCTCGTGGCAGCCACGACAGTCCCGCATCGCGCTTACTCCAACATCGCTCTTTATGAACGGCACAAACTACACTTCTTGCTTACTTCTTGCTTCTCGCTCTAGTGAGCATCACTGTCTTTATCCGCCACCATCACAATCATTGAAAATAATAACAGACCTGGTCAGCACTTTGCTCATGGTCAAGATGCCTGCTCGTCAACATCCATCCAATTCCTCGGAAGTCCCTCTGTCATCCAGTCCAACCTCGCCAAATCCCAGATCTTCTCTACGCCGCCTAAGTTCTCTCGCCAACCTCCATCAATTCAATCCGTTCAACTCCTTCAGCCGCAGACGCTCGAGTCATAGCACTCAGAACTCTGACGATGATCCCTATCTTCTCAACACTTACCAACAAAGACCGCAAGATCAGCAACGCCGGCAGACTTAGATGTCCCTGTCTGAGGAGCCATTGCCTGCGTTACCCAAAAGTAGCACTTTCAGCAATCTGCCCATGACACGAAACCGCAACAACTCCAAGCCACCTTTGTCTATGAAGCCGCCATCACGTATTCCAACGCCTTCGATGGGCTCTAACACAAAAGCTAGACTGGCCAGTGCAACCAAGAGCATTCTCAAGGTCGGTAATCGACGTGGACTTGTCCGATCAGACACCGAGCCATTGCTGAAACCTCATCACTCGCACGACGCTTCCACTTCGGCTCGTATCCTCAAGGAGAATACCTCAACCAGTATGACCAGAGCAGATATGAAGTCAATAAGACTGCCGGAAGTCCCCTTGTATCCACTTGACATGAACGTCAATTTACTCAATTCATCTCAGCGACCACGGACCCCGGCTGGTCAACTACCCAAGTCTTTGCCGAGAAGAGACTCATTGCAGCCACCTACACCTCGGACTCCACTAGCTAAGGTACCCTCGGACAAACTTGCACAGACTCCAATCACAGTGACAGCCAAGCCAAGAAGACGGACGATGCTTCCTCCCGAAGTCGTTCCTCTACACTCCCTCTGCGACAATAAAAAGCAGCGCCCTTCAATTAGTTCTGACTTTCAGTCTCGTCAACTCCTCACGCCCCGTGTCGCACCCACACTTTCCCCGCCTTCTTGCCCACGTCCTTCGGCTTCCTACCTTCGACCTGACGATTGTACCAGTGACGGCAACACCGCCAGTGACCTTGTCACTTCAGCCCAGTCCACTGCTTACTGGAGCGGCCGCTTAATGTCACAATTCGACAGGCGACGCAATGACGAGCTCCAGGCACTCGTTGGACGTACCGAGCTAGGACTGTCGTATCCAGAGAACGACCTGAACGCCTGTCTGAGAGAGCTGCAGAGGAAGTGTGTGACGGAAGCTGCGAGGCTTAGCTTTGCAATGTTCAAGGCCAGAGTGCACGTCAAGGCAGGAACCACTACGGGCATGGCGGAGGGCGGGGCTGAGAGGAGAGGTAAAGACATGGTTGAAGCGTAGACTGCTGCTGGACCACGAGTCTCGTCTGCGATTGTTGTTGAGGGGAAGATGAGCAACGTCCTTAAGACCAGGAGATCGTCATTGGTGGAGAAGCTGAAGGGAAGACATTGAAGGTGTGAATGTTGGTTCGGGGGCTGATGGTGTAAGGATACATGGATCATTGGCAACACGAGTGTCTGCTTTAGTGCCTGTAGCATGGCAGCTTAACGCAATGGCAGAAGGATATTTATGTTTTCTCGACCACTTGGCGAGACCGTACAGTCTTACACTCTGTGTCTATGTGATAGTATCACTCTAAATTGATTCTCCAGACACCTTTCATGCAGACTTCTTTTCTGGCTTCGGCGACAACTCCTCGACGATGTTGTTTGGGTCTTTCCAAGCCAGGGTGACGTATCCGTACCATCGTCAGTGCCTGATTTCAAGAGTAGAGGGAGTTTGACTGACTTNTGTATGACTTCCTCTAGCAACCAACTCTTGCTTTTCGTTGTGGAAGTTTATGGATGTGTAGGCGAGGGTTTTGCCGACTGTTGTTGTAGCTGAAGTCAGTTATATGACTTCAACAGAGGAGGGCGATGGATTGGACACTTACANTTTGTCACAGGTGACTTCCTAGATAGCGGGGAGACGGCGTTAGCTATAAATGCTTTTGAGCAGAATGAGTGAGAAGATGGGTTCGCGTACCGCACGAATCAAATCACCAATCTTGCCGCCAGAGTTTAGGTATGTGANCTATCAACACAAACTGTCAGTGATCTATTTCTTTCACTCAAATAATAATCTCGTGGTTGTATACATACCATTGAGGTCGGTCGAAACGCCTGTAGCGAAAAGACCTCTTGAAGCTACGGCCAATGAACCACCCAGATCGACCATACTGGCTATAGTGCCTCCGTGCAGGATATTGAGACGGTTNNCTGATATTTTATTAAGTATGCTGACGAATGGAAAGGGGGAGAAAGGGCTCACGGTGTGGTGTTTTTCGATTGGGAGTTCGAAGTTTACGACGCCGGGGCGAGCTGCTGTTACACGAAGCTGTTTGATCAGAAAGTGTTAGCTGTAAGTGTTCAAGAGCAGGGAGTGATTGTCTTCCAAGCATGAGCTTGGCTGCAAACAGAGTTCCAAAACCGAGTAATTGAATCGAGAACAAGAGACGATGAAGAGTTGACAATAGCGAGAGGCATCAACGAAAACCGCCCAAATCTGATCATTGGAAGATATCGCATGTCACTTACACCATTGAGGAGCCTTGGACAATAACATATCAGTCCATTACTCTTGTCGCCCGATGCTCAACAACATCTTACCTTGGTTCCAATCCAGAATTGGCCTGGAAAGATTCACTAATGGTATTGCATTAGCTTAATCCAAGATTGAGAAGACCACGAAACCTACAAGACACTTTGGACAAACTTCAGACACCTTTGTGATGACATTGCTGTTGCTGGATGGGGAGGGTTGATATGCAGATGTTCTGATTAGAGATGATGTAGCGATGGGATGAGTTTAGCCGATTGCCGAGGCCTGCCGGTGAGACAGAACAACCCTGTCAACAATTATTATTCTTCATTGTCGATAGAAAGGATGTCGAATAGGTTCAAAGCTTTGACAATTGCAGGTGTCGAGTTGGCTAGGCTCTATCTTGTGCGTAAAAGGGTCTCGATTTTACTCACTACTAATAATGTATAGGAGTATATCTGATTACCTTGAGCGTCTGGCTTGACGACCAACTCCCATTCCACATGTTTCGCAGAAACCAAAACGCAAGAAGATCGCAAAGCATTTCAAAAAGCAAAGAAATCAATAAATCTATACCGGTCGTTCGTGCAATAGGGCTAAGAATGAACGAGGCTTGGTCCATCACGCTGGAGCATGAGCAAAAAATGTAAAAGGGAGGCCTCAACCCGAGATCGAATCGGGGACCTCCTGCAATTTAGATAAACCCAAAGCAGGAATCATACCACTAGACCATTGAGGCGACTTAGAGCATTTTCATGTTAGCAAAATATATAATCCTTCATATCATGGAAGCCCCACCATCCAGCCCCACGAACCATTCAGCACCTGGTGGTCGTCGCATGCCAGACGGTAGAGAAGCCCTGCTGAACTTCGCCATCAGCGCATGAAGCGGTCAAGCAAGCTATGAGCATTGACTGTTTCCAGAGGTCACATTCACTAGACTGGACCATGGAAGCTCTTTAGACATCACGAAATCTTGCATTCCAGCATCTGTCTTGCACCCGTTCACTATCACTCTTCGCGGGTCACACCTTGATGGGCAATATCTCTTGTAGAGACTATCGGCGATGGCTTTATGCTGCGTCTCGAGAAGGGAATATCCTGTCAGATGTCCTGACTTGTCAACAGGAGCGGTTCTGCGAGACATGCTATTCAAGCCTTCAATCGGGACAGCTAAGCACCACATCAAAGGTCCATGACATGGTATTTGACGGTCCAAGGAGTTCGGATCTCGGGCCAATGAACAGGACCCCACTTCAAGCATTCCGCGGTATCCCACGGCAACGAGAGCAGCCGTTCCGGCTTGCGCTGTTTTTCGGGGCGCGAACATGACAAAGCGGTCGTCGCATTACTCGTAAGCTGGCTGGACTTAACACGAATAAAAGTACAGCTATAGGTGGTTATGTATGGTGTTGATGGAACATAGTGACTACCGTTCACGCATGGCTGATCATCCTTATCCCGTGTTGCAAGGAGAAAGCAACGGGATGAATAAGCATCTGAAGCCGAGGAGGCGCCAATTGACAATCATCGTTAAGAACCATCAACTTGTTCCGCAGGGAGGTCTAGAAGACAGCCACACAAGCGAAACAAAATAGCTATTCCATCACATCATGGCCTCCACGTCGACGTTTCTGAGAGCCCTGACCAGACGTGCCCCACAACTGTATAATACTGCTTTAACTGCGCGGACGTCCTCTTTTCCAAACCCTCTTGTCTCATCCTCTTGCTTTTCTCCACTCAAACCACTTTCACCTTTCCGAACTCCATCAAAACTATTCAGCAGTACTTCTAGAACAGCAACAATGGCTTCCACCATGGACTTCCTCAGCGCTTGCGAGAACCGCAGAACCATCTACCAATTGACCGACAAGATCCCCATCTCGGATGCCCGTGTTGAGGAGATTGCCAGACACAACATTCTTCACGTCCCTAGCAGTTTCAACTCGCAGTCCACTCGCATTGTTGTCTTGCTCAACGACGAGCACAAGCAGTTCTGGGAGTTCGTCAAGGAGGTCTTGAAGCCCCAGGTCCCCGAGGACCAGTTCCCCCAGACCGAGAAGAAGCTCGATGGCTTCAAGGCTGGTCACGGCACTGTATGTATTTCTGATCGTTATATCATGTTTTTTTGGGTCAAAGGCTTCGATGGCTGACTTTGTTTCCAATCANNGATCCTCTTCCTCAATGACCCCAACCCTGTCAAGAAGCTCCAGTCTCAGTTCGCTCTCTACGCTCAGCACTTCCCCGGCTGGGCCACCCAGTCCAACGCCATGTCCCAGTACCACCTCTGGACCGCCCTTGAGGCCGAAGGCTGTGCTTGCAACCTCCAGCACTACAACCCCATCGTAAGTCGAATTCTGTTTTACTACACCTAGATTCGTCGGGGAGACCACTAACCATGATTGTTCTACAGNATTGACCAGAAGGCACAAGGTCACTGGAACATCCCTCAAGAGTGGGAGCTTCAGGCCCAGCTTGTGTTCGGTGGTTACGCAGAGGGTGCCCGTGAGGCCGTGGACAAGGGCGGCAAGCAGCAGCAGCCCATCGAGGAGAGACTCTGGATCCACGGCGCCCAGAAGTAGATGTATGACGATCACAGCATATAGAGCAGTAGGAGTTGATCGGCTTGTATAACGGCCTCATAAAATCGAGCATTCACAGTTTGCCCTTTTCTTCTCCACCCAGCTCAACATTGGCAGCCGCTTGCATGACATCCCTCGTCAGAAGCTCGCCCTTCTCCTTCTTCGGTTGTAGTCTCCCCATCTTCATCAGCCGTACAATCATATCCTCATCTCCAAAGTGACTGTTGTGTTCAAACTCGGGCTCCCTTCCATAAGCCACTCTCGCCGCATCCACCAAGATCCTCGCCGTCATGCCAAAGACCCTATACCTAGGCATATCAAGTGCATCTTTTTGTGCCAAACTCTTGTCCGCTGTCTGTGTCTTACTCGAGGAGCCAGGAACAGGTTTCCCATAGGCTTGAGCAGCTCGGTCGGCGAGTAGTACTGGGGCCTTTGACGCAGGCGAACACGGCGCCGTCGCAGCATCCAAGCGAGTATTCTCGACCTCGTGGCTCCTGAACACCGTCCTCTGACTCACAGGCACATGAAACATGTGCATGCGCCAGGGCTCATGGTACCAGCTGTGCCAAGCCCCTCTATACCATTCTCCCTCGACTGTGCCATCATCCTTCTCTTTCAAAAAGTGCTCAAACGGCGCCGTAAACACAGCAGCAACTTCTCTCGCATCCAGCTTCGGCAACAAGTCTTTTGCAATATCTGCCGCGGTATTCGAGCTCTTTAACCATGCAACACAAGGCCTTACTCCCAACTCCGTCATTGCGAGATTCATCGGTAACTCTGTGAGGTTCTCGACCGTGTACCCTTTTGGAAGGTTGTCGTCGTCGCTCGGCAACCCTATCTCTTCTTCTGCTTCCCGTCGTGCAGTCTGCCACGCGCTCTCGGCCTCGAAATCTGCTTTCCCGCCGGGGAGAGCGGCTTGCCCGGCATAGTTGCGCAACTTGGCGCTGCGGATGGTGAGGATGACACGAAGGTCGCCACGACGGTCGGCAAAGAGGAGGATGAGGACGGCAGCGCGGCGTGAGAGGGGTAGTTTGGTGTATTGCGATGGTGGGGGTTTGAAGGCGCGGAGCCGGGCTAGGGCGGCCTGAGAAGAGGGTCAATGGATCTGGTAAAGGGTGAGGCTTGTTGGGAGTTGAGTGATGTGCTTACTGCTGATGCTTGCGACAATGCTGCCATGGTTCTGGGTAGTGGTGTGTCTCCATGTTGAGAAGTTGTCAAGGACAAGGGCAATGAGATCACAAGTCGAGGGGCTTTGCGGAGCCGAGGTACTCTGTAGACTGCATTCTCGGTCTTAACCCAAATTCCGTCCATAGATACACATGCACATGAACATGACAAGGAACAGGACAAGTACATTTTCCAATTTGTTTGTCGTCGTCGACATCATTTCTATACACAGAAATTAGGGGATATGCTTTTCCTTTTCGATTTCCAAGATCGATGTTCTGCCATGCACTCAGAAGGTACAAAAGGAAGGAACCAGACGTCAGTGGGCTAAGCAAGAACAAGTCAAGAACGAAAACGCCGCGATTATGCAACCATTTGAGAAGAGAAGTGAACTCGAGCAAAGCATCAATCCGGATGTACCATGCTGTTACCCGTCCATGCAATTAAATGAAGAGAAGCAAGAGAAAAGATTATACTCAAGGATGCCCGTGTGGTGTTTTGCTTCGTTCCTGCTGTCGTGCAATTTCGGTAGGAGCCTCGCCAGCATCAACAGGAGCCTGCATGTTCTGCGATTTCTGTGCGCTTCGTTGTCGCTCTCTTTCGTCCTCGCTGCTGCCAGCCGAAGCATCGCCTTCTTTTGGTACTTCACCACTTCGGCTCTCTCTCCGCAGTCTCTCGGCCTTGTCCTTCAAGACCTTTGCTTCTTCGGCTGCCCGTTGTGCGCGAACCTGCTTGCGCCACATCGAATGGTACTTGCCCTTCATGTCAAGTAGCTCCTGGTGCGTACCTCGCTCAGCAACACGGCCTTCGTGGAGAACGCAGATTTGGTCAGCCATGGTGATGGTCGAAAGACGGTGAGCGATTACGAGCATGGTTCTGCCCTGGGCAAGAGTCATGAGAGCCTCCTGAATGTGCTCTTCTGTCTCGGTGTCCAGAGCAGCAGTGGCTTCATCGAGCAGGATAATGCGAGGATCCTTGATGATGGTACGAGCGATGGCGACACGCTGCTTCTCTCCGCCGGAAAGACGAAGACCGCGTTCACCGACCTTGGTATTGTAACCGTCAGGGAAAGACAGAATCTTGTCGTGGATCGAGGCGGCTTTGCAGGCTTCGTAAACATCTTCGTCACTTGCCGAGGGATTGGCGTACTTGAGATTGTACATCAAAGATTCGTTGAAAAGAACAGTATCCTGAGGAACGACACCGATATGTCTACGCACGCTGTCGATAGAGACGTCCGCAACATCATGTCCATCAATCTGGATTGTGCCAGACTCGGTATTATAGAAACGGAAGAGCAGACGGAAAACGGTGGACTTGCCGCCACCAGATTCTCCAACCAGAGCGGTTGTGGTACCGGGCTTGCAGCGGAAGTCGAGCCCCTTGAGAGCAGGCTTGCGGGCATCATAAGCAAAGTGAACATCATTGAAGCGGACGTCGCCTTCGCAGCTGGGTAGAGTTGTGACCCCTGGGGCGTCAACGACAGTGGGCTCCTCTTTGAACAACTCAAGCATTCGCTCGGAATTGATCATGGCGCTCTGGATCATGCGGTAGAATGTGCCAAAGAAGTTCAGAGGTCCCTGCAACTGAGCCATGTAAGTTAGTAGAACAACGAATTTACCGACACTACGCTGACCAGTAGTGACTTGGTAAGCAGCGACGAAACAAGCGACCATCAAACCAACCATGAAGACCATGTTTTGGGTGACATTCATGAAGTTTAGCGAGATGACGACCGAATACTCTGCCTTTTGGTACTTCTCGACTGCCTCGCGGTATCTGTTAAACTCATACGCTTCGGCGTTGAAGTACTTGACAGTCTCGTACGAGACCATAGAGTCATTCTTGACGGCATCAACCGCTCTGTCCGAGTTCACCATCTCCCTGCGGATTTCGGCACGCCACTGAGCCATCCTGATAGTCAAGTAGATATACCAGAAAGTGACAACGGCGACAATCAGGGCGTAGTAGACATCGAATTCGATCAGGAAGTATCCAATAGCAACAAACAAGTCAACGAGCATGGGAATGACTTGAAATGTGACCGATTCGAGGAAGTTGTTGATAGCATTACCCTTGCCCAGAGCGGACAAGACTTCGCCAGTCTTTTTGCCCAGATGGAAGTCCAAGCTCAGACTATGGACATGTTCGAAGGAGGCAATCGAAAGTTCGCGGAAAGAGTACTGACTCACGGGGAGCCAGATGATGGAGCGGGTCGCACCAAGTAGACCATTGTTACCCTGGAGAAGGCGATAGAAGATATATAAGCAAATGGCCTTCCAGGGCATACCGATCTTCGTCTCGTCAGCAAGCTCGTCGGTGATTCTCCCGGCTTGAAGGGGTACCAAAAACTGGATACCACGTTGGACAAGCATGATCAAGAAACAGATGACAACAACGATTTGCAGTTTGCGATCCTTGGAGGGCCAGAGGTATGGGAAGAACATGGAGTAACCCTTGATGTATTCCCACCAGCTTCTAGAAGGTGCTGTTGTTGGCTTTTCCCAACCAGCAGGAGCATCTGCCGCCTTTTTCGGCTTGTTGTGACCATTGGGCTGGGTAGCACCATATCCATTGGCGCCATTCGCAGAGCCGTTGGCGGCACCAGCTTCGGCACGATCTTCAGCAAGGAGTCCGGTAGTTTCGCTTGCAGAAGCCTGGCTAGCGTCTTGCTTTCTTTGGTTCCTGGCGTGCAGCGTCACGAACAGAATATAAAAGGCGACGAGAGCGAGGAGCAGGATGATGCGGACTAGATCCAACGTGACACCAGTAATTTCCCATTCAGTCATTTCTCTTTCCAAGTGACCACCTGACGGATCGCCGGCTTTGGGTTCGTGGTGGGCGTGAGTATATAGGGCGAAGGAGGAGGCGAGCAGAACGATATCCATGGCGGCAGCGAGAGCCCATGATGAGGCATGGACCCAGGTAGGGGAGGGTTGTGTATCGAAGATGGAGATTAGGATCATAGTGTAGACCATGAAAGCACCCACAACGTAGACCTAGAGAGTGCGCATACTTAGTAGAGGAAGAGGATGGGTCTGGTTGACGATGTGACTTACAACAGTGGCTTGTCCGCACCACCACTCTTCCTTGCGCGCATACAGGGCGTGGACTATTACAGTGACGGCATTGCCGGCGAGAGTGAGGGTAGCTGCTAGAGCCAGCCACTCGAACAGCAACTTGCGCGGTCTGCTGAAATCAAGGAAAGTATTCTTGGATTTATCTGCTGGTGCCTTCTTCTTTGGGAGAGGCTTGCCACCAGGGCCTAATTGTGGTTCGGAATTGGTATCGTCGGGTTCCTGACTGCTGGCAGACAGAATGCTACGGATGGTAAAGGTGGTAAGGAAGAAGACGAGCAGTACAATCGGATATGCGAAGTGTATAATGGAGAGGAGGCGCTGGGCTTTGTGCTCGGCAACCCAATGGCCATGCCGGTGATGTTTCATGTAGACTGTCGCTGCGGCATTGTCGAGCGGTGCTGGATCCATGATGATGATGATGGCGACCAGGGTGTGAAAGCCCTCGGGTGGGGGGGTGTCGAGGGGCGGAACAAGAGGCGGAATGGGAAAAAGGCAAGCGAAGAACAAAAAGCGAAGGGACGAGGGTGATGGAAGACTTGATTGCCACCGCTCGAGGGCTAGGTAGTCAGCATCTTCTACTGCCGTCGATGGCAGGTCTGGGATGGTAGCAAGTCACTTGGGAGCAAGCGTGCGCCCTCTTCAGGTACGCCATGGCGTGCAGACAGCGTCGGCGCCGATTGCAAGTGGCGATGCTCGATCCGGCAGCCGGGCGCCCAAGCCGAACCAATCTCGCGCGCGTGCCTGCTCTGCTGCACGCTTTCGGACCAGGTTTATGGGCACACATGGCCCTATCCAGTGCACTAATCTATCGTGCAAATCAGCTGCACGCGACCAGTTACTTTTGGTTTTTGATACCAGCTTGCTGACCTTCCACTCCACATGCGGTGCATGCATACCGCATCCAGAACGACAAACTCTAATCCGGCCTGCTGTCCTCCATCCCCACTGAAGAGGGCTGTGAGACGGTCAGCTGTCGCTCTGGATTGACGCGTCCTGGCGCATTTGTAAACACCATCGAAGCACATCTACCGTCTTCTTTGCACCTATCTTCAACGTCCAACTATTGTGACCAAAACAGCCAGCAAACTGTCCGTCTTGCATTCTCGTCACGAGTCTCGACATGTCGTGGCTGCAGCCTATATGCACACCCTCCGCATCCTAACGCGCTTGTGGCTGTCAGTCAAGCCATTTCCCACTTCCGCGCGCGTCGATATTCATCAAATACCAGACGTCCGGAATCCTTGTGCTGACACTCCACCCAATCACTCTCTAGCGACAGAGTGACGGCTCGTCTCTCCACATCTCGCATCCACCTTTGCATTCATTCTTGTATTGCCCACAAGTGAATGCTGACCGCCGCTGATGGTTCTTGCTGCAATTCTCACCGCCGTACAACTCACCCTCTGCACTACCTCGTCAACCTACTTGTCTGTACACAATTGATGGCTTCTCTTGGATTCACCCTCGATCCAGTGTGATACAGCACATCCAACGAACCTTCACGGCTTCCTGCAGAAGCTGACAGGCCCTCAACATGTCAATGGACCCCGCATGCTAAGGTTCATCTTGTCCACAACTATTGAAGCACCTGAAAGTGCTACAGCATACACCCGCAGCCACATTCCTGTAAGACGCGGACGACATGTCGAGGGCTCCTATCAGAGCAGAGCCCTAGTGTGAGCAATCACATTGCTTCTTCGACGACAATCAATGACACGTTCCGTAAAAGCACTCGGAAATTCGTGATCTTGACACGTCATGCCTGATGGTCACTGAGCCGGTGTCTAGTAAGATGGTCGGTTCATTTTCTGTGATCAATGCATAAAATCACGTCAAAGCTCATCTCTGAGGAGACGCTTGTCTGCTTTGCTGTCATTGCTAACCGCTAGCCCTCTCTTCACCATACTCGTTACAACCTCGTAAACGATCTGCGCAGCCGCAACAGACGTGGGCTCTCCGGCGCCATCATAAGCTGGTGCAACTTCGACAATGTCCGCACCAACGACATTCAATCCTTCAATGCCTCTCAATATCCTGATCAACTCTCTGCTGGACCAGCCACCTGCTTCAGGCGTGCCTGTTGCTGGTGCAAACGCCACGTCCAGAACGTCAATGTCGATGCTGAGATAAGCTGGGATCTCCCTACCGACCCTGGCAATGATTCTCTCAGCGATGCCTTCCACACCCCATCGATCAATGTCGTCAACCTCGATCTGCATGAAACCTTGCTGTATGTCGTTCTCATAGTCTTGGAAACTAGTCCCTGTCAAGCGACTTCTCAGTCCTGCATGGACGCAAGACCCATTTGCTAGGAGCCCTTCTTGAGCTGCATTCCAGAACACCGACGCGTGATTGTAGTTGGCNNTTGATCGCTGAACCAGTACTCATCATCCTCTTCCCTGAGGCCAGGCCACGTCTGTATAACTCGAGTATCAGCTTGGACATCAGCAGGAGGTAAAGATAGTACTGACATCACAGTGTGCGTCAAAATGTACCACAGCAATCGGCCTCTGGTGTATCTCGTACAGAGCTCTCAAGGCCGGCAACGCAACTGAATGATCACCTCCTAGAGTCACCAACTTCGGATACCTCGCATACTTTTCATCAACCTCCTCACTCACTCCATTGGTAGCGTAAGCAGGCGGTCGAGAGCCCAGCTCCATGTATGCCTCTGACAGTTGTCTCACTGCTACTTGATTATCCAGCGGCGTCACAGGAATATCTCCACAATCCAGAACCCTAGCCCACGACCTGTACGGATTGATCGCTGCTCGTGCGTTGAAGCCTCGATAAGCCGTTTGTCGCATCGATGCTTGTCGAATGGCTCTAGGACCAAATCTCGCGCCNNTAGGAGACTGCCATTAACCCTTACTCATCAAAACGAGATGCTTGTTCTCAGAAAAATCCAACATACCGCTGCGATAAGTGGTGCCGGTATCGAAAGGCGCGCCTATGATGGCCACATCATACTTGTGCCGCAAACTATTCAGGCATTGCGTATAAGGTAGATGAGCAAAAGTGACCAAACCTGCAAAACTTCCNNCTAGAACATCCACGGTGGTCAGCAATCACGTTGAGAAATACATCCAATAACACACCGTCCCCTTCGTTCGAGAAAACGGTCCAAGTCACGGGTGTTGGTACTGTAGGCATTGACGAAAGAGGATAGTGGAACTTACAGGACGCCCCCATTTCCTAGCCAACTCGCGTTCCTCGGCTTGTATTACAGCACGATCGATATATTGGTCTGCCAACGCTACTACCCAGAAGAGTGGCAACAAAACAACAGAACTAAAAAACATCATAAGCTGTACCCGTGGTTTCGGAAAAACCAGAAGGGAGAAGCAAATGAAGGGACAGGGAGAAGTAGGTGCAAATCTAGTTCCATCACAAACTAGAAGGAGCTATTATTGGTTTCGAGTCTGGTCATTTTTTTTCCAACCTTCCAAGCCACGACCGTTGAGACCCTGCCGAGGCTAAATTTTAGAGTATTTTGGGCTAAAGTGGTGGTGGTGGTCCTGGGCATGCAATAATCGCTCTCTCTTATGCTAAAGACTGTACCTCAGGACAAGGTTCTCTTTGTCACTTGATTCTTTCGCTGCATGGCTCAACCCAGAGACATTGATTCCAAAGCACTTGATTCACTGGAGTCAATGAAGATGAAGGATTGACGATATTTCCATATTACATTACATTACTCAAAGATAGTTATTCAGATATACGCGTTGCTAAAAATTTTTCCCTCTACCTCTGGAAACCTTCAGTGCAGCCATTGCCTTGTTGATCGAAACAATCATAGTCGAACAACGTAGCGTACGAATCATCGCGAGTCCACTCCCAGCTCTTGTGGTCGTACTCGCCAATAATATCAGCCACACGCTGTGTATAAAACTGACAGTGTCCTTGCTCCTCGTCGTCGCCGAACAATTTGTTATAGTTTGTTGACCAAGCGAGACAATCAGGGTGGGCCAGACAGTCTAGTCCACAGGTCGAGAGATCTCCAGATGCGGCAAAGATGGATGGGATGGCGGCCACAGATGCAGGGAGCAGAGAGTATCTTCCGCAAGACTTGTGGGCTTCCGAGCGTCCTTGAGGGCAGTAGACTCCGGCAGGGATCTCGGGACGAGTGACGACTGAGTATGCGTAGCTGTTGCTGACGGTGTATCTCACCGATCCGCGGTATTGACCCTGTTTGAGTGAGTCAGTGCATGAATANNTTGGTTGTTTGGCCGAATGAATACTCACATAGTTGGTGGCGTAAGAAGTAGCCCAAGTCTGGCTGTACATGGAGCAGTAGAGACCCTGAGGAACACCAGCCCTGGACAAGACGTAACCGTTCACGAAAGCGCAGGTCTTGAAGCTGCCGTCCTTGTTAGGATGGGCCTTGTTGTAAGTCGTCTGTGCTGTACAAGCGCTGGTACAAGACTCGAGAGTAAAGCCTTGGTCTTGGGAAAAGGGGAAGAACTTGCTACCCATGAAGGTATCCTGGTGGTTCGAGTCTAGAGGGGCGTTAATGGCACCGCCTAAACCGACAGGGTCGGTGAAGCCAGAGACGGAAGGTGGTGGGGCATCCTTGTTGTAGGCATTCGAGGCTGCAATGACTACGCTGAATGAAGCACGCCATTGGCCGAAGTTGTTTGCCTGTTCGACAGAAACAGGTGCTCCCCAGATGGTGCACTAAGTATGTTAGTCTGATTCGTNCTCAGAACACGAAAAGTCACATACCTTGTAGTTGGTTGTGCTGGCTGGGTTAGGACACTTGGTCGGGTTTGGGTCCAGAATAGGATCACGCTCTGCGTACATGTTGAATGCAACACATCCAGAGTTCTGATCACAGATAGACTGGCAGCCAGGAACATCATAGCTGTCCAAGGTGTGCAAGCCCATGTATACACTAGCGCTGAGAGAAGCCTTCTGGTTGGCGAAAACTTGAGAGTAGCCATAAGGAGTAGCCATGGTTGTACTCAGAGTCTTCGCTGGAATTAGCAACGCCTAAGCCAACACAGAACAGGTACAACTCACCGACAACTGATCAAGCGCCAAAAAGGCCTCTGGCGTATCAGGGCTAGCGACAGGTCCTTTTCCTGCTTTCTGCTTTGCGCAAGTCGAGTCTCTCGTGCCAAGATCACGCTTGGTGACAGGAGAAGCACTGTTCATAGCAGGCTCTGCCGAGACCGCAGCAGATGCTGCAGCAGCCTGCTCAGTGACAGCGGCTACAGTAGCCACTTGCGTCGCAACATCGATCGCGGGAGTGACAAGAACAGGGTCTGCAGCCTGCTCGACCAGATCAAAGTCGATGTCTTGGGGTCTGGGAGCAGCTGCAACAACTGCAGCTAGGACGGGCAAAGTGAAGAAGGAACGCATCTTGGAAAAGATATGGTGTCTGAGATGTGGTCGGCATCTGGAAGGCTATCAATACGGCTTTATACCACCTACCTTTGGACCTTCGATTTCGCCCAGTGAGCGACTCGGATATGACCGTCTTGTGATCCTTCGCCTACTCTGGTCGTGAGCACAGCCGTAACAATGAACCATCTTAGCTCGTCGGTGAGCATTGCCATAGCGCACTATAGCCCTAAGCTACACGAGACCATGCCTTCTTCCAGAAAGTGGTAATTGTCCAAGACCTTGCGGTCGAGGTTCGAATGGACATGTGGAAAGTGGTCGACTCGTCGTGGCGTTCCTAGGGGTCTAGTGTTCAGCTGAAGACCCATCGAGCCGAACGCACAGAGCGACCAACGACTCATGTCCACATAACAGTCTGCCAGACACGAACGCACTGCGACCCATTGAAGAGATCAGTACTATCTTCAAGTTGTCAGCACGAACGCAGAGAGGACAAAGGTTTCGTGGACTGGTGGGCACCCATAGTGTAGATCGAGATATTTAGATGGGTGGGGAGCGATGATGTTGGCGACAAATACTATGGTTGACATCTTTTCACGGCTATGCTTACATCATCCCAGCATCACCGAAAAAGATGAGGAATAATCAGGTGAAACAATATCGCGGAAGGAAGCAAGGACGTCGACTGCAGGAGGGCTCGCCGAAAAAGTGATCTGGAAGGAAGCTACCAGTCAGGGTCGCCCTTGATACTTGGTTAGAATTGAGATCGAAAAGATACAGGAGGGCAGGAGGGCAGGAGAGACAGTGCCATCTTTTATCATGCACTTTTGTATCGATTTGCGGATGATGCATGACATATGACAAGAAAATCTCGGTGAAATCTGATTCTAAACATTTCATCGTTATGTATATGGCATGAATTTACATCGTTCAACATTATCGTAACTGATCCTCAAACTCTGTAACTCTCAGGAGGTCCCAAATAACTCTTTCTAACACCACCAAGATCAACAACAACCTTTTGCAGCACAACACTAGGCTCGAGCTCCCAGATCTTCAGCTTGTGCGCTCCAGGGCCTGAGTAGTTGAACGTGGTTGTGTTGGACCAGTTGACATCTGCAACGGCAGCCAACCAGCCGGTTGGGTTAGCACCCTGTGGCTGATCGAAAACATACTGGCGGGTTTGCGGCTCTTGGCCATCGAGCTGTACAGCGAAACGGAGAGGGCGGTTGGGATTAGTGTTGAGAGAAGTACCGAGGTAGAGTGTGACGTTGACGGTATTGGGAGTGTACTTTGAACTTGTGCCCATGTTCTGGTCCATCAAGACTCCAGAGCTCAGGTTGGTGAAGGTATAGAAATCATACTCAAGGGCAGGGGCAGTTGACGTGGTGAGAGAGCCTGCAGTGACAGGGAATATAGTGACACCTGAGAGTGTGCGCGATAGGCCAGGAATGACCTCGTACGAGACCGAAGAATTGCCACCGTTCGAGATAGATGAGTAGTGCTCCGCTTCGATAGAAACAGTGCGGTCAGACTCGACGTGGCCGTTGGTGAAATTTGAGGGAACAGCAGTGTTGTTATAGGAGATCACAACCTGTGGAACGCTGTACTGGGTGCCGTAATCAGAGGAGCTTGTGATGTTAATCTTAGTCGAGTTGATTGCGCCAGGAGTGACCTTAGACCAATCGACCGAAACCCAGATGCGAGTATCTGTGGTACCGTTGGGAGACAAAGTGCCGGTCTTTTGTGTGAAGTTTAGGTAGGGCACGTTAGACTGAACATTCCAGGTGATTTGCTGAGTACCGGTATGGAAGACGTCAATCCATCGAGCGGGCCCGTAAGGATCAAGTGTCGGGAGGTACAGTACCATGGATGAAAGTGAGTGAAATCTATCGTCACCGGGAACGGTGGCATTAGAACCCTCAACAGCAACACCCAGATCGCCAATCAAGGCTCGTTCGGCCATTTGAACATATTGCAGAGGAGGCAAAGCTTGTCTCATAGGTTGCTGCCAGTAGGTGTAGCCAATGTGTGTCTGGTCCATCATGTGGTTCCACTTCCCATTGAGCAGTCCGTTGTAAGACTTTGAGAGCTGGTGATCATACGAAAACTGGTTCTGCACATGTTGTGCGATAGCGTTCGTGGAAGTACGTCCCTGTTGAGCATAGACATTGTTCTTGGCAGCCGAGATCATGATATCGTAGTAAGTACGAGCAGCGGTGACAGGGTGGTAGACCATCTCAAAGAAAGCGGGCTGTGTAGCCACAGGCAGTCCGTCGAGGATGCTTTGAGCTGTCTTTTGGATTGCGGTCCATTCGGCCAGAACTTTGTTAGCCTCATCGTAGTTGATCAAACTGTAAGTGTTCGGGTCCACTTCTTCGAACTTTCTGCGACCAGCAAGGATTGAGTATGTGTTCATAAGAGCTCCTGTCTGCGCTGCGACCTCAGGACCAAATTCACGAGAGGCCCAGAGTTCGAGCCATTCAGGAGTGCTGTCTTTGTCCCAGCGGTTAATGTCGTACGCGAGATCGAAGAAATGCGAAATGGGCAGCTCAAGAGGCTTGAGGTCTCCAACGTTGACAACCCAGATTTGTCTGGCTTCTCTTTCGTAGGCGAGATGCATCTGTTCCCAAGTCTTCTGATTGAGAACCGTGTTGATCCNACCTGATCGGCCTTGTCAGTACATTCTGAGTCGAGAGATCATGATATCTTCATTCTCTTACTTGTAATCTCTCGGATCACCAACATAATCAAAGTGGTAGTAGACTCCGGCACCACCACTTCTCGATGTCTCGTTACCGACTGGCAGTCTTCGGATATTTCCCCAATTATCGTCGGTCCACAATAGAGTGATATCTTCAGGAACGGTCATGCCAGCTTCGTAGTAACCTTGCACTTCTTTGTACCTAGAGTGCAAGCAAGGTTAGCATGAGTCTCACGATGCAAGAATGTACAAAGGAACAACTGACAAGCACCATAGCTGCGGTACAGCATCGGGGTTCATAACACTAGCGTTGCCAAAGACTTGAGCAAGTATGTCGCGCTGAGTAGAGACAACATTTTCCAGGAGTGCAGTCTCGATGCCGGCTCCGAGGGCAGTATCACCTGAACCACGCATGCCCATGGTGATAACACCCTCGTAGGGACGCAACCTCTCAGCGCCCTCGACGAAGAAAGGGTAGATCGATTGATTGTTGGNTACCTAAAGTGAAAGTAAGATTAGCAAGATCTCACACATTGGATGGAAGAATAACATACTCCATGACCAGGTTCCGTTTCCAAAAACATTCCACTCCTTGGTGGATCTCATCATTGGTTCGGTATGCGAGGTTCCCATAACAATACCGTAAGCATCTGCCATGGCCTGACTTCTTGGGTCATCGACGTTGAACATCGAGTTCCATTGAGCGGGCCACAAATAGTTTGCTCTCAAGCGAAGCAACAGCTCGAAGACGCTGTGATAGAACTCGGAACCGTAATTCGAGCCGTACTTGTTGAATCCGAATTTTTCGTTGACATATCCAGTCAAAGCAGGTGCCTCATCATTGAGGAAGAAGCCTCTGTACTTGATGGATGGAGAAGGCTGGACTTTGGTGGTGTTCATAGCATAGATGCAATCATGCTTTTGAGGAGGAGAGTCGGCCCAGAAATACCATGGCGAAACACCAATCTGCTCGGACACGTCGTACAGACCGTATACAGTTCCTCGTCTGTCGCTGCCAGCAATGACCAAAGCCTCGTCCACGCCATCCATTGGGTTTGAAACGACAGTGGAAGTGAATGCCTCCCAAGTACCGTTGATGGCAGAGATGTCAATCTTGCCGCCCTTAATCAACGCGTCGATGAATGAAGAGTTTCCAATCGTTCCTGCAATGATAACTCCTCCTTTTGCTCCGGAAGAAGTGGTGCTGAACGTGGTCAGGCCAGTAATGTTGAAGATCATAGAGGCATTGTGTGGGTTGCTGCTAAAGTACGAGCCGGCATTGTAAGCAGGTACGTCAGAGGTGTCGGAGGTATTGGAGAGAACCACGGATCCATTGGTGCCGGTGACTCTGCCAAAGTCTTGTGACAAGTCGTGAGCAGCTTTTAGTACAGCAGGCCAGTCGTTGGAGTCTGCCATGATCTGAATGGAAGAGCCTCCCGAAGCCAACTCATGTGAGCCGGCCGACGCATTGAAAGCAATTGTTGCATTCTGACCGATAGCCAGTGCCGTGCTGGCGAGGGATAACAACGATAGTAATGGTCGTAGTGGTATCATGGTCGCCCTTTCATCAGCAAGGATATACAAGAGTGGTCAACTTAGCTGCTACATGGCCACCGCCAACTACTTATACCAGCATCGTCATCCGTGAACCCCTCTCCACAGCATTCAGGCAGTGCCATACTCTCGTATCGATCTCGAGTGGCATGGATAGACGATGGGGTGTACCGGGTATTCTGGTTAAAGTGAATAAGTTTGTGATCTACAGACTGACATGATGTGGTTTAGGCATGGGATCAACATGCAGGCCGTGATGGACAGGAACCAAGGCCAGATCTTGGCTGCGGTTGCCGGATGTGGAGCGACCTTCTTGGAAGTTGGAGGTGGCAGGGCATCCGGGTAAAAGATGAGGCGAGGGTGGACATCAAAGGCCGACAAAGACCGAGGATGCCAGCACAATATCATGGAGGTGAGCTATCATCTACAGCGTGACCTCAATCAGCGAGTATGCTTTGAGTCATCGAGGGGGTTCTCCGAGAATCAATTCCCGGTACTCAAGGGGTTGTAGAGCAACAAGAAGATGAAAAGACTCTCCCAGTGTTGAGGCAGGTGCAATGGCCCAGGCGTACCTTCCCCACACGGAGAAATTGTAAAGATGCGGGGTGACAAAAAACATGCATGGGCTTGCAGCAAAGCGCGAGGCGGCGAGCAGACAAACCAAGCCATCTCGACTTTATCCAAACAATTTCCTCCTCTCACAATAAAGCCATGGCCCAAGGAACCGTCAAGCAGAAGGTCAAGACTGAGCCCAAGAAGTATGTTTACTACGAAACTCTTGCTGGCAGAAGAGCTTGCGACTGATACTTTTCACGTCTAGGNGGCGCAAGACCTACCGGTCCCCAGACTGGAAACAGAGTCATCAAGCCCAAGAAGGCTGCTATGCTGAAGCAGGCGAACATGAAGAAGGTTCGTACAACCCGTGGATCCATGCGCAAGATCAACAAAAGAGCTGACTCCCGAACANNGAAGCATTCCGCCGGTCTGATCACCTTGACTGAGCGCTCCCTCGCCGAAAAAGCCGGTCATCTCGAGATGCTCAAGGGTGGCAAGAAGGACAGACTCGAGAAGGCCAAGAACAAGGCTTTCAACAAGAAGTAGATGCCTCCGAGAAAGAGTGGGACGATCATTTGAGTTATGCATAGCGTTGGCGTTCGGGTCAGAGAAAAGAGGAAGCATACAGGGCGGCGCATGATGGGACAATACTACAAAGGTGCACACCGAGGGACATGAGCGAATGAATAATCTGGAAGAAGGATGACAGCCCAGTATGTAGTATGGCAAATCAAGATGTGCTTGCTCCTAGAAAGAACATCCTTTCATTCTGATCTCAACTCCCCTAGCACCATGCTAAATATCTATATGAGAATCACAACCAACTCCAATGGACCCAGAATCCATGAACTGTCAACAAAGAAACGGAGATGTCTCAAGCATTGTTGGCAGCCTCAACTGCTCGCAGACCGTCAGTGCCGTATGGACTGACGTACGGATTAGCACCGATAGCGCTCTCTCTTCTGATCTCGACAACATCATCATCGTCGCCTGCCTGAGAGTCACGATCAGGCACACCGCCTGNCCGGCCTCCATCAGTCGAACTACGTGGTCTCATGCCATTGCTATTGAAACGCTCTGCACTTGCGCTTTCATTCTCTTCACCCATTCCATCGACCGATGGCCAAGTGCGCTCCCAGAGCCAGAGAACTTGGTTGAAAGCACTGAGACAGCGAGACATTTGCTCACGACCGTTGGGAGAAGTTTCGGCATTAGCAAGCTCGTCGACAACAGCCTTACACGCGTCGACGAACTTTGCAAAGGCAGCAGACGTCCAGTTGGGGATCAAAGACTGATGCAGAGCAGCGTTGTGTGAATCGCCATTAGAGGAGTACGGCAGGATGGGCTGATTGAGGCTTGAAGAGAAGCTAGCAGCGTATGCCCATGATGCACGGTAACAATGTTCGATGGCCCAAAGCACAACAGCGCCTTCGAGCAAACTCGCAGCGGGCGAACTTGCTGACACGAACAAGTCAAGGAAGCTTCTGGTAATTGGGTTGGGCTCCTCTTTTGGAACCTGCAAATTGTATTTGGTTGCGGTAATTTCGAAAAAGCTCATCTCTCTGCGAACGTTGTTCAAAGCACTAATTAGCAAGTCCATAGCTCGATAAAGAGGATGTGATTGCGAGTTCGCGACGATAGGCAAGCGGATCTTGCCAATGAGCTGACCAACAAAAGCAATATAACCGCGCGAGATGTGTGAGTCTTGTGCTAGCCATTGGCTCATTGCGCCAGCGCTGAGGGTGCCACAACCAGCGTGGGAGAGGAACGAGGTCTGAGTGGCAGCTGTGAAAGGGCCAGCGTTCTGCGTCAAGAGGTAGTTGGCCAGACTTGGGCTTTGGGCGGGTGGATTGGGAGCAATGGGAGGAGGCATAGCGCGCTGGCCATTTTTGATCTGACCATCGCGTGTACGCTTGTTAGGCCCTCGGCGATTGACCTGAAGGTTTGGATTGGGCCTATTGCCCATCAGGAACTGATTTCTCTGGGCCGAGTTTGGAGTAGCTTGGAGGGGTGAATTGGCGATTCCGGACATGATGCTGGTATTGCTCTCGTCCTGCTGTGAAGCGTCGGTGTCGTTGAGTGACTCGACGTAGTCAGGGGAGCTCAGGTACTGTTGGCACTCTTGAAGATGCTCGACCTGGCGGGTCGTGTTCTTTGCGCGAACAAAACCGCAGTAGGTGCAGCGAACCTTGTTGCACTGTACGGCATCGCGTCAGCTATCGGCCAGCGATGCGTCCTGGTGACGGCGGCACGCTACCTTTGTGGGATTGTCATCCTCTTGGAACTCGACGAAGGCTCTTTGGATGATCGCATTTGCGTTCCTGCCCTGTGGTACGAGTCAGATGTGTCAGGAGGTTGAGTGTCGCTGTCGTGGATAAGCCTACCATGATGGATCAAGCTTATGCAATTGGAAGCCAGCGGCTTGATTACACGATGTACTGTATTCGAGTGTAAAGAAAGTCGGAAGAGAGATATCGGGCGCGCCAATTACCCCCAATTGACTGGCTGCGCCGCGCTTACGCTAGCCGTGAGATGCCAAGGCAACCGTCTGTAATCAATACTAAGCCGACCCGAAACTCAATCAGTCACCATTACGCTTGACAGTATCCCACGAGTTGACTGTCACTCGAGTGTGAGCAACTATTGTTCCGATGAAGAATTCGTTGTCTCAAAGACACAGTGAAAGCCGGCGGGTAGTAAGAGGTGAAGTCGCCAAAGGTTCGAATACAGGCTTCGATACAGTCCGCTCGCTGTAAATAACGAGACTTCAGCATTCGGATAACCTGCCGGAAGCACTCTCTATTGAACATACACACGAGGTCGAGTGATCTTCCGAATCGAAGCACTGCTTTGTGGTGATTGAACCTCTTCAGCGAGCGTCCCTTCATACAGCCTGACTACACCGAGTGAAGCCGTTACAACAGCGTTGCGAACGACATTGACAGATAAACACTTTTCGCTCTGTAGAAATTGCTCGGTGTTCTGTATCAACATTGGAATCTCGTCTTGCGTGACGAGACCACCCAACCCACCACCACCGTGTCATACTGCTATACAGCTTATTCACTACTCATAGATCAGAAAAAGCGGACCATCAAGATGTCCGCATCACAACCCCAAGACCAGCCGGAGGCAAGCAGCTCATCGAGCGCCCAACCCACATCAGGTACGTGACAGAAAAAAATCTTGAACTCGCTGGCACAACCACCATCACACAACCATCTGAATCTCTCCTAACCACATACAGAATCACAATCACAACTACAACAACCGGCAGAGAAAACATGTGCCCAGTGCAAAAAGCCGGAAGAAGATCCAGAAGAGAAGCCACTCAAGGCCTGCACCACCTGCAAGTCTGTCTACTACTGCTCGCGAGAGTGCACAAAAGCACACTACAAAGTCCACAAGAAGGAATGTGCAAAGCTGGCCCAGGAGTACTCCAAGACTGCTGTCTTCAAGCCTGCCGTGAGAAGCTCGGCACCCAAGGAGGGTCACAAAGGTGGTCTGCAGAAGTGGCAATTCGACACTTAAGAGTGTAGGATGGCTGATATGGTTGCTTGATGCCCATGGGAATCGCTCGTCTCACAAACTTTTGGGAGTGCAATTGAGAGGTGTGGCATAGAAACTTCGACATCCGTTCGGGAGTGTATCTCGGAGTTTGGTGGGACCTAGTTGATAGATGACTGGAATCAATTCCCCGATCAATAACTGTACCTCCGCCCTGCCTTGCTGCATAATAATATCTACCTTTCAGACATCATCTAGAATAATTGAAGTCTGCCAGACCGGCCGAAAAATATGAAGATGAGTTGATAAAGTGAGCCAACACCTTCATAAGCAAAATTCCCCACCTTCAACGCAAATACCATGACGTAGCAGTCTACTCGCCCTCGTAACTTCAACTGCCACTATCACGACTTCTCAGTTCCATCAAAGTCAAACCATGTTGACAAGTGCAAAAACAAGAGTCAGCCAAGTCCTAAATCACTTTACCAACCCAACAAGGAGCTTCACATCTTCACAACCCAGCATGGCAAAGCTAAACATCAACTCCACCGTTCGCATGAACTCAGGTTACGAGATCCCACTCCTTGGCTACGGAGTCTACCAGACACCAATGGACGTTGCTGAAGAAGTCACCGCTCACGCAGTCAAATGCGGCTACCGGCATGCCGACTCAGCAGCTGCATACCGCAATGAGGCGCCTACAGCAGCCGGTCTACTCAAGGCTCAAGTCCCTCGCTCTGAGCTCTTCTTTACATCCAAAGTGCCTCCCAAAGCCATCAACTACGATGCGGCTAAGGCTGTCGTTGACGAATCTCTACGACTGACTGGGTTGGACTATATTGATCTATACCTCCTGCATGCACCGTATGGCGGTAGGGAAAATAGATTGGGTGCTTGGAAGGCGTTGGTTGAGGCGGTAGAAGCTGGGAAGGTAAGAAGTATTGGTGTGAGCAACTATGGCGTGCACCATCTCGATGAGCTTGAGGAGTGGATCAAGCAGACTGAGGAGAAGGAGGGCAAAGGGAAGGGTGGTGTGTTGAGTGTCAATCAGGTAGAGTTGCATCCTTGGCTGGCTAGAGACCACATTGCGGAGTGGTGTAAGAAGAGAGCTGTCATTCTGGAAGTATGTCGCTTGTTATAATCATCTTTCGTCTGGGTCACTTGGCTGATATCTACANNGGCATACTGCCCTCTGGTCCGGGCAACCAAGATTGACGACCCTCTTCTTACACCCTTGGCAAAGAAGTACAACAAGACAACATCACAAATCCTACTCCGCTGGGGTCTGCAAAGGTACTCAATCCTTGACATGTCATGTTTCATGCAGTCATCTGCTAACGAGACATGACAGAACTTTGTTATCCTGCCAAAGTCGGTTACACCTGCTCGTATCGAAGAGAACAGTGACATCTATGACTTCGAACTCTCCGAAGGAGATATGCAGGTATTGAAGACTGAGGTTTATGAGCCTTGCGCTTGGGACCCTACTACTAGTAGAGATTGAGAAATCAAGATGGCAGAAAGGACGTCTGGACAGAGGGTGTTTTACCGAGCTCAAAAACGTCAACGAATCAACGAAGGACGCAAGAGTTTGCCGACGTCTTCGGCGACTGATAGTCTTTTGAAGATTGCGTGTATCACCATCGTTCTGTACGCATGTTTGAAAGCAAAAGCCAGTCTTGAGCTTAACACACGGTGACATACAACCATGCTTCTGGGACGACCTTATCGCTTCTGCTCTTTCCCTTTGGCTACAACGGTCGGCTCCCAGCAATGGTGAAGCTTTGCGATCGGTTGATAGGAGCTAGCGTCCTTAACGATCACTCATCTGCAGATCACAAGGCTGCAAACCTCTTCCCTATGTACTAAAGCATGTAACGCGTTTAAGGATAGGATTGGACAATGGTCTTTTGAAGCAGGGCAGCTTCCACGAGAGACGAATCTTCAGGAGCTCTCTATGGCTATCCCTGCAATATTGGTAGATACTGTGCCTTTCTGTAGTCCCAAGATGCCTGTATGTTGTAGTGGGAGCAGGCAAAGCTTACATACTTTAGCACACGGGTAGGCTGGAAGAGTGAGGTAAGACAGAGCCATGTATTTTCTTCCGGCAATTCTCACACGGTCGGCACTCTCGGGGCTTGCTCATACTCTCAGCTTATGAATAAGAGACATCAGCTGCCTCCTTTCCTTCTAGCTGCACCATAAGCCTTCTAGAAGGCGACCGAGCGACTGGCAGCTGGAAAGGGTGAGATGAATTGTCTCGGTGAGCAGAAGAACAGGGTCCAGATTCGGAAATGCCGACAGGACTTGGTGGGGAAGGTGAACGTCCTTCTTCGCATCATTCCGCACTTCATCCTCCATCATCTCCTCGTCAGCAGCAACAAAACAATCATTTTCGAACGTGTCTCACCTTCGTCATACCACTTTTGGCATGGCTTCTAGGGTCCCATGTACGGATTGAGGATGGAAGGCCAGCCAGAGATCAACGCCACGCGAGAGCAGTTGCAAACGGCGATAACGGTTGTCTATCGATATTCGTCCACTGCTGCTCAACTCCTGCTGGTTGGCAGCAAGGAATACTCACATATATCTCCACGGGCAGATGGTTCCTCGTATACTGATTGACTCCTCATCGTGAGCTGCTCAAAGATATCTTTCACAATCCAGGTTTCGGACAACATTGAACACTTCAGATGCGGTCGCGAAAGTGTCTGTACCCTCTCAGGAAACCACATTCCCCACCCGGTATAACGTCGCGGGCAAGACCGAGCTGGTCACAACTGCCTTCATGCCTCTCTCAGGCAAGAATCGTCCAGAAGCCCCACAATCTTTCCAAATCTTCGATGGCAAGACCAGTACATGTTGGATCTCAACATCCATGATCGTCATACATTTTGCATGTTCTCGTCTTACCACAGAGGAGCGAATATCGCACATATGGCGGTCAACACAGTAACTCCTCGCTCACATGTCCATGGGTGCCGTATGGCGGTTTTGATTCGACTGTCTAACGACCGCTAGAAAAGGCTTGCCAACCGTCGTGGAACTTTTGACCGAGACGCCACAACGACTGATGACGAACGCACACCACACACTCTCTCAGCTGTAAGGTCCGGCTCATCTGAAACAATTGATGTAAAATCGTAGCGCCCAGACGGCGAGATGGGACAATTGTAGAAGACCGTTGGCATCTTCGTTTTCCTGCTTTCATACTTGTATACGCTGATCCTCCTTCGCTTGGTACTTTTTCTGATCTTTTGATTTCAACTTTTATTCGAATCCGCCTGAATAGCATCAACACGATTTGACACTACAGCACACCAGAACATCCTATTTATCTCTTCAGCATCTAGACCCAGCATTTGAGTCAACCCCGGACGCTCATAACATCAGAATCAGCGCATCTGACATTGAATCTGTTCTTTGGAGGGAGAAGGGTATAAATTTTGATCACACCAGGGGAACTGCGACCTAAGGTCGAAACACAAAATGCCAGCCATAACTCTAACGACACTGTCCCGAAGGAATCTTATGGAAGACATGACCTCACATGACAACGATGCCTGGTCAATACTTGCTATCACAGGATCCTGGTGTTTTCTGGCAGTCGTCATAGTGGCCATGCGAGTATACACACGACTAGTCATGGTCAAATACCTGGGCTGGGATGATATATTCGCGGTTATAACGATGATCTTCGGTGTCGCGATCTGGGGTTGCTTCATTGGAGAAGCACACTGGGCACTTGGAAAGCACTGGCAGGAGATCACTCCGGAGATGATGATGATGTACAGCATGTGGCAGTTCGCACATGGGATGCTCATGGTGTGGGCCCTGCACGGAATGAAGATCGCCTTTGCAATCTTCTTACTTCGACTTAGCAACGGCAGACTCTTCAGAAGAGCACTTTTCGCTGTCATGTGTAAGTCTTTAGCAAGCCTAGCAGGTTTCAAGAGACAACTTCGCTGACCATGATTAGGTTTCATGACCATCTACACTACTGTTTCTTGGTTCACCATCCTGTTCAGCTGTGCCCCGATCTCGGCTGCTTGGACTGGCAGAGATGGAAAATGCATCTCTCTGACAACCTACAAGGCCCTGGGCATGACTTATAGCAGTGAGTAAACCCTATCAACCTACGCTACTCAAACTAACTCACTACANGTTCTCGGTATGCTCGCAGACGCTTTCCTGGCTTTGATCCCAGTACCGATCATCTCCGGCATGCAGCTCAACGTTCGCACCAAGGTCTGTCTGCTCCTTGCCTTCGGGTCGGGTATATCTGCCGTTGGATGTGGTGCCGTCAAATCCTATCATCTCTGGCATTACTTTGACAACCGCGATCGTCTTTACAACAACAGCTATTTCGTCTGGGGCGCGCTCGAACTCTACGTCGGCATTATTGCAACTTGCCTGATCAGCTTGAAGCCTCTCATTGCCTCTTTTCTCGACAAAGCAAAGTCAACATTGGTGACTTCTGCAGCAATTGCAAAGTCATTGCACCACGGTTCGCCTGCACTACACTCTCCTCGCCAGCATTCGCCCAAGTTCGATGAGAAGACCGAACAGCAGTTCAACACCTTCAACACTCAGAACTTCCCCCGAATCGAAATATGCAGTGTCAGCAAGTACGAGATGCCAGATATTCCGGTGACTTTTGAGCAACCAAAGGTGTTCAGATTCGAGACGCGGAATATTGAGATTCTGACTCCGCTTTCTTCGACACCAGCCATCGCTCCGCCTCAAAAGTCGAGGAGAAAGCATAGACCGGCACCTCTGGACACAGCAGCCTTGAGTAGAAGGACTTCCCTGGAATTGACTTGTACTAGAGGAATTCTCACTTCACCTTCACCAACCTATCTACCATCAGCGATCGAACTCGGCTTCCTCAACCTGGTCAAGGGAAGAGATCCAGAGACTCTGTCTCAGAAACAACAAAGCGAAGTGCAATCGTCAAACAGTAGATTTTCTGCGTCAACAACCAGCGTCGACTCTTCTGTCACAGCGACAACAGCCAATACACCCCGTAGCTCCATATCGGTACCCAAGCACTGCGGCCTTCTCACGTCTCCCACTCCGACTTTTCTTCCTTCAGCCACAGGAAATGACTTCGACTTTTTCAGTCTGATTCGCTGTCGCGATCCCGAAGCTCTCGTTGCCAGTAAATTCCCATCCTCGCGTCGCGGTACTGTAATTTCCATTCCAGAGGATGAAAGCATCAATTTCCCAGTCTCTCGCCGGGCAACTTTGGCACACGCCCGCTATCAATCCATCGACTTTAGCGAGCCCACTACAGCAACGACACAAACAGTGCAACGTGTTGGTGTTGGCGAAGTACGACGACGACCCAGCATGGCACCCTCAGCCAACTCTACAAGCTCTGCTTTCCTCTGTCCGCCCATTCATCCAGAAGAGTTCCGCGATAACCAAATGTTCTTCCACGTCATGAGCTCTGGCCAATTCAGGGACACTGCTGAGACAGCGGCGAAGCATCTAGAGGTGGAAGAAGCGCCTGTGAGCCCAATGTCCTTGGAGCCAGCACACAAGTTGGTTTTCAGAGAACAGCACGGTTATGGGTTCAGTCCTCTCTTTGATGGCGGATTTGCGGATCTAGCATCTCGAGAGAGGATTGACTCCTCGCATGCGGCTTCGAAGAAGGACGAGTAGGGTTGTTTCGATCTTGCTGCTTTCTTTTCCTTTCCATGTAATATCTTGTCGGTGTTCTCTTTTTGCATAGCCATGGCGCCTTCCGATAGCATTACCACCTAGCATCAGCGTGTCGACGAGGTCTTTGGCTTCTCAGTATCTTCTAGATTTCCTCCTTCAAACCACGTCTAGTGGTTACCTTAGATAATGCACAAAATCTATCACTTTTCACATCTACGATTTGAGATTACCCAACCTGAAGGACGTCCTGGATAAGCATGGCGTTCAACGAAAGCAATGTGTTACTTCACAGCCGATCAGGGCGAAGAATATCACTCCACTGATCTAGAGGTAGTTATTTGCTTGGGCATCAGTATCAGTTCCAGTTTGTCACAGCGATGTGTTGTCTTTCGCAGGACGTAGCCAGTAGTCAGGGACTGCCCTGCAGAGCCACTGTACAGAGGGGTACACAGCAGACATTCGAGATTAGGGATGGTTGTAACCAGGTACAATAGTCCTCTATGCGCTGGACAGGTCGCAATTCGTCTCTTTCTGTATCACAAAATCGACGAGAATCCATGTAGATTGACTTGTTGACCCTGTTCCACAGGTCTTCAGGCAGGGTCCCGGTTTGAGAAAAGAAATGGAGATACGAGATATGCGCCCATCATGGTTGCCGCACACAGATGGCGGGGCGAGCACAAAGCACTACCAATCATGCACCAAAACAAGCAGTGAACATGGAAATCTGATCACAAATGTCCTGCAGAATGTACTCTCAATCGAGACACAATGGTACGAGAACGAGACAAGATTGTGATGGGAAATCAGCAGAAAAGCAATGATCTGCAAGGCAAGAAATGATGATGACCGAGACGATGGGAAGCACGGGAAGGAACGTCCAAGAGACGGAAAGTCGAGATGAATGATTACATTGGGTGGCTGGGCAGACAAAGTAGATTGCTAGCAGCAGTCGTAGCGGATTCGGCAGGTCGCACTCGTTGGGGAGAGAAATGTTGAAGAGGTCCAACGCATGCTGGAACGAGTGGGAGTGGAGTGAGGATTCACATGGGATGATGGAGGGGTTGACGACTACTGCAAGCCACGCCGAGTGGTGGAGAATTGGTTATCGAAAAGCACACCTCTCAGAAGCGTGCAGGTGCCACGATGGAGCATTGAAGCAAGTCGCAGATGCAATAGAAACAGACGAATTATTCGTCGGGGAAGCGGTGGCTGTCATGTTTCCTTTATGGGCCCTTAGGCTTCGCGGGCAGGCTTTCGGGAAGGCGGGCGGGAGAGGGAGCTGCGTGCATGAAATTTTGGATGGTGCGTGCATCACCAACTTGTGCTCTACCACGACTTTTCCCACTCTCACTCACCGCCGCGCGCACCCAGGTCCTTTTTAACTGCACCCTTCCCCCCCGCTCGCCCACCATGTCAGCAAAGCCCGTTTCGTTCGACTCGCACCCGCCTCACGGCCACCCTGAAAACCAGGGCCCCAGCACCCAAAACGTCGACCGCGCATCCACTGCCTCGCACCCTCCCAGCGTCAAGCCCGACCCCACCACCACGGCACCTCACCCCAAGTTGAACCCCCATGGCGCCAAAGGAAGCGAGCCCGCCTCCTCTTCCTCCGGTCCCGCCGAACTCTCCGATCTTAAAGTAAGACTGAGAAATGCTCTGCGACAATACCCCGACTTTCCCTCCAAGGGCATCCTCTTTGAGGACATTATGCCCATCTTCTCGTCGCCGAAGCTGCACGCCGACCTCGTCAAGGCCCTCGAGCTCGAGGTCCGCGCAAAGTTCGACAAGACCCCCGACGTCATTGTTGGTCTCGAGTCGCGCGGTTTCCTGTTCGGCCCTTCGCTTGCTCTGCGTCTGGATGCTGGCTTTGTGCCCGTCAGAAAGCAGGGCAAGCTTCCCGGCAAGCTCGAGACCGAGGGCTACGAGAAGGAATACGGCACCGATTTCTTCCAGATCCAGAGCGACGCCATCGCAAAGGGCCAGACTGTTCTTGTTGTCGACGACATCATGGCCACTGGTATGTTCTCTCACCTTTGGTTTTCGTATCTTAACTTCAGACTGACACAACCGCANGGTGGCTCCGCAATGGCTGCTGGAAACCTCGTCAAGAAGATTGGCGGTGACATCATGGGCTACCTCTTCCTCATGGAGCTCGAGTTCTTGCACGGGAGAGACAAGCTCAACGCCCCTGTCGTTACTCTGCTCAGCGGCCAGGACGCCGAGAGCCGCGAGAAGGAGCTGCCCCTTGGCCAGACCAAGGAGTCTGCCGAGGAGGCCAACAAGAGCGTACAAGACGCCGGTGGTGCTGCTGCCAGCAAGCAGCCATAGAGAAAGAGAGAGGGTCGAAAAACACAACCTCCCCTTCATATTCCCATCATCATTCTCGGACCTAGGTAGGTAGACTGCTTGGGGGCTGGCCCAGTCGCGCATTTGTAAACAAGAGATTCTCGATACCCCCAAAACACAGCTTTATGTATATGGAGTCGTTACAAAAACACAAACATTGCAACCACATACACTATTGCTGATTCGGATCTCAACTGCTCGTTTTGTGACTTGTCTTTCAAAAACATTACTCGAAGCAGTTCATGTTGCTTTTGACACCTTTGCCCGAGATCGGCGAGGTCTGCCCCACCAAAAAGACCGAGGACCCCTCTCTGGTCAAGCAAAAGCGGAGCTCAGACCCAAAACCGTCCATACAAACCCGAACGTAGGGTGTTTGGGGGGGAAAACACGGTCATGCTTCTTTTACGACCTTCTCTCTTGCAATCTTCCAGATCAGTTCCTCTCTCTTCTTTACACACTCACATCTCAAGAACGTCTTTCAAGTCGCTTTACACATCACACATCAAAATGTCGGAAATGAAGAAGATCTTTACCTCCAACTCCATGGCTCGTGAGTACAGATGTCTGTTGGTCATGGAGAACACAATTCGAAACTAATCAAACCATCACAGCTGTTGGCCCTTACGTATGTTTGCACCCTCAAACAGCTTTCTATCTTGGAGGGGATTCCAAAGGATGTCTTTCTAACAAAACAACAACGACAAACAGAGCCAAGCGGTCCAAGTCGGCAACCACATTTTCGTGTCTGGCCAAATCCCCGCTGACAAGAATGGAAACTTGGTCGAGGGAAGCATTGCAGACAAGACAAAGGCTTCTTGCGAGGGCATGAAGGCCATCCTCGAAGAAGCCGGTAGCAGTATCGGCAAGGTCATCAAGGTAGGTGGCTATTCTTGCAATCACATCATGTTACTGTGTGACCATTAATTCCCCAGGTCCTCTGATCTATATTCACTCCAACGTCACCATCACCATCACCCCCACCCATTCTGAGTTTTTTTTTTTTGTTGCATGTACTGATGAAGAGAAACAACAACAAACAGACCNACCGTCTTCCTCACCGACATGAAGGACTTTGCAGAGATGAATGGCATGTACGAGCAATACTTTTCGCACAAGCCTGCTCGCAGCTGTGTGGCTGTCAAGGAGCTTCCCAAGGGCGTCCCCGTCGAGATTGAGGCTATTGCTCTCTCGTAGATTTGATGACTCTAGGCTTCAGATCCGGCTATGTATACCTGAACAGGAAGTCGAATACACTTTTCTCGTAAATGAACATCTTGGTCGGCTTCTCGTCATCTCGTCATCTCCTTCTTCAGAGCGATGGGGATAAGTTGTTCAGCAATTGTATTGTGGTAATATTGCATCTCTACTGAGAAGAAGACGGATTGTAGTCATTCATCGTCTCATTAGCTAGATACTTGGACGGTCTTGATCTAGCTCATTGGATTGCCATGCTGCCGTGTCTATGGAATGCGATGTGCTTCTCACTTCAGAGGCCGCTCTCTCGCAGCACTGATCTATCCGCGGCTTGCGGTAGCTCTTGTTCCTACACTCTGATGGAGAAAATCCTGTCGAGCAAGACTCGTTGGTGCTGGCGTTTTGTGATCTTCTGAGCAGATGTGTTCCAGACCGATGTGATGCCACCGACGAGCAGCGTTCTGGTTGTAGCAACGGAAAGCTCTGACTCTCTAGAGCTGATGTAGTAGAGGGTTGATTTGGTGTTAGTCGTTGACTATCCACCAATCAAGCAGCCCAAGTGAACTTGTCGGCCTTGGGTGTAAGAAGCTGGTCGTCAGGCACCAGATCGTTCAAGCCGTAGACATCCTCAAACTTGGGCAATTCGACGTTCCAGCCGTCTGCGTCAGGCGCAACCTCGTCTTCCAGATCCAGACCCAGGCCTTCGTCAACATCGTCGCCGACAGGTCTGGCGACGGTCTNTTGGCCCTTGAACTTGAAGGCGACGATGGAATTGTCCCTCAAGCCCGCACCCAGCATGCAATCCTTGTGACTTGCGCCTTTTGCCTTTGCTTTGCCCTTTCCTTTGCCCTTGGGTGTGACGTCTCCTCCTCCGAACAAATCGGCATCAAAGTCTTCTACTGGAGCGTCGGCTTCGATGCTTTGCCATCCTGAAGGGCCGGGGTTTGAGAGGTCGCGAGGTTTGGCGAATTGGATGTCGTCTGGTGAGTCGGGTAGGGTTGCGCCGTTCAGCTGGCCAGAGGGGTTTGCGGTCTTGAGAGCGTGTAGGAGCTCCACTTTGATGCTGGAGAGGGTTTGAAGTTGGTAGACGTATAGAACGATGGTGGTACGGGCGTTCTTGAACTTGATGGTCCAGACATCGGGCGTGGGGTCGTAGACGGGCATTGTGAGGTCGCGTATATTTGTGAGAAGGTATGGTTGTTTGGAAGAGTGGGAGTTCGATAGCGAGTTTGAAAAGGTGGCAAGATATTTCGAGTGTGTTGAAGTGAAAGTAGAAAAGGAAGGAATGAGCAACAAGTGGAAGGCGCGTTCGAGAGGTCGCGTTTGGACAGACGGGGCAAGTTTTGGCGAATCTTCAATTCACCTCCGAGAGGCTAGAGAGCTGCTTCCTCTTGCGACCAGCTCTGTCAATCTGCACATCAGCAATCATGTCGGCGGAAAAGGAGGCTGCCCTCAACACGGCAGTGCCGACTCCCACACTCCTCGAGGAGCCCACCATAGCAGCCCCAGCCTTGACGCGCCCACCGCCCAACGATCGTCTAAGCATAGCCTTCAACTGGCGGCTACCACTCACCACCGTCCTCGCTTCCTTTGCCGGCTTTGGCCTCGGTCTCACTCACGGCGGTCAACTCGCTGGTCTCCGTTTCCGCGCCGAAAATGCCCACCGCCTCCCTACCTCGCAAGTCGGCTGGTACCTCTACCACAAGTCCAAAAACTACCACATCATGCTGGGCGGCATCAAAGAAGGCTTCCGCATGGGTGCCCGTCTGTCCTTCTGGACTGCCATCTTCTTCGTCTTCGAGGAGGCCGTCGACAGATTCAGAGGTGCTTTTGTGAGGAATCTGGTTGGCTTCAAAGAGCGAAGGAGGGAAGAAAGACAAAAGAGGTTGATGCGCGATGATGTCTACGAGACTCCGGCCGAACAAGCTCTCGGTCTAGAGCACTTACACAACGAGAGAGGTGTTTGGGTACAGCGAGACTTTATGAGCACCGTCGTTGCTGCCATGGGCACTGCTGGCGGCTTCAGCGCCTGGAATCGCTTTCCTGTTCAAACCGCCGCCAGGACAGCTACCATGGGCTTGAAGTTTGGTCTCGTCTTTGGCCTCATGCAAGACGCTCTTAGCATCGCCAGAGGAAGACGAGTCGGCTATGTTGAGTTCGTCCGAAGACAGCTCTTTGGTGCAAGAGAGCAATCGCAAAAGAAGGCCCTTGCCTCGCCCATCTGAACCCTTCGTCATCCTCGAGACACGCTATATACGTATGATGCTGGAAGGAGAGACACCCAATCTCAGTGTTTGAGTAACCGGCTTCTCTCTCGTCGCTCCATACAGCGAGCCACGAACGGACCTTGCAGTCACGTGTGACCAAGAAGGTGTGACACACAGTCAAAAAGATCATCGTTACAACTCCAGGCCCAACATATGGGCCAAGGCCTTGGACTTTTCTGGATCACAAGACATTGAAACAGCCTCGGCCAGGTTGCAGGCACCATCTTCAGCAGGCTTGCAGATGAGACCCCTTCTCAGCATGCTATCCCACACAAGACCGGCTGGTCTCTATCCAAGCACAATAGAGATCATGCGCTTATTAATGAGCAGAACGGGCTCGTTCACGCTATGAAGTCTTTGCAGTATGAGAAAGTCTATGTTCGAAGTAACGAAAGAGTCATCAGAAGCATCCGGTCATCGAACAGCATGCATGTGGTTACGAGTACCGACCCTTTACCGTCCGACTATCCGTCGACCTTCGGTAGCATATACAGTCCACCGTCAGGTTACAGCATTCAACAGTCCATCTTCTGCAAGTCTTGTACAACTAGACGGGAAACTGTGTATCAGCTTTACACAGCGAATGAGATAGACGGCAGCCATCACTGTTCCGCATAATGAGTGGGCCGTTTCTTTCTTGATACAGAAAGCAAGTTTTCAGGTCCTATACCCACTCTTTTGAGCAGTACGAGATGTGTATAAAGTCTTTGCACTTGATGGTCGTTTGCATGTGATGAGAAAATTGAAGGCGGCATTGTCATCATCATCATCTCCATCTGTGTCCTTGTCAATCACGTCGTTGTAGCAAGACTGGACGTTGTCGCTACAGATTACCTGCGAGACCATACAAGAATCAAAAGATTGAAATTGACACGTCGCCTTTGCTCGACTTTCCGAGATCGGCTGCACATCACTCGCGATGATCTAGACATTGGTATCCATCACGGGTTGATCGCTATGCTCTTGTCGTCAATGCATCCAAAATACAGTCGAGTCAACATTTCGTGAAGAATTGATAATAGATTTGATTAAGGTGACTGCTGGGACTGATGAAGCAATCTGCATTTCGATATCAAGTAACCATCCTCATGGCCTATGTTCATCTGTATCCCTCCGCTATCATCGTCTCGTCGTCTCGTAAATGGAATCCAAGTCCTGCAAATTTTTGAAAAGCAAATGTCGTAAAAATCGTCAAGCAGATATCGGAAAATCATTCCTCATCCTCTTCGTCCACAAAGAGAGGAGAAGCTTCGGTGCCCCTTGCCTCTAGACGGGCTCGCTCTGCAGCCGCCCTCTTCTCTTCCTTCTTCTGCATATGATACGCAACCACTTTGAGGAATCTTCTGGGTCTGTGGCAGGGGTTCTGAGCTGCAGTATTCTTGGACAGCTGGTCCATCAAGTCGAATCGAAAGTCTTTGGGTAAAGCTTCGAATCTGGCACGTTGCTTGTCGGGGGCGGNGTCTCTGCCAGCGATTGGGTCGTCCAAGCCATTGCGGCGTTTGTAAGCCACAAGAGCAGAAAGGAAGCTGCGTAGAGCATCCTCTGGTCTCTTCGTCTCGGTATATGCTCTTGTGATCTGAGCGTGGCGTACGATCAGTTCTGTCTCCTTGCCAACTTCGCAGGCTTGGGAGAGGATAAGATCGCAGAGCAGATAAGCACGTAGCTTGCGTGCTGTAAGATAGCACACAATTACATCGTCCATGATGTCTCCTTCATTGTCGTTGATCGCAATCAGAGCGGGATTCTCATGGTCCATCGCCCAATCTGCGTAAATCTGAACACCGCGAATGTCCAGGGAGTCCAGGTTCACGTAGTCGCGACTTTCATGCATGACGTGTGTCCATCGTTCTGAGAAGGACGGCGAGCAAATCTCGAGGATCTGTGGAAAGACGTTGTACTGTTCGCCATTACAGACGAGAACTGAGGGAATGTCTTTCTTTGCCGNATCTACAGTTTGTTAGTACTTGAGCAAGGAGACAACCGTGTAGTTGCAGACTTACTCGGGCTTGTCATGGAAAAAGTCGTAGTTCAGGAGATCTGTGCGAGCCTTCTTGATTTTCTCCTTCTGATACTCCTCATCTTCTTCGTCTTTGGTCTTTCTCTTCGTCATCTTTATGATCCGATAAGGATGTGTTTGATTATGATTCACAAAAGTATGATTCTGGTAGGGACGGTGATTGGGGACGTTGTGTCAGAAAGTTACGCAGGAGGCACAGGCAGCTGATGATTGGGTTGCGAGACCGTAGGAGTAAGCTGCAGGTGAGAGGTTACGGTGAGGAATGATGTCGATGGTCGAGATGAGTTGGAAAAAGGCGATCCAAGCAGGATCTGTAGGCTGTTGACCCAATCGAGGCGAACTTGTTGCCTAGAAACCAACAGATGAGCCTCAACAGGGTGGGTGACTAGTGGAGGTGAAGGTGAAAGTGAAAGAGAAAGGATAAGTGAAGATGGAATATGTCAATTGCGAGGAATCTGTGGGATGAAAGGTCTCGAAAAAGGTCAAGACGAGTCCAAGGAGGAAGAGTGTTGGTGAAACCGGATTTGCATGTCGACAGGAGCGTGTGTAGCGGACTTTGGAGTGTATGTCGAAATGATGTCGGATGTGAAGCAAGATGGGTAAGTGGACAACAATGTTTCGGTGAGCGAGGCGTGAAGATGGTCTCGCAAGAGAAAGGGCAAGTCAACAAGCAGCTGGTAGTGTCGTGTCTGCGAGGCGCTCCTGCCTAAATATGTCGCAGATGTACCAAACCGTACAGAACTGAAGACAGTAATTTTGATAGGTTATGTTATCACACAAGTATGTGAAAAGGTAGCGAACAAGTAGCATAAGATTTCAGATTCCAACACTTAGCTATGACGATCGTCGCGCCACTCAACACCGTCACTGACACCGGCCTGTTGAGCTGTACTTTCCTCTCTGGCTTTGATGGAAGCTCGATCGACCTCGGACACAGCAGGACTTACCACGACTGCATCATCCTCGTAGTCGTCCTCGAAGGCGGCCGGGTCCGCCAGACGCGTGTGCTCAGCTTCATGGGTGCCATCGTCCGCAGAGACAGAAATGCCCCTTGGACCCCAAGCGCGGTGGTTGTTGTTAGCAGGACGGATAATACCCTCTTCCTGCCCAGCCAGACCAGCATCGTCGTCGTCATCCTGCTCGGTGTTGCCTCTTCTTCCGATGACCTTGCTGATCAACCAGCCTCTGCTGATGTCGTCCCCGTCCACAACACCACCATAACGCAGCTTAACGCGCTGTCTTGTCCAATAAACCCATGCGAAATCGAAGTAAAACAGAGTCTGGATGACGCCGAAGGTGAAGCTGATAGGGAAGATGGAATCATGGCGGTCTTCGGTGAAGCTGCGAAGGATCCAGTTGAGGATATAGAAGGCGCGATATGAGCCGAGGGTAGCGAGGTAGAAGCTGTCGATAACAGTGGGGACCGAGGTCTGGCGGAGAAGAAGTAGCTGTGGGAGGATGCAGAGCGATTCGAGCATGAGCGTGAAAGTGTACGGAATCTGGCGCAGGTGTCAACATGGTTGGCTACAATACTTGGCTCGTCGGAGTACTGACCTCAAACCAGCCTTTTTTTGCTGAAGGGCGTNCTTCTGCATGAAGATAGCGGCAACAACAGGTGCGCACACGACCGAACCCAATACGCTCCAGAGTCCCATCTTCCATGCCTTTTCGCGTTCTCTTGTACGAGCGTACACCCTGGTCATGAGAAACACGATGTACAGGGACGTAGTGATGTAGAAGACTTTCAGGGAAAAGTTCCAGAAACCCAGGAATCCATGGAAGTTGCTGAACAGGTCCAGGTATCGTACAACGAAGACGACGCAGTATAGCGCTTGCGTGATGAGGGACACACCNNTAACCAGCTATGGTCAGAAGGAAGCCTGGACAGCAGTAACAACAAGATACGCACCCTCAGCACTCTGGTTTGTGTGAATAGACCATATCAAGATACACTTGGACACGGTATGGCTGACGTCGCCGAGGACTCTGAAGGGATTGAGCGCTACCATGACTTGAAGCGCTGGAAAGGTGATATTGAACACTTCACGAAGGCATCTGCTCAGACTCTTCTTGTGAACCGTCCGTTTCAAAAGTGTCTGCCTATTGTCAGTGTCTTGGTTGGAGCTTGCTGCTCTCAGGACCGAGGACCAGTGCCGAAGGGGTCCATTGTCCGGGGTCGCTTCGCCTAAACTTGCCCTCCGGCTACTCGAACATCATACCGAGCATGTCACTGACACTCTGACTCGATCCATACAGTCAGTAGTCGCAGTCCGCTAGAAGAGAGCCCGGTCGGTGAAATGTTCTTCACGAGTCGTGACTGATGGGGTGATTGCTTAGTCGTGTGGACGTACCAACAGATGGAGATGTCGTGTGCTCTAGAATATCATGTCTCGTGGCCAACATCAACTGTTATGTATATCTCGCTGAATACATCTGACTATATCTCTTGAAGTCTGCCTATCAGACATACCTATACGGGTATTTTCTAGACGATCTGTACTTGCAACTGACAGCATGCGCTTTCTCTTTATGTTCCAACATAGATTCCCAAGTCGCCAGACATTCCCAGCAGAACTGTTGTTGGCAGTTTTCCATCTGTCCATCATCAGTTCATGAGTCCGGTTGCAAAGAGTGAGCAGATGCTTGGGTTGTGGACCTTACCTTGCACCTAATCTGATCGCAACCATCATTCTTCTCAATCAAGACCTGGCAACCCGGGCATTTTTTCCAGACAGTCTTGATCTGTTGTTCGTTCATGAATCTAGCTGTCTCACGCTCCTCTTGATCACGGTTCTTCTTGCTGGCTTGGTTCTGGAGGCGTGCATCGTATTGTCTGCAGCTTTCGCCAGAATGCCAGCCAGTTTTGTGTTGAAGACACTGCTCATAGTCGCAAGCGTAGCACTTCATATACCCCGAGTTCCCGCCGACATATTCCTGCCCTCCTGTACAACCAGTACGTAGACACCAGTGGAAGTCCTGCAAGCTATCCACGACGGTCAGCGTGGCGAATTTGTCGTATTTGGCAAAGGTCTCGAAATTGCAGGCGCGACGGACATCCTCGTGGTTCAGACGTGTTGTACATTGTGGACAATCAATCGCTGCTCGTGCGTTTGCATCGATCTTTGTAGCGACCCACTGTTGTAGACATGGGCAGCAGACTTGTGCAGTGTGTGTACATGCATTCGACGGAGGCTTGGCTGGAAATTCCAGCGGATGGAACGACTCACAACACACGGTACACTCTCTGGTTGGAGGTTGTGATTCTGCAGCATGCCTACTATCCTCCTCTTGCTGTAATTGCAAGGCCATGCTGTAATCGCGTGCTAGTCGCGCCGTGAGTTGATCTTCCTCTTCTGACTCCCATCTCTGAAGGGTTTCCAGGGCCACCACATAGTCTCTATCGTGCTCTACGCCGCCAGATGAAGCTTGAATGCGGGACTGGAGAGGAGCCTGTGTGTCGGTAGGAAGTCTAGCGTCGTGGAATGTCGACGAAGAAGCAGCCTGCAGCTTGAGGCCCGAAACCGTATCAATGAGTATGATGCCTGTGCTAGATGTAGCGATGGCGCCTGAAGGCAATGAAGATGGAGTAGTCAGATTCTCTTGAGCTCGATCAGGACAATTGCAGTTTCGTGGGCTTCTGTCATGTGTTTTGGAGGAAACGCTTCTAGATCCGAAAGAGTCTATTCTGTCTTGTAAAGGCTCGAGGTCAGGAGAAGCGTGATTGCTGACACACTGAGGTATCTCTCCTTTTCGTCGACGATTGAGGTGCTTGCGTAAGGAAATGTGTCTGGCCACGTTTGTACCATGGACGTCACTAATAGGAGCTAGTGGTCGAGATTGATGTTGACCCATATGTGTGGACGATGCTCGATGTATTTCGATGAGACTCGTGAAGGGGTAATGAATTCTTACAAGCGTTCATACGACATCGTGAGGATGTCAGTTTGGGCATGGCCAGGCTAAATACTGCGAGATTGTTGAATATCGCATGAGCCAAGAAGACATGTCTAGAATAGGTGAGCATTTTTGCTCAAGATGTAGCTTGAAGAGAAGCTTAGCTATTGCCTGATGAATCACGAGCCAGGAGAGCATGGCAGAAGCTTTAGAAGGTATGAACCTTTTCGACAACCTTTGATGCTTTGGCATAAATTGGCATACGGACCAAGACGTCTCAAGAAGATTCTATAGGTAATCAGCGACAGTCACAGCAGTACCCAGGCCTATAAAAAAATAACAAAAAGTAAAAAAAAAAAAGAACGCTGCCGGCCTGACAGGCGTCTATAGAGGGAGGCCGTGAACAGTTCAAGATGTTGGAAGTTGGAAGGCTGTCAAGATTCACAGAGAGAAGACGGGCAGATCGGCAAGCACGAGCCACGAACCCCAGATTTGGTAGAGAACGGCCGCGTCCCATGCCGACAGAAGTGGAGACAGATGAGACAGTATTCTTCCAGAGATAGCAGAAACGAGGCCTATTCAGGCTCGCCATCTGGGCGACTCTGGAGATGATGATGGTTGAGTTTGATTGCCTGGAGACAAACAGTTGAAGATAAGATGGGATGGTTGCCGGATTGGACAAAAGAGTTCGGCGACACGCAGCGTTCGCTAACAGAATGACGATTTTGGTTGCTGTGTCGACGGCATGCAGGTGTTGGACGACAACAATCGAACCCGCCAAATGCACCCACGTTTCTCCATCCTGGACACCATCTACCTCGTTGCCATACAATATCGTAACCAGAACATCGCGTGATTCGAAGACACGAAACTACTCCAGAAAGTCACCCACTACGTTCACTGAGCACCTCGATCAACACAAACAGGCGCCATGCCGGGGACACCAGGTTCCGAGATGGCACCCAGCGTGTCGCTCTCTTGTAGGTTCATCTCGAGCTAGACACTCAAAGAGCAAAACTGACTTCATGGCCAGTCGCAAACAACTTCTGGGGCAAGGAAGACGCCGGCGTCGACCCTTTGCTCGAGCGCATGCACAATGCCAAAATCACTAGCGATGAGCTCAAGTCCTTCTACACCCAACGAGCCGCCATTGAAGAGGAATACTCTCGCAAGATCCTGAACCTCGCCCGGAAACCCCTGGGCTCCTCCGAGGCTGGCACCTTGCGCATGTCCATGGATGTTGTCCGTGGAGAACTGGAGGCCATGGGCAAGTCACACCAACACATCGCACAACAGATGAAGGGCGAGCTTGAAGAGCCGCTCTCGACATTCTCCGGCGGCATTAAGGAGCGTCGCAAGATTATCCAGAACGGCATCGAGAAACTGCTCAAGACCAAGACGCAACAAACACACGCCGTCAACAAGGCCCGCGACCGCTACGAACAAGACTGTCTGAAGATCAAGGGCTATCTTGCTCAAGGTCACATGGTCATGGGTCAGGAGGAGCGCAAGAACAAGGCCAAGCTGGAAAAGACACAGATCCAGATGTCGGCCACCAGCAGCGAGTACGAGCAAGCTGTAAAGGTCCTAGAAGAGACAACCGCCCGCTGGAACCGCGAATGGAAAGCTGCTTGCGACAAGTTCCAGGACCTCGAGGAAGAACGCCTGGACTTCACAAAGAGCAGTCTGTGGAGCTTTGCTAACATCTCCTCCACCGTCTGCGTCAGTGACGACGCCTCCTGCGAGAAGATCCGCCTGTCTCTGGAGGACTGCGATGTCGAGAAGGATATCGCCGGTTTCATCAAGGACAACGGCACAGGTCAGGAGATCCCCGACCCGCCCAAGTATATCAACTTCTGTCGTGGTGATATCAACGACAATGCTTCCGACGTTTCGGATGATGCCAACTATTCGGTCGCTCAATTCCAAAGGACCATGAATCCAGCCTTCCGTTCGTCTTCGCCGCAGCCTTCGACCTACTCGTCTCACCATGACCCTGCTTCGGCTCTGGCTCAGGAGATGGCTCTCGCCTCATCGGTCAATTCTGAAAGATCTCAGAGATCCTCAAGATCCCAGCAATCTGCGACCGTTGCTCAGCTACCGCGCCGCTCCAGCCAACAGGCTGCACCAGTCAATGCTTACCAAGAATTCCCCAAGGTACCTCACAATGAGTATCCTATGGATGGCATGACTCAGTTCTGCAGACTTGGTCCTCCATCTGATCGCAGTTCCATTCCCAGTCCCACTCGCCCTGAAGATGACTCGCACAGTGAAATCTCAAACGCAAACTCTTTCTCGAGCATCGAGCCTCCCACCTCCCCCATGAAGCCGCTCAATGGCTCCATAGTCTCGACCAGCAGTCAACAGGAGGATAAGACGCTACAGAAGAGACGAAGTGGCTTCTTTCAAAACCACAGCCCATTCGGACGTCGCAAGAGCAAGCATGAAAATGCTGCTCCTGCCTCAATCTCGACCGGGCCGGCTCAGAGAAACACATGGGCACCCGCTGCTAGGCCTCAGACTGCGTCTGCGTCGTCACCAGCTCGTCCTTTCGGACGGGAAGCCAAGAATGTTGGATTCGGCAACGACCCTATGCCCAGTCCTGACCCAGAACCCGTGGACCCTCGTGCCAACTTCCAGCTGAACATCGGCAACAATGTCTTCGATGTCGCGACTCCTGACGCTCGCAAGAGATCTGTCGCAGCGGAGGAGCCTACTGGAGAGCTTGACCCCATCGCACAAGCCTTGGCCGAGTTGAAGGGCGTCACGAAACAAGCCTCAACTCGTGTTTCGGCAGATCGCTATGCTGGTATCCCTACTCCCGCTCCTGGCGCTGGTAGAGCATCCCCATCACCTCTTCTTACAAACCACGATGCCCGCGCCGCTCAGCGCGGCACTCCNCCACCATCGTATGACCAACCGATGAGACGACTCGGTGCACCACAGCCGGCTTTCACTAGTAAGCAGATGCAGCAGACAACAGCCAGCTATATGACCCAGAAGAGAGATATGTTCAATGCTCCTCCTCGCAACACGCCCTCTCAGATGGGATCTCGTCCAGCTAGCAGAGGTGGAGACCCAAGAGCCTCGGGTGACATGATGCGCTCGGCCTCACCAGCACCTTTGCGTACGAGTTCACCAGCACCCCCTCGTGCCACAAGCCCTCGTCCCAGTACAGGGTACGATCGCAGATCTCAACTCGTTCCCCAAGACTATCGTTCAACCTCGCCGAATCCGTATGGTGGAGCTCCTCCCGGTAGTATGTCAAGACCACGTGCACAATCCACTAGCCCGATAAAGCAACAGCAACGTCCTAGTTATAATCCGGCTTACGCATCTCACGGCAACTCTCCTGTTTCTACCATGCCGCGATCTGCTAGTCCTAATCCACAGTTCCGTGGCTCGGCTGGACCGGGCAGCAGACCCTCGAGTAGCCGTGGCGATCCTGCAGCCATGGCAATGCAATTAGCTCCAGCAGGCGACCAAGGGTATCCTCCATCATCTCGCGGAGCACAGGGTGCACCTCTGAGACCGACCAGCACATATTACGGAGCAGAAGGCGGTTGGGCGGCGGCATCGTCACCTCGTGGAGGCGCTCCTCAGCAACAACAACAGCAAGCACCGCCACAGCAGCAGCAGCAGTTGAGTACACGTGTACGCAGCCAGAGCTCTGCTGGACAGAGACAAGTTACAAAGGACGGAAGACCCATTCTTCAATTCTGTAAGCTTACACTCAAGATCAGCAACATGACCAAAGACTAACATATGTCGATAGCTCGAGCGATGTATATGTACCAGGCAGCTATTCCCGAAGAGCTGACCTTTGCAAAGGGAGATATCCTGGCAGTCCTGAGATTGCAAGACGACGGTTGGTGGGAAGCCGAAGTGGCCGGCAAGGATGGCAGACGAGGACTTGTTCCTAGCAACTATCTAGTTGCTGCTTGATTGTTCTTTCATTTGTCATTCAAGACCTACACTCGTTGATTTTCTCTTATGCCCTTTCTGATGGAGAGTCTTGTGCAGACGATGGTGGTTGTTTCCTTAGTCATGCCAGAAACTGATAATTCGGTTGTGCTTTCAGATAAAGCTTCAAAGAACGTGTGATGACTTTCAGCGTGGCTACTGGAATATAGTAGGCATGTGTGTATCTGGTCATGAACGATTCCAATGTCTTGAGATGCTATAAAGGTTCGTGTAATGGAAGCGAAGAGAATCGAAAGATGATGGCCAGGGTGGTAGGCATGACTTGGGGTCGGTGAATTCGGCCTTGGCCGCCAAGCGTTGTAACTGGTTGCTCTCTGCTGGCGACACATAGTTCACGACTCAATCGACCATCTTCAACCACCTTCTCTTCGACAGCGAGCAGCAGAGACTAATGGGCGGGTAGTCGTCACTAATGAGCTTCCCCTCGTCGAACCACACGCAAAATCTTTCCGACAAACAGTCTTCGCAAGCCCAGCAGTCGACCTCACGCGCCTCGAGGCCAGCACGCCGCGGCCTTCCTCCCATCTCAACCCAGCCCCCGTCTGCAGCCAACTCGCCTGCGACGCGCCATATTCTTAGTCGCAACTCGTCCGCCTCGTCGACGTCGTCTGTGCTGTCGCCCACCCAGCAGCAGCAGCAGCGCTCAATCTCGAGTGGGGTCACCTCTACACCCACTTCAGCGACACTGCCACCAGCTCCCCAGTCAGCTGGAAGGAGATTCGCAAGAGCCTCTCAACAGCCGCACTCCGCCTCGGCCTCGCCAATCTCGGCTCAATCGTTGGGTGCGCCGTCCGGACAGTTGACCAGCTTGGTCATTACCCAGCTGAACATTCTGCTGAGTACCTTAAAGGACGATAAGAAGTGGGACATCCAGGCCGAAAAGATCCAGAAGGTAAGCATCGCATTGGCGGAGCGCGTCTTGTGCCTCATGACTGACTCGATGGTANNGTTGGTGGACGCGCACGGAATGGACGTGTCGACAACATATTTCCGGAGGCTGTTGCAGAGCAATGCTCCTCTGATCTTCTCGGCGAACCAAAATGCACAGCGCTCAGCATCCGACAGCGGGAGCTACCCGCTGCTCGTCAGCGAGATGCAGAAACTGACGCGCCTGCCTTCGCAAGCAGCAAAGATTGCTGATGCTCTCGACACCAACAACGATGGCGACCTCTTCAAAGACTTCGACCTATCGACCTTTATGGATCACTTCAGACTAGATCCCACCGCAAAGGTCACCTTGGCGCTAGCCTGCAAGCTGGTCTCGAAGCAAGACATCAAGACAAAGGGTATCTCATCTGACACATCTCCAATTACCTCCTATCCTACAAGCTTCGCCGCTAACACAACTTCCNNAGCCGATGCCATACTGAGCAACAACTATTCGCCCTTTCTAGAAGCCATCGCAAACCCCACTGCCGACGACATCAGCTCCTCCTTCCTCTCCAGCATCCTCTTCCGTCTGATCCTCGACCCCCCACGGCAGTGGAACAAGGATGCTCAGGAACACCTGCTTGGCAGCTTGAATGAACGCTTTGTAAAGCTTCGCACCTACCCCTCGAGCGAAGTCAGCGCATTTATTGCCTTCATGGACCTGATTCCTACCAACACCACCCTCGTCCGCCCTTTGCAGAGGGAGGGCCCCCGAGCCACATCCTCAGTCGACAGCTGCAAAGATGTTCTGTCCAGAGTCGACCAAATCTCGCCGCAGCTGATTGCTGTGGCACTGGCGTATATGCTCCTCTCTGACGAGTCTTACGATATCGGCGTCTTCGTTTCTGCCGTTCGCCAGCACCCCCAGGCCCAAAACCTTGATTGGTATGCCGTCGTGAAGGCATTCGATATGGCTCTCATGCGCATCACAAAATCGCAGTTCCTGGCTCTTTACAACTCTTTGCTCCCGCTTGCTCGCGAGACCGACACCTTCGACATTCAGTGTCTGTGGGGCGGTTCATGGCTCTCGACTAATGCTCAGCTGTCTTTTGTTACCGCCTTTCTCTCATGCTCGCCTCAGGAACTAGACGCCTCTCAGATCNNCCCCCGTCTGCGTGCCGCATTTTCGATGGACGAGTTTGCTGATGCCTCAGACGAAGTCAAGGCTTATGCACAAAAGGCTGTCAGCCATCCTATGGTGTCCTTGGAAGCTACAAAGTTCCTCTTCCATGTCATCTTCCAGTCGCAGGACGCATACAATCAGGCACAGAATCTTGGGATCCCCGAAATCGTTATCAACGCAAATACGGATATCTTTGTGTGTGCCGCGTCCGCTTGTGAGAAACCGTGGGCAGCTCTTCAGGAAATGGCGCTTAACCAGCTCTTCCGTCCTTTCTTCCACAAATCTCTCCCCAACTACGACTTCGTTCTGCACGCGCTCTGGAAGCACGACAAATCCTGGCTGGCCAGCAAACTGGTCGAAGCCTACAATGCCGACCCAACCTTGCTGGCCGTCATCTTCGAGCACGCTCGTCAACATGCATGGACGGATACTCTCCTTCTCATCACGAATGAGTTTGGACTGGATCTTGCTGCATATGGCCATGGCCAGGGAGAAGTCGATCTGGAAGTCTGGGCTCAGGGTCATCTTGAGATATCGCCCCAGCAGCTTGCTGGAGCAGTTGTTACATTCCTGCGGATAAAAGCCGAGGATGAACAATCAGTTCAACGTGACCACCCCCATCAGGTTGTACCTCTGAAAGTCAAGACCGTTTACGCTTTGCTCAACGTCATTCATGGACATCTGAGTGACGAGGAGATTGGCGCCATTCAACGTGTCTGTCTCCAGGTTTACCCTCGTCTGATCAACTATGGCTATAAGTTTGACCACGTGATCGATGCTAACGGTGAAAATGGCAACTCCCTGTCAGAAGAGGCCGATGCCAAGATGCAGGAGCAATATAAGATGATGTACAGCAACGAGGTGGATCCCAGAGGCATGATCGAGCGTCTTCAACATCTTAAGGAGTCCGAAGACCCTGCGGATCAGGACTTGTTCGCTTGCATGATCCACGGCCTCTTTGACGAGTACAACTGCTTCGGTGAATANCCCCTGGAAGCCCTGGCTACGACCGCTGTGCTGTTTGGTGGTATCATCAACTTCGGTGTACTCTCCTCCCGCGTCACACTTGGTGTCGCCTTGTTCATGGTCTTGGATGCTGTTGCAGAATATTCTCCAGACGATTCCATGTATAAGTTTGGTCTTCAAGCTTTACTTCATTTCATCAATCGCCTTGAGGAATGGCCTAGCTTCTGCAACCGTCTTACCGCAATCCCTCATCTGCGCGGAACAGACGTGTGGACCAAAGCCGAGGAGGTTGTGCGTCGCCAGCCTGGCCTTGACTTGCGTAGCAGCGGGGATCTGCAGCCAGAGCTCTCCCTCCCGAACGGCAACCTGGATGATTTCGTCCTTGAGTCGCAGTATCCTCCTTTCCGCAGCATTCATGTCGAGGCCCCACTCAGACCCGAAGTCTACGAAGAGCCTGACGAGGAAACATCGGACAAAGTCATGTTTGTTCTCAACAATGTTTCAAAACACAACATCGAGGAGAAGTTCCAGGATCTGGAGTCTGCTCTTGAGGAACGTCACCATCAGTGGTTCGCCAACTACCTTGTTGAGGATCTTGCGAAAGCGCAGCCCAACTTCCAGAATCTATACCTCCAGATCTTGACGATGTTCGATGAGAAGATTCTGTATGCAGAAGTATTGCGAGAGACCTACAGCAGTGTGTCCAGAATCCTGAATGCCGAAGCAACCATGAACAACTCCCAAGATCGTAACAACTTGAAGAACCTTGCTACATGGTTGGGTATGCTTACTCTTGCCCGCGACCAGCCGATTCTTCACCGCAACCTCTCCTTCAAGGATCTCCTGATCGAAGCCCACCAGACCCAGCGCCTGCTCATCGCTATTCCCTTCACCTGCAAGGTTCTGTCTCAGGCAAAGGACTCGAAGGTGTTCAGACCTCCACAGCCGTGGTTAATGGAACTGATCAGCTTTTTGGTTGAGCTTTACGACTATGCTGAACTCAAACTCAACCTCAAATTCGAGATTGAAGTTTTGTGCAAAGACTTAGGCCTCGACCATAAGTCAGTTGAGCCAGCTTCCATAATCCGAACTCTGCCCCTTCACCTTGAAGGCGAGCTTCTACAACAGTACCCGACCGACACCATGGACGGGTTTGGTGACATGCACCTCATGTCTCTATCCAAAAGAGCTCCCAGCGAGCGCTTCTCGTCCCAGGATGTTCTCAAGTCTCTTCCAGATCTTGGTGCTATGCTCAACTACCCTCCTTCCTCTGGCAGCATCTCTCACGCGCAGCTCAAGAACATCTTCCTCGAAGCTGCCCAGCGTGCCATTACTGAGATTATTGCTCCGGTCGTGGAACGTTCAGTCACAATTGCTGCCATCTCAACATCGCAGCTGGTCGAGAAAGATTTCGCTATGGAGTCTGACCCGGACCGTCTCTCATCGTGCGCTCACAATGTAGTCAAGGCACTGTCCGGTAGCCTCGCACTTGTCACCTGCAAGGAGCCTCTTCGTATGAGTATTTCTAACAACATTCGCATACTAGCAGCTCAGAACCTGCGTGAGCCTCTCCCAGAGGGCTCCATTCTCATGTTCGTCAACGACAATCTGGATACAGTTTGCAAGCTTGTGGAAGATGCTGCGGAGTCACAATCCATGGCAGAGATCGATGCACAGATCCAAGAATCCATGGAGCGTCGCAAGAGACACAATGAACAACGCCCGAGTGAACCCTTCAACTTCCCCGCCGTCAGCCGATGGGCCTTCTTCATCCCTGATCCATACCGTCAGGAACCTGGTGGCTTGAACCCACAACAACTGGCCATTTACGAGGACTTTGGCCGTCAAATGCGCTTGCCTGCTGCTCCTCACGCCAATGCAGTGTCACAGGATAACACTCGCCAACTGCAGGAGCTCACCGATAACTACCTGACGAGTCTCCCGACGCCTGCAGAGGCCCCAGCTATTCCCAGACAAGGACAGCAGCAGCAGCGAGTCGTCCCCGCACAGGGCCAGACTAATGGTTACATGAGCACTGACGTCCTCATCGCACATGTCTTCGAGGCTCTGGCTGACCTCCAGCGCGTCGCCCATGAAGCACCGGAAGAGCATATCGGCGAGATCGGACCTAGTTCGCCCGTCCGCGAGGCATACGCACATCTGATGCGCATGATTGAAAGCTCTCCCGACAAGGAACCACTGGCTCTCGCCACTGTGCAGAGAGCAACATTGTTCGCCTACACTAAGAGTGAGACTCGTCTCGAGATTGAGGTCTTTGTTGAAGTCTTGAACCACCTTTGTCTGATCTCCGTTACCACGGCTCGCAACTTGACTATCTACTTGCAGTCAATCAACGACGACAAGGTCTACAATGGTCCTGTCACTGTATGTTTGCTCAAGACTGGCCTGCTCGATATTCATCACGTCGATCTCCAGACGTCTCAGGCAATCATACAGAAAAAGGCTGTTGCTGTTGAGTTCCTTGGAGCCCTCATTGATGAGCTGATCCTTAGCGAGCATCCGGCCGCTCTTCGTGCAGACTTCGTCCTCTCCTTCGGTGCACTTGGCCAGTGGCTTTCAGAGGATCCTAGCGTAGAGCTGGGCAAGGACATCATCAAGAAACTCCAGGACGTATCTAATGGTGCGCCTCCGCCAAGCCCTCCTGCCTCGGAGAAGCAAGATCAGCTTGAGTACGTCTTCGAGGAGTGGGTACGCCTGCAGAGACCTGAGGTTCCTGAACGCTATATGGTGGCGTTTATCCAGCAACTGCAGAGTCGTAGTCTGCTCAGCAACCAGGAAGAGTTCTCTGCATTCTTGCGTGTATGCATTGAGATGTCGATTGACTGCTTCGAGCGTGAGGCACTCACCTATGGCAGCCTCGACCATGCTTACATCCATATCGACGCTCTGGCCAAGCTGATTGCTTCACTTGTTGCATACCAGAGCGAGGGCGAAGGTGTCCTCTCAGGCAGCAAGACTGATTATCTCAAGGCAATCCTCGGCCTGCTCGTTCTTGTCATGAACCATCACCAGGCATCCCGTGCTGTCGATCGCTTCAATGACAGAATCTTCTTCAGACTGATGTCTAGTCTGTTGTGCGAACTCTCGTCGTTCAGAGCACACCTCGGTGATGACTACCAAGACCTCATCCTTGTTTTCGGCAAAGCATTCTTGGCATTGCAGCCCAGATTCTTCCCCATGTTCACCTTCTCTTGGTTGGCACTCATCAGCCATCGCATGTTCGTGCCCGAGGTCATGAGATCCGCGGACAGAAAGGGTTGGGACATCTACCTTCAGATTCTCCAAGTCTTGTTTAGCTTCCTTGGTGACTTGGTCAGCACGCAAGAGATTTCGATTCATGCCGCAGAGTTCTACCGCGGCGTCTTGCGTGTTCTCCTGATCTTGCAGCATGATTTCCCGGAGTTCCTCACTGAGAACCACATGCGCCTCAACAGCAGCGTGCCTGCTGGTTTGCTCCAGTTGCAGAACGTCATCAACTGTGCATACCCTTCGTCCTTCCAGGAATTGCCTGACCCTTTCACACCAGGTCTTAAGATGAACCGCCTTGAACAAGTCCGCCAGTTGCCAGACCTTCGTGGCGGGCTTGAAAGTGTCTTGTCCGAAGCCGGTATTGACACTGCTCTTGAGAACCTGCTCCAGGGCAAAGAGATCAAAGACGATGACATCAAGACTGTCATTGATGGCATTGACACCGAAGGCAAGCCTGATGCTCTCACCATCAATGCACTGATCCTGCAAATTGGCAACACTGCCACCGCAGGATCTTCAGTCTTTTCACCCTCGGCCACACCCAGCAGGGTCATCGAGCGTCTGCTGCACGAGTCGCGCCACGAAGTACGCTATCAACTTCTGAACGCAATCACCAACCAGATTCGCTACCCCAACGCCCACACGCACTATTTCTCGACGGCACTGCTACACTCCTTCACGGTCAGCTCCGAAGACCTTCAACAGCAAGTCGCCAGAGTTCTGGTCGAACGTGTCATGTCTAGCAGACCTCACCCTTGGGGATTGCTCGTGACCGTGTTGGAACTTGTCAAAAACAACTCGTACAACATCTGGGAACTCGGCTGGATGAAGGCAGCACCCGAAGTCGAGAGAATGATGCTGAACGTTGCACACAGCTCAGGCCTCGCCCAGAGCCCACGTGCCATGACCTAGATTCCGGGGGAATCTGATCATCACGTTTCGAGCATTGGACAAGCAGCCACAATACAACGCGGTTCTGCAGAAACACGACGATCTACGGATTTGCTTTGGGGAAAGCAGATTTGAAAGCTTCAAGACGATCTTGGGTCAGCATAAACCAACGACATGATTTCACACACAGACACACACATGGTTCACAGCGCTCGCTCGACCTTCTAAAGCTTTCTTTCTCTTTATATTCTATCTTCTGTGTATAATATTGGGGGCACACTCGATTCAAAAACGAATGGCGTGGTAGTTATTTCTTGGCTTGGGGGGTCTATTTGAATTGCGAAAAAGAGCATTAGAAGGCGGACATGGGGGAGTAGGCGCTCGTTCATTTCAATAAGACAGAGAAGATGGAAAGAGTGGTTTAGATGGAACAAACTACGACGATGACAATGATTGAAATGCCAGATTCACATGTTTAAGAAAGACAGAAGTTCGACGTGAGTGTGAGGTTGTTTGGCAATGTTGTGATGTTTCAGTTGCTTTGGTGGATAGAGTTGAGTGAACAGGCACCTCGGATAAGTGTGAGGCCAACACGCCAAGCATGACGACAGTTGGGAGATGGAAAGACGATGGGAATAAGAGGCAAAGTGGTGCGTAGTCTGGCAGCAGTGCATTCGCAATCGAACCATCGCTGTTGTGACATTTGAGCTCTCTACCAGACCCTTTTGCTTGCATATCTCCTGATCTCGGCAGCCATCACAACAAGTCGTCTTGTGCAGCGCGTGAGTCTCGCATTCGCACGGTTCCCAAAGCTTCATCGACGTAACGCATCGCAACGCATCGCAACGCAACGCAACGCAACGCCAGCTTCGGTAATTTGGCAATCGCATCTAGCCCCTCATCCACCATCCACGTCGCCGTGTCTCGTTGACCCATCCCTCTCAAACTACCCACACCACAACTTCCACGCTACCCACATTACATCATGGCAGAAGGCTCAGCTGTTCCCACTGCCAGCAAGGGCTCTTGGGGTTCTTTCCTCAAGGTACAACAACATCCCCTTGTATTGCGCCTCTATCTCAACTTGGTCCACTGACGCGACAACACANNGTCGATAGCCTCCTTCAATGGCGACCTTTCGTCTCTTACCGCCCCTGCCTTCATCTTGTCGACAACTTCGCTCACCGAGTTCTCGGCGTACTGGGCTGAGATGCCCTCCGTCCTGGTCGCTCCCGCCTCGGAACAGGACAAGCAGAGACGCTGCATGCTCGTCTTGAAGTGGTTCTTGAGCACCCTCAAGCAACAATACACATCGCGCAACGAGAAGCTCGGTAGCGAGAAGAAGCCNCTCAACCCCTTCTTGGGTGAGCTGTTCTTGGGCAAGTGGGTCGACCAGGCCGGCACCACCGAGCTCGTCAGTGAGCAAGTCAGGTGTGTACAACTCTACCACGAAAAGTTGTCTCTATTCTGACCACAGCCCNNTAGCCACCACCCTCCAGTCACTGCATACAGCATCTGGAACAAGCAACACGGTGTCCGCCTCCAGGGATACAACGCCCAGAAGGCCTCTTTCGGTAGAACCATCAACGTCAAGCAGATCGGTCACGCCGTCCTCCACATCGACGAGTACGACGAGGACTACCTCATTACCCTCCCCGCTCTCCACATTGAGGGTCTGATCACCGGTTCGCCGTACGTCGAGCTCGAGAAGAACACCCACATCGTTTCCTCCACTGGCTACACCTGCAAGATCGACTACAGCGGCAAGGGTTGGGTCAGCGGCAAGAAGAACTCCTTCACCGCCACAATGTACCCCAACGGTCGCGAGAAGGACGTCATCTACAACGCCGAGGGCCAATGGAGCGGCAGCTTTGTCATCAAGGATGCCCACAAGAAGGTTGTCGACTCGTACGACGCCTCAAAGATGCAAAAGACNCCCCTCACAGTCGCTCCCATCGAACAGCAGGACCCTCTCGAGTCGCGCCGCGCCTGGTACAAGGTCGCCGAGGCCATCAACCGTGGTGATATGGACACCACTTCGGCCGAGAAGTCGCTCATTGAGAACCAGCAGCGCGAATTGCGCAAGAGAGAAAAGGAGCAGGGTTCCGAGTGGCACCGTAGATTCTTCAACCGCGTGCCTAACAGCCCACGTTTCGACGCCATGATCCACCAAGTCCCTGGCGGCAGTCTCGAGGCCGACAAGACAAACGGTGTCTGGGAGTTCGACCCTGCCAGAGCCATGGCAGCCAACCCTGCCTACCAGATCTAAGAAGAGGCACTTGGATACGAGTGTAAATAGAGCAGATGGTCAAGAGGCCGCTGCAACTGGCAAGCAGCGAGACTGTCGAGAAGGAGAAGAGTGAGGTATTTGGGCATATGTTTTTTCGTTACGTGGCTATTGGGGACACTATCGGGGGTGTTTTTCTTCTTTTCCTTTCTGCCTCCCTTCTTCGCTTGCAATACCGAAGAAGCATTCTCGTAGACAGAATCATATTACGGTTGAACTAAACACGCACTCAACAAATGACATGTATGCACTTTGTCAAACTACTTGTCAGATGTGTCATGCTGCAAATACTCACTTCTCGGTCCTCACTGTTGTTCCAAGTTTAAGTGTTTCTATGTTCAGAAGATATTCAACCTCTGAAACTATAGCTTTATGCACAGTCAAGGAAGACAAGAATCAAGAGAAACCAATTCAGATTTAACAAATTCAATTCTTCATTATACAGACACTCAACAGCAGTTTCCTTAGATGTTGCGTCCACCAGTGACGCTGATGGTCTGACCACTAACGTACGAGAAGTAAGGGCTGACAACACCCAAGATGGCGCCAGCAGCTTCGGTAGCAGTGCCAGGTCTTCCCAGAGGAATATCCTTGAATGCACCAGCACCTTCCTCTCTCCCCTTCTTCTGCGCACCGGGGATACCCAAAGCAATCTTTTCACCATCCGGCGTAGTCACAAAAGCGCCCTCCTCCTTTGCAGCCGTAAGTCTAGTAGCGATGTGACCGAAAGCCACGGTGTTGCAGCGCACACCGAAAGCCGGACCCCACTCTTTGGCGATTGTCTTTGTCAAGCCCGTGACTGCTGCTTTTGCGGCTGCGTAGTTTGCTTGGCCTGCGTTGCCGTGCAGGCCAGAGGTTGAGGAGATGTTGATGATGTTTCTGGGGGCTTGGTCTTTGACGCGGAAGTATGGGGCGGCGTTGCGGATGAGTTTGAAGGGGGCCGAGACGTGGAGGGACATGATGGTGTCCCATTGTTTGTCTGTCGTNNCTGTGGGTTTTTGGTGTTAAAGAATAGGAGTGGGGTGAGGGATGAAGGGGAAACATACCTTGTGGATTACACCGTCCCAGGTGAAGCCTGCGTTGTTGACGATGATGTGAATCTTTCCTTGGCCAAACTCGGCAGTCTTTTCGACGAGGGTCTTGAGGTAGGCGTCGTCTAGCATGTCGCCAGCGACGGCCAATGCCTTGCCTCCACTGCTGTTGATCGAGTTGGCCACAGTGGCAGCCTTCTCACCGTCAATGTCTGAGATGACGACTTTGGCTCCCTCGTTGGCGAACAGACGTGCGGTTTCTGNCTCAATGCCCTGACCTGCTCCAGTCACTATAGCGACTTGGCCGGCCAGGAGACCTCGGGGGTAGTTGAGGTGGGAAGCGATTTGGGAGATGCGGTCGTTGGGTGCCATGATTGCTGTTTGGTATGGTATGGACGGGCGAGCAGATGCGAGAACAAGGTACGTGATATACTGTCTTCAAGTGAGGAGACCTACCTGTTGAACATGCCGAGGCTAATTCGGCAGGTCCTTCTTCAAGGGACCCGGACAATGTCCGACGTATCGCAACATTGTGAGGTGTCCGAGTGGTGTTGGATAGATATGGCTCAGTCCATCCAGTCAGCACGATCAACTCTGTCCCTTATTGGAGAAAGTCACTTCATATCGAAACTGAAGATGTCCTTGGAGACCGAGGTCGGAGTAAAATGTGGGGAGAGCTGTCATGACGTTGGCCATTGTTCTTTCCAAAACACAACCACCTACTCTGCTGGAATGAAGACAAGGTTCACTGCCGTTGTGAGAGGTAGAGAAAGAAAAAACATAATATCATCAGCATCTGAGGCAGTCCAATCGATAGTCCAACATCGCTACTGATGAAACAAGAAGACTGTTTTCTTACATCAATTTCTAAGCACGGATATTTTGGGGCACGCCATCACCCACAACTTCTCTTCGCCTTCTAGAACCGCGACTTCGATAGAATCACAACTGCTCTCAACTTCCGGAAACACCAACTTTTCGTCACTCGCCCCTCAACATGGCAAGTCAAGATAGCAAGGAAGTCGCGGACCTCTTTAGCGAGTCGTATGCCAAATCCCAGGATGAACAGGACCCGCTATCTTCTTTCCGAGACCAATTCATCATCCCAACGATCTCAGACTTGCACTCTAAAACACTCACACCATCCTCTCAAGATCAACCACAACAATGCACCTACCTTTGTGGTAATTCCCTAGGTCTTCAACCACGCCTGACATCCCAATATCAACAAAACTACCTTCAAACTTGGGCGACAAAAGGTGTCTACGGCCATTTTACTGAAATCGAGGACTCGAATCTGCCGCCTTGGTTGCATGTTGATGACGATGTGATTGGTGACGTCTGCGACATTGTGGGAGCAAAGAAGAACGAAGTTGCTGTCATGCAGACTTTGACCGCGAATCTGCATTTCGCCATGGCGAGTTTCTATCGTCCTACCGAGAAGAGATGGAAGATCATCATCGAGGGAAAGGCCTTTCCCAGTGATCATGTGAGTCTTGTCCTTCTCCACATTTCAACCCATTATGTCATGTATCTTGATGACAAGATCGAAACTTTTACTGATTCCGCAATCTAACACCAGTATGCGGTGGAATCACAACTCCTACACCACAACAAGGATCCTGCAACCTCAATGATCCTCCTCGAACCCGAGGACTCAAACAACCCTATCCTCAGCACCCAACAAATCCTTGCCACCATCGACGAACACGCAGAATCAACAGCCCTCCTTCTACTACCAGGAATCCAATTCTACACTGGTCAATTCTTCGACATCCCTACCATAACTGCTCATGCACAGAAGAAGGGCATAGTCGTAGGGTGGGATCTTGCCCACGCAGCAGGAAACATGCCCCTCGAACTTCACGACTGGAATGTCGACTTTGCAGCCTGGTGCAGCTACAAATATCTCAACTGTGGTCCTGGAAGTATTGGTGGACTCTTCGTCCATGAGCGTCACTCCAAAGTTTCTACTGCGTCATCCTCCTCACGACCAGAGTATACACCTAGACTCAGCGGCTGGTGGGGTAGCGACAAGAGCAGTCGCTTCGCAATGGACAACGTCTTCACCCCAATCGCAGGAGCAGGGGGCTGGCAGCTTTCCAACCCATCAGTAGCAGACATGACAGCCCTCCGTGCATCTCTAGACATTTTTAACAAAACCTCACTCGATGCCATCAGAACCAAATCTGTCGACCTCACCGGATACCTCGAAAAGCTCCTTCTTGCGAGCACAGGAATCAAAGACTGCTTTTCCATCATCACGCCCTCCGACCCTGAGCAAAGAGGCGCGCAATTATCGGTCCGTCTTTCGTCTGGCCTTCTAGACAACGTCATGCACGTGCTGGAAAAGAAGGGTGTGGTTGTTGATGAGAGACGACCGGATGTCATCCGCGTGGCCCCTGCTCCACTCTACAATTCTTGGTCTGATGTATTGAAGTTTGTCCAAGTCTTCCAAGAAGCTTGTAGAGAGGCATTGGACAAGAAGAGTAAGGAGACAAAAGGGTCGGTCATGGTGGAAGGCGGCAAGGATGACAAGGGCTGGAGTGAGGTAAAATAGATGCTCATGCCTAGACACATCCGTCTAAACCAGCTTTCCCCTACCTTTGTATTTTCTCATGTATTGCTATTCCCAATAGGAAGAGGATTTGTACTATTTGCAGAGGTGAGATCTGGCCATGCACGCATAGTGGCGAACCACTGAAGCTTGATAACGAGGATTGCTGGGAGTACGTTCTAACGATTGGAGGATTGCATCTATCTGTGCCGCTCACCCTGATCATCATGCATATACGTATGCACAACTTAGGCCAGACGGCTCCATCTTGTTCCGAGTCCGAACACCCCTTCCCAAGCAGCACCATTGATGAAACCGGGGATAAAACTGACATCAGGCCTCAGGCTCTATCTAGGTGGCAAGCAAGTAAAGCGGCCGGGACTTTGATGGACTTGGTTGCCATAGTCCTCTCATGCATGTTCTTCGTCTCTGCTCTTGCGGTCAAAATGCACTAGAACATGCCAATGGAATGTCCAACTTTTGCTGAAGTTTTCTAATCTGGTAAGTTCACCGAGATGTCAGAGGTGGACTGGCTCTAGAACTACGAACTTCGTGGCTGACATCACCTCATCACAGGGCCCTTCTATCTATCCCATCCTGGTCGCCTCTATCATGAGTAGAGCCCTCAAGTCGATTGCAATCTGGAAGCTTGAGAGAGGTAGTAGGATTGGGACACTCGATCGACTACTCGGCAGTATGACTATCGTTCAGACGGTCATTACACAACTTCAAATGAGGTCTTTGAGCTTCCTAAGCCTACTGCTCATTGCAACGTGGTCGCTGTCGCCATTGGGCGGCCAACCTTCGCTGCGCATCATCGGCTCAGCAGTCAAAGCGAGCAACACTACGAGGGTACTCCAATATGTCAATACTAGCTCGGCTATAATGGATAACTATGCAGGTGCGGACACTGCCTCACAATTTGTGCCAGTCGATGCTCTCTTTGTAGCAGCATTGGTGGGCGCTTCATCAGGCGATCCGAGCCCGTCGTCCTCTTTCGGTTCTGTCGACAACTGGGATAATCTGAAGATACCATGGATTGAGCGCATGGATCCAGCAACAGAGAATGCTGAAGGATGGTACCCAGCGCCTCGGGCTTACAGAAGCGACGACTTTACATCTTTGATCGGAGTTCCATCGTCCATGGTCTCGGTTGCTAGCAACGTGACGACGTCTTTCAACGTCGAGGTATCGTACTGGAAGCTTTCATGTCCCGGTTTCGAGNNGACCTGGGCGATGAGTGACTCTTTCCGATGGTTCAACAGACACTTTGTGAATGCCATCGCGGCGGGTCATGTTGCGACTGCGACGCCTTATCAGGAATACACCATCGACCCGAGTGATCCGTTCAATACATCTTGGAATGCGCCATCTGTAACCCTAGTGTCCAACGCTACGTTTGCTTTACGACTGAGCCAGCTGTTCAACGCCTATTGGATGGCAACGCTGGCTCTGACTGCCATCCCCAAGGGTCTTCGAAACCTGTACCTCGCCGCAGATACAGCAGACATAGGTACATCACTGCTAAACACCACAGCCACCGAGATGCGAGACGCATTGGTCTTGGAATGCGACACCTTGTGGCTCGTGATTCTTTTGTTGTCGTCGGCCATCACAGCGTTTATTGGTGTCTGTGGTTTGGTAGCAGCCATCTGCCGCCGCGGGCCGGACATTGGCTTCAACATCTCGTCGCTAGTCAAAGACAGTCCCTTGTTTGATCAGAAATCCGTGGCGATTACGCTTGGTAGCTCAGACAGGTCTAGGTTGATGAAGAATTGGTATGCCAAGTATGACCATGTGGCAAGCGAAGACGAGGTTGGGTATATTGCGATGAATAGTGGCAATGTAGCAAATCTGCAGAGAGGACGCTTATATAGGTGATTGTTTGCTCAGTCCGTGCATACATTATCGTTGTCATATTGTGATGCATGATAGTATGCACAATTCCATGCTTTATTGGTAGCTGTCTTCTGAAGTGCTACATGCAATCCTTGACATGGAGTTAGTGAGTGTCTCCATACTTCCCCCTAAGAGTTCATGCTCCCGATCTCTTCAGCAAGTACTGGCATGACGGTAGGATGCTAGTCTCGTTTTGCACGCTCTGCAGCGTCGCCTTCAGCAAGCCATTGACTTGCGATGATCAGTTGCTGTACGTTGATCCACTGCTTGACCAGCATCGGAAACAAAGACAGCGACACTAGTGCTTTTGGCACAAAACTTTGGATCTTGTTTGNCACTGAGCAAGAATACGTATCAGCAATCAGATCAGCTGCGGAACAAAGGGGTTTATCTTACCGAGCAACCTCCATGGCCCCTGCGGACCATGGCTGGCTTTGAATGACTGCTGTCACCTGAGACTCCGCTAGCAAAGTATCTTGATCGGCAAAAGCGAGGAGATACAAGGCGATGAAGAACAACTCGTTCATTAAACAGAGCGTAAACAAAACAACCTNGATCAGGTTAGCCCGAATCACAGAACTGACAGCAGTGTCCTCCAGATTTACCTTGTTCGAGTAGTACAGATGCAGCAACCAACTCCTCTCAGCATCAACTTCCTTATGACTTTGTTCACCACCGCCCATGCTCAGTGTAGCATACATATGCACATAATGGCTTGCCAAATCAAGGCTAATGAGCAATTGAAACAACATAGCCCATCTAGGCATTGCAGTAGCTAGAAACACAAGCATGCAAGTGGTCGTACATCGATCGGTCACCATATCCAGTACAGCACCGAACTTAGTGCCTTGGTTCAGCTTTCTGGCTGCATAGCCATCGAGTGCGTCGAGAAGACATGATGCTGCGTAGATAGCGCTGCAGCGGCGAGGGTGAATTGGCATGAAGTAGAGAGATACTACAGCGAGGATGATTCGTGCATAGCCNNTAGATTCACCTTCAGTGGTTGCATATTTTATCTCCGGGTCCAACAAACCTATGAGATTTGGGACGAACAAAAAGATGTTTTCTTTCGTGTTCCCAGTTAGTCTTAGCTGTGGTCCACTCGCTGTCTGGTCAGATGAGTCGGCCTGCATATCGGTGACTCTCTGTCGTACAGCATAGTGGTCCATTGATGTTGTTGAGCTTTCGTGGAAGTCATTGACCGAGGAAGCAACGAGTGGAAGTCGAGGGATTGTTGTTGCCTAGCCAAGACGTCATGTCTAGCTCGGCCCTAAGACATGACATTTCGAGTCTTGGTATTCGTGCCTTTTCAAGTGTTCTGTTAATACAAACCTACCGTGGTTGCAGAACACCGAGCAGAGTCACCCTGACAAGAAAGAAATTGATGGATATATACACAGTTTCGGTCTCGTGATCTTTGGTTGTGTTTTCAAATATGATTCTTCTTGTTTTCAGGGCAGATTATTAAACAGCCTCCTGAATGTTCGGTATGGACCTTTTCCAGAGGGTAGACGGCCTCTCTGTTCGATATTCTATCTTTGGCCGAATTCAAGTTTCTCTTGAAGTCGGCATCTTGGTCATCGGCAAGATATCCGCCTCTTTAGTCTTCTTTTCGTTGATCTTCGCATAAGCGTATACCAGGCCGCTGAAAAATCCAAGCGCAATAGCGGTACAGCCGCCGAGAGTAACAGGATTGCCAAAGAACAACAGACCACTGATGGCCAGGGGCAGCTTATTCAAAGCGCCGACCATTGAGTATGTAGTTGAACCAGTGACGCGGACACACCATGCGGATGTGTATGAGATGAAGACTGAAGATAGTCCAGAAATGATCATGGCGCTGATCACCCAGGTGCGGTTGTCGGCAGGGAAATTCAACGCAACGTTGGTAGAAGACCAGTCTTCGAATAGAATCGAAAACACCAAAAGAATCGGAATACTCAAAAGGTTATTGTAGTACANTGGCTGTGAATTTAGTCAGTCGACGTCGATGGTTCCTCTTATGATGTGCTTACTATCAAAGTCCTTGAAGTTGGTCACCTTGATGCGGACCTTCATAGCCAGAACAAAGACGGCATTGCAGATGCAGTTCATAGCCATCCAGACATAGCCTGCATTGAACATCGAGAAGAAGCCGCCATCGCTTGCGGTTCCAGCAGATTGAGCCGGGGTCTTCACATCTGCATACGCGGCAATACCTGAACTAAGAACCATCAAGCCAAATGACACCAAAGCCATGCGTGTCACCGAACCTCCGAAACAGAGAACTTCGCCGTAGGCAATGCAGATAATTGTCAAGTTCTTGAAGATGGTGTAAACCGGAATCGTGAGATATGCCAGCGCCTTCGAGCCTGTATAGATCATGCCAACTAGGAGTGCCGAGATAGGGAACCATTTCTTGGCTTGGTCGATGTTGAACTCGCGGTATGTGATGAGACCACCACGCTTGCAGCTTTCGATGGTGGCAAGACATATGACACTCTGTACGTGTTCAGTATCATAGGACATGCGTTATTTTGGACTACAACGTACCTGAACGCAAAGAAGGAAGAAATTCAGATTGAAATCCCGCCCTCCCAGAACATACTTGTTGGTCACAGTCATCAAGATTGAACTTCCGCAGTAAGACAATATAGCGACCATAGGTGAGTTGGTCAAGCTAGTATGCGTCTTGGCAGACTCCATGGGTATCTCGCGTGACGCATTTAGGCCATTGTCGTATTTCTCCTCCTCTTCGTCATTGGCGACTTTCGCGTAAGACTGGTTTGCAGCCATCGTGTGAGAGTTTGAGTTCGAGGTGTATCAAACACGAAGATATTGATGGTAGAATTTGTCGAAAGGGATGAGTAAGGTTGTTCGCGATAACAAGATTGCGCAAAACTCTTGTAAGGGGTTGAGCTGGTGCTCTGCAACTGCTCGCTTCGGGAGGATGTGGCTCAGCCTCCTTGCCGCGTAAACAAACCGTGCATCTTATCTAATCAATCTGATCGAGAATCTGATATTTGGATTGCCCCTTCCCACCATGTTCGATTCTCTGTCTATGTATCTTCAATGGCTCCAGAAAAGCATGATTCGGGCAATAATACCAGGTGAGAAAGTCCGAAGATCTTGGGCTGCATTGCACTTCGATCTGTTGCTGAACGTGATGATCGTCCTCGCTTCCATCACCTCAGCGAGCTGCTTGACAGCATCTGCTCCAGAGATCATTGGTGGAACTCGTCGCAGTTCGTAACCCTGCATCCCAGATAGAGTCCTTGAGGCAGCGCGAATACGATAAATGATGCTCATGCATGCAGGACCATCAAGGCGAAAGTTGACTGAGGTGGATAGATTTGCCGTTTCGCGACAATCCCACACCCTCGTTTCATGACCAACACGCAGGGCTGCTCTTCTTCCTCCTAATCTTTCTTCCTCCTTAACCCTCAGTTCTCGAGTCCATGCTATACTTTGCCTGTTGCTGGATCGAACTTGCGCCTCGCGCTGATTCTGGTCCCGAAGACGACTCTCATATGGTGCAGCAATATGAGCCTTCGCATGATATGTGTATGTCGAGGCCGTAAACGAGGTACATCACTCATGTATACCTGCGACAAGCCCCGGACTACAACCTGCATACCCATTTGTATAGTTCCTGAACCGTCGGCTAAGTAGCTTTGATTGTTTCAAATGGAAGATCTCGAAGTCATAGGCCTCATGGATGTATAAGTAGCCTCTTGATATTCTGTCTGTCCTCTATTATCCTGAATTCTCCTCAGTCGCTTCTTGTGTTGACAGTCACTATGCAATACAGTTTGTCTTCCAGTCTTTTGGTCTTTTCGCTGGTTGGATCGGTCTTGAGTACACCACTCTTGCCTCGATACTCCAATTCGACGAGATCCGGAGTTATTTGCAATGGCACTTTCAGTCCCATTTCAGCTCAGACTTGGGTGGATGGAATGAACCCAGGCTGGAACCTCGGAAACACCTTGGATGCCGCTCCTGACGAAGGAAGCTGGAACAATCCCCCAGTTGTAGCCTCTACTGTTGACGATGTAAAGAAAGCCGGGTTCAGGGGCATTCGACTGCCAGGTGAGATAGCCGCGTGATGATATCTCTTGAATGTGAAGCATCTGACAACCACAGTGACCTGGGCGTACCACTTTGACACCGAGGCACCAGACTATACAGTCAATCCTGTCTGGCTCCAACGGGTATCCGGTGTTGTCGACATGGTTATCGAGCGTGACATGTACGTTCTCGTCAACGTCCATCATGACTCCTGGACCTGGGCCGATGTCACTCAAGCCAATGCGAACTACACTCAAATCGAAGAGAAGTTCTACCGTCTGTGGTACCAGATCGGGGCCAAGCTAGCATGCAAATCAAGCCTCTTAGCTTACGAGCCCATCAACGAACCTGTAGGGACTACCGCAGCACATGCAGCTGAACTGAGAAAGCTTGAGAGTTTGTTCTTGCAAGCCATCACAGACGCTGGTGGCTTCAATGCCCAACGCGTCGTCACTCTTAATAGTCTACAAGAGAACAGTGACTTGACCTCACAATACTTTGTCCGCCCATCAAACATCACCAATCCCTGGGCCATTCAGTACCACTACTACTCGCCTTATCCATTCATCTTCTCTGCATGGGGAGGCACAATCTGGGGCTTAGATACCGACAAAGCCGCTCTCGAAGCAGACCTTGCCAACATCCGCAACAACTTCACTGACGTGCCTCTGATCATCGGTGAATGGGCTGCATCTCCAGTAGCAACCGAGACAGCAGCCCGTTGGAAGTATTTTGACTTCTTCGTCCGCACAGCAGCGAAGTACAACACCACCACGGTGCTCTGGGACAATGGTGCTGACTTTCTGGATCGTGCAAGTCATGTCTGGCGGGATCAGGTCGCTATCAACATCTACACGTCTGCCCTTGCGGGCGAGGCCAACACACTGCCTGATAGCACGACAGACCCTAGCGCGAAAACGCAATTCACCAGTGCTGACCTCTTCGTACGTGTGGGTCAAAATGTCACTTCTCAGAAACTACCCTACCTCATCCCCTCCAATACCACATTGGTCTCAATCTCTGGATCCAATGGCATAGCACTGAACAAAGCAGCTGATTACTCAATCTCTGGCGGTGACATCACTTTCTCAGCTTCGTTCCTGCGCACTTACTTCACTCCTTCCACTAAGCCTGGCTCCATCACAAACTTGACGCTTGACTTCTCGACCGGTGTTGATTTGACTCTAAATCTTGTACTTTGGGACACACCCACAATCAACAGCACTTCCAGCTCCGTATCAGCAGCAGATGGTTCAAGTATCTCCATCCCTGTTCAATGGAAAGGCATCAACAAACCTGCAACCGTCAAGGCAGTGAACGCCAATGGAACCTACCTAGTTGACGACTTTACAAAGTACTATGGACCTTTACAGAATGCCAGAACTGTAAGTTTCCCTGCTCATGCTCATGTTGTAAGTACAGATTCTGACATGCAAGTCCAGACGTACAATTCTCAGTGGAATTGGGATTCGAACAACTTGATCATTACAGCTGCTGCTGTCAGTGCGGTGGAAGCTCTGGGTGAGGATGTCATCTTTAACTTCGAGTTTTATCCTAGAGTACCTGTCAATGCTGTCAACTATACATTGACAGTTTAAGGAGTGTACTCAGATGCGAGGGGTACTGTAGTACAGGTAGATGTTAGCACCCAAATTTGAGCACTTTCGGCAAGACAACAAACCAAACACTTTCTGGGCTGCCACAATGATCTGGACAAGAACGTCTTGCAGAACACCAAAAAGCATGTTGCCCCTTGGTAGAGGAAACAAGAGGAAAAAGGAAGCTCTCCATCAGGGAATCGAACCCTGGTCTCCCGCGCTTGACGAGATGTGACTCTTGACAAGCGGAAATCATGACCACTAGACCAATGAAGACGAACCAGCTGAGCTGATATTGGTTGATGCTTGACAAATCGAGCGTTCTCATATATATTTTTTGGTAATAAGTCGTTTGGTTCCACGATGAAGGCGTCGTGCAAGATGGTGACCAGGAGTGTATACGCAGACGTTGCAACCTCCACGCACAACGAATGATTGTCAAGGCAAGCAGTCGAACAACGCACTACGTGACACGACAATACGGAGCGAGCGGTCGTCAACCATGTCAACAAGAAGGTCAATGTTTCCCGAAGCTGATCAAAAGAACAGCTCCGAGGAGTGGATACCAACGGACAAGCCTCCGATTGTTAGAATCGACACTGTTGATGTCATAACAAGACATTTGAGATGTTAGCTCGAAATGGGGTCGTCAACGGTGTGCTTAAACCTCTTTCGACACAGCGCCCCTGGCGGCAGAGCTGAAAGAAGGACGAGGCGGCTCCCGACTCAACGGCGTGGCTGCCAGACCTCGTCATTGCTGGCCAGTGACAATTTCGTTTCACAAACTGCACGCGGCAGTCGCAATTGTATCTCTCGTTCATGCGCGTTGTTTCTGCAACCTGCCTGCAGGTGCTGCTGCGACTTTGCGAGCGTCTAACGCTGCGGTAATGCGACAAGAGGTTGAGGTACCATTATTACTACTCCTGCTATCCAGCTCTCCCACCAATGTCGGCGTCTTCACATGTCCCAAGGCTTGCCGACGTGGGCATCCTTGACCTCTTACGGAACGATGATCGCCCAACTTTTGTCCTTGGGCCGTCGGCTACAAATACCAAATTCCAACACCAGCAGGATATTGTATTCACGAATACCGCCCTCGATCAATTTCTAGTCGAACATACACAGCCAAATGCCTTCGAAAGTTGGTCTCAGACGTTGATCAGTAGNCCCAAAAAGCATGGCAAAACATGGACATTTGCAGGAAGAGCATGGACAAGTACACTGCTTAGCGGTATATGGCTGGTGATTTACTGTGCCCAAGCAACTCCTACGGACGCAGGACCGCAATCTGGGCTCGGCGACCTATCACAGCAGAACGGTCGTAAGAGCACGCGAAAGATACCGTCATGGGACGTTCTTTCACCACCACCAGAGGCATCTGCCGAGCTGTTGGATTGGATCAAGTTTGACGTGCCGAACCTCTCTCCTCACATTCAATACATCAAAGACTTTGACTGGGCCTCGACTTCATTAGGCCCTATTGACAGATGGCCTAGTCGCTTGAGTTCAATGGTCCTCAGTATATGCACGAATCCCGATCCACGAGTTGTCGTATGGGGCGAAAAGCTCACTATGATATATAATGCAGCTTGCGCTTCCTTACTTGGCGAAAAGCACCCTTACGCTATGGGAAAGAGCTGTTCCGAGATCCAAGCAGAGATATGGCCGCAAATGTCGAAACTTTTCCAGCCTGCACTTCTGGAGGGTAAGGCGATCAAGTCTACTAAAGAGCTTTCCTTCCAAGAAAGGAACGGCCTCCTGGAGGAGACCTACTGGAACTTCGTCATCTTCCCCATCATTGGCTCGGACGGATACGCTCATGGAGCAATACATTCTTTGATAGAGTTGAGCTGGCATGTCATCAATGAACGCAGAGGGAGTGTGGTTGAGAAGCTGAAGGAGCGGGTCTCCACCAGTGCAACCATATCTCAGGTCTGGGATCGATGCTTGGAATCTCTTGAGGCGTACCCAGAGGACATTCCTTATGCACTGATATTCTCGAACAGCGACGATGACACCATATCTTCAGCTTCCAGCTCTTGGGCAAACTCTCTGAAAAACTACCAGCTCCATGGATCGCTCGGTATCAATCAGAACAACACAGCCATTCCCAAGACATTTGATTTGACGGATAGAAAATCAGTCTTTGGATTGGCTAGAGCTTGTCGAAGCACCATGCTCGGTGGAAAGACTGTAATTCTGCGCCGTCATGACAACACGCTACCGGCCGATCTCGCAACAGCGATAGCCGGCCGAGGCTGGGAAGATCCGGTCGAAGCAGTCTGCGTGATGCCAATCGCCGTGAATGCTGCTGGTGCCCTAGCGTTCTTCATACTTGGACTCAACCCCCGAAGGCCGTTCAACGAAGACTCTCTTCAGTTTGCGCATAATCTTCGCGATGTGCTCACAAAGTCTAGCTCTCTTCTCAACCAGGCTAGGTTCGAAGAGATTCACGACAACCTTTCGACACAACTGAAGATTAGCACGTTAAGAGCAGCACGCAACGAGGAGAAGTTCACTCGAATGGCAGAGTCAGCACCCATTGGCATATGTACCTTCCGCCCCGATGGGAAGCCACTTTACTGTAACGATGAGTATCTCAGTCTTGTTGGTGTGCCCCGAGAGTACGACTGGAAGGCGCTCTGGGATACACAAGCAACATGGCAAGAACACGTCCACTCCGATGATATACACGGGATTGCAGTAGCTTGGAAGTCGTTGTTGGACAAGGAGAAGACATCAGTGGCTGTCGAGTACAGAGTTACAAGACCCTGGCGCTCTGTGGACAAAGCTACTGGCCAAACCTTGACTGGAGAAACATGGCTCATGAACAACGCCGCGGCAGAGTATGATGAGAATGGTGATGTGGCGTATATCCATGCCTGGCTGCATGAAACCTCTTTCCGACATTACACGGAGACATTGCTATCCAGTCGTCTCCAAGAAGCACTTGAAACAAAGCGTGCCTCCGAAAACTTCATCGACATGGTCTCTCATGAACTCCGCAACCCACTTTCAGCAATTCTGCAGTCAGCAGACGGCATAATCACAGGCCTTGACGACCAGGAAGCACGGAGGAAGAAAGGCACGGAAATGCTCGATGGAGTCCTTGAAGCTGCCCAGACAATTATCTTGTGTGCTCAACATCAAAAATGCATTGTCGACGACATCTTGTGCCTCTCGAAACTCGATTCGAATCTCTTGGTCATCACCCCGGACAAAGTCTCGCCACCACAATTGATAGGAAAAGTTCTCAAGATGTATGAGGCTGAGCTGGCGAGAGCGTCGGTCAAGGGTCAGTTGGAGATTGAACAGAGCTACCATGACGTTATGAATTCTCGCAACGCCATGCTGGATCCGAGTCGCTTGCTTCAGGTAATTATTAACCTGCTCACGAACGCAATCAAGTTCACTCAGTTCTCCCAAAACCGAGGTCTCAAAATATACCTTGGTGCCTCATATGCGAGACCGACTGGAGCCCGGCACAAGCTCGCTTTCATCAGACCTCGTAATGCTCGACACGAACACTCGACAGCTTTGTCCACAGAATGGGGCAAGGGCAAAGACATCTATCTACAGATTGCTGTACAGGACACCGGACGAGGCCTTAGCGAGGAGGAGATGAGTCTATTGTTCCAACGCTTTTCCCAAGCCAGTCCCAAGACTTATAAACAGTACGGAGGAAGCGGTCTTGGACTGTTCATTAGCAGAGAACTGTGTGAGCTGCAAGGAGGCCAGATCGGTGTTAGTAGTCCTGGCCTAGGACACGGGACTACCTTTGCCTTCTATGTACGCGCTCGCCGATGCCCACAAGACGCGACTTCTGTTCCCGAGTCACCCGTTGCCTTGCAACATGTCTGGAACACACCTGTCACTGGCTCAACAGCTATGCCTCAACCTGTCGGTTCCAATGGCGCTGGAACTATTCCATCACATCCGATACGCACGCCCTCGGCCGCGAAATCCAAGCCTCAGCCGAAAATCGCTACACCTGATAGACCACTGCATGTGCTCGTAGTTGAAGACAACCTAATTAACCAACGAGTCATGTCTCAACAACTTCGAAAGCAGGGCTGTATCGTCCACATTGCGAACCATGGACTCGAAGCACTGACTTTCCTCGCAACCTCCGCCTTCTCTTCAGCAAACCCTTCAACACCGTTGGACGTGGTGCTCATGGACCAAGAGATGCCTGTTATGGACGGCATAACTTGCGTACGAGAGATTCGAGCTCGACAAAAGACCCACGAGTTCAACGGACATGTGCCTGTCATTGCTGTCACGGCAAACGCAAGAAGCGAGCAGATCACAGTCATGATGCAAGCTGGCATGGATTCCGTGGTAACAAAGCCATTCCGCATTCCTGAGCTTGTACCGCAGATGAGAAAACTGGTCGAGAGAACGAACCCATCCTCGGCCACAGATGGCAACGAGGACGCCAATGCAGAACGACCCGCAATGTCGCCCGAGCCTCAGGATTCAGGCAACGCGAAAGTGGCTCTAGAGCGCCCCACGATATCCACAAAGCTATCTTCGAGCTGGGACAAGGTCAAGAGCGACCAAGCAACACATGATCTTTGGTAGAGGGTCTTGAGTACCGAGTATCCCTCTTACTATTATTTTAACACTTTCTTTGAACATAGATACTTCTCCATATCACGATATAACGATTGCTGGGTTCTTGGCTGGTAAGATTTTGGTTGCATTATAGAAAGGTAGTTCAGATTTCTGGTTTGTGATTTTGGGGCTTCTTGTGTCGGATAAATGTATAGCAGCTACTTTCTTCTTCCCTGTGGATATAAAACAACATCCGTACTACAACTATCCCACGTCAACTTGCTCCCTTGGTTGCGTGGTTCATCGTCAAGGCTTGATCTATTGTAAGGTAATAGTTGTACCGCATTTTCAATGCCATGTCATCCATTGAAGATGTTCGTCTGACGTCGCTCAGCGAAAGTGCGTGTGAAGCCTAAGGTGGTTAGACAGTTGAAATTAACACATAACTGAACTATCTCAGACGTGATTCCATATCAAACGACGTAGAGACAAAGATCGAAGAGAAGGTGTCCTGTATCCAATGGTCGAGGCAAGGTTGTCCCAGCGGCAAGATTGATTCGAATCTCATCTAATCATGCTCACGATCATGTCCAGCTTTCGCCCTGCTCCGAAAAGCAGATCTCACTTGTGTCGCATCATGATGATACCAAGTCTGGTAGGTTTGTGACAGCGGTGGGCGTCTAGCAAAGGGGGCTTCCATATTACCCAGGGTCTCGGCAAACGGCCCAATGACGTTGGCTGCATGATTCGAGGAAAGAGCGCCCCTCGAATTCGCGCAAAGTCCGAAAGCAGGCGCATCAATTTTGACAAAACCCCTTCTGCGCGCTTTTCTTCATCCATCGTACCAGACAGCCATCACTGTCCGGCACGCAAAGATGGATCACTACGAGCCATCATCCAGAAACTCACGGACGTATCCTCAACGCGATCGTCCACCTCCTCCGTCTTACCACGACGCGCCTCCCCCACCGTCGGGCCCTCGCAGCGACATGTTCCAATTCCGTGGTGCCGCTGCCCGTCCGCCTGCCGACAACTATCGACCCGGTCCCAGAAGAGACGACTTCAACTTCTCCGCCGGCAACAACGGCCCGTCGTTTGCGCCTTCAAACAACTACCCAGGCGCCAGAAGAGCCCCTCCTAGAGACTCACGTCGCAACGGTCAGCGCAACGCTCGTGGCCGCGGTGGCCCTCGTAGATTCGGACCCAAGCCTGCTCACGAACGTGATTTGATGCGCCACCAGCGCGAACCCACTCCTGACCAACTGGAAGGCATGAACGAAAGCCGGGAGTCTCGCTTCAAGGTGCTCGACGATCTCTCTGATAGCGACAGTGAGGACGATGACAGCGTCATGGAACTAGAGGTCGATGTCCACCATCCCACCGACGCTTCTGCCCAGCCTTCACTCTCCAATTATGCCAGCCACTCCGACGACTCCGAGGATGAGCATCCCAGAGCCAAACGTGCTCGAGTCAAGAGCAAGAGTCCCGAGTCTGAACAAGCCAAGCCCAAGTGGTCCAACCCCGATCCCTACACTGTGCTGCCTCCGCCTGGCGAGTCTGACGCCAAGAAGAAGGATGTTGTCAAGCTCATTCGCAAGGCCAAGGTCGAGGCTGCAAAGCCCGCCGCCGCTGCTGCCGAAGGTGAGGACTTCATCTCGCTCAACTTTGACGACGACTTTGCCCAGAACAACAGCGATGATGAAGGTGGTATCTCACTATCTGGTTCTATCAAGGACGAGCCTTCTCTTCCGCACAAACCTTCCTTCAGCCACCTAGATCACCTTCATCCCGATCGCAACCTTGCTCCACTCCCTGCTGTCGAAGAGCCCAAGGGCGTCAACATGTCAGCGCCTGTACCTTTACCCCGCCTTGATGTCTGGCCTCCACCAGCAGACGTACATGGTGACCCTTCAGGCCGCAGCCAGTATCACACCGGAGTGCAGAGACAAGAAGCTAAGGATGCAGTGGCTCCGGTTCGCAAGGAAAACACCAAGAAACGCAAGCGTAAGGACGATGTCACACTTGGCGATACCATTGAGGAATGGAAGGCNCCCGAAGGTACTGATCCTGCTCCTTGGTTCGCCAACAAGCTCCAAGGCCCTCGTGCTGAACAGTGGCTTCACAACGAGATCCTTGACTTTTACGACTACGTCAAGCCTCGCGATTTCGAAAATCAAGTTCGCGAGGATCTGGTCAAGCGTATTGAAAGCGCTGTCCGGAAGACGTTCCCTGACTTGAACGTTCGTGCCTTTGGATCTTTTGCTTCCGGCCTCTATCTGCCCACTGCCGATATGGATCTTGTTGCCTGCTCGACCCGTTTCCTGAACGGCGGCTTTGCCAACCCACAGCCAACGAGAAATTGGATGTATAAGTTCGCTAATTGTCTCAAAAGAGCTGGGATCGCTATTGAGTCGTCAGTGACCGTCATCGCAAACTCCAGAGTGCCTCTGGTCAAGTTTGTCGAGAAAGTGACGGGTCTGAGGGTTGATGTTTCGTTCGAGAATGATAGTGGACTTCTCGCCAACAAAACCTTCCAGGTTTGGACAGAGAGATATCCTGCCATGCCTATCATTGTATCCTTGATCAAGCAGTTCCTCGTCATGAGAGACTTCTCAGAGGTCTTCAGTGGTGGTCTTGGTGGCTACTCGGTTATCTGCCTGACTATCACCGTACTTCGCGTCCTCGAGGAGCGCAATGGCCCTGACTGGGACCCCATGCAGGCTTTGGACGCGGTTCTGATGAACTTCTTTGTGTACTATGGTAGAGACTTTGATGTTCACAAGCACGGAATTCAGATGGAACCCTGGAACATCGTCACCAAGGTAAGTGCTTAGACTTCCGCGCCTTGTCACGTAAGGCAGTGAGTTTGGTTTGCTTCGGATATCTGCTCCAAGTATTACCATGGAGTGCGTTGATCGCTGCTGCTGATCAAGTCACGCACTTTCTATCCTATCAATATGTGATAGGTTTTATCAAAACTCAAGCTAACTTTGTCANNGAAATCGTGGAGAAACGCCAAAGGCCAGCCATCCAAACAGGATAGGCTCCTCATCATTGATCCCAACAATTACAACAACGACATCTCTGGAGGATCTAGTTCCGTAGTCAAGATTTTTGAGAGATTTGCCAACGCTTTCAGAGAGCTCAACATCTGCATGTCCGATGCCGAGGACACACACAAGGAGAGCGGTGATATTATCAGCATTCTTGAGCGTGTCTGGGGTGGCAACTATGCGCTCTTCGAAGCTCAGCGTTCCCGTCTGAGAGCTGTATGGCAGCAGAATATGGCAAGGTATGCTGCTATGCACTCAAGAAACAGAACAAATCAATAACGGTAATGTCAGCGGCAGCAACTTCCCGCGTGGCACCAACAACAACAACAACAACAACAACCAGGGTGGAAACGGTCATGGCGGCTATCAAGGTAATCCAGGAAACCCTCCTGCTGGAAACCAAGGAATCCAGAATAATCAGCCACAACAGGGCAAAAGGCCCGCAGATGGTGATTCCAAACCAAGCAAGAAGCAGAAGACGAATAACGACAACGAGAAGAAGTGGGCATAATCGATGTACGAACCTTGCGACAGTAGCTGACTGATTCTAGGCGTGCACCTTTGCACATGGAGTATGACGACCCTACGGGTGAAGTGACAGCAGAAGTATCAGGCCCAGCAGGGGCCGTTGGCAAGAGGAAGAAGTCATCTGATGCAACAGCTGGTGCTCCTCGACCCAAGAAACAGAAAAGCGACGATAAGAACGAAAAGCAGACGATAGACGACAAGAGCGAGAAGCAGAAGATACACGAGGAGAAAGACCGTGCGAAGACTTTCAAGAAGAACCATCCCGGCGTGACTGGTATACCGGACAGAATGGACAAGATCCTGTTCAAGCAACTCACCAAGAAACACGGCAAAGACACCAATCCAAAGCCGAAATCCAAGAAGAAGCACAATTAGTTGCTGGACGATGAACACCAGACTCTGGGATGGTTCCCTATTGATACGACCTTCTGATCGGTATGATTGCTTTGTCATTCTATGCTCGAGGCTGCAGTATTTTTTCGTTGCCGGCGACTTTCACGTACACATCACTTTCTGCAGGGATTTTACATATGGAGTGGCGCACCGTCGGACTTGCTGATACCCCGTCACTCATGGCCTTGTAACGATAGCTTTCATTTTACACATTCACAGCGATAGTTGTCGAGCATTCCCTCTGTACTTTACTTGTTTTGCGGTGCCTGGTGGACTAACCCGAGAACAGAGTTGCCAGGATGGCTTCGAAGATGCTGACAAGAATGCAGGCATTCACAGGGGGGCAGTGGGCTTGAATAGATGTCTCTTTTTGGGACACGGACAAGATTCCAGTAATGCTATCAGTCAAATGTCTGCGGACGATGATTCGATTAGCAGGGCTCTTGATCCTCCCCTTCTGTGCTGCGCAAGCGGTGCAGAGGGTCTTTTCTCATCGGATGGCCTGCTTTATGCAGGCGCCTGAAGAGGATAGAAACATTGAAATGTACAATAAAAGGATATCTCGGTTTGAGGAAGTGTTCAAGCAACGAGCAACATACTTGCAACGTGAGTGCCTGAGCAAGAGTCATGTCCTCGCAATCAGAGTTGGTCTTGTGCTCAGTGATTGGAGGGGCAGCCCCGCCCTCCGTCACCGCCCGCCTTCTTGGCGCTCAACATCAACAATCTATTCAAGGAGAGAGGCCCTTGTCGCTCACAAATCATTCGATAATTTCCATCTGCAAAATCTCCACGGCCCACGCGCAACCCACCCGACCCCTCCGACCGTTCTATACACATCTTCACAACCGCAACAATGTCGTGGCAAGGTAAGCTCTTTCCGCCCTCACCGCATGCCCATGGCGAGCTTGTCGGCTGACTTTTGATTCTATAGCATACGTCGACCAGAGGTACACACCGCCATCGCCACTACTCGCAGAACCATCGCTGACAGCCGACCTTCCAGCCTGATCGGCACTGGCAACATCGACAAGGCCGCCATCTTCAACAGCGAAGGCAACAGCGTCTGGGCCACTTCCGCTGGCTTCACTGTGCGTTTACCCACCACCATCCACCGCTGAACATGATCCGAGAAAGAGTTGGGATTGCGCATATCTGCGGATGCGTCAAGCCAAAGCAAGAGCATGGACTGATTGTGTGATTCTCCANNGGTTTCCCCTCAGGAAATGGCCGAGGTTGCTTCTGCGTTCAAGGACACCTCCGACGTCAAGAAGGTCCAGAGCACTGGCCTCCACATTGCTGGCGAGAAATTCATCGTCCTCAAGGCTGATGACAGAAGTTTGTACGGCAAGAAGGTACGTCTCGACGAGTATCTCTGTCTTCGTCCGGCGTGATACTGACCAGCAACCAGNGGCAAGGAAGGCATCGTCATTGTCAAGACCAAGCAGGCTCTCCTCGTCACCCACTACCCCGAGCACGTCCAACCGGGTGTTGCCGCCAACACCGTTGAGCAACTCGCCGACTACCTGATCAGCGTCAACTACTAGATGTCCAACTTTACCGACCTGTCCACATCTTCCCTGTCGAATCTCCTTTCCGTTGAGATTTGAGGCTCGACTCCCCTTTTTCGTTTCCTTGATTGTGCAGGGTACAGAGGAAAACGTGAGGGCTCTCGATCCAAAGCAAAAAACTAAAACAGCAATTCTGTGAAACTGATTCAAGACTTGTGCATAGCGAACATATCTATCCTTTTGTTTATCTCCTCTTTTTGTCTCTCTGATAGTATGGCCGTGTTTTATTGTGCAGGGAAACATAGTCTTTCATGGTTGTGGTTCGCTCTGAAAGCATCTGCCAGACTGATTAAAGTACTGCTGTTCACGGCATACCACAAACGAGCTTGTGAAACCCATTGAGCAGGTGTTATGTTGCTTCCATTCCCTGCATGAAACAAGGTTAAGAATATCCGTGCCGCAGCGAGTTTTGCCGGAGGTGGTGACGCTCACCGCCTTCGGGCAACAGCACTTGCTGCTTCCGCACAACGTGCCTTCCTGCATGAACACCCATCACCGGTATCGAACTTGTAGAAGCTGGCGGACGTATCAACAGTGTCTTGTCGAATATCACATACCATGTCTAGTTCACAGAAGTATGGCTATCCTAATGCCTCACCGCTTCGACCAATGTCTGGATCATGGATATTCATGTCAAGACATGCAGGTACCTGGTTCAACATGCCAGTGTACTGATGCAAACGAGTGAGTACGGATATAATCCATCATGTTTGAGTCCTGCAGGAAGTATGGGTTGCTGCGAGTCAATCTTTGGTAACACGACACTGGTTCTGGAAAGCACTGTGTCTGCCGACAGCGTGTTTCGGAAGCAAGGAGTTTTGGTGTGAAAGAGGTGGTCGACGGAAAGCTGCAGAAGTTGGTGGATGGGTGTCTTTCACTTTCCGTCGCTTGGACACACGGTGACTTGCGATGATTGTGAGGTTCGTTGGCTTTTCATGTCTGCACTTCTCGACCGGCTTCCTTCGTTCTTGTCATCCTACAAGTCCAACATCTCTTCTCACTCTCTCGAACACCATCGTTACACCATCGTTCCTTCGCGAGTTCCGCGCCACTGACAAGCTCATCATGGAGCGCGGCATCTGCCATGCTTTTCAGCGAGGCAACTGTCGCTTCGGCTCGAATTGCAAGTACAGCCACGACATGTCTGCTGCGCCTGAAGGACGTACCGTATTCACCCAGCCGTGTCGCTTCCTCAACACTCCCCAAGGCTGCAGATTTGGCACCACCTGCAACTTCTCACACGACAACACAGTCGCAAACACTTCACAGCCCCGCAGACATATAAACAACACTTCCTGGAACGAGCTTGACAAATGGAAGAAGGATGCCGCCAGCTATCAGCCTCTTGGCTTTGGACTGAAGAAGTTCTTCGACCAAGCATTGCATCTCGTCAACATCGATGATGCATCCCGCCAAGACGTCATCAGAACTCTCGCCTCGGCCAGTGGCTTGAACAAAGTGCTCGAAGTCGCAAACCAGGATTTTGGAAACATGTCTGAGAAGGTTATGAGGCATGTCTTCGTCACTCAAATCGTTCCCATGTTCCAAAGTCTTTCGGAGCAGCATGTTTTGTCTTCACCTCTCCTCGAACGTCATCTGGGCAGTATCTGCAATGTCCTCTACGGTGTTACAGGTACCAGAGGCGAGCATCTGTTCGCCGCAGTCGTTCGAGTGTTGACCACCTTGATGCCAACCCCGGACATCAATTTCTACACTTCTCTTGAGGCATCGCTTGCAGTCCTATCAAAGGTCATCGAGTACAACGGTACAGCCAAGGTGACTCCCTGCTACGAGGCATTTGCAATCACTCTGGCAACCATGACCGCTCCACAACTCGATCCAGCCAAGGACATGTTATGTTACCAGGCAAAAAAGCACTTGTACTGTATCAACAAACGCCTGGGAATTGGCAAGAGTATCAAGAGCATGGCATCTACAATGACTCTGGGAACTGGCGCAAAGCCACAGTTCGTTTTGCAGCGGAGCAAGCCAGGACAGCTCTCCAATGGTCGTCCCAGGCACGATAACGACTTTACTTCCATTGAGAACATCCGTATCATGCCGACCTCTGAAGAGATTCAGAGCACTCATGCTGAGTATCTTCCCTTGCAAGACCCTTCGACCTGGCACAAGCAGGGCATTGATGGTCTACTTGATCGTCACTTCAGGTTGCTACGTGAGGACACGATTGGTCAGCTACGCGACAGCGCCAGGATCGAGTTTGATGCTTTGCAAGGTGTGTATCAATCGAAAGGCAAGCTTCGAAGATACACATACCAGAACGTGCAAGTAGAGTGGACCAGATTCGACAGTTTCAAAGGGCCGGAGTTTGGTATCAGCTTCGATCAGCCACAAGAGCTACACCTCAATTCAAACAAGCAACGCACAGAGTGGTGGAGTCAATCCAAGAGATTGGAAGGTGATGCACTTATTTGTCTCATCAGTTCCACACAAGCCGTTGTCTTCTGCAGCGTCTGTTACCAGGATCAACCTACCAAAGACCGTGGCGCGACAAAGGACGTCATAACATACATCGATGAGCGTGTATGTATCATTGCTCGACCAATCGAGATGAGCCCAGGGGCTATTGCCCACATTCTAGGTACGTTTNNGTCCATAGCCAAGTTTGAGAACCAACGTTCTCCAATCATACATATCCCGCTGAGAATTCAATCGTGACTGACAATATGCTTCACTATAGGTACCTTCTCTCATCTCGACTTCCCGGGCGGCCGTTCGTTAGTCGAATTTCCTGGAGTTCTTCTTCCTGCTTTCTTGCCCACATTGACAGCCCTGAAGGAGACTTCTCGCAGTCTGGATTTGCCCTTTTCCGACTTCCTTGCTCCTTCTTCGCACACTCAGCAGGAAATGGTTGATATTCCACCACCTGCATATGCACAAAGACGTGGGTTTCGCTTTCAACTCGACAACATCATGCAGAACGCAAATCTTGCCTTTGATCCTTCAAACCAGAAGCAGTCAGACTTGGAGAACTTGACAAAGGCGAGCAATCTCGACAACACTCAAGCATCCGCACTTCTGTCTTCCCTTTCAAGATCTTTTGCTCTCATCCAGGGCCCTCCTGGGACTGGTAAGAGTTACACCGGTGTGGCATTGCTCAAGACCCTAGTGTTCAACAAGGAGGCAGGACGCCTTGGTCCCATACTCGTCGTCACCTTCACAAATCACGCTCTGGACCAGTCACTGGAGAACCTTCTGGACCAAGGCATCACCCAGATTGTCAGATTGGGTAGCCGTTCCAAATCCGAGCGATTGACTGAACTCAACCTCCGAAAGGTTGCTGAAAAGGTTGACAGAACTCGTTCTGAAGTATCCGAGAAAAAGAGATCNAAGTTGCTACTGGACGCGGAGGCCAAGGTAATCAACCAACATCTGGCCGATCTCTCCAATGATCTTGAGAATATCAGAGAGCACCTTATGCGCACCAATCCTCAACACGAGGCACAGCTCTTTGGTAGCAGCGAGGACGAGGAGGGTTTTATCGAGGTGCGCTACGGAGGTCCAGGTGCTCGTCTCCAAACTTGGTTGCATGGAGGTAGAAACTTTTGCTATGACCGACCTATCGAGGTCATCTACACTGTCGCCAATCTGAACGACCTCTCAAATTGGGAACGACGCAGATTGATCAACTACTGGCTGCAAAGTGCTCGCCAATCCATACTCGACGCCATCTTGGATCGAGTTCGACACTTCAATGAGCTCAAGGCAACTCAAGAGGCCATCAACAACGAGTTGGATCTCCGCGTGTTGACCCAGGCCGATGTTATTGGCGTCACCACTTCGGGCCTGGCTCGTCATCTCAAACTCTTGCGCAAGCTGTCCTCCAAGGTCCTCCTCTGCGAAGAAGCCGGCGAGGTACTTGAGTCGCACCTTCTGACTGCTTTGTTGCCCTCTGTTGAGCACGCAATTCTCATTGGCGATCATCTGCAACTCCGACCCCATGTTCAATGCTACGATCTTTCTCAGGAAAGTGTTCAAGGTCAACAACATGCTCTGGACACTTCGCTCTTCGAACGACTAGTTACAGCACCTGACGGTGGAGTTCGTCTTCCTTTCAGCCGTCTTGACACACAAAGACGAATGCACCCAGACATCGCAGAGCTAGTGCGTTCCACCCTGTACCCCTCGCTTTTCGATGCGCCGACCACTTTGACACGCCCCCAAGTGACTGGCTTGAAGAATAGGCTCTTTTGGTTCGACCATCAGCATCTAGAGTCGAAAGGCGACATGCAGTCTACTTCGCATACGAACGACTTTGAGGTTGAGATGACCACTGCCCTTGTCTCGCACTTGATCAAGCAAGGCACTTACAAGCCTGGAGCTATTGCAGTCCTCACGCCATACCTCGGACAGCTCAGAAAGCTGCGTCGCCGGATGCAGAGCTCTTTCGAGGTTGTGCTAGATGATCGTGATGTCAAGAGCCTTGAGGACGAAGGCTTGAATGATGAAGGTGTGGACGATGCGACCGGACTGAGAGCTCCACCAGCCCCTGGTGTTCAAAAGGGTTCAATCGCTTCGGCCGTTCGTATTGCAACAGTCGACAACTTTCAAGGCGAAGAGGCTGAAGTCGTCGTCATCTCTCTCGTGAGAAGCAATGACCAGAAGAAGTGCGGCTTCCTGCGAACATCTAATCGAATCAATGTTCTTCTGTCACGAGCTAAGAACGGCATGTACATCATTGGCAATTCGGCCACTTATCAACACGTACCTATGTGGACTGGGGTCCTGCAACTGCTACAGATGGACGGGAACATTGGAATTGCGCTGGAGATCTCTTGTCAGAGGCACAGCGGCGATGAGATGACGGTCTCGACACCTGATGACTTCGTTCAACTTGCACCTGATGGTGGCTGTGTTCTTCCATGCACCCAGCGGTTACTCTGTGGACATGCTTGCACTGCCAGTTGTCATTCACAGGTCCTTCATGATGCTGTCAAATGTCTCGCTCCATGCACAAGAAAGGTGGGAAAGCATGATTGTTCCCATCCTTGCCCTCGAGTCTGTGGAGACTTTTGTCCACCCAAATGCGAAGAGATCATCGAAGACATCGAGGTCGAACTTCCCTGCGGTCACGTCAAGAACTCTCTTCCATGCTGGCAGTACCTTGAGCAAGACCTGATCCAGTGTGACGAGATTGTGCAGCGTACTGTCCCAGGATGCCTCCACGAGGTCACGGTGGCCTGTTGGACAGATGTCAACGATGACAACTTCGAGTGTAACGCTGTGTGTGGCGACCAGTTGGCTTGTGGTCATGATTGCAAGAACCCCTGCAAGAAGTGCAAGGAGAGGATCGACAGCCGCATCGTCGAGACCAACCATGGCAAATGCCGCCAAGCATGTGGTCGAGCCTTTACAAGCTGCTCTCATAGCTGCGTCAAGTTGTGCCATTCGGACAGTGATTGCGGCCTTTGTAAGCAGCTTTGTGAGGTCAAGTGCAGCCATTCCAAGTGTGCTCGCAAATGCTCTGAGCCATGCCCTCCATGTGCAGAGAAAATCTGTTCTTCTTCTTGCCCTCATAGTGAGTGCAGCATGCCCTGTGGAGCACCTTGCGATTGGGTTCCCTGCTCCCTGCGATGTGAGGAGATCTTGGCCTGCTCTCACCAATGCCCTTCGGTCTGTGGTGCTTCTTGCCCCGATGTCAAGTTCTGTCAGGAGTGTGCCAATAAGGAGACCAAGAATCGTACGGTGGATTTGATTATGATGAGCTCGTACCAGGATGTTAATTTAGATGAGGAGCCTTGTATCTTCCCTACCTGCGGGCACTTTTACACCATCGGCACCTTGGACGGTCACCTGGGCCTCGCCGAGCACTACGTTCTGGATGAAGCCGAGCTTCCAATCGCACTCAAGGCCCCCGATGACAGTCTGGACGTCGATAAGACTCGGATTGTCTGCCCAGACTGCCGTCGATCTCTACGCGATATTCCTAGATATGGCCGAATTGTTCGTCGCGCTCTCCTTATCCAGAGCACTCTGAAGTTCATCACTTGGTCAAACAGCGAGTATGTCACATTGTACCAACGTTTCACAGAAACAAACATGAATCTGCAGGACAGTCCTGGAGAGGCCAAGCCAGCACATGTCAGCCTCCTTATTCAAGGCTCCCGAGATGTACAGATGCGAGCAATCAGAGAGCTTGTTGAGGGCCAAGAGCAGCCTTTCAAGCAAGTNGTAGCACTTGTCCGCTACGCTCGTATGAGCAAGCGGACTGATACGGACTTTGTTTTCGATGAGAGCGTCATCCTGCAAACCAGATCTCACACCTTGGCAACTTCGCTGCTCCTTCGCTGTGAATTGACAATTCTGTCAGATGTATTGGCCGTTCGATCTTCACATAGGCTTCCAGCAGAGATCAACACAATCGTCAACCTCCAAGCCAACCGTACAGACTGTGAGGTCTTGTATCAGAGAGCAGGCGAAGGTATGCATCATCTACAGCAAGCCGAAGCATTGATCTTCTGGGCACAGTTTGCTGCTCTCGAATTGTCGTGGCGTTCTTCTCATGAAGACAGGTATGTCAATCGCTTTATTCAAGCCGGAGAACTCCAGACTAACGAGCAACACAGTGACGACGAAAACGACTCCATGGACATCCTACGCGAAGAGGCCAAGGTCCGCCTCGAAGAAGCCCGCATCTTCTGCGATGAGCATTCTGCAGCTCAAGCCGTAGCTTCTGAGATTGAAGATGTGGAGAAGATGCTGCGCGGAGGCACATTCTATCAACCCGTCAACAGCGAAGAAATGCGACAGGTTGTGGCTGCCATGGCGACCGAGTTCAGCGGTACCGGTCATTGGTGGCAATGTGAGAATGGCCATCCTTTCACCATTGGCGAGTGTGGTATGCCCATGCAGACTGCGAGATGTCCTCAATGTGGTGGAACTATTGGGGGCCAGGGCCATCAGGCTGCTGCTGGTGTTACTCATGCTGAAGATATTGAGAGAGAGCTCGGCAACATGAGAATTTGATTGGTCTGGCTGTAGGTCAAGGTGGAAAGGGAGTGTACAACTGTGTTGCTCAAGATGGTTATGAAAAGGTGATTACTCACCTCTGCTTCGGGAACTAGTACGTAGACTATCTGCACCAATGATACTGCTCCAGAGAACAAGTATATTGTCTGTTTCTTTGTCACTTGCGCCAGCTGGTTCAGTCCAAGATCATTTGAGACGAGGAGTCTCCACATTAAGCTGCTACAAAAACACAGGCTTGAGCCATGGAAATAGCATCTCAAACAACACGACAACAAAACTTCCAGACCGACAGGATTGCTGGGCAAGTGAGAGCTCAATTCATAGCGGGATTAGAGTCAACATGGATTCTCGGGTTTGATTCCGAGCCCCTGGAGTTTTGTCGTACAGTTTTCGAGCTCCAACCCTCCATGGGTGGATGGATGCATGAAGCTCCGATCTCTTGACAGAATGATGCGCAGTTGAACTGAGACCAGAACAATGAATTCTTGGAATCCTTAGAAAGTTTGTTGGAATGTTGTCGGCAAGAACGAATTGGGACAAGGACATGAATGCGTTGATCAGGGGAACCTGGACAATGGGAATAATGGAAGAACTTATCAGAGTTCAAGATATCCAACCAGTGAGAAAGCCAGCTGGAGAAACGACATGGACTTTTGGAGCCGAAGGGTCCAGTCAATCACATTCGACTCGGCCGAGAAGGATGGAAGAAAACCTACACAAGATATGGTCTCTTCATGAAACTTCTCCACGGTGTATGATTGGTTGACCGACTCGCACAATTGAGAAATACTTTACATCGCGAAAGCTTCAGAAATGTCTCCACAGATTCCGATTGCAGCTACCGTGAGTCCCTTTGTGGCGTCGACGTGGGATGGGTATACCATAATGCACGCCGAAGATCTCGAGCTGGAAGGCTGAGCATAGAAACCGGGACACATATTTCTATCGATCTAGTCCATGGACAGCAGATATCACCAACCCCGATGCAACTGCGATGTAGTACATGATTGCATCGAACATGTTCAAAAACCTCTGTCGCTTCTTTAAGTCAAAGTGAGATTGGAGGCGTCTAGCGTCGGAGAGCAAAGCCGCCAGCACGTGGAAATCCTGCCCTCCAGGTTTAGCCAGAGTTGACTTTCCCAACGGTTTGTGGGACGCTAGACAGACAAACTCTGATACTTTGCTCCGGTGTTGCAGCAAACGGTGCTACCAACTGTTCTCATTACTGTCAGTTGTCGCTCCGAACACCACCACTCATCGAGACTCCTAGCAAGAACAGATGCTGGAGCAGGTAGGGTGCAGGATGGGAGCCTTGCTAGGAATGATCTGCAAGGGCTTCAGTGATCTGCAAGCGCACGCGAGCGGCCCGGGAGATGAAATATAGTGCTCCCAATTTGGTCGGAGCCGCCCTTCTCGCTTTCCCACCTCCACTTCGCCTTCCAGAAGATGTGGAACGTTTTGCCAAGGGTTCAATGGGTTGCAATTGTCCGACCACAGTTAGCCATGACGAGTAGGGGCACCAGCATGCTGGTTTTCCTACATACGACCATCTACCTTGAGTCGGTATAAAACAACATATACTGACTATCTGGCGTCTGTCATGGATGTTCGTTATCGTTTGAGGAATATATACTTTTGTGAGTGTGATTCAGGGTCGACTCGGGACCGAACTCGTATTCGATGGTCTACGTTTGAATCGAACAGCCCTTACGATAACGTCCGCAAGCAGCGTTCCACCTGGAACCTTAACGACTACACTCAAATCAACTAGATCAGCCAGGGCCACATTTTCCCAGCGTAAACTGAACACTGACACGACCTCGTCTGACAGTAACCGATCCAGCTCACCATAAGGCTCTCTTTTCTGGAAGCTTTAAGCTAAAGTCTAAGTTCATGACATGTGGTACAGCTACTGTACATGCAAATCAATCGGTCTATATGGGGCTCTGCTCCCAAATTCGAAACGAGGCCTCCTCTTCTCCCCTTCTCAGTCGTTCTGTTCTCTATTAGCAGATCGATTCGTCACGGATTGATTGCTTGAAGTCATGTCTGATGGAGGCATGATCCCTGCGGATGCCCAGGGTTTGGCAGTCGTCGTCTTGTTGTACACGTTCGGCAATGCGTTCATTGCTGCGCTGGTGGTCCTGATGCACATGCGCCATGGCGATCCATTCGGCNNTGTAAGATCCCTTGCTCTGTTGAAGCTAATATGTTCGCATATACTGATACACATGTCTATAGACGTTCCAGTGTGTGCGTGCTTCATGATTATCAACATCATGGCATCCTTCATCCAGCAGATACACTTCTTCACCAGTTTCGAGAAAGTCCAAACCGCTGGCTACAATTATCAGATTAGTGGACACTATACTGGACAGCCAGCTTTTACTGGAACACATACACCTCTGGATACTACGCTTTATGAGATTCAGTTGTATTGCTACAACGTCGAGTCACTGCTCTTCTTGTCCTGGATTGCTGGCCTCTGGCGTCATGTTTGGCGTCTTCGCTTCGACTTGCTGGACAGAGGTGGTCATGCTGTTTCCACAATTGTCAAGGTCTCCTGTATGGTCGTGCCAGCAATACTGATCGGTATTGCTAATGCCTCTTCCGTGGATCGTACACCTGGAGTCTCTCTGATCCTCTGCAACATCATGTGTAGGTTGAACTTGTCTTGAAACGCCATTGACCAGTTACTGACGATCAGAATAGTGGCTGGCAGTGTCGCAGTCGGTCTGATCCTTTTGGCACTCGTCTTCTACAAATACATTTCCATCCAGAAGTACCTCAGCGACTCGTCTTCAGCGAGAAACGGCTTCTTCGCACGCTTTGGATGGCGCATCAAGTTCTCCTTGCCTAGCTCTTCGAAAACACACAGTCAACGCAGTAGAACTATGGCAAGTCAAGTTCGAAGTGGCATGCACAGTCAACTGCGAAGCGGCAACATCAACCGCAGCGTCAACGATCAAACAGAATCTCAACTTCCCGCTCGCGAACCAAAAGCTGCCCCGCGCAAGAACGACTCTATGTACGACAAATGGCTTTTGATTCGGTTCTGTATCTGCTTCGTCCTGCTATGGTAAGACATCCCGGTCCCACGCTTCGAGATCGTTCTTCTGCTAATCACTTATTCAATCAACAGCATCATGCAAACCTACCTCATCTACTACTCCATCGCACGCTATTTCGGCTCGACTGCAGACGCCAAAACCGCGAAACTGGACTTGTCCGCAGGAGCCGCCACAATCTCCATTGTGATGTTCATCCCTGGAGTAACATTGGGCCTGTTGATATTCATCGTTTTCGGCACAACAGGTCCCTTCCGTAGGGACTATGCTCGCTGGGCTCGATTCCTCGTGTCTACCTGTCTCGGCCGCCGCAGCACCAGAGACTCCCTCGCGTCAGGAAGCCTACATCGCACAGAGAGTGTAGTGCGTTTGACGAATCTAGACCGCAAGGCTAGCCAAAACAATGGCAACACAGATGCGGGACTAGGTGTCAAGGGGGCTGATGGCGAGTATAGAGTTTCCGTCACGCCTGTTGCTGGTGAAGAAGGCGATTATGAGGAGAGACAGATGAATATGGGCATCATGATGACTAGAAGTATCAAGCAGAGTGATGAGAGATAAAACAGACTCGCATCACTATGGCAATTTTCATCTTTTTTTTCGTTCATTTCTTTTGCAACTTGACAGACCTGCAAATGATAAGGTTGTCATTGTTTCCATTGCATACGCATTAGTGAATGATAGTCGTCTTACTCAGTGTTTCATTGCTTGTTACACAACTCGAAAAAGGCAGGTCTACCTAGTCATCAAGAAATACTCCCGATGGCGGGTCTTCAACCTAACCACGCCTCCGGCTGTACACAAGGATAGAGGCAAGCAACGTTCAGATCCCGACACTGTCACATTCTCCCTACATTCATAATATCCCCGGTTGCTCATAAGACCTGGAACAGGATTCAAGAAGTGTTCCAAAACAAGGTAACAAGTGAAGAGGAGTATTACGAGTACCGCGCGCCCCAAGTCGGATCACGACCCTGTCCGCCAAGCCAGATTCTCAGCCAGAAAAAGAATTCTCAAAGCTTCAAAACTTTAATCACCTCTTTGTCAGACTTTCCCAACACGTCCGCAAAGATGCAAAAAAAGAAAAAAAAGACTCGTCAACGTTTGTNNATAGGAATAGCCGAAGGCGGGGCTCGAACCCGCGACCTTGAGGTTTGGANNAGTATCTGAGAAGATAAGAGCCACACGCTCTACCGATTGAGCTACCCCGGCAGGTCTGATTNNGATCTAGTTCACTGTGTGAACTGGCTGTTGNACGATGGAAGCAGAAGCGGTGGTTCGGTATATGTACTGTTGGTCGCGAGAGATCAGGTTCTGATGGATTCATGGCTGCAGGCTGCCACGTTGTGTTGACCAAAACAGTCATTAGTGTGTGGTATATCGCGTACTTATTGCTGGTTTGCCGGTCCGTATCCCTGCGATGGGTGTACGTAGTCGATCCAGTGGGAGTTGCGAGGTGAGCAGGTGTTATGGGTCCTTGTTGTCGTGAGTCTTGGTGGCTATCGGGGCAAGACAACTTAGTCCTTCCGTATCAATGAGAGTCAAATGTCCATGCTATTCCGCAAGGGCGGCGTCGATTTGGTTCAGGTGCTGTGCTGAAACTTCCATAGAGCGATGACCCAGGGATCAGGGAAAGCGAAACAAAGATAGAATCGTGATGGCCACATCACCGGATGGGAGTGCATTGCCTTTTCTCAAACATGATGATGTTCAGACTTCCAGGAGCAGCCATTGTACAGACATACTGAGATGAGAACGAAATGGAGAAAAGATGGTGGTAAGGATTATGGACGGTAAAAATGGTGGAGCGCAGTGAACACATCGAGTCTTGTTGTGGTTACATGTGACAGTGGGTTCTCGGGAAGTGCGATTGAACTTCGGTTACCTGCCTAACACAATCAAAAATGTTCCTGTCTACGAGATCAATCAAACATGTGCTTCAGATCACTTAACAGAGAAGCTCTACAGAATATGATCTGTCAATCAGTAAAGAGACGACCTCATCGCAAGGTGACCGAGGAGTCGGAACTTGAGTTGCAAGACAAATAGCCCTCGATTGGAGATATACAGTGCTAGAGACAAGAGATACTAGTGTATTCGAACAGTATGGTAAAGCTCACTGCGCCTTCCGACCTGGTTCTTGTCCCTTCTTCAATCCTCGGTTTGTCTCCTCCAATTCAATTCTCGCTGTCGGTCTTGCTGAGCGCCTTCTCACGATGCTCGAGAAGGGGCCCGATTAGAGGTGAGAGCGTTCTGATGTGTACTGATTAGCGACTGAAATGGCGTTCCACAGTCAATATCCCTGGGCACGAAACGGGTGATGGACTGTTGACATGGATTCTGATGATCTGCGTAATACCTCGAAAACACCTTGGAACCTTCGGGACGATAGTGCTTTTGGCTGTAACTGGAGTTCACGCGCATGATTATCGATATCAGTGTCTTTATAATGCAAAAGAGCAAGCTAGGCACTCCGGGCAAATTGATTAGTGGAAGCAAAGAAGTATATTCAGTACCTAGCTGGCACCCTTGGCACGGCTCATAGGACCCCAGTTTGCTCGTGGGTTGGTTTGATAACGCATGAGCTTTTTGCTGTGGTAATCCTTGCCGAGACTTTCGTCAAACTTGATCTTGAACTTGAAGATGTCGGCAGGAGGTTGCGTTGCAGGCTCTTCTTCTTCCATCTCCTCATTCTCCTCGTCGTCAGCCTTCTCCTCAGCTGGATCCACCTTTCTCATCTTCTGTAGGATCTTGTAACCAGCTTGAGTTCCACCAACCTTGCCCTCCTTCACAGGCGCCTTTTGGCGACTCCACTCTCTCATAATCTCCCATATGGCATCATAGCTAGCATTAGACTTGATGGTGCCAGGCTTGGTATGCGAGCGAGTGGCGATGTATCCAGCATGACGCAGCGCACCCTTGATAGCAGCTTCTGACGGAGATTGGCAGTGCAGAACCTTACACAGATAGCTAGGAATGAAGAAGAAAGGGTGAGGATCGGTGACATGGCCAGGAATTGAGGGGATAAAAGGAGCCTCGGTCTCGCCCTTGAATGTTTGGAGACTGTTCTCCAGGGTATCAAGCTCATCGAGGGCGGAGGTAAGCATGCCTTCAATGCGAGTGGTAGTTCCGTAAGTTGACTTGTCCAGGTCAGGAAGCATGTCTAGGATACGACGGATGAAGTAAGGGTTGTGCAGGGGACCAGCCCACATAGGACCGGCAACGTGAGTCTTGAAGCCACATTGGGGGCATCTGCTGTCGCCTGTAGATAGAGAAGCGGTGTGCTTGTAGTTGAGGAAGTTCTTCTGAGGAGTATGTCTTGCGAGAGGCTGGATCTGGAAGCTACCACAGCCAGTATCGCATTGGTGTACAAGCATGGTCTTTCCAGCCAGGAACTTGACGTCTGCGGGAGATTTCTTGACACGTACCCAGACTCTGGCGTAAAAGTCGATGCTGAGGGACAGCAGAGGTTCGATAGCAATACCTTGCACAGCAGCGGCCTTGGCAATCGAGTTCAAAATCAGACGAAGACCAGCTTCGTGCGAGTGGGGACCTTTGAGAGGAGTGCCACCGTAGAGTGAGTAGGTCTTTTCAACGTAGCCACAAGAAGCAAAGACACCAGCATCGGTGCAGGTAACGCAAAGTAGACCACCGTCGTTCAGCGCTTGAACGGCAGCGTCGAGGAAAGGTGCAGCAGTGCCGTAAGGATCCAAGTCAATGACATCGTACTTGAGTTGGGTGTGTGCAGAAGGGCCGTCTTCAGGGGTTGGTGTATAGTAGGCAGCGTTGTACATGTGACCAATAGCGTTGCCAGTAGATGGAGTGATCTTGTCTGTTAGCTTGTTGTGTTGGACGTTGAGACGGATGGCGTCGACAGCAGCAGGCGACATGTCGTTGGCGACGACGGTTGTCGCAAAGGGTATCTCTTGAGCATAGCGTAGAGCACGCAGACCAGAAGCCGAGAGAGCGTCCAGGACGCGGAACTTGGGCTTGTACTTGTACTCGTTGGGTGTCTCTTCTGACTTGACATTGTCGGTGCCGTTTTCAGTCTCTGTGACTGCTTCTTGAGCTCCTGCTGTTGTCGCGGTTTCTGCATCGGCCTCCCTCTGTACTTCAGAAGCTACTGCAGCACCGTCATTTCCCTTCCTCCTCTTGTCGTCTCCAGCGTCGTCCTCGGCCTGTCTCTTTCGCTCCCTCTTCTTGGCGCTTTGTTCGAGCTTCTTGTCGTGTGCTTGCTTTCTGATCGCGCACATGTGCTCGCCGAAAGCCTTGATTGCGAGAACGGACAGATCACGGTTGAACTGCTGGATGGGGTTGTAGAAGACGCTTTGTGCTTGTTGTTCGCTGTCGTCGTCCTTGTGCTTCTTCCCTTTCGACTTTGGATCCTGCTCGGTACGTGCGTTCGGTGGGACCAAGATGTATGCCAGGCCTTCCTTGATGGTGCTGTATGACTTTCCGTCGTGCTCGATCAACTGATCGACAGCTGGTTGTGTATCTATCGTCGCGCTCATCTTTGCCAGTGTGGTGCTGAAGAGGCGTCTTTGGGGAACGGCGCGTATGTTGTGGATCAGTCGAGATACTCGTATGGTCATTGAGCACGCGACTGCTCGAACACTTTGTGAGTTTCGTCGTGCCTGCCCTCGTGAACTTGCTGCCACTTTTTTGCGACCAACCGGAGCCGGAAGCGGCATAGATCGGCATCCTTGGCACATCCAACTCTTATCTCCGCTCGATTACCGGGCTCCACCACGAGGCCTCGCACTCCTCACATTCAACATTCATCCAAAAAGCACCTCGGATATTCCATCTCGAAGAGCAAGATGTCCCTAAACGTGTAAATATCCTGCTATCACGGTATGAGGAAGTGATATCAGTGTACGGTAAGGGAAACTACATGTCGTAATCTGGTCCAGAAGATGCTCGTAGATGTCAGCCACCCGCACTGATACAGGCAGTGGCTCGGGAGGATGAATGCCGAAGCATCGCTCTTTCCTTTGGAAATTCTGTTGACCTACAGCTTCCAAGTTCAGATGATCTTGATAGTTGATCCAGCTGGTTATAATCATAACATCGAATCACTCTTTGATTCCTATCGTTTCTGATACCATTTTCTTATCATTATGGTCGCCATACTGCAGCCCAGTGAAAATGACTGGAAACATTCCTTCCGCAAGCCAGCAATCAGGCTGAGAGTCATCATCGTCGGTGCTCGAGTTGCTGGCCTAAGTCGTCCCACACCAACTGGCGATGCTGCATACCGTATTCTGGTCCCCAGAGAACGAATGCAGAGCGATCCTGAAACTTTGAACATGATTTCTGAGAATGCTGCTATTCGATGGATGGGTCAGCTTCTTGCAGTGTACACATCTTCTCGAGATCAATGGACTGACCTCCCTCTTCAGGTCCCCAAGGACATATCATTGCCTATCCTGTCAAGAACAACAACCTGTACAACATGGTCCTAGTACATCCTCAACCACCTATTGTCGACCACGAAGCTGCCGAGAGTTGGAGCCGAAGGGGCAGCAAGCAAGAGATGATGAACTTCTACAAAGATTAGAACCCTACTGTTCAGAGGCTCTTGTCCTACGTGTCCGGAAGCGAGGTCATGGAATGGACGCTCAACTCACACCGTTCCTTGCCCTCTTGGCATCAAAACAAAGTCGTTCTAGTGGGCGATGCCAGTCATCCTATGTTGCCATACCTAGCACAAGGCGCTGCACAAGCCATCGAAGACGCCGGCGTTCTCCAAGTCGTTCTCAACAAATCGTCCACAGATATCGGTCTGGCCATCAAAATATACGAGCAAGTCCGCAAAGCCCGCGGTGAAGCCGTGCAAGCCTCAGCCTCTGAAGTACGCACAGCTTTGCATCTCCCAGATGATCTTGAGCAGAGAGAGCGTGACAACAAGATACGCTTGGCTGGTCAGGGTAAGGGCGACAATCCTGATCTGTGGGCAGACAAGGATATGCAACAGTGGCTGTGGAGCACCGACATCATGAAGGAGACTTTGTTGAAGTGGCCAGAGTGGAGAGCCAGGGCCAAGGGCACACATTTGTCGTCGCTGAATGCAGTGGCATATTCTTGGTGAGTGTCTGTCGGGTAAGTAAATACCCATATGTCTCTTGTGATTTTGTTGAACATGCATTTTAGAGTTCAAAAGTAAAAATGCCCTCCTAAGGACAAATAAAGCTATGAACTACTGAAGTCTGACATGCATGTTTAGAAGGAGGATTGAATATCGCTGAACGCACTACCTGGACAGATCATACTCCTCAATGAACAGCAAAACAAGAAGAAAGGCACAGTAGACAACGAAGAGGATCTGTCGATTGAAAATAGTAAATGAAAATACTAGAGATTGTTGTGTACATAGACATTAGTTGGTTGTAAAATAAAGATTAGTGAGCGTAAAGTAACCAGGCAGTAATAGTGCACTGGTGTTCGGATATCTTGCTGTGGTTCCTCCTTCCTCCGTCAAGCTGTTTCTTCTCCTTTGTTTCGGGCATTGGACAGTATTAGACAGTTAACTTTAATAGCTGATCGGACTCGTTTTTTTCTTTTTCGACAAGAACATCTAGCAGTAGCAAGATTCGGTGTTCTTGGTGGCGACATTGGCAGACATCAAGCTCTGGAAAGAGTTGTAGTCAGAGGCACAGCCCTCGCCAGAGACGGAGAGGCTGTTCGAGTTTGCCTTTGCGTGGCTGAAGCAGCCACCGGACAGGTTCTGTGCGTAGGCGTACTTCTGAGTGTTGTAGATGGTCTTGCGTCCAGAGAGTGTGTTGCCTTCTTGGGCTTGGATGCCGTAGCTGCCGACAAAGACGGGGAACTTGCCGGAGCCCTTGAGGAGAGAGGCTTGCTTGCAGACGCTGGGGGCGATCAGGTGGGCGGAGAGCTTGGGACCGTTGTAGGCGGTACCGGCAGAAACTGCTGCTGCTCCTCCAACATTTGCTCCAGCGTTGACACCACCACCGATGTTGCCGCTAGCGCCGACGTTGGCGCCAGCTCCTACTTGAGCACCGCCCTTTCCTGAAAGACCACCTCCGAGAAGACCACCAAGACCAAACCCACCGAAGAGACCACCGCCAACATGGGCTCCAGCTTTGACTCCAGCATTAACGCCAGCTCCTGCGTTCAAGCCAGCTCCTGCGTTCAAGCCAGCTCCTGCGTTCAAACCTGCACCAAGTCCGGCAGAGATTCCACCGCCAATGGCACCCGAGAAAGAAACGTGAGAGTCAATGACGATGTTGGCACCAGCAGAGAAGAAGGGAGCCCAGTAGTCGTGGCCGAGGAAACCGTCCTGAACCATGCAGGGAATGCGAGCATCAAGCTGAGCAATCTTCTTCATGACACCCTGAACGTAGGTGTTGATGAAGTTGGTGGCACCGAGAGAGAGACCACCAGCGGTGGCAAAGTTGGCAGTAACATCGCAAGGCTCGTTGATAGGAGAGACGGTGAAGGCGTTGAGGTGGCCAGTGGCAGAGATGAAGCCGAGGATGGCATCAATGGCCTTGAAGGAGTAGGACAGGTTCTCGGCAGAGTTGAACCAACCAGTGGCACCGATACGCTCGCCAGAGGCAAGACCATTGACACCACCAGGAAGAGAGTCAAGACCAATGACAATGTGCATACCGTGACGCTGGATAGCGTACTGGCAGATGGTCTTGAGGTAAGCCTGCTGGTTACCGTGGTAGAGACCGGATCCAGGAACAGATACCCAGGCAGAGTAGTGGGTAGGGATTCTCAGAAGGTTGATCCCAGCAGCAGCGAGCGAATCGATGTAGCCAGTAGTGATGTATGAAGCATAGCGAGCCTCGAGAACAGCGCCAGCATTAGCACCGAGCTTGGCGGTCAAGGACCATTCGTCGTCGCAATCGGAAGCGTACTTGTTCCACCAATCGAGGTCGAGAGACTTGTCCTGAACGAGCCATCCACTGAGCGTGACACCGTTGGCCTTGAAGTTCTTCCAATTGACGAAAGCACCGCCGTTGACACCGGCAGAGAAGCCGATGTTGTGCGAGAGACCTCCGTGAAGACCAGCGTTCACAGAGACGCCGGCTTGGCTGGCGAGAGAGAAGGGGCAGCCAATACCGCCGTAGCCAAGAGCTTGACCGTGGATGTTGGCGTTACTTTGTAAGCCGACACCGAGGGAGCCCAGAAGGAGGTTGATATCGGTGTGAACGGCAGTGGTGAGACCCTTGAGAAGACCGAAGGCCAGGCCGAAAGTGGGAGCAGCTTGCACCTGAGTCGAACCTGCGACCAGGGCAGCAGTAGCCACTGTGGAAACGCGCATGTTGATGTGTGTGTATAGAGACGGCACAGTAGATAGAGTGAAAGAATGTAGATGTAGAACAGGAATGAAAGTCAAGATGAAAGCAAAAGCAGAAAAGAGAATGAAAGTGTTGATGGAACAGAACTTGGAAAGAGGGACTTGCATCTTCTTATACCTTCGTTCCTGCCTCTTGTTCGTACACTACCACACCGACAAGCGATGACAGGTCACTATTCCTGGACTTCTTCGCTCTTTCATGCCGGAAGTGCTAGCCATTGAGGCTTAGAGATGGGTCTTTCCAGAGTTCGAGCTGTTCTAGAGGAGATGTCAAGAGAATGTCTAGGTATGAAACCTTGGACACATCTCTAGCCTCGCCACTATGCTCGATTTTGGCCACATGGATCCGGCTGTACGAGACTAGAAGGTGCTGTGTGGTGATGCATTTGGATTGTTGACCAATCGAAGAATGAGCTGCTTGACGGGAGGGAGAGATTGATTGTGTTTCAAGTCCAGAAAGAGAAGCGGACATGCCGGGTGAGAGCGTCGACCATCGTCAGAGCTTTTGGGACGATTGTCTTGGCAGTCACCACCGCTCTTTGCATCCGAGCTACGAAATTGTCTAGAAGGACGTGTCAGTGTGATTGACAGTGCATGTCTGGTGATCGGCCGACTGCTGTAAGATGTGCAACAGCTCAACCCTCTCTGACCATCGCGAATCTTGGGTATGAGATCAAGGTGATGTTCAAGAATAATTGATTGATCGCCCGGTTGATGGCTGCTCGACCGGCTGGTGCCGACTTCCCTGATTAATCCCCCGAGTTTCATGTTTTTCCAACGACTCTTACCACCATACACAATCGTATGCAAGCGTATACCATTCTATTTTATGCTGTTAAGGCCTCCGTGGCTGAGCTGTGGGGATACCCAGAACAATTTACCTCGTCTATCGAGTCAGGCGTTTCATACATGGCCACATCAGTTCTCCGTGGACAAGCAGAGCAGGAAAGGTCACCCGAGATCTTCTAATCATTGCAGGACATGACTGCCAAGCTTCGCGAAAAACGGTCATCATCCGAAGCAAGTCTTGGAGGTGCACAGGGCCACATCTGCGTCCAAGTTTTCTAGCTCCGCGACTCGTGAGAATCCAAGGACCGTCAGTGTCGGGGAGGATCAATGCATTGGTTCACCGGACTTGCGGAAAGCCATCATTTGTCACCATGCGGAAGTTGATCAGCAAGGATGTCTCTTTCTAATGTTGCAGGTTGACCGGCAGGAACAGACGGGATGGAATCCACGAGTAAGGACGCGAGACCTGAGAAGTTCAGTGTCGAATTTCTAGCGGAAGACCATGATCTTTTTGTTGACAGAGACATTAGGTATTTTGCATATGTTCTCAACTTTGCTTCCGCTCGAAGCATGTTGCCTTCCCGATCGCAGCACGTAAGCAGACAGGGCAACCCTGCTCTCTACCTCAACCTATCTATAATGCAAGAGACAGGCAGCTTTCCTCCAAATTAATTAGTACACACTCTTTTAGATGTAGTTCAAACGCTATGCAGTATATACGTACTAGTTTGCAGGTTGTTGGGGGCGACTCTATCTACATATAGTTTTTTATGTCGTTTGATCTCTCGCGAAGCACCAACAGCCCATTGTGAGTCCGCCAAGTGTTCACACGTAGTGTCACAAGTCACTCGAATCGTATTGAATTATATGGAAGTAAAGTCGAATACCTTAAATACAACTGACTACATGGAGATGCGTCTCGTCGTGGCCAGCGGTGTAGATTCGACCAAGGGCTTCTTGTCAAAGAAAGACTGAGCCAGCTCAGCGAACCAACGCTTCAGCTTTGACAACTCCTGCTCGGCCGAAGCATCGAGCCTCTTGCTATGCTCATCTAAACTATCCATACATTGCTGAGCTAACTCCGAAATCTCTCTCGTGCATTCGTTAGTCACATCGCGTACCTCAGTAATGCCTTCGTCGACGTGCTCACGCAGATTGACTTCGTTTGTCTTGCATTCTTCGTAGAATTGGTCGCGGTGATCTGCTACTGCACCGTTGAGGAACAGTTCAGCAGCGACTGGCAATCGTGACTCTACGAGAGCGTGCAGGCGCCGCTGAGTAAGTGATTTAAAGGCGTCTTTGGTCAATTTGTCCAAGCGCTCTTCGATGATTTTGTCAACTCGGGCGATCATGGCAGCCTCTTGAGCGTCTGAAGGGGCCGACGACAGATGGTCTTGGTCAAGGACCAACTTCATGTCTTTCGAAAACTTCTTGGGGCTTCTTTGTGCTATCGGAGCAAGCAAATGTCGGTGTCCTGATCCCGCGAGAGCTTCGCGCACCAAGTCGTCAGGCAGAGCACTCAGCTGCCGTTGTAATTCCACCATCTTGACACGCTCTCTATGACTTTGTTTTGAATCGGCCGTAAATTTTGTAGGTGAGATATGTGCAGGTGATGGCGAGCGAGTGGTTGGGGTGTTGACCTCGGTGGGAGACCAAGGGGGCGGTGGGGGAGAGCATACGGTGGGTGATGCCGAGTGTGCTTCAGAAGGCGTGTCGTCTAAGTACTGGTCAATACAAGGGACCGAAAAGGGCATGAAACAATCGATTCTAAGTGAGAGGAAGCCTTCTCCGCATGCACGTCGCGGATTGACGAAGCCATCGAGATGCACAACTCCATCATGAACCAGAGATTGGCCCCTGAGAGTGCTCATGCCTTTTAAGCACAACAATCTCTCAGTGCGCATTTGGAATTGAATGCATCACGACGGCTAATCACGAACACCGGGTGCTTCGGAGATACTTCATCTACGACATAGATCACTTGTTTTGAGACGAGCGTACCTCGAGGATGTTTCCCAAGCACACTTTGTGTTGATGGGGGTTCGCAGTAAGGCGGAGGATTGGTCACTTGCTCGAAAACACGCCAATCTCTTTCTATTGCTCCATGTCCTGCGTTGAGGCGTTTGTAGTCAAGAGGCTGTGCTTTGAGCATGCGAGCACGCACCGCACCGGAGAAGGTGCGGAGTTGTTGTAAATCGCCATCCTTGAACTGTTGCTTGGCCAGATGCAAGTGTATAGTCTTGCTCTGACAGAGCTTTGCAAAGGCTTGAAAATTGGCGTCGGTTGGGACGGCTGGACTCAGAGTCGTGCCGTCGGCTGATGGTGGTACGAGGACGACACCTGTGGTATTGATGCATAGTATGAGCGTCGAAACAGCGGCTGGATTGGTCACAGAAACGGGCACCATGGAAAACATGCGATCTGGTATAAGCTGGTTATTGCTTTTAGCGACTACCGTACACGTATCAACCTCCTCAGGACGGATATTCAGCATGAGAGTCTGCTTCCCAAGCTCAGTGAGAGCTGCGTTGAACCGTATCGAAATAGATCCTTGGTCGCCGGTTTGGTCATGAGCTATACGCAGTCGAGCAACGCATGCCACATCGAATTCGGGTGCATGTGCGAGGACTGCTTTCTCGAACAACCAGAAAGGCTCTTGTGTTGCTGTTCTTGCGGTCATCTTGTCAGTAGCCAGCATGGGTCGACCAGGTCAGGATAGGTCGAGGGCCCTCGAATCGTATCGAGTAACCCCCCACCCGGGCTTGATGTCGACAACGAGCAGCCCTGACTCGTACAGCGAGAGGTTTGAATGATGAGGTTGATGGGATAAAGGCGACTTTACGCTGCAGAACACGTTCTAAGCTCGGCAGCCTGGTCACAAGTGCGCGCCCAATCCAAAGTCAACAAGTGATCAGGAGAGCCCTATGAATACACAGGGATGGCAAGACGAGTGACGAGGACGGCAGAACTAGAGGTGATGCAGAAGCGCAAAGCATGTACCAAAGAGTATGCGAGGAGGATGATGTCGTTGGAGAGAAGACGAGAAGCGTCAGGATCGAGGCGTGGCGCGTTCGTGTTTGCCGAAATCTTGCCGGTGCTGGACCGTGCACACTTTCGAGTCTGCCATCAAGGTACGCATGACGCCGTTGGTTGTTCGAAGCGTGATTGAAGACTCTAAGCGGAATACAAGCACAGAAACCGATCTGTGAATCTTAATGGTTATCGAAGAAGCCGACTTGCTTGATGCCGAAGACTGGTCGTAGAATCCAGTCCAAGCATGATTTGACCCATGAGCTTGAGCCTAGCGAACTGCCCTCAGGCAACTCGTGCTGCAGTGATGATCTTGGTGGATGCATATTTTCTTTCGGCAGTGAAGTCAGCGAATGGAGTGATGAGAATATGTTGGTAGATGCTAGAGAGATATATGACGTGTCGACAGTGACAAAGAAAGAGCAATACGAACGTGCCCTCGTGATGAATGTGATTTACACAAAGAAATGGTCTTGGTACCATGGCCGGATTCAGCGTTACAGCTGACAGAGACAATCCACGGCAAGAAACCTTGATGAATTGATTTTGGCTGGAAACCATTGTGACCTGGCCTCGAAACATGGCCCAGAGAGGAAATTGTGATTTGTGTCATATGCTGTCAAAACGTCTTAGCCCATCAGTAACATGCTCGTGCTGTATATATAGATATGGAAGGAATGCCCCTGGAAAAAGATGAACATAACCAGCTCCGCTTGTAACGCCATCGTGTCCATGATGCAGTGTCATTAATACCCAAGGATCATCATTGCTCTGCACTGTCTTGGAGCGATTCCTGTTGTAATTCAGGCAACACGGCTCCAATCTCCCAGCGCCTTGGAGCATCGATCAGACCAGGCCAGATATCGCGTGGCAGGAATTCGCCAGTCCCGCGGACAAAGTCTTCGCGCATAGCGACATCCTCTTTGTATAGTGCCTCAAGCTCACGACGAGCCTTATCAGCAATACGCTGCATTCGACTCTCGAGAGCACGCCGACGATGGACCTCCTCAAGTAATGAGGCATAGGATGTGATGAACGACTCGTAAAAGTCAGTCAATGAAGCTAGTTCTTCCGCCTTTGCAAGTAGAGTTTCCTTGAGCGAGTTCCAGTTGTTGCCATACAGCTTGGCGGCAGCAATGAACATGGGGAGATTACCCCCAAGTGTGCGAAGCAGCTCGAGCACACGATTGAGAAGTTTGTGGCGTAGGCGCACGGCCTGCGAATGTGACTGCAGTTGATCGAGTGTCGTTTCCATCTCCGAAAGACGTTCGCCGATCTCAAGTACGACATCTTCGACCTCTTGAGCGTCATTGTCTACGACGGCAAGCATCTCTTGACGTTCTTGTTCATTTAGAGGACCCAAAGGTAGGTTCTTGTATAGACTGTCTTCGGGAGCGTCATAAGCAGAGGATGGGTTGGCTTGTCGAGCGGCTTCACCTCCTCCTTCTGTATGTTTGAGAGCTGATGTGCAAAGATCGTAATGTGCGACCAGAGAGCTTAGCAGTGAAGCCGTCTCGGTGGCATGTGCTGTAAGAGCATGGAAGAGTGGCGGTATAGGAGAGAGGTTATCCTGGTTTTCGGTAGCTTGATCAGCATCGTTCACAGCAGCGTCGAGTAAGTGGATCTGATCGTCGAATGAGTCTTGAGAGTGTTGGAAGTCGGCTTCTGCTGCTTTGTGCGAGTCGATAGTACTGCGGAGAGACTCGATGAGGTTGAGATGTGTGTCTTCGTCGATGAAATCGTGCAGAGTCTTTTGTTTATCGGGAGTGGCGCCTCGCGAGTGCAGTTCCGACGTGTCGACTTGGGTGTTGGTCAGTTGTACCAAAGTGGCTTGGAGGCGGTTGTCGGCGAGATCGAGCTGGTGTATCACTGNCCTGACGCTGTGAGTAGGAGCCCCTGCGACAAAGAAAGCCCGTCATACCTTGAAGTCAACATCGGTTTCGCGGCCGATGCTGTCCAGACCATCTCTCATGGCGACCAAGACGTTCGCTTCTTCCAGCAGTCCTTGCCTAACAAAGGCATTCTTGGCCGATAGCACCGCCGTCTCCTCGACGAGGCGTCTGGCCGTCGTCACGACATCGTGGGCTCGCGACACCAGAGCGGTCGAGGACAGAGAGCGCTTGGCTGCCACAAAATGCTGTACCAGACGTTCCAGCTCATCGATGCTGCGCGAAGGCGACGCTTGCTCGGACTGTTCACTCATTCAGACCTGCTTGCTCGAGCATCATCTGCTCGGATAGCAAGATTCTACTCTTGGCGGTGTGAGAGTCACGCAAGAAATACCTGGATGGCGCGACTGATGTTTGCATGCGCGGAATCTAACTCGACATCCGATCGTTGGTGGCTTGAGACAGCGACCTGCAAGTTGGTCGAGCTGCAAGTTGAAGCTCGTCCGTGGCGCTGCGGGGAGCGGCGGGAGTTGTCCCTCCTTCCGCATTCGTCGGGTCCGGGGTACCTTAGTTTGATATCGCGATCCGTAACCCTGGTGGCCATGCTATCTATCTTTCTGCCAGACGAGGCCTAACGATCCTCGCACCAGGTCATGGATAGTCTTCCGCATCTCCCGCGAACGTGGTGCAGAAGGCCATCAGTCTGCTCGTAATGTCGCAATCCTGTCTTCTGAGTCAAAGTTTGCGAAAACTTCCACTTTTCTTTGTTGCGTGACCAATTGGTACGTAAGGCTGACCAATGGATTCGCCTGCCGAGCGAGTTCGGGTGCTGAGTAGCGACGCCACCAGGACAGCAAGCCCCCGTAAGACAACATTTTGGAGGACAAGCATGGCATTGGAAAATAGAGATCTTCTAGTATATGAATTGGGTCTTTCTGGATTGAACAACCAGGGCAGCACTTGCACGGCAGTCTTTCTAGCAAGATTGGAACTCGAGATAGCGGCAGAACAACATGTTTGCGGCGTGATTGCAGCGATAGTGATTATGGAAACGGCCTGTTTGGATTTGGGTGCCCGGTGGTGGGTGCGTTGAACCCTTCTTTGCCTGCCTCCGAAGCCTGGAATAGCACGCCATATCGCGAATCGAGCGTCCAAGTCCATCAGCAGAACAAGCGCCGTCGTTCATCTCGCCCCTTGCAGCTGCTGTCGCACCATCGATACCTACATACACTCGCTCTCCGACAACCCGGGCGACGTTCAACACTCGCCATAAACTCTGTCGCACTGCCATTGCCATCACGCGAACACCTCGTCTTGTCCACGCTTGGGTTTCGGGGTCTTGTTTGTTTTCAACTCTCACCGCGCAAGCCCCCCCCTGTATGAGATTATCTCTCCTCCAGGATGGCGTCAGATTTGGATTCAAAGTCGCAACTCAACGCCCCGTCCGAGAGCCGGTCCGGTCTTCGTCATGAAATGGAAGGCCTGTGCCATCACGATCACGAACATGAGGGCCACAAGTTCCGCCATCACGACAACCCCAATGAAGAAAACATCTCAATTCCTTCAAACTCCAAACATGCCGAGCAGGCCATCGCCCCCTTCCTGGCCAAACACATCCCAACCCAGTACAACCCTATCGGCCACTTGATGCCACAGTCGACCTCCAACGACCCCAACCACGACCACCACCAAGACACCTCAAGCACAAAGTTCTGCTACCGCCATCGCCCTGATCTCAAGTGCAGACGTCAAGCCAACGAGCCTTCCATGGAGCAACTCCAGAATGTAACCAACAACCCTCATACCCAGCAATGACTCACTGAATACTGACCTCTCAATAGNGAACTCGGTACCGTTTCACAATCAGACCAGCAGGCCATCTCCCACGTCTGGTCCCTCTTCTCCGCCGCCCCATCCAAACACCGCAATCTCATGCTCCAGGGCATCCTCTCCCAATGTTGCTTCCCCCAACTCTCCTACATCTCCGCCTCCGTTCGCGACCTGATCAAGATCGACTTCCTCTCTGCTCTACCGCCAGAGCTTGGCTTCAGGATTCTTTGCTTCCTCGACACCACCTCGCTGTGCAAGGCCGCTCAAGTCAGTCGACGCTGGAGAAGCCTGGCCGACGATGACGTCGTCTGGCACAGGATGTGTGAGCAACACATCGACCGAAAGTGCACCAAGTGTGGCTGGGGCCTGCCTCTGCTCGAACGCAAGCGATTGAGAATAGAAAAGAGGCAAATACAATTGCGCGCCATCTCAAGAGGCAACAACGAGTGGTCGCCTGCAACTACCCCGCTCGCCGAAGACCCAGTATCTCATGCCACCACAACTGCACCAACCAGTCAGGCCCTTGCCATCGTAGGCGAGAAGCGCAAGCTTGATGATGAGCAAGCTCCGCCGCAAAAGAAGTTGTGCACTCCAGCACCGGGTGAAGAAGAGGTCAACTCGTACTTTCAACCACAGACAAGAAGGCCATGGAAAGATGTGTACAAGGATCGTTTCAAGGTCGGCACGAACTGGAAGTACGGACGATGTTCGACAAAAATCTTCAGAGGTCATACCAATGGTGTTATGTGCCTACAGTTTGATGAAAACGTCCTGATCACGGGCTCCTACGACTGCACAGTGAAGGTATGGGACATCAAGACAGGAAAGGAGCTGAGAACGCTCGAGGGTCACACATCCGGCATTCGCACGCTGCAATTTGACGACCAGAAGCTCATAACTGGTTCCATGGACAACACGACAAAGGTCTGGGACTGGCGTACTGGAAAATGCCTACGGACTTTCCAAGCTCATACAGGTGGCGTGATATGCGTCAATTTTGATGCTGGATATATTGCTTCAGGCTCAATGGACCACACTATCAGAGTCTACGAGATTCGAAACAAGGCGTCTTATCTGCTCAAGGGTCATACGGACTGGGTTAATGCGGTGAAGCTCGATGTGGTTTCTCGCACATTGATCTCTGCTTCAGATGATTGTACCGTCCGTTTGTGGGATCTGGACACGCGCAGATGTATCAAGGTCTTTGAAGGACATGTCGGCCAAGTCCAGCAGCTTGTGACTCTTCCTCCAGAGTTCGAGCTCGACGAAGCTGATTTGCTCTCTGGAGAAAACGAGGACGACACCTCGTCTACTTCTTCTGGGCCGTCGCCTGCTCACAAACATTCGCATCACCCAGCTACCACGTCTGCCGAGACGATCGTGCCATTCTGGCCTGATGAGCCTGACCGTCCAGCACCTCCTCGATACATGCTTACCGGTGCTCTGGACAGCACCATCCGTCTGTGGGACGTGCACGCTCCTGCAGTGTCGCCTGCCGTAGATGCAGCAAATCCGGTACAAAAGCCACCTACTACCAACGCATGCTTACGCACCTACTTTGGACACGTCGAAGGCATCTGGGCACTTGCAGCAGACCATCTGCGTATGGTCTCTGGATCGGAAGACCGTACAGTCAAGATCTGGGATCCTCGCAGTGGCAAGTGTGAGAGAACGTGGACAGGCCATGCCGGCCCTGTGACATGCATCGGACTCAGTGATAGTCGACTTGTCTCTGGGAGTGAAGACTGTGAAGTGCGCATGCTATTGTTTAACACTGGAGAAGGAAGTGAAGGGTGCGAAGACCAATGAGTTTGAGGACGGAGAAGGTTTTCTGTTTTGGGATACAATCACTTTTAGCGAAGGTGCCTGGCGCAATAGGGAGATATCAAACAAGGATGAATTTATCATATGATTAGCGTACTGCTCTAGCTTGAATACATTAATGTCATGGAAGAAGAAGAAGTTGTCGTATTGTTGTCGACGTGGTTGATGTGAATGATTGTTGTCAACAAGTGAGGACTGCTATTCCTGTCTTGTCTTGGACAGAAAGAAACAAGACAATAGCAGGATGAGAGAGACAATGACTTTCAGCCGAGTCTCGGAGTGAGAGTGAGAGACATGAGTGGAGGGTCGTGCGTGAACCCTCGAAAAAGTTGGCTTGGCATAAATGACGATCGCTGCCTTGTACTTTCCGTCAGTCACAGCAAACCTATTCACCTGCCAACACTCGACTCTGCGCCTTCCCACCACAGACGTCGAGTCTCTACGCCAGTCCCATTCTTTCTTTTCCACAGCAGCGCACGTTCTCTAGCGAACCCACAGAGAGAGGAAACCACCGACTTTCGCTGGCGTTGCGCAACTTTGCGGCGACCCACGACCGACCGAACAAAGGCCATTCACTTTTATTCACCGTCTTTGGCAACTTCCTCCCTCGCACTGAACGTCAACCTTCCATACACCTACTACCCTAACGACCACACTCTATTCAACCTAGCCCCTCCGACCGCCGCCATGGTGAACCAAAAGAAGCCTGTGCGCAACCCTCGCGGCGGTGGCATCGCAAAGAGAAAGGGCAGAACCGATCGCGATGGTGACCTTGTCATGGATCCCACTGCACGCGCTCGTCCAGGTGGCGGTATCAACAAGGGCGGCAAGACAAGCGCACCCAAGACGCGCGGCGCAAAGCCTGGTGCTCGTGGTCCCGGATTCGAAAAGAAGCTCGCCAGCCACGTCGGAGGTGATTCAGCTGCAGTCCGCACACGACCAAGCAGGGGACTAGAAGAACTCCGAGTCACAGGCCAGAAGAACAGCAAGGCAGCCTCCAACACAGACGGCGGCCTGAGTTCGCTCATTGCCTGGATCGAGAAGAGGGCCTCGTTGAAAGCCAAGAGAGCAGTCAAAGTCAAGAAGGTACACTCATCGACATTCGCGCATCCCACCCTCTTTCAGTCGCCAGGTTCGGTCCGCTTTCGTTTGCAGCCAATTCCAGAACGACGACCAGGAACCCCGACACTATTGCTCTATCCCCGATGCTCTTCCAGACCTTTCTATAATGTTGTACTAACGTCATGTATANNGTCCCGAACTGAAGGAGATGACTTGCTGATATCCGTTCCTGGCGAAGACGCTGCCCATGTGCTGCGGGTCGACGGCTACGTCTTTGCTGGCGCAAACATGAAGATCGAGCGAGCCTCTGCCCAGGACCTCGACACTGGTGTCTCCAAGGAGACGACCATCGCTATGCTCAAGGGCGTCCTCGTCAGAAGATACAATGTCGAAGCAAAGTTGCTCGATCTCAGCGCCCTCGGCGCAGATCCCGACCTCAAAGCCGCTCAAATCTTTGACAGCAGCTCAACCACAGGCAAATTCTTCCCTGCCCTCATGAAGGTCCTAGACCAACAGTTCAAATCAGCTGCTGAGAAGAACGACGCTATCATCAGCGTCACTCTCGCCAACAACGAACTCTCAAGCATCAGTCCCGTCACAACTCTCGCTCAAACCCTATCACAGCTCAAGAACCTGGATCTGTCAAACAACGCCTTCAAGGACCTGACTGGTCTCGAAGCATGGAGGCGCAAGTTCCCCAAGCTTGACCACCTCATCGTGTCTGGCAACCCTCTGGAACAGGCCGAGCCCGACTATGCCGCAAAGCTCATGGCCTGGTATCCTAAACTTCGTCTCCTCAACACTATTCAAGTTCGCTCTGATCAGGACGCCGAGAGCGGTCGTCAAGTTGCCGACATCCCCTATCCCATCAAGGGTCCCAACTTCCAGGACGAGGGCCAGATTGCCGAAAACTTCTTGCGTACCTTCTTCGCAGGCTACGACACAGATCGCGCAACCCTGGCACAGCAGTACTACGACGAGCAGTCCGACTTTTCATTCGCCGTCAACACTGCCGCTCCTCGAGACCCCACAAAAGCCCACGATACCGCCCCCCAGGAATGGGATGCCTACATCAAGGGCAGTCGCAACCTGAAGAAGATCACCCACCTTCCCGCCAGACAGAGCCGCCTCTGCCGTGGCGCTCAAGCCATCCACCAGAGCTGGTCTGCTCTTCCTGCTACCCGCCATCCCGATCTTGCTACCCAACCTCAGAAGTGGCTCATCGAATGTCAATCACAACCCGGCGTCCCTGATCCTACTGGCGCATCACCTGTCGGTGTCGACGGCTTCCTCATCACCGTTCACGGCGAGTTTGACGAGATCGATGCTAGCGGTCAAGTCAAGAAAGCCCGCTCCTTCGATCGCACCTTCATTCTTGGTCCCGGCGGCCCTACCGGTGTCCGCGTTGTTAACGACATGCTGACTATCCGCGCTTACGGAGGTTTCGCCGCCTTCGAGCCCGACCACAACGAACCACAAGTCCCAGTCGAGGCCGGCGTGCCCGTGCTCCCACCTGGACTCACACCCGAGATCGCCGAACAAATGGTCCTCGAGCTCCAGAAGCAGACCTCCATGACTATTCAGTACGCCAAGGACTGTCTTGAGCAGGTGCAGTGGGATTTTGACCGCGCTTTGCAGGCTTTTACTGCCGTTAGAGCCAATCTGCCTGCCGATGCATTTGTTCAGGCTGCTTAGAAAGATTCATCAACTATGGATGAGGCGGAGGATTATGGTCCAGTATCGACCTTGAAAGTCGACAATGATTGAAGGCAAGAAGACATTGCTCGTTGCCGCTACCTCATCAACTCAACACATGCATTTCACAACGGAGTTTGTCTTTTCTCTTCTTTTCCAGGATTCATGCATTTTCAAAGGACCAAAAAACAACAACATGGGAGGCGGATGAGGGATGGATTGCAACGTTCTTTTTTCTTTCTTTTTCCTGATTTGCGAAGGCGCTTTTGGAGTTGAAGGGCTTATGGGTATTTTATCAGCCCTTGTTTTCTTTTTTGATTCGCTCTCTTCACTATTCTGATTGAACGGCAAGATGGCTGGAAGATGGAGGTGCGACTCAAAGCACTCCCATGGCCTGTTTTTACAAAACAACAAACTTATGATGTCCATGGTGGCATTGAGTACATAGAAGCAGAGCGACTGCAAAAATCAAAAGACTGCCGAGGCGCTCATTGCAGATAAACCACATTGTCCTACCGTCTTTTTGAACCTTGTGCTGCCTGCGAACAAAACCATCTAGCTCTACAAACAAGAAGAGACGATGATCCTGCCTACTGCCCACTCGCAAAACACACAGACACTTTAAGTCGCACGAAGATGGCGCGATCGGCAAACACCTCCTCAAACAGTTCAACTCTCAAGTGTCAGTCATCCACGACACTCTCTATTGACTGAATCGCATCTCAACGATCCTAATGAATGCCGCGAATAGCCTCCGATAGACGACTCAGCGAAAGAGCAGATTCTCTGTGGTGGGACGCCGAATCCTTATCCCCACGAGTCAGCTTGTGGACACGGCCGGAAATAAGCTTCGCTTCGTACCTGGAAATAACGAGGAGGTTGGAGTCGCTGTAACTCTATCTCCACTTAGCGACTCCTCGGTCGCGGCCGACAGACACAGGCATCGAATTTAGTCAGTTCCACGAGGAAACAGGCAGGAGAAAGATGGACTTGTCTGGGTATACGGCATGGACGCGCAATAAGCACCGCCATGACCCGTGTATGCCCCAGTATTGCTGTTTGAATTTATAACTCGGGGCTTCTCAACGTCACGCAAGAGACTTGGACGCCCACCTGCCGACCGTTTATGGAAGGCTATTCGTTCGTCACCAAGGGTTTCTCCAAGGGTCCCCGCGGTACTAGAGAAAGGAACGGTGCCACTCTTCCGAAATCTGATCAGTAGCACACGACCTGCTCCTTCCTCTTCCCTCTCAATCCTTGCATCGGTATCCAACGCGACTTTGGCCTTGCACACACACCACACTGGACTATGGATTGCGAGCAATGACGCAGCAGAGCAAGACGCCACTGCCTACCATGCATCACCAAGATGAGGACGTCGAGCGTGGGGATATTTGGTCGACTGGAAATTCACACCTGCATATACCCTGGCAAAGACCCTATGCAACAGGTACACCGTCACCTGGAAGCCCGGAGCGACACAGAAGCCTAGATGATTCTGCGGAAAGCAGTGGAGATGACCACAGTGGCAACAAACTTCTCCTGACGCTGAAAGAACGCGTTCGACATTTCGTCTGGACCTGGTTTACAATGACGATGGCCACCGGACAACTAGCTAATGTCATCTTGACTGGTACGTATGTTCACGACTTTTTTTTTGTAGTCAAGAAACTGACTCTGTGANNTGTAGTACCTTATGAGTTCCATGGTCAATACGCAATTGGCAGCTGCTTTTTCATCTTCAACCTTGTCCTCTTCACCTTCAATGTTACTATGATCTCTCTTCGCTTCTACTGGTACCCGTCAACTTTCAAGGCATCACTCACGCATCCTACTGAATCTCTTTTTGTGCCCGCCTCGGTCGTCTCGCTCGGCACCGTCTTGACGAACATCACCGAATATGCTGTCGGCAATGGAAAGTCTGGGTTTTGGCTGGAGCGGACCATGATCATCTTGTTCTGGGTCTACTGTGGATTGGCAATGGCCTTTACCTGTGGGATCTATCTCATCATGTGGTCGACCCAGACATATACCATCTCTAGGATGACACCAGGTACGTCGGAGTATGCATCTATACTTCAAGAGCTTTTGCTAATTCGCAATNNAGTGTGGATCTTCCCGGCGTACCCGTTACTCATCATTGGACCACATGCTGGAAAATTGTCTTCACGAGTGGCACCAGAGTCAGCACTACCGATCATCGTTGGCGGTTTCTGTCTCCAAGGCATCGGCTTTATGATGTCTCTAATGGTCTACGCCGCTTTCTTGTATCGACTCATGACGCAAAAGCTACCAAAAGAGTCCCTTCGTCCTGGCATGTTCATCTCCGTCGGTCCCTCTGGCTTCACTATTGCCGGCGTTATTACGATGGGTCAAAATCTTCCAGGATGTATACCAGAGAACTTTATGGGCGTGGGCCAGATGGCAGGCACCATCTCACTGGTCATGGCGAACTGGATGGGTATCTGGCTGTGGGGTCTCGCCATCTTCTTCTTCATCGTCTCTTGTGGTGCGCATTGGTCCTGCGTCAGACATGGGCGGCTTCAATTTGCCTTGACCTGGTACTCGTTCATTTTCCCGAACACAGGTCTGACTGTAAGCTTTGCCAGAACTTCATCTGCTTGTTTCCATCTGAGCTCAAAGCTGACCACTCTTCGCAGNACTGCCACTTTCGCAGTAGCACGCGCGTTAGACCATTGCCGCCCCATCCGCATCCTCGGCTGCGTATTTACCTGCCTCCTCGTGGCCGGTTGGTTCTTCGTGTTCGGCATGATGATTCGCGCTGTTATCCTCAAAGATATCCTATGGCCACAAAAGCAAGAAGATCGTGATGAAGGTGGTTGGAAAACCGAAGACCCAGACTTGACGTTGACGAAGAGTCAAGCAACGGGTCCCTATCCCGAGGGGAGTTCGAAAAGACAAGCCGGATTTTGATCTTGCCAGGCCTTTTATGAAAGACTAGATGGAGTCTATGAACTTTTACGAAATTATGAGATACAGAGTCATACGAATGAAGAGAGTTTACAAGCAAGATTTCACAAGATCGATCTAAAGTATTGTAAACAAAGCGATCCTTTCTCCTTGACTTGCTCAATCTTGCAGTTTCTTCGTCTCTTCGTGTCGGTGCATGCCGTGCGGAAAGTGTTGATCATGCATTTTCAAGCAAGTTCCGGGTCGTTCTTGCCCGGCGTTTGCACGCTGCCTTCCGTATTCGTTTGCATCATCTTGAACACATCTTATATCTCGCACTCATCCCACCGAACTTCCCAATCTCATCACATCTTCCACTGTCCAAGCCAACATGACGCTGCCTGGCATCGAAGGATTCAGAAATGTGTACGAAATTCTGGAAGCTGTCTCGGCTGGCGACAAGGTCAGGCTCCGCCGCGCTGCTCGCAAGATCCGTCTGGTTTTGATGTGTGCCGATGACAGCTGTCTGGATAATGAACACCGCGCCTCTCTGACGGCCATCCTCGGTCTTCTGGTCACCGACTGGAATGAAGCTGAAGTATATCGTCCTTGACGATTACAAACATCGACAGCACTAACAGTCTGAGTANNGGGCCTCCGCCTCGAAGCAGCTCAGGCATACCTCAATGTACGCGCCAAGGCAGCTCTCTGCTGCAAGAACGCCATTGCTCGTGTCGACGAAGAGGTGCGCCACCTGCTGCTCGAAGAGCTCAACAGCAAACAGAGAAGATACACACCTCATGCTTCAGTCATGAAGAGCATCAAGGTCTGCAACGAGCGTGAAGCAAAGGAGAACCTGCAGGAGCTTGGCTTGGGTTTCAAGTATCCCACCTTGAAGATGTTCCCAGAGCGTGCCTTTGATCACTCGGCGTCGATGCAAGTGCTTGAGGGAAGAGCTATGGAACAGGTAAGTACAGACAAGTATACATCTCGTTTCACACCTGACATGAGTGCAGAATCTTACNNGCAGAAGTTCAAGATCCCCGTCGAAATGGAGAACGCTAATCTTCTGGACTTCCTCTTCGACGGCTACTTTGAATCGCTCCTGAAGCATCACAAGATGGAAGCTCTCAACGACTTTGATCCCAACATCGATGAGGCTCCCGTTGCCACATTCTCCAGTGCAGAGACTCCGGACGCCGTACCCGAGCCCAAGATCCTGTCGTCCGAGGAGGTCGAGCGAAAGAGAGCCAAGAACAAGAAGCGTAACCAACGCAAGAGAGCCGCAGAGAAGACCAAGAAGAAGGAGTATGTCGCTACCAGCTCTGACCTTGAGTCCGAAGCCAACAACGATCCTGAGGTCAAGCTCGAGACCAGTATGGCTCTCGTCAAGATCACGTCGTCTTCCAACAGCTCCTTGACAGAAGACGATGTACTCCCCAAGGTCAAGTTCATTCCTCGAGCCATGGACAAGGGATGGATGAGTCATCCTTGCTTGAGCTCGGAATCATGTAACAAGCTCTTCATCAAGCTTCAGGAAGCAATGCTTCGCGTGCCTACCGGCAACCTGGAGAGACGTGTCTATGGTTCCTAGATCTGATTAATCGGTAAAGGTGCAAAGATCTGTTGTAAGTTCTTCGCTAGAGCTGCAAGATCAGATAGCTTCTTGAGTCTTGAAACCTCAAACATAGCTTCGTAGCTCTACCACGTATTGAAGACATTTTGTCCTGTCACGCATCGTGACGTCTGTTCCATAATCATTCCACATCGACACTGCATACACGCGTGCTGCTTACAGCCTCCTATCTCAATGAAAGCATACTGATTCGCTTGTACACCTCACTTGTTTGCTGGTAGATAGGCTCGTGAAAGAAAAGAAAGAAAAGAAAGAGGCAGGAGCGAGGTGGGACAAGGATCGCGGCAGCTGCGGGCTTGGCAAGTGACACGAAGACTCCCAGAACAACTCGAGCAAGAACCTTCCGTCCCACGATGCGCTCTCCGACATATTTTCTCTCATTGACTCGAAAATCGTCTTATGAATTGCTCGTTGCTGTGTTATGATGGCGCGGAGCGTAGGAGGGTGGTCTATGTCTTTGGTAGAGATGCTGTCTCACAGTTCTGATGCTGATGATCGTAGAGATACACAAAGCTATCAAGAAACAGAATCGCTGTCAAGAAACCCAGTTGGTACAATGACTTGGCTTTTTTCTGTAGATGTCACAGCATTGATGCCATGTGCATGAGGAAAGTGACATTCGATCTGGTGTGCAAGTTGCTTTTTTCACATTGTTATCAAATTCTGGCGACAAAAAAGTGTGTGTTGTAAGGAATGAATTAGATCGTAAGTCTGGGTAATAGTATGCTAATAAAAAATTTGTTACAAGGGGGGCCGTGAAATGAATGATGGTTTGTCGCTCTCCCTCTGCTCCTTCTCTCTCTCTCTTGTTCGGACACTCCATCAAGGACATGCTTTGTGAATATTAATGATAGTAAGTTATCTTTCTCCTCATCTTCGTCCGTGTCTTTTCCATCCATATTCCAGGATAACAAGAAGCCACTCAAGTGATTTAACACTTGGAGTAGTTAACATCGTACTCGAACTCGAAAGTCCAAGACTGGTGGGTCTTGTAAGAACCACTGCCACCGAAAGTGGCGTACTTCTTGTGGTCAAGAGCAGCACCGTACAGCGAGCAGTAAGTACCGTAGGGCTTGTTGTCCTTGTGCAAGAAGTAAGAGTTGAACATGGCGCAAGGGGTGAAGCTGCGCTTGCCGGCCTTGACGGCGGCGTTGCGGTTGAAGTTGTTCTGCTCAATGGCGTAGTTGGCGCAGACCTGGGCGTTGAAGGGACCGGGGATGAACTTGCTGCCCATGTGGTACTTGGGGGCGGAGATGGCCTTGGGACCGCAGTTCTGACCGGGCTTCAAGGTGGGCTTCTTGGCGGGAGGAGCGGGAGGTCCAGCGGGCTTAGGACCAGGTCCACCGGCGGGAGGGGCAGGAGGGCCAGCAGGCTTGGGGCCACCGGGAGGTGCGGGAGGTCCAGCGGGCTTGGTGGGCGAGACAGCATCGGCAGTAGAGACAGCGGAGGAAGTGGTGGCAGGAACATCAGGAACAGCGCATGTAGGAGTAGTGACGTTGGTCTTGTCGTATGCGTTGGAACCAGTGATGACGGTCTGGAACTGCTCACGGTAGTCACCCTTGTTGGTGGCAACATCGGCAGAGAGAGTAGATCCCCACAGAGTGCACTTGTAGTTGGTGATGGACGAGGGGTTAGGGCAGTAGGTCTCCCAGGGAGTGTAGGTGGTGTTGTCGTTGTTGGCAGGTGCAAGGCTGGGATCACGCTCAATGTAGATGTTGAACGAAGTGCAGAGGTCGGTGTCGTCGCACTTGGCGGCGCAGTCCTGAGGGTTGTAAGAGGTCAAGGTGTAGAGACCAATGTAGGAGTTGGCAGAGACGGCAGCGTCAAGGTCCTTGAAGACCTGAGTGTACTGAGTCTTGTCCGAGCTGGGGACAACAGTAGGGGCAGCAGATGCCATGGAGTGGAAAGCAGAGTAAGACATGAAAGCGTCAACAGTGTCGGGCTGGACCTGAGGACCGTAACCTCCCTATAGCATAGTTAGCATTGTTTCTGATGAGACTAGAATGAGTAAAATTTACGGGCTGGGGGCACAGGCGTCCTCGGGGTTTATAAAGCCACAGAAAGTGCCCTCCTCGGGTGTGGTAGGGCAGGGGGCGCTAGCATCGTTGGTAGTGCTGGGAACCTGAGTGGTGGTGACAGCAACCGAGCTGGAGGTCGAAACAGCAGCAGATGAGGAGCCAGTGACAGCGTCAACAGTGGTGGAGCTCTGGGGAGCGGTTGTTGAGTAGCTGTAGGCGGGGAGGCTAGTAGGAGGAGCCTGGGTGGTGATCAGGGACCAGGTAGCCTTGGTCTGGGTAGGCTTACCACAGCCCCAGCCCTGCTGAGAGCTGCCCTGCTTGTAGCCGCCCTGGCTACCGCAGTTGTGGAAGATCTCACACTCGAGACCCTTGTAGAAGTAGAAAGGGTTAAAGAGACCGAAAGTACGCTTCTCGAGGTCACGCTTAGCAGCGCTGGTGGCAGTAGAGCTAGCAGTAGCAACAGTGCTGACAGCGACGGTGCTGGCAATAGAAGCCTCGTCAACAACGACGACACCGGTAGGGCCAGTGGCGACCTCAGGAGCGGCGTCCAGAAGAGAGAAGTCGAGGTCCTGGGGCTTGGGGGCAGCAGCAGCCAGGCCAGCGACGGCGGCCAAAGCGAAGGCGGTAGAACGCATCTTAGAATACCTGATTGAACGAAGGAACAGGTAGATGAGAAGAAATGAAGGCTGATGAAGGTGATGAGGAATTGTTTTCTGGTGATGGGGGATGGTGATTCTTATACCTAATTTACCTCTAGAGGCTCTACTTACAGCTCGGTGGGTGTCTCTGAGCCTCGATCCGAGTGATGCAACGATATTGTGATCTGATCGTTCTCGTCCGTGGAGCGGAGTCCACCACCTTGGGGCTGTGTACCATACTCTTCGCAGCATAAGCTCATCACGAACAGACCTCATACCACTGACAGTGTACTCACAGACTTTCTTGGCAGGTGCTTGAGATCTCAAATCGTAAGGTGAGACAATAGTCTCCAGCCTGCACCTGCCGTATGGGACGTATGTAGACGAACTTGGCGTGGTAATAATGGATCCCGATGATGTTTCGAGCTTAGACAGTGCACGACGTGCAGACGGAGCACTATTTTGGCAAGCAAAGTCAAAGACCTGTAACCTCTACGGACGGGATCTAACCTTGTGCAGGACCTGCCCGTGCCGTCCCAGAAAGATGGCGTTCAGGTACGGCGGCAAGAAAGCCCCGAGTTATACGAATGACTCGACCTTGGCTGGAACCCGTTAGTTTTTGACCGAATGAGTTCAGTCAAAGAATAAACGTTTTTCATGCCAACTTGTGTTTCGAACTGAAACCTCTTGATGGAAGCCACGGGAATGCTAGAGAGTTGAATTGAAGTGAGACTTGAGCAACGCTTCTACGGTTCAACTGCGAAGACCGTGCTACGCCCGTTTGTAGATGGAGCAGCTCTCCTGCAAGATGATGGGTCTATGCATGGTGACCTCGTGTAAGCAGGTACTACACAAGCATTGCGGCAGGTTTTGTCGATATTGAAGCAATAGCTTTGCATGGTGCTCACATAAGAGAAATGATCAACAACTAGACTGGAACATCGCAGTGATCGCTTGCCTTCTTGAGGAAGCCCATCGGGATCGTTCTGGCAGAGCTCGCATCCACCCATTCGTCTACGAGCCCTCAGGTTCGAACTCTGAGTACGGCGCGAGCGGAAGAATTCGTTTTTCGTCCTCTCCACAGAGGAGTTGATTTAGAGTGCGTGCGACAAGCGCTCGGACTGCTTGATCGATGCAGTGCCGTTCCCAACACGTGCATTCGTTGAGCATCTGTTAGCCATGCAGAAACGTTGCAAACAACGTGGAATCTGCTCGTTGTCCATCAACTGCCGATACTCGTTGTGGAGTCCATTCGAACTCCTTCAAACTCCGTATCTATTCGAGTCTTCCTCACTAACTCTGATACTCGGATTTTGCAAGTCGGTGTGTCTGAGACAGTGAAAATGGTATATCTGGTATGCATCTTCTCCATTTGAAGGTTACAAACTTTAGCCGCGTAGATCCCCCTGGTAGATCATCTCGGCCTGCTCGGACTATGAATAGATCGGCGCCGGGGCTGTCGAGACGACATCACAAGGCCACCCAGCAGTGGAGATACTCTTGCATACAAGTGCCCAACAACATATTGATACATAGGCAACTGAACGCGAACTTGTCACGCATTTCCACAAGCGAAGAATAAAGAGGGTCTTTAGAGACAGAAGCGTTTGGGTGGGCCGTGGCGTCGGTGGCTTTTTTTGCCAAACCAAAGCTTCTCTTGCCGTACTGCCCGAGCAACCCTGTCTCACACTCTACTCTCCATTCTTGACCAGACATCAAGGTGGATAAATGCACAGGGTTTGCAGGACACTCATTGTAGGTCCGAAACATATGAGGTATGTCAAGACGGAAGGATATACAAAATCCTTCTGACTGGAGTGGAGTGGAGTCATGTCTTTCTTCGAACCACACGAGTCAAATTTGCACATGCATAACCTTGTGAAGGATACCGAAATGATCAAATCTTCTGCCAAAGTCAAAATACTGAATGCACGAACAAGGCAATCGCTCCGACACTACTCGAGTAGCCTAAGCAAAAGCAAGTCTCGCTCGTGAGCGATAGAATGAGCGATTCGTGATGACTGAACACGTCGGACTGGAATATGCTCCGGGATTGGGCCATCGGCAGTTGATTAGCTATATCTCGTAGCGAGAGATCCTCGTAGCTATTGCGGATGAACTGGAGATAGAGTGATGATCTGCCTCCACGACCTTCGATATGGCGTGCATGGTACTCGAGCATATACGATGTATTGACACCACGCTGACAATTCTTTGACAGACTTCAATCTGCTGCATCAAACCAAGCCTTGAAGCAGCTTCACATACAATCATTTGGACGCAGAAACGCAAAGGCACCAACACAAGCAGGTGACGCTTTGTGGACATTAACATGAAATTGAGATGAGTAGACATCAAATGGTCCACGATCAGGGCTCACACCTTCATGTCGCCATGTCGCTGTTTAACCTTCAAAGCCATGTCGGGCCGTATATTGACAAGCGTCATTGCCAATCTCGGTCTGATGGCATCTGTCAACTCTTCTTTCCCACACGTGGCCTTCCTTTGAGGATCCAGCTAATCCAACCTGACGGATCCCTTTGACTTCCAGAAGACCCATAAGACTGCGATTGCCACTTTGAGCGATCCGGCGAACCACAAGACTTTGGAAATGTCTTCGTCCTGGGTCAAAAAACCGCCGGCAATTGCACCTAGTACCACCATGAGCATGCTCCCTACTCGGCGGTTGCGCTTGACATTCCGAGTCGGTCCATCAAAGACTTTATCGTCAAAAGCAAAGTCAAAGTAAGAGCTCGTCAGGACAACACTGGTTACTTCTCCGTAACCAAGGATTCTTGACATGGCCATCTGTCCGGCGGATTGGACCGACAACAGACCTAGAGGCAATAGAACGATGAAGCTGTCGGGCAAGACGTCGCCTGCATTGTTTGGAACCACACCAGTATACTCAAGGGCGGCGCAAATGAATATCAGTACGGCCTGGATCAACCAGGAGTATACCATCGTGCTTCTTCGAAGAGGTCCAAGATATTTCATGAATCGGCTGAAGATGAATGCACCCATCACGAATGAGACGATGGACATTCCTGACTTGGCCCAACGCCATGGTGATGACTTGGGTTGACCAGAAACACCAAGACCGAGGTAGAGAGTGTTACCTGCNNCAATGTGAGTCATCAAAGTCAATTGGTATGAATGACATATCTCACCTGTTTGCATCGATACGAAGCAAGACCACACATTGAATACCGCCGAGTCCAAGAGACCGGTGATGAAGCTGCTGGCGATAAGGACCGAGTCGGCCCATGATTCGGTAAGTTCTGCATCGAAGTGATCCCGTAGCGAGCTCATGTGGCTCTTTGCTTGCTCCTGGTTATCCTCGACGTCCGGCATGGTTGCTGTATGAACAGAAACTACAAAGGACCTCTGACGCTCGCTGGTCATGTATTTTGCCAAAGACATTTTGGCGTCCGTGCGCCATCGTCATCAATGTCGCAGAAATCAAGCCTCGGATGCCGGCAGAATATCTCTTGGATGCAATGTCTCTCAGAACACTCGAACCATACATGGAACCAGCTGTAAGTGTTCTTAAGACGTGGTTATACTGTAAATTAGTTCGACGCCGCTCTGGAAAACAGTCATGCTTCGCTATCCGTGCTCCCCAGCTTTGCCTACCTTGATGGCGTCTGGAACGAGGAACAGCTTCATATAGCATGTTAAGGAGACTGTCATACACGAAACGAAGCAAAGCTCTGTGAAATTCAGAGCAACAGCAGCGTAAGTAAATGATGCGGGAGACAAGGGGAAGAGAACTATAGATTCCAAGTATTGTCTGGCATCTAGTCCATTGGAAGTTCTGTCAGATCAATAGCATCTCCAAACCACAATCACTTCTTCTAATGAGAGAAGCGACACAGATCCCTAGCTTAGTCCCTACTATCACTCTATATCCCCTCACTATCGTGAATGCTACCGTACCCAGCTGTTACACATTTTGAAAGTGTTCTTTTTGCAGCTTTGTTAATGTGGAAATGTACACACCCATTATCCGGGCAAACCCCTTTATAAAGATCTTTATATAATATAACACAAGTTATATTACAGGCAGCTATAGTTTCCAAGTCTAGCTTAACATTACCAACGCTTTTATATCCTATACTATATATAACTTTGCCTGTTTGGCATTCTACTATGTATCTAGTATAGAGATGTAAAGATAATCTTATATTGCCACCATTCAAAAAAAAAAAAAAATTGAAATCTCTCCTTTTTACCTAACCATCGTCCAAGTCATGAGTTCTTTATGACATGTCTCTACCTCCCTAATGTAATTGATGCTAAAATCATAAGCTGTAGAAATGCAGAAACCCTTCCATGCTAGAAAGCATGGCCATGGAGATACATTTGAAAGAGTTTTTTCCTCCGTGGACCTTGCCTTCTTGCAAAACTGTATTCTGCATCTCTATAGCCATAAAAAGATAAATCATCACATGTCACCCATAGGAGAGAAAAAAGATATCCAGCGCACAAAGAAGTATAGCACACGCTCAAGTATACCAGCAAGATAGTAGTGATCTTGTCGATAAAGGGATGAAGCAGACTCACTCTCGGCAAAAGCGAAAGGAAAAGAAAAAAAGGACATTCATCACTCTTCTGATTCGAATAGAACAAGACATTACTCAGAAGTATAGAGCTATAGACCCCGCATGTCATTCAAGGAAAGCAAAAGATCGGATGAAAACAAAGAGATTTGTGAAATGTTGACGTCCCAGAAGAAGAAAAAGGAGACCATTGACATGACCACAACTCCCAAAACACCATGCCAAAAAATAATACATATATCCACAATGTTGCGAACCCAATGAGCGATGAGAAGAATAGAATCCGGAAGGAAGAGGGGAGGGTTGTGTCCAAAGTAGGCATGACTTTCCTCCGAACAAAGCAAAAAGACGAAGCACAGTCATCTACGCCCCCTTGGTCTGCCGCCTCGAGAATCGGGTCTTGCTCTTCGCCCTCATAAAGCTCCTCCGCCCAAGTGCATCTCCCTCGCCTCCCCTACCCCTAACGTCTCCGGATGAGACAGTCAACGTCCTCCCACTTCTAGTAGCCACCCTCCCTTCTTCCCTCCTCTTCTCAACAACATCCTGACTTAACCCTCCGAAGCCGCCTCGCTTGCGGAAGCAAGTCTCCATGAGCGCATTCGCATCCAACATACCCCTGGGCAAACTCTGTACAAGCTGGAAGATCTCCATGGGGTCAGAGACGGCTTTGATGGTTTGCTCCGAAGACTTGAAGATGGCCAGAGCGACGCGGAAGAGTGTCTTGCTGCCTTCAAAGAAGAGGCAGTCCCAGACGCGGAGGACGCATTCAATGGGTAACGTGCCGACAAAGAGGGACATGAACCATGCTGTTGTTGCCAGACTGACGGTGGGTAACCGAGGCACGCCGCCTGCAGCCGGTGTAGTGGGTTTATCATCGAGTTTTGCCCAGATGGAAGGAAGTGATTCTTTTATCGAGGTCATGAGGACGGCAATATCGATGTTCGCGCCTTCCAGTGCGACGCCGTGAGTGCCGGGCAGATGTTCGGTAGTTACAACATTCAAGAGAATGAAAGCCTTTTCTTCGTCTTCGTTGAGGAACAAGAGTAGAAGGCCGGCGATAAAGTTGAGACTCTGGCAGTATCCTATGTTTGGGTTGTGAACAGCAAAAGCCTGCAAGACTCGACGCAGTGCCTTGATCATTGGAGTCTCATTCTCGGTCTCGCCAACACCGCGGCTCTGTTCCGAGGTTGTGGGCCGATCATCAGGTTTGAAGCGATCGTTGTCGGGGAATGTGCGATTGAGATCGCGTTCGATATGCTCGCGATCATTATCGCTCAGAGCACCTTGATTGACCTGCTTGAGCAGATTCCAATACAGCCCAGGATCTTCGGCCAGTTTCTTGGGACCGCCGGCATACCAGAACCAAGCAGCGCCTCGCCAATCCGGCGGGATACCCTTACGCACATATCTCTTGATCTTTTCAGATTTTGTAGGGAAACGTGTGGGGTTCTCGGTGGTGTAGCCGAATTGTTTCATCAAGATATTCCACTTGCCCCGTCTTCTATCGAGATGGAGATTGTAATCTTTCTCCCAAGCGTCATAATCCTGGACCGAGATGTGTAGAGATGATTTTTTGAAGCCGTAACGATCGCGAGGTACAGGTTTCGAGGGAGGGAGGGGAATGCTGTTGCTGACGGGCGAGTCGGTGATGGGGGCAGGGGCAGGAGCAGGATCGACGGTAGGCGGCGGAGCAGAGAGAGGCGGGTCAGGCAAAACGCGGCCAGACAAGATTTGGGTCGAGGTTCTGCTATGCGACAAGGATAACGTGGGCTTGTTGTTCCTGTCAAAAGGAGTGAGATTGGCATCGGCGAGGATGCTCTTGCGGTCAACCATGCTGGCAGAATGACTGCGTCTGTGCGAGCCACCGCTCTCGTTGGTAGAGGATGGCGACGTGCCAGGCCGTCCACCGAGCGTATCGACAGAGCCTTTGGGAGCATGCAGGAAACTATTTGTGCGAGAGTTGGCCATGCTCAAACGCATCGACTTCCGCATCTGTTCGCGCAGGTTGACGCTGAGGTTGACGGGCGTGCCGAAGCCAGCAATGTACATGTCCAGCAGATCATCTTCATAGTCCGTCATGTTGTCTTGAGCGTCATCGTCGTCCTCGGCATAGTCAATCTTGACACAATCCGAGACGGAGCTGTCGGCGGTTGCAACACTGCTACGTGCCGTGCCTGTCGTCGAGTCCATGTGGCTGCTGGTCGATGTCATTTGCGAGCGATAGCTGGTACGGGGTTCGTTGCGGTCCGAGTCGGGCACAGCCATGGACGTCGGGCTGTCTTCCAGAGGCCAGCTGCCCTGTCGCGAGAGAGTAGCGTCGGCCAGGGACAGTTCACGAGGGCGGGAACGAGGCTCGACGGCCGAAAAGTTGCGTCGACGGGCAGGACTCTTCTCATCGTCGGTATCCTCCCACCACTTGTTGCTCTTGACGTTGACCCGGGAGCTGTGCGGCGGAGCTATGCTGCCCGAGGTAACAGGACCCAAGGCCTCCTGGCCAGCGTCGGTGGTGATGAACAGAGGAGCGGGCTTCTGTCTCGTCTTGCTGAAGGTGGGCAGGCTGGGCATCCTCTGTCTCAGCCGCTCGGGCGAGGCCTTGCGCAGCGGGAGATGGGGTTCAGGGCTGCGGACTCTGCGAGGCCATGAAAACTGCGGCGTCGTGGGCTGCGAAGGAGAGACGGGCGAGTCGGGCGTCTTCTCTCGCTGCTGGTGGTAGTGCTGGTTGGCGAGGACGGCATTGATGGAAGCCGTGGGCGCCATGGTTCGGCTCATGCTTCCAGGAGGATGTCTATACGGATTTCAGGAGGGCACGTCGACTCATGGCTGTGTTTCGTATAAGCGCTGTCGACCAAAGCATCCGGTGTTTTCTTCGCTTGGTCTTGTTGGCCGTTGTTGTGTTTTGCTGGAAAGCCGACGGAAGAAAGAAGCGTGCAAAACGTCAAAAGCTCTTGCACCTCTGCAACACAACAAGCACATCCAACACACGTTCACAGGCCATCAAAACACCGGCTGCAAATGTGCCAACCTCTGCTACAGCCTACCCGATCAAATCCATGTGAAACACACTGCAAACCTAAAAGGTGACGCTCCCATTGGCTTCCGTCGAGCAATTTCCACCGCCCGTCGCCAAGCCGCAATCAATACTGATTTCCCGTCCAACTTCCCAAACAACCACTGACAAGCACACCTGACCGCGCTGTTCCTTCCGACAAACACGTTCCCGAGAGCGACACTGTTCGTCTGTTGCTTCCAACAAGGCGGCTGCTCCCGCAACTCAACCAGAAGAACGCCTTTCCCTCCCCGATTTCTGTCAATACTGTCCATGCGGCATCTTGATCTCTCTTCCACGATGCCGATTGAGAAAGACACACGCACATCATCCAATCCCGCTGCCATTATTTCGTGACCTCTTCATGTATATTGCCTCGTCTCGATTCGGCCGTGCGACAATCATAGGGCTGCCAAAGTCTACATCGAACCCGTCCGTACACCCTCAACCATACTCCTGAACCACGGCCGTTTTCCATCAAAAAGGGTATCGTTGTTTGTCATACCTAAACGAAATGCTCTGCTAGAGAACAATGCAAAAATCGACTGGACCGTTCTTGGCCCATCCCGTGTTGCCTCATAAGCCCTACCGTTCCTCGTGCCACATGATCTTATTGCGCATACAACCGATGCCCACTGTGAACAATCATCTCCGACCAGCCAACACCTCGCCCAGCTCTTTNNTTAGACGGACAGGTTTTGTCATGAACTGATCGACTCCCGACGAGAATGCCTCTTGCTGTGCCTCTGCGCTCGCCAATCCCGTCAAGGCGATGACTTTGCTGGATTCTATGCCATGGCTCTGTTCAAACGAGCGTATCCTCCTCGTGGCTTCTAGCCCGTCCATCCTCGGCATAGAGATGTCCATGCAGACAAAGTCAAACTTTGTAGCTGCGTCTTGTTGATGTGAGCAAAATGCTTCTACTGCTTCGACGCCATCTTCTGCCGTCACGTAGTCGTACTTCTTCGACTTGCAGTAGCGGACCAGCAACTGGAGGTTGATCTTGTTATCGTCGACCAAGAGGAGGCACAGCGCTCTAGGTCCGTCTTGTCTTGCCGTCTCTTCGGGCTCTTCGGCTGCTTTGTTCTGGCTTCGTGACACTCGTGGAGGTGTGACCTCGCGCGAAGTTGACGACTGCTCGTTGTTGCGTGCTTGCGTGTTGGGAGCAGGCATGCTCGGCAGCGTCATGAGTTCCATATCCCGGTATAATATGACATCTTCCAGCTGTGGCGGTCTTTGCTCTTTGCATGTCACAAATGCGCGCGCCAGTTTGCGAGGTCCGTAGGGTTGCGCAATAAACTCGGTCGTGACTGTTCTTCGGAGTGCTTCACTCTCAGCGTATGCCTGTCGCAGCCGCGCGTTGCTTTCGCAGAGTATTATGACTGGTTTGTTGAGTTTGATCAAGTGTTCCTTGACGTTAGGTGAATTGTGGCATGTCGTCAGCACCACCGCCGCGTCTCCTACCTCTTCGACTCCACTGACAGTGGTGAATTCCATCTTGAACCAACTCCAGCATTGCTTGTCGAGAGCTTTGCGAAGCGATCGTTGAGAAGAAGTCTCCCCGTCGCTCGATATGGGCGGATCGATGAATGCTACTTTTAAGCCTCGCAGCTTTTGTGCCGCTTCGGTCATGATAAAGGCTTCGTCATTTGCTTCTGGGCTGGGGACTGGATCCATCATGATGACTTCGACGCGAATTTCGGTGCCCTTGTTCAACTCGGACTCTACCGAGATCTCGCCACCAAGATTGCTGACGATATGTCGCACCATGGAAAGACCCAGTCCTGCTCCGGGATTGAGTGGGTCCTCTTGCGCGAATGGTCTGAACAAATGGTTCTGCAAGTATTCCTTGGACATTCCTTTTCCAGTGTCTTTAACCGTCAATGATATACGGCTTCTTCCAGGTCCTTCGCCATTTCTCGGCAACTCCTGAGAGGACAGTCGTATGTAGATGAACCCGTCGTTCGTGTACTTCAAGCTGTTGCCAGTNNCTTCGGTTGTGGTCAGTATCTCCTGTGACACGCGAATTGACAGACTGCTTACCAAATTCATGACTAAGCGCTTCCATGCTCCTCCTTCGGTACATAATAGCCAGTTCTCGTGATCCTTGGCCTCGATATCAACAATGATTTCGACGTCACATTTGGGTGTCGTGTCAGTATTCTTGTATGCCTGGCTGCTTTTTGGTTCATCACGAGCGCCTGCAGGAGATGAGTAGCCTGCGAAGACGGTTTCCAAAGCTTCTTCGGTAATCGTAGGAAGATGCACTACTGAGTCGAGACTCAGTATATCGGCCTGTCTTGTCATCGAATCTTTCTGGCGCTTAGACTTGTTGCGGGTGAAGTTGTTAATCTTACTGAAGTCGAGCAGGTGGTTGATGGTATCTAGGAGTGTGCGTCCACAAGTATCGACGGTCTCGACTAGCCCATGTTGCATTGGATCAAGGTCCGATGACTCCAAACATTCTATACTGCCCAGAATACCATGCAATGGACTACGCAGCTCGTGACTGATGCTGTTGAGTAGATCAGACTTGGCCTTGTCTGCCATGGCCGTGTCAAGTTTGGCAACCTCGGACATGATGGCCATGCCGAAGGCTCGTAGGAAACTCAGCTCAGAATCCTTGTGCAACAAGCGTATCGCTCTGTTGGACCAGATGATGCCACCGCAGAACCAGCGCATGCGGTGATCATCCCACATGGGAACGAATGCAAGAGAACGAGCATCAGGGAACAAGCGCTTGAGCTCGGCAATGTCGGCCGATCTTTGTCGGCGCACTTCTTCTCGCTTCTCGTCGTCTGAATGCTGTTCCTCATCAGGTTCGACTTTTTGGCCAAAATCTTCAGATTCTTCGGGGGTTTTGGCGTTGGTCATGTGTAGCTCATTCTCTTTGGGGTCGATGTTGAAAATCCTCCCTTGTCCATATCGCGTCAAGAAGGAGTGCAAGAAGGCTTCTGTGATGGACCAGCCATGATCGATTTCACCTGCACTTGCCAAGACATGGCACTCCTTGTTAGAAGCGGTGTTCCGGGTGAAGTAAGAAGCAGAGTCGTCGTCAGAGGTAGCGGGGACGGATTGTACTAGAGCGCCGAAGCTCCCCACGGAAGCATCGAGGAAGACTACGCCTTCGACGTCGATTGCGTCTTTGATGATCTGAGCAGCGCGTTGAAAGGTCGACTTGACGTCGGTCGAGAGCATTTGTGCTTGCAAATGTTCAAAGCTGAGAGAATCCTCTGCGGATTTGGTTTCACCAGGATGTTGGGNGGGATTCTCGTTCTGGACATGGATCATTTCCGGTGGCTTGGAAGTAGAAGCTCCGGGGGTTGCAGGCGGTTCACCCTGGCATTCGACGCTTGTGCTTTTAGGGAGCGTCTTCGAATGCATGTTCATGTCAACCAGCCCCTTGCCCTCGACAAAGGAGCCCAGGCCGACGACCATTTGAGATGTACGACGGTGCTCTTCTTTCGACCTGACCATGTCGAGGTGGGTCATGATGACACTTGACATGTATCGGAGGAACACCTTGTCGGACTCTGTGAGGTCGTCTCTTGATTCATAGCCTAGAACCGAGATGACACCAATGACAGGGCCATAGGGACTCCGAATGGCGGTTCCAGCATAGAAACAGACATTGTCGGGCACGTTCATGTGCGATTTGCAGCTCCTGTACCAGTCGTCCTCTGCAATGTTGGGCACTACAACAACGCCATCCGGGTCGCTGTCTACCTTGTCGTCGGCCAATTCGAGGGTGCGCTCGCACAGGAGTGACTTGCGTTCTTGGGCTCCTGAGCCGAGCCATAGTTCGTCCTTGGGATCGTCGGCTTTGTATGTCTTCAAGGAGAGGGTCGGGGTTGCTTCGGCCAGAATGTACTGGTTGTTGCGGTCGAAACAGGAAACGAGACAGCGGCTGACGCGCAGTCGCAGGCAGATGAACTGGGCGAAGGCAGCGAGGGCATCGTCGAAGGCGGCCGAGCGGCCGTGGGAACCAGAGTTGATCTTCTCATCGCTCGTTTTCATGAGGTTGTCAAAGGGCTCATAGTATCTGTAAGTCTAGGGTAAGCAAGCGATGGCTGGGGTTGTATGTGTGTCAACCTGCTTGTAGAACTCGCGCGCCCTAACGCCTTCTATCTCGCCATCGTACTTGGCTGCGAAAGCCGTCGAGGGAGTAGGCGCCATGACGGCGGCGGGAGGGAGGGGTGCGCCGGAGCTGAGCGAGGCGCTTGCACTTGCGCTTGACAGTCGATGGCGCTCAAGTCGACTTCCCAAATGCGATTGACTGTTGCTACACACGGTCTCCGCTGCGCATTCTTGTCAGAAATGCCAGAATCCCATGGCCAACACCACTTGTCCCATCATGCGCCCGTCAAACACAATCGTAGAGCTCGGGCCAGTCCAGATGCCTTTGGCTTTGGTCTAGATCTCCGACACCGTCGTCATTCGTCTGCCAAAGTGGACTCGACAACGAAGCCTGCCGCGGTCGTGGGTCGCTGTCCGTCTGAGTTGACTTATGTCACCACAAAACACCAACCTTTCTGCTCGCTGCCACTTATATATCACCTCGACTGTAGCCAGCAACTGTCTATGTTGGATGATTCCATCTTCTATGCACAGCCTGAGAACGGCTTACGTGCGTACATCCCGTTCACGATTGCTTGCAAATCCAAGCAACCAAAGCGCGGGTCGAAGAAGCATTGCTAAGCGCTTAGGCGGCCATCCCCATTCGCCGAGGGTCCAACCCGGTCCTAAGACAAGACAATATCACAATCACCACTGCTTGCTCAGAACTGGCAGATAACAACTTTGGACGCGTTCAGAGGACAGAACAATACGTAGTATCAGAGGCAGAATGATTATCTAGGAGCCTTGGTTAGAGTAGTGTATAAATGCATAATTCATTTCTGATTTATAGCAAAAACCAAGGAGAGTGATTGGGATCTGTGTGGTTTCGTGTGCAATCTGGTAAGTCATCGTGCGTTTTTACAGTATACAATCGTGTTAGTACAGCGTAGGAGAGAGGTTGTGACTGTCGTGACCTGAGAAGGCTTCTAAGCTGACCGCATGTTCTTACCCTATGTTATGAACCGTGCAATGATATTGTAATAATCTTTTGGCACGCCGCAAAAGTTGCAGATAGTCATGTAGGGCTACATATTGCTCATGCGCGCGTTGAAATGCTCTGTTCCTTCTTTGTCTGTTTTTTGCTCTTTGCCTCTATCTCATCATTCATCTCTTAATATGCCCACATGCACTTCTGGTTAAGGATTCTGGCACCGAGTCTGTCAAACTCCAGCTGCCCAATCCAGCTATCGTTCGTACCTCTCATCTTACCAAACACACTGCCACCCTTCCACACCAGGACCTGTGGGTCTAGCTCTCTAGGTGGAGGTCCAACCAAGATCTCCTTCTGAAAGTTCGGCTGTAGTGCCCGAAGCCTCTGCTCGAGATAGACGTTGAAGTTGTACGTCTTGCTGCCACCACCGATCACCATGATACCGCCGAAGAAATCACGCGTCTTTTTCTCGTCACCCTTGGCGCCTTCGGTAATGCATGTAACAATCGCTTGATCCAATGGCATGACAGGCAGAACTGCTTCAGTCTCGGGCTGTGTGCCTTCGATTCCAGCCCCTGCCACGGCCGGTGTTGCGTCTCCAGCTCCTGGTGCTGGAGTAGCCGTATCTTCGGGAGCAGGCGAGCCGGCTGGAGATGAGCGAGGTGTACTCTCCGCTACATCGGCAAGATGCGTCAGGCGGTCCAGGTTCAGTGGTTTGCTGGGCGTTGCGGGCACACCACCAGGGACTGGTGTATTTGTCGATTCTGTTACAGCTGAAGGGACGTTGTCGGATGAGTATTTGTAGACTTGTAGCTGAGCAAGCGACATGGGATCATTAGGCTTGTCATCGTACGTGTCCGTTGATCGACCGATGAGCTTGCGTCGGCCTGCGAGCTTGTCTGCGTGGTCAAAGATTGTTGGCCTGAAGAAGCCNNCTGGAACACAGGTTAGTCACAGAACCAGGATCAAATATGCATCATGACATACCATCGGTGCCAGCATGACCTCGTCGTAAGTCTTGAACTGATATTTACGGGTGTCTTGACCGAACGCACGCAGATGGAACTCGTAGAGCTGTACGCTGATGTGTGCATCCTCGAGCGTGCAAAATTTCTGCTTCAATTCCTCCGCCAGCAGATAGTCGTGCCTCCTCAAAAGGTCCATGTTGGCGTAATTGAAGTGGTCGAACAGCATCATTTTGATGAAAGTCTCTGTGACATCTTCTCCACCAAATTTCAGGTTCATGCGAGAGTTTTCGACGCACATGCCTTCCTCGACGCAGCAAATGGACGTCTTCTGCGCACCAACATCGACGATACAACTGCTTGAGTATCCAGCTCCAAAGGTTGCTGCCAGACTTTCCTGGATAAAGCATACTCGCTGGAAGCCAAAGTCCCGGAACATTTCTTCCAGAATGGATGTCACAAACACTTTTTCGTACAAATCAGGGATGACAAAAACGCAGGAGTACTGTGCCCAGTCTTTCTTGCGATTCAAGTGAAGCTCATTCTTGATGGCCTCTTCGATGATGCGGAAAAAGTCGCGGAGCAAGACAGACTTGCTCGAGTAGTCCTGTTCGTTGAACCAGCCATATTTGAGCGGCCAGTAAAGCCTATACCTCGGTTTCGAATGCTGCGGTATCCGCATAGCCGCATGTCCAGTGAAGTATTCCGGTACAGGGGACTCGATCTCTGTCCAGTCAACGCGTTGAGGATCATTGTGCTCGGAAATGGTTTCCGGAGCATTGCGCGAGTTCCAGTTCACGACGAGCTCACGTGAGTTGGGCAAGACTCTGCGTTTGTTGTTACGACGGTAGATCTTGAAGTCAGCTGCCATGTTGCTGTATTCCTTTGCAAANNCTATTCCAAGTCAGTCTTCGTCTCATATCAGAGGCAGCAGGTTACGTACGTCTTCACCAAATGCACTCTCGCCTGCAGGCTCTGATGAACCGTCCTGCAGCTTGACTCGCTTCGGTCGGGGTTCAGCACCAGACTCCTCGTCTTCCGCATGTGAAGCCTTACGTGCAATCACCATCGGGATAGTCTTGGGAAGAGCGTCCGTTGCAAGACCGATACGTAGATTGCGACTACCCGGGTGGATGACAATAGTCTTTGAGCCAAAGGATTCGGCTTCAGCAGCTTCGTCCTCAGCGGCATCTTCATCCATCTCGGCTTGTGCGGCATCAGCTGATACTCCATTAGAAGCAGCCTGAGCCATTGCGCGGTCCTTGTCGCGCGCAGCTTTGATCATGCGATTGCGGTTCTCCTCGCCCTGTAGGCGGAATGCAAGAAACTGCTCATCGCGCTTCAAGAAGTCACTATTGCAAAAACAAGAGTCAGCGATACCGCGTGTCAAAAGAGCGGACTATTGTACCCGTGCGACCGCTCCTGCCGTTCATAAATGCCTTTGGGCATTGGATCATGTTACTCCAAACAGACAACAAACGATGACAAGAAAGGAGTGCAGAAATCAGACGTGACGGCTACTCAGTGGGCGCAAAGTAGGCAGATAGATGTAGTGTTTGGGCATGGGAAGAGAGGTGAGACGAACGTGTAGTAATTCTTCTTATTGACGACCTTCGGAATCAGTTCAAAGGGGGAGTTCATCGGGCCATTAGATGAAGCCATCGTATGCGGCGCGACTTGCGGGTAACGGATATATTATTATTTGTTTGCCGCCGCAAGGGAAGGGGTTGATTTGGAGGATTGCTCTCACCAAACAGGTGGCTGATCGCGCGCTTCCCAGGTTCACTCCGTCGGAGCCGAGCTTTGATCACGTGTGTCGCGAGGACTCCGACGACATGTTGCGCAAGCCGCACCGTGCGCCCAGACCTACAAAATTCCAACTTTTCCTCCTCCAACCTTCCTTTGCATCACAACAACATGAGTTTCAGCTTCGGCATCTGCGCGTAGCTTCGCGCCCTGCCTGTCTACGCACAGAAGATGCAAGAGACAGGCTCCAACTACCCAGGTAAGCTTCTGCGCAACCTTCCAACCACCGCCAACAACACCCCTCTCCTACCTGATGAACGAATGTTTTACGATTAGTCTTACGGAATGTATTCATGTCGACAAACATATTCTGCCCTTTTGCTCTCTGATCCTTTTTGGAGTACACATCTTGCACAACCCGAGACACAGCATGTTTGAAGTCATCTGCTAACATCATGCTCAGTAGGTTCAAAGCTCACAAAGCACATGGCTGCATCTCAGCTCTATACAAATAAATATTTAAATAATAACATTGATTACCTTCCCTCAATCATTCCCTGGAGTCACATTATGTATGAATGTAAATATATGGCTGCATCTGTCGAACGAGCTGCAAGCCTACGAGGGCATGCATGGATGTTTGAGCATCCGAGGCAAGAGATCAGTTAGCTTGCAATTGTTCACTGGCTCACTCGACCGACCATACGGGAGAAAAGGAATTCTATATGACAGCACATCGACCGGCATTTAGCTTCTACTAAAAATTGTTTGTTCTCGTACCAGTGCACTAAAAGATTAGTCTCGTTGAACCTCCCCGTGTGCTTATAGAGCGAAATGGATGCTATAAAAAGTTATAATCCTTCTCAAAGCAGAAGAGTAGCTAAAGAGAGCCGGAAAGATGTTGACTCTTGGCGGATAGTGGCTTAGTTCTTATAACACTGTGTTCGCATACACACGCTACAAACTTTAGCACTTGGAGAGGAAGGTATCGTCTTTGCTCATTGTCAGATTGCTCACGAAAAGAGTTGCTAAGTCTTGGCGTCCTCCTCATCAGTGTGATTGAAAGACATCTGGCTTCATTGTCACATTCTCCTAGACCATAACGTCTTGGTCTTGTTCTCGCACAGCCTTCGAATGTCTTGAGTTCGCACACAGATTTGCATTGCACATGTTGCTATAATACTTGGGTATGCATTTATCTGGCTCGAAAAAATTGCAGCATCAGCGTCTCTCGAGCAGCCGGCCACCTCCGACCAGCAACCACAACACGCATAGATAAGGCAGGGGTAGCCAAGAACACCCAGAAAGTCAGACATGCTCCATGATGATAGTACAGCCTTCCAAGAAAGATAGAGCACCTCGTGGCGATCCTGTAGAGGCTTGAGGTTGTGATAAGCATCATCGGAGGCCGCCGACACACCTTGGGGCTCCACCTCGCACGGAGATGTCGATGAACCAGTACCATGATGGCTACTGCTAGTCGATTGCGGGGTCCCTCAGACGTCAGTCACTTCCTGGAGACATCTATACTTCCTTTCAGATGGTATATACCATCACAAGTCGATGCTGGACGTGTTGCTTTCTTCTGGCCGCCGCTCCCCAACCACCAAGCAACGAAGCGAGTCAGTGGATCCCACCCTTCCTTGGCACACCTGCGCACAAGCAACATTGAGCAAGACGAAAAGCATTTCGAACAAGGAGCATTTGCAAAGAAGAGTCGCACCTGCCAGTTCAAGGGACACAGATGTGTCTCGCTGGCAATCCCTCGCGACGCCTATCTAACATGACCAAATCTATGAGTCAATAGGCGAGCACTCGTGCTGCCGGTGCTGCAAAAGAAATCGTTACCAAGACCTTGGCGACGCCTTTTGCATACCATAACCGCCTTTAGCATCCTTCTGAACCCTTTTTTCGCAGGCCCTTATCGTGAACCGCTCGCATGGTGTGAGGCTGAGGCAGAGTCATCTCTTGGCCATGGCTCGCCGAGCGATAGAAAATAAACCCGAGCCCAACCTTGGTGGTGTAGACATTTTTTCTCCAGTTCTATTCGTGCATCTTCTCTCGAGCACGCGCTCACTCTCGCAAGCTTGATCCTTAGCTTCATACCTCTCAGTCAAGATGAGCTGGATTCACAAGACCAATCAGTCAATTGCGAAGTCGGCATTTGGCAGGTATTTCAGATTGGAGGGATCTGGTCATGTCAGCATTGCTCTTGGTTGTGCTTATACACTCTCAAGCTGATAGCTTTCTTGCAGNCACCGTTCGCGTGATGGATCTTTCTTCTTCACCGAGATCCGTGCCGGTCTCGCTACCTTCTTCGCCATGGCATACATCATTGCCGTCAACTCGTCCGTCGTTTCAGACACTGGCGGTACCTGTGTCTGCCCTCCCACCAGCCTCGACGCCTGCGCTACCGATATCACATACAACCTTTGTAAGCAAGAGATCCGTCGTGACCTTGTCACCGCAACTGCCGCCATTTCCGCTTTGACTTCTTTCTGCATGGGCTTGTTCGCAAACCTGCCTTTGGGTTTGGCACCTGGTATGGGCATCAACGCGTACTTCACCTACACCGTTGTTGGCTTCAACGGCACCGGTCTTGTTCCTTACAGAATCGCTCTTACCGCTGTCTTCGTCGAGGGTCTTCTTTTCGTCGCGCTTACACTTCTTGGAATCCGTCAATGGCTTGCTCGTGCCATTCCGACTTCGATCAAGTTGGCTACTGGCGTCGGTATTGGTCTTTACCTTACCATCATTGGTTTCTCATACAGCGCGGGTGTTGGTCTTATTACTGGTGCGTCCAGCACACCTCTTGAGATTGCTGGCTGCTCCCAGCAATACCTCACCGTAAACGATGGTTTGATGTGCGACCCCAGCCACAAGATGAGATCACCAACCATGTGGATTGGCATCTTCCTTGGTGGCTTCTTGACCGTCTTCCTCATGATGTTCCGCGTCAAGGGTGCAATCATCGCTGGTATCTTGCTCGTTTCCATCATCTCTTGGCCTCGTGGTACCGATGTTACCTATTTCCCTCACACTGAGTTGGGTGACAGCAGCTTCGACTTCTTCAAGAACGTTGTCACCTTCAGACCCATCAAGAACATTCTTGCTGCTCAGGAGTGGGACGTCAGCTCTCATGGCGGTCAGTTCGGTCTCGCTCTCATTACCTTCCTCTACGTCGATATCCTTGACTGCACTGGTACTCTTTACGCTATGGCTCGCTTTGCTGGTGTCATGGATGAGAAGACTCAGGACTTTGAGGGCAGTGCTACCGCCTACTTGGTCGATGCCGTCGGTATCTCGATCGGCTCTCTTTTCGGAACTTCTCCTGTCACTGCATTCATCGAGTCCGGTGCTGGTATCTCTGAGGGTGGCAAGACTGGTATCGCGGCCATGGTCACTGGTGTTTGCTTCTTCATCTCTGTCTTCTTCGCCCCCATTTTCGCATCCATTCCTCCCTGGGCCACCGGCGGCACTCTCATCATTATCGGTTCTCTGATGGCCAAGTCTGCCGCTGACATCAACTGGCGCTACATGGGTGATGCTATCCCAGCTTTCCTCACCATCGCTACCATGCCTTTCACATACTCAATCGCATACGGCCTGATTGCAGGCATCATGTCCTACATCCTCATCAACACTACCGTCTACATGATCGAGAAGGCTTCTGGTGGCAAGATTGTTCCTCAAGACAAGCAGTTCAAGGAGCCATGGACCTGGAGACTCGACGGCGGACTCTTCCCTCCATGGGTTGTTCGCGCCGCGAAGGGAAAGAGAGACTTCTGGAAGCCATACGAGATGGTGGATCACGCAAGTAGCGAGCAGGAGTCTGTCACCGAAGTGCCTAGCTCTGGTGTCGCCAAGGGTCTTGATCCTGATGAGGGAAGCAGTGCCGGTAGCAAGGTGCGTCGTCGCTCTGTTCAACATGAACTGTAAAAAAGTCCATCTTGTTCTGACCTGTCTATGCTCAGGTTTGATTCACAAACTTTTCTAAAAAGCCGCCATGGCTTGAATTCGAACGACTTGTCGATTTCCCTCTTGTTATTCCATACTATATATATAGATATTAGGCAATTTTGATCTTTTACAATCATGCCATGTATGGTGTTATGCAAACAAATGCTTACAAAAGAAATTAATATTGTGTATCGCGGCAATGATTCTTATTCTGGCAATGATCAGCGTCAAGTCTTTAGCCGATACGCTCGTCATCCTCTCACCCTCTCATGAGAAGTGTCCCATAACCCACCTTTGTGCCTTCCTGATCTTTGGAAGCCAAAACCTGTCATGAGTTCAACAAGCGAAAGCGAGAAGTCGCTCCTACTTCCATCAGCACCTGTTATTAATGTCTCGCCTTCGGTGACAGTTCAGCCGCCGTTGTCAAGAGCGGGCAAGGGTCCTTCCCTGGTCATCTTGATTGATCAAGAATCCGTAACAAAGGCCTCGACAGATAGTATTGATCCCCCACCAATGCAAAAATGGGCCGAAGAGAATTTTGTTGTTATCCAGATAGATCTGAGCAAGCTACATACAAGCTTTGAGGAAACCCTGTCTGAAGCACTCCGGTTTATCAAGGATCTTCCTACTTTTGATGGTAACGAGAAATCCGGAGTGATCAGTAAGTCATCTTGGAAAGCGGTAACTATACCTCAGTACTGATTAAAACCAGCATACCTCTCTTCATGGCCAGTTGGGGTCGCCGACGTACTTGAAGCATCCCAAGAAATAGCTTCAATAGTCGTCTATGGGCCGTCAGAAGTTGACTCTACCAAACCGACGCTTTTCCACAAGCCTGGCAACCCACCAATACCAATCAANAAAGATACATCTAAGAAGAACAAGACCTATTACTACCCCAAGGTTGAGCCATTCTTCGTGCTCCCAGCTCACAAGTCTTTCCACGCTTCTTCAGCATCGGTCTCGCACACCCGTACACTCAGCTTCTTGAAGCCAATTATTGGAGGTCCGTGGTTTGATCTTGAGGAGATTTGGGAAGAGCATTGCTTGTATGAGTTTGGCGAAAGAGCGGTCGAGAAGACCATGTCTACTATGGTTCAAGAACCTTATGTCAACCATATTCCCACTCTGACCGGCGGTGTCGGGAGAGCAAGGTTGACAGACTTTTACCGCGACCATTTCGTCTTCAGCAATCCAGAAGATACCGCTCTGGAGTTGGTCAGTCGAACTGTGGGCATTGATCGAGTCATTGACGAGTTCATCTTCAGCTTCACTCATGATAGGGAGATTGACTGGCTGTAAGTTCTGTTATAACTTCTTGGCTGGTCGCATGCTGACTTCGTAATAGTNCTGCCCGGTGTACCGCCAACAGGGAAAACGTGCCGTCTCCCATTCACTAGTATTGTTAACATCCGAGGCGACCGACTGTACCATGAGCATATCGCATGGGATCAAGCTACTGCTCTTGTTCAGCTTGGTCTGCTTCCTGAGTATCTGATTTTCCCGTATTCGATTGATGGAAAGACTGCAGCATCAGGCAAGCACTTCGAGTATAGAGTACCGGCAGCTGGTGTGGAGACTGCTCAGAAGCTGGTGGACGAGTCTTCTGTAGAGTCGAACCAGATGCTGAAGTTTGCTCTTCGAGAGGCCGACGACTAGGTATCGGTACACGGGTATCTTTCCCTACCACTTCATACCTTTTCTTTGGCCAGTGGTCACAGATCTTACGGAATAAGGTCGAAAGGAACATGCTTGCCAACGGTCCTGCCATCAGATTGCCCCGCATGTTCCCGGAGGTACTGCCATGCAGATCTCCAGGCACCATGATGGCATGGCGCGGGGAAGAAAGTCAATTTGCATGCGGTTCCAAAATCTGCCTCTACAAATCGCTTTTACATTTGCCAATAGTCAGCAAGATCGCGATCCGTGGTGGGAAGCTTCATGGAAATGCCCATCAAGCATACCAGCCGCGTGACAAGCTATCTAATGACGTCTTACACAGCCATGGTTATATTCTTAGCATTTTCCCACCTGCATTGAATGTCCTTCGAGGCTGTATACACCGCACGCCAGGCAAGATGATTTTGGAATTTGTATCAATAGCGCTGTTGACAGCGCTAGTTCATGGTATGTAATGTCCGACATACTTGCGGCCTTACTTGACGCTCTACGCTATAGCTCAGCAACCGCAATATCCTCCTGCATTTCCATTGCAACCTTCTCTGGCATCTTCCTACAATAATGCACCAAGTGTGCTTCCAAACATACTCGACGCCAGCGCTCCCGATGCACAGGATGTGTGTCCCGGTTACAAAGCTTCCAACGTGCAACAGAGCAGTTCAGGTCTTCAGGCCGATTTGACCTTGGCTGGTACACCCTGTAACGTATATGGTAACGATATCCAGGACCTTGTTTTATCTGTCCAGTACCAGAACCAGACCAGACTTGCTGTCAGCATCACTCCCAAGTATCTGGCTCCACACAATGAATCTCTTTATATCCTTGACGAGCGGTTCACCCCACGGCCTGGAGTAGAAGAAGGTTGTAGCAACACCACTAGTGATCTGGCATTCTCGTGGACCAACGACCCTAGTTTCCAGTTCGAGGTCACTCGAGTTGGATCCGGCGAGACCATATTCAGTACATATGGCAAGGAGATTGTGTTCGAAGACCAGTTCCTCGAGCTTGTCACCTCAATGGTTCCAGACTACAACGTATATGGCTTTGCTGAAGCCTTCCATTCGTTCAGGCTCGGCAACAACTATACTCAAACCTTCTGGAATGCCTACAACCTCGATAACGATCAATTGCCTGATGTCAATGGGCATAGCACTCATCCGGTCTATCTTGAAACTCGCTATGGCAACGGCACATCGGCTTCTCACGGTGTCTATGCTCGTAATGCTCACGGACAAGAGTGGCTTCTCAGAGAAGACACTATCACTTACCGCACGATCGGAGGCAGCTTTGAATTCTATTTCCTCAGTGGTCCGACACCTAAAGAAGTCATCAGCCAATATCAGGTCGGCATCGTCAACACGCCAGTCATGCAAAGCTACTGGTCGCTCGGTTTCCACCAATGCCGATGGGGCTATTTGAACTGGACCAACCTCCGAGACGTGGTCGAGTTGTATGCTGAGCAAGGTATCCAGCTTGAGGGCATCATGAACGACCTCGATTACCTCAACCTGAACAGAGACTTTACTCACAATGCTAATTACCCAGCGGATGAGGGTAAAGAATTCTTGGACTGGCTGCACGCGCGTGGTCAATATTACTTGCCCATCCTGGACCCAAATATCTACGCTCCAGACCCAACCAACGCCAGCGATGCCTATCCACCCTTTGATCGCGGCAACGAGCTCGACGTCTTCATCAGAAACGGTAACGATAGCTTGTACTATGGTATGGAGTGGAACGGATTCAGCGTCTGGCCCGACTTTTCGGTCCCACAAGCTCAGCAATTTTGGACAGAGCAATTTGCCGAGTTCCGCAAGGCATTGGCCTTTGACGGCTTCTGGCTCGATGTTAGTGACCCGACTTCTTGGTGTACCGGAAGCTGTGGTCAATACCAGCGAAGCCTGAATCCTGTGCATGTACCCTTTGCATTACCTGGAGATCCAAACACGAGCATCGCTGTTGATTACCGCTACCCGGAAGTGTTCAATGTCACAAACGCGACTGAGGCGGCTTCAGCTAGTGCGGCAAGAGCGTCGCAGATGTTGGCTTATCCGTCGATGACACTGGCTCCTTCCCCTGTGTTGGGACGCACACTTGCAACTCCTGGAGTTCGCAATCTCAACTTCCCGCCGTATGCGATCAACAACTTCTTGCCTGGTCACAGTCTACTGAAGCAGGTCATTGCGCCTAACGCTACCCATTTGGACGGACCTTATAATAGCACTGAGTATGAGCTGCATAACCTTTATGGTCATCTTAGTGGCAACGCAACATACAATGCTCTCGTCGCTGTCTATGAAGGCAAAAGACCGTGGTTTATCGCCAGAAGCACCTTCGCCGGGAGTGGTGCCTTCGCTGGCCACTGGGGTAAGTAAGGATGGGAGCTATTTCGAAGTAAATATGCTAACCTGCAACANGGTGGTGACACGAACTCCGACTGGGGCGACATGTACTTCGGCATCTCGCAAGCCTTGCAATTCTCCATCGCTGGCATCCCTTACTTTGGTGTTGAGACATGTGGCTTCAACGGCAATGCAGACATGGAGTTGTGTACACGATGGATGCAGTTGAGTGCATGGTTCCCGATGTAAGTGACCAGGTGATATTAATTTCAGACCCACCACTAACGCTCAAGTGCAGGNTATCGCAATCACAACAACCGTAATACCATCGCCCAAGAGGCCTATCGCTGGGCAACAACTGCCGAGTCAACTAGACGCATCATGAATATTCGATACTCCTTGCTTCCATACACATACACTCTCTTCCACAAAGCGAGCAAGGCTGGCGAGACAGTACTAAGAGCTTTGGCGTGGGAGTTCCCCGAAGACGCGTCGCTCAAGGCCATCGACAACCAATTTATGAGTGGTCCAGCACTGTTGGTGATGCCAGTACTCGCACCACTCGCAACCTCGGTACAAGGAGTATTCCCTGGAGTAGCGACTGGAACCATCTGGTATGACTGGTATACTCTACAAAAGATTGACGTTGCTGCTAGAGAGAACAAGACCCTGAGTGCACCAATTGAACATCAACCCATCTTTGTCAGAGGCGGGTACATCATCCCAATCCAGAAAGCTGGAAATACTACTTCCACATCGAGAAAGAGCCCTTGGAGCTTGCTCATTGCCCTTGATAAGGACGGCAAAGCAAGCGGTGAACTCTTCCTTGACGATGGCATCAACATTGTTCAAGACTCGACCAAGAACGTTGAGGTACGTCAACTTCTTCCCGCGTATCTCTATCCTTCTAAACATGTTTCTAGNATCTCTTTCGCAGACAATATGTTGTCGACCAAGGTGACTGGGGCTTTCGAAGATGGCATTCCACTGGCGAACATCACCATCGCTGGTGCGTCGGCTTTGCCGAAAGACATCAACCTCCACATCGACGGTGCGGCGTGCGAGACCTCTGTTCTCGAAGTCAAGGCAGGAGGCAACGTGACTTATGTAACAGGACTCGAGGGTGTGACGACAGCTGGGGCGTGGCAGGGCGGCATGACGCTCCAATTGGTGTACTGAGCAGCGTATGTAGTGATGCGTGGTCAATAGCATCAGATTCGACACTAGGAGAATTCGGTAGACGCGACTGATTATAATGTGATGGACATGAATTTTCCTCCCGGCCTCAGATCGATGTGTCAGGAAGAATACAAGGTCGTGAGAATACACTTGCAAGTTTGTGTCTGGCTTCCAAAACATGGTGCGACACAGCACAGCCAATACTCTAACGAAAATAGATTAAGACCGAGAAGACCAATCCTGGTCGTGGTCATGACGAACACAATGAAGAGAAGATCGACGCCATGGAGGCCAAAGGAATAGCCACCTCGAAAATACCCGAAGAAGAATTTGAGTATACTGACTACAGAAAACCAATCCTTTTCGACATGTTCATTCGGACCATGATAGACCGTCCTGATCTGGCTGAGAAAGTCGAATGTCTGTCAATCAGCAATTACTAGGATCAAAATGCAGACCGAGGTTATGGTCGGACTAATGTCAACAAGGCTTTGGGTGAGATGATGCTTGATGCCAGCCAGAAACTTTCACCTGAAAAGACCAAGTGGGAATGGTGTTACCCGTCTGAGTGGCAAGAAAGCTGGCGCTACGAGCTTAGAGAAGGTGATGAAGTTGCAGAGGTCGCCTTGTTGACCAATAAGGACATGTCCGATGTAGTAAGCGATTATGCATTTCGAGAGCATACCATGGCACTATTCATGGGCGTGAAAGAGCAATTGATCATGAGACCACAAAGTTCGTAATCATAGGGCGTCGTAAAGTTAACCACGTACTGTCCGAAGATACCTCTAAGCAACAGCCACTGCAGATAACGTTGACATCCACCAGAGAAACCTCCATTTCGAATACATGCCCTTGTCGTCATAATACTTTGCCTTCCTGGACAATCTGGTGACAATCCCAATGCAAGACATGATCAACACTGCTTGTTCCAATTCACTCTCTGCATTAATCATCCACTGCACTGCTGTTCGCTTCTTTCCCTCCTTCGTCGTTGTCAAGCTAGCAATCAGAGCACCTCCAGTACTGTGGTCGCGCAGGTCATAACATGCTGGAGTCGGACCAGTGATATCGCCACCACGATACGTCCAAACAAGTTCTTTCGAGCGAAAATCCAATCCCTTGGGCACTTTCAAGGTGAACGTTTTCGGATGCGGATACCCAATCCCAGCAACAACATCGACCAGTGGAGCATTCAAAAAGTTTTTATCATCAAGGCCAATGATGGATTCATCTGCACTGCCCCCTTGATTGACAATAGCACAATGAATACGAAATGTATTATGTGCCTCTGGAAACGACAGACAACCAAGTGCTTTATTAGCCTTGGACGCTCCAGCATGGATCCAGACTTTTGAGTTCGAAGTGTGATCCGTGACGAAGCAATATTTGTCTATATCGTTGCTGCTGCGGACGAGCAGTTTTGAACTGAGCAGTGAGGCACGGACGAAATTGTAGATTGGGCGTGTGGTAGTGTCTAATGCGGCATCGGAGTAGGTTGGAATGTCTGGAGTCGCTTGAGGGTGAGAGGGCATGCGTGATACAGTTGCAGAGTCGACTGTGGTGTTTGAGTCGGCTTGGGAGTAGGCTGGGAGATCGGAGTCGCGTTGATTGTGGCTGTCGCGTCTGACGGCTGAAGAGCTGGCGATGGCTGCGCTTTTTTCCATTGTGAATTTATATATATTGTGTTGCCGTAGGAAGAGATAGGAACTTGATGCGGACTTGGGTGGCCAAAGGGTCTACTCTGATATTTGTATGCATCATCACTGTCTCGTGACAGCCTAGGTTGAACACTCTCCGGTACTCTGGTTCAAATGCGAAGTGTAACCATTGAGGCTTTTATCACCACTGAGGCATATACTGATCAACTAATCCCGGCAATGCTCCTGAGATAACGATCCTTTCCCCAGTCGCTTTCTTGAGCGCGAATTCTTGTCCATGAAAAGGATTCGGTTGACAGCGATTGCGCCGTCTTTGCCGGCCTGCCAAGAGATCGCTCCCGGGCAATCATAGATGGAGGTTCCATATATCAGTATTCGAAAGCTACGCCTCTTCCTCTTATGAGCGACTGCAAGTGTGATGTATGAGTTCCTAACGATAGGTTTCTAAGACTGCGCTTCCGTGCTAAACACGAAAGCATTATGTAGCAACTAGATGGCATTCCAAGCACGTACGGCCACAGTCAGCTGAAAACTGGGCATCNNCCGTCCGCTCTGCCATACATAAGCAGTTGAACGGCAGATTAGTACTACGGTGGGTGACCACGTGGGAATCCCTGCTGCTGTACGTTTTGCATCTTTTGCCCCACTGATAGCCCATCATCTGCCTCATCGTTTTGCTGTCATAGAACTCAGGCCTTTTTCAATCACTGCATTGTCGCGTGGTCATTTTGTCTTTGAATAGGCGTGACGAAGTTTCGCTGAGGTGGTAAAGTTCTCGTATATTCGTTATCATGTTTTCGACTACATCTACTTTGATCGTCCTCGCTTCCGTTTCCAACTAGATACCTTGGGCATCTCTTCTGTCGAACCTCCTATGGCTGGGGTTCTATTGAAGCTAGCTCCAAGATCTGGTGGAGGCGAGACGGCACCGATGGCTGGAGTCGTGTCGAAGCTAGCACCTAGAGGTGCCAGGATCGTTGCACCTCCCCCTAGAGGCGGTGTCTTACTCCAGCTTGCACCCAGAGAAGGTGACGGACTTGCTACATCTCCCAGGGGCGGAGTCTTGCTCCAACTTGCTCCTAGAGATGGTGCGCTGGCTGCAGCTGTCAAAGCTGGAGTCTTGTTCCAACTGGCCTCGAGTGGGTTAGCTGTACCGCCTAATGCTGGAGTCTTGTTCCAGCTGGCTTCAAGATCCACCGGGGCATTCGTTGCTTCTCCTAGAGCAGGTGTTCTGTTCCAGCAAGAGCCAGTAGGTATAGGACCTTGCATCTGTTTCGTGTCGACATGGACCAGATTTACAGTTGCTTCCTCGTCTGTGATTTCAGTCTTGGACATGTCTGTGCCCATAAGGCGAGAAGTGAAATGTTGTCCAATAACTTTTACCCGCCTCACTAGTGGTCGCAAACATGCGAGTGAGACGGCGGTAATACCCAGTCCTACTTCGATGACGGTAAGGTTGATCATTGGCGCAGAGACGGCGTAGTAGTTGGGACGGCGATTTGAGTCAAAGTATGCCGGGCGAAGTAGGTAGTCGCCGGTGGCAGCCGTGCGCGCGATAGCCGCTACGGAACCTCCGCAAGCGAGCAGCATAAGACAAGACGAGGAGATCTTTGCCGCGCGACTGAGGTTGGAACGGTATAGTGTTACGATTGGCAACAAAGCGAAGATCCAATCTGTTACTGCCGACAGGATGCCATGGACATATAGCAGCGCAGTGAAGGCCTGCAGCTTAACGCATTGGCCTGTCAAGTGCTTATGCATGAGGTTGGTAGGCAGACCACATTGGAAGAGGGCGAGGAATATACCGACCACGCAGGTGGAACAGTAGAAGAAACCGCAGCCCAGAGCCAGCCATCGTTGCCATTCGACGACGAGGAACTTTCGGAAGAAGATTGTGAGCGAGAGCTTGAAGACCAGGCAGGTGGCTTGGAAGACGACTTCGCCACAAAGAAGGATGGTTATGACACCTTCTCCAGTCTCGGGAGAGAAGACGGGGTTTGCGGCTTCCTCATTGGCAAGGACAAAGGCGATGATACAGAAGCCGACGAAGCCTATGCCGGCGATGAGAATCGTCCAGTCGTNCCTAAGAGAGGCACAAGTTAGTTGAAGTCGTATCGAGGGCCGCTGTGATGCTGCGGATTGCATGGATCAGGCAGGCAGCCCTAGGGTTTCCCAACTCACTGCTTGGAGACCGCTAGTCAGAAAGTGCGATCGAACCCAGATCCTCAAGATCACCGAAGCGGTCGCCAGTGAAAGGCATACTGCCGCAACGATGGTGAGAGACTCGCTCGGCACACTCAGCGACAGCATGCTGAGCGACGAAAGTTGTGGATGGTCGACGCTCTGCCAGAGAGGTCTCTGAAGAAATGGAACGAGCATAGATAATGAGGAGTAGGAAGGAAAGCCCACGAGCCAGTAAAGAGTCATGTCCCGTCACTGTCTCAGCATGTCTTGCAACAGGAAGTTAGAACATGGTGAAAGCTGGTAGCATCGACGGTGAAACGTTAGCAGGCGTTGCAGCCGTCGAAGGCTATTGCAGTTTCGGCCAATGAACGACGGTGGATGTAAAAAACGCTGGTTGGATCCGGCACATGGCTAGAGGCTTCTTGTATCTGTCGAGGAGACAGTTTGCTGTTGAACAGTTATACATCCTAGTGCCTTGCTCTTCCTGGTCGTGAGTAGATACTCGAGTAGCAGAGATGTTGTTTAGATCCAATGCTCGTCAAGCATAGGAACGTCGCGATAATGAGGAGGCAGATCAGTCAGTGCTTCCGACGGTCCGGACGATCAGCCAGTCCGGCAAGTACTCTTACCAGGCCAGTACCATCTATAACGAGTAGGTAGCCTTAGATCGTCAGAATGATAGCCTGGCCACGCGCGCTCAGCACATCTCTTGCCTTTTATCCATAACGCTCTGCTGAGCTCTTACGCTAGATATGTTGGGCGACGTGTGCTCTTCTTGCCAAAAGGTTCAACGAGTCAGCGCGAGGGACGTTCTTTCCTATTTTTGCTGCTTCCGCACGTACGTACGAGTAGCCACACACCGTTCTAGACACATCTTATCCAGCTGTGCCAAGCGGCATTTATCCATACCATGTCCCAATGCCAGCAGCTGTGTTACAGGCGTCGATTACTTGTATAAACCAGCTCTTGGAGATGGTAATCGTGGTTGTATAGAGGGTATGAAGTTTCATCAAGGTTGTCGCTCTTCTCGGAACATGCAATTAATCTACGCAAGGCTGGAAATCTTCAACTGCCGCCCAACCGGTGCATAACAGTGGAGACGATTCTTGCGCGACGTATGTCGTAAAACACATGACATGGTATATCCTCTCTGAGAGCTTAACAGGATAGAGAGACACAGTTACAGGGACAGAGTACGGACACATCACCGGTCATAACGGATCGATCAACAGTATGGATAACATGACATATAAGCTCAAGTCTCTCAACTTTTGCAACAACTAACAAAAAACGTAGCCTCTTTTGGCTGGGGTAATAGTACTGATGTTTCAACTCTTCCTTCTCAAACTGCTTTCATTCTTCTCTTCTTCCGCGGCTCAGTGGGGCATGGGTGACCAAGCCTCGACCTAAGACGACTTGGTGGCACCGCTTCTCTGCTGAACCTCGGACTTGGCAGCCTTTGCGCCAGAGGTGACAGCCTCGGCGGCCTGGTTCTTGGTGTCGACAGCAGCCTTCTTGGCCTGCTCAGCCTTGGCCTTGATCTGCTCCTTGCTGGGGGCAGCAGCGGCACCGCCGCCCAGAGCACCGAGAAGAAGGGCAATAAGAGTGACGATGAGGACACCGAGACCGCCAGCAACCTCGGGAACGAACTGGATAGCCTGAACAGGGTCACGCTTGAAGATGGTGATGAACAGGTCGAGCTTCTCGCGGACGTAGAGTGCAGGGTCATCGGTGAACTTGAGGTCCATGGGAGACTTGGGGTCCTTCTTGGCCTCCTCCTCCTTGGGCTTGGTAGCCTCTTCCTCGGCCTTCTCAGCAGCGTTCTTGAGCTCAAAGGTCTCCTTGGCGAGAGCGGCGGCATCCTTCTCGGAGTGACCAATGTAGATGTTGTCGAAGAGGATGTCGTTCTGCATGGTCCAAAGCTCGAAACCAANTCTGTGTAGAAGTTAGCGTCATGTGTGTAGAGTTGGTATGCAGGTCAGACTTACGGCACCCATGGGCTCGAACTTGGAAGGAGTCTTCTCCTCGAAGTAGTCGGGGTTAGCGATCTTCTGAGGAGCCCAGACGCCCTTGTAGGCAGGGTTCTCAATCATAGGAGCGGACCACTTGCCCTTGTACTCGGGGTTTCTCTTCATAGGAGCCTTCCAGGGGCCACAGCCGGAAACTTCGTCACACTTGGAGTTCTGGACCATAGGGGGCATCCAGTCACCGTCCTCCTCGTCATCCCAGTCCTCGGGCTTCTCAGCCTCAGGGTCGGGGATCTGGAGAGGCTCGTTCTCGAGCCAGTCGGCGGGCTTCTCGGCCTCGGTGTCCTCAACCTCGAAAGCAGCGTCCTCGTCCCAGTCGGCGGGCTTCTTGGCTTCGGGGTCAGCGATCTGAGCCTCCTCGACCCAGTCGGCGGGCTTCTTGTCTGAGGCGTCGTCAATCTCGGTGGGAGGGTTGACAGCGGGGGTGAAGTCCTCGAGGAGGGAACCGGTCTTGAGAGAAGTGCCATCGACCTTGAGCTCAAAGGTCTGGTCGGGGCGGACGATGAGGGTGTAGAGGGAGGTCTGCTTGCTGATGCGGGCCATGGGAGGGTTCTTGAGGTGCTTCTCCTCGTACTCGCCAGTCTTGGGGTTCTTGTGGCGGAAGATGAAGTGGACCTTGTTGGTGGAGCCGCACTTGTCGGGGCCGAACATGATGATGTAGGGCGAGGCGTTGGAGAACTCTTCGGCGTGGAGGGCGCTGTTATCCTGGAGGAGCTTCATGTAGGCACCTCCACACTCAAGGCCGGNCTGTGGGACGTGTCAGATGTGATGTGTGCTGTAGAGTGATGTGTCTAGCTTACCTTGGAACTTGGCCTCGTACTGGACAACCAGAGTCTTGTCAGTATTGTCGATGGCCTTGGGGAACTTGGCCGAGATGGCGTGGTGAGCGGCCTTGTCCTTGAGCACCAGGCCCTTGTCGCCGTGCATGCCGCGGAGGACTGAAGGCTCCTCGACCTTCCAGGTGCCAACGTAGGCCCACTCCTCCTCAGTGCCTTCCTTCTTGGCCTCGGACTTCTGCCACCTGGACTCCCAGTCGTCGGTGAACTGCTCGAGGAAGGGAGCCTTGAGAGTGGTAGGGGTGAAGGTGGGCTTGCTGACAGCCGACGAAGTCACAGACTCGACGACCGAAGCGACAGAGGACGAGGCCTCGACGGCGGAGTCCTCAAGGTCCTCGAGCACATCGGCGCGAGAGACGGCGGCGCAGAGACCGACGGCAAGGTAGTTTTGGAACTTCATCTTGAATCAATCGATAAGTCAAGTCAAGCAAAGAAAGACGAACAGAAGCAATCGTGCGAAGACAAACTGTCCTTAAAGCAAGCAGGAAGCACTATCGCCGAGCACAAGGACACGTTTGAACCAACCACTAGACTAGGCCCGAAGGGGAAGCTTCGCCTGCCCCGCTCCGCTTGCTGTTCTCCACCGAACTCTCGAGAAGACCTTCAATCTATTTCTACCGCTAACCCTTGCTGACTGCTGTTACTCTTGTGACAATGCGACAAGTATCTTGGATGACACTAGTCGCTGGTTGTGCTACGACGACGGTCTCAGAGAAACAATTGCATCTGTGGACAACAATCGGGAAACGAACACGGCTTGCACCTTCTCCATGCGTTCCGGCAGCTGGAGGCTGGGGATCATCATCCATCAAACTGAACTTAGTCATCCATATTACTTCCACGAACTGTTGCAACTGCGCCTCCATCTAGACACAACTTCTCCAGCACTCTAGAACATGTTCTTCCTCCACTCGGCACGTTCTTCGCTCGTGATATGGGGTCTGCAGCTAGAGTAGTCGTTCGGCCCATGTTTGGAATAGTAGTTAGGTATGCCGCTCGGAATCTGTATCGTCAACTTGGGTCTGCGTGGCAGCTCTGCAGCAGTAGCCTTGACCTCAATCTGTATCTTCAAGCCCTTCTTGAGCTTCCCTTGTGCCTCTTCTGACTTCTCGGCTGTGTTGATGAGCTCTCCAGCATACTCGAACTGGGGCTTTGCATCATCAACAGCCATGATTGTTGTATCGACAGAAGCCCTTCTATCACCATCCTTCAAGTCGAGCGTACACCAACCGCTGTCGGCAACATGCTCAACCCACATCTCTGCCCTCTCAACACTCCAAAACCAGTAACTAGCGTTCCACTCCGGCGAAGATGGACTCAGCGGCGGCAATGGTCTCAAGTCCTCCTTACCCTCATCATAGTCCTGCTCGCGTGAGTAGAAAGACTCTTCAGAATCTCTGTACAGTTTCTTGTGTACGCGGTGAGCGGTGTCAAAGGCATTTTCACGTGCTAACCACCATTCTGTGGGTGTTGTGGGTGTGTTTTCTTCATGGGTTGGTGAGTTTGTGAGATTGGTTGATGTGTAAGAGTTTGCTTTGCTGTGTTGTCTGCTTTTGAAGAAGGCTTTCATTTTGGATGGCGTTGGGGTGTAGGTGTTGGTCTTCTTCGACACTGCACAATCCTCGATTGACTATATAGAAGTTTGACCACAGTCACGATCATTGACGTCTCATATGCAGCGACTCTGCTTCTGATACACTGGTGTTGATTTCCCATGTCTGACATGGTTCTTCCGGCAAAACTGAGACTGTCAAAACGAGACAATTCTCCACTGAGACATGACAAGGTAACACAGTCTTGGATCAAAACCTTTGGATACTACACCTAGACGACATTTATGTCAAGGATGATATGGATCAATAGCCTGGTAATGTCTAAACTGGTGTGCTCGGAATTCGGGTGGATGATGTACCGAGTGTAATTGCTAAAGGAACTTGATTTTTTGGACTACTAGCGCACGGCACGGTTATATACTTAATCCGCTAAGAAGAGCCTTAGCTCCGGCATCGTAATAACACGAGTTAACCTAGTTGTTACTAGAGGTACCCTGCTAGGTGATAACCTTTTCTACTCTCTCTCTCTCCCCCTCTCCGTCCCTCTCCCTCTGCCATAGCAGTATATAATCCCTACTTACACTAGTACATTAGCCGGTCTACTATAAGAGTGCTAATAGGATCGTTATAGACACGAACGCACCATGTTCTTTAGGTAACTGTTGAGAGGGTTGTGTTTTATAAGGTTCTTATCTGGCAGTTGCTTCGATGGAGATATTTGCCTGTCATACAGTCCTATTCTCCTGATGTCTCTCTCCCCGATGCAAGAATATATACAGAAAACCCCTCATGAAAATACACATCAATACTTCTGCCTAACTCCCCCTCTCAGTCCTTCTTTCCACAAACAACAGATGCTATGCTCCTCGCACCATTTCTGCACCATCCAAGGTTGTAACTCTTCTTTTGCTATCTCTGTAGCTTCTCCTACAGTCTCAATATCATCGGCTTTCTTTTTTCCCTTCCCTTTGACTATTCTTGGCACCAAGACTTCAATTCGGACACCCTGGCTGTTGAGCCACAGAGTCAAGTCTTCGAGTACGATAGGGTCATAGAGGAGCATCTTTTCATGCCAGGTAGGTGCATTGTGATCTTGGCTAGGTGGCGTGGAACGCACGGTTTTCGTGATCGCGGGGAACAATACCGTGGAAATGTTGGACCATTCCGCTAGAATTTGTTTGGCAGCACTTCGAGCGGTCGATGCTGCAATGGCTGGCAGCGGTGGTGGAGGCGGTCTGTCAAAGTCTAATGTTGCCTTGGGTGGTGATGCGGGTAGACGTCGTGGCGGCGAGGGAGCGTGAGATGGGATTTCTATATCCGAAATGGCGTCGATGTCGAGATAATCGGATGATGGCTCTGCGATTGCGGCTCGCTGCGAAGCGGCAGGAAGAGAAGGCAGTTTGCGAAGTTGGGACCATAAAGGTAGACTATCAGGGCTGATGGACTTCCGGGGTCGACCTCTTGGTCGCGTTGGTGACGCAGGATTGGGAGCAGGTCCGAACTTCGGAGGCCTGCCTCTTGGCTTAGAGGGCGAGATCAGATTGATACTGGGTGATATGTCGTGCAACCTTTCCTGTGATGGTTGGACAGAGATTCTAGTTGAGCTAGAAGCAAGGAACTTTTGCTTGCCACGTTCTCGTGCAGAAGCATTAGGAGAAACAAGGTACTTTTGTCTAGCATCTTCTCGTGCCGAAAGAGTGTGCGAGCCTTTCACTATCCGTCTGATGATGACCGGTGACATTTGTGCTGCATTGCCTGTCGCCTTTTGCGACGCTGGTCTTTCCGGAGAATCCACACAGACCACCTGTGATTTGGTGTTGGCTCTCCTCGGGGAGATGGTCAGCTTCTTGCTCTCAGAGTCAAGAGTCTGCCTCGTGATATTGGTGTTTGGGTCGCGAGTCCCAAGAGCGCGACGATGCACGACCTGCGTTTCAGGAGTGGTGCCCAGAGAAATGATTTCATGAGGCTCACACGCCACACTTGTCGTCCCTCCGGTCTTCAGGCTGGCAGGTGGTACATCCGACGGGGCAGATCTCCGGAGCACACCGGTGATTGAGGGTAATTCGCCACATACTTGGTCAACATCCACATATCCGGAATCTGGCGACTCGAGCTCTTTAGGAGCCGACGACGATATTGTCAACACCTCAATGTGTGGTTCCGGGACATGAGAGCCAGGAGCAGATTTCGTACTGCTAGGAGGATGTCGTGGTCGTGGCAAATCATCGCTGGCTACAATCTGGTCATCATGATCGCGACTTTCATCAGATGCGAAGGTCGACTCCTCAAAGTCTCTGGCGGCAGACATCCATAAGACTCTGTCAGCTTGTCCGACAGATAGACAGGTTCCATGCGGGGCAGATGGTACATGAGCATAACTCGTGGCACGTGAGACGTCCATGTGCTGCGAAGAGATCATGTTCTCAGATTCCTTCAATGCCTGCTGCAGATCGCGAAGCTCGGTAGGAGATTCTGCTGCAGCTAATTGGCTTGAGCTTCCGAACAACCACTGTTGTCTTCTGGCGTTCTCACGAGCAGCTTCTGGAGAGTCCAACTTGATGTGAACCTCGGGCACTGTAATTTGTACTTTTTNTGTGGCTCTTTTGCGTTTCGGTGCGGGCTTGTCCTCAAGAGCGCGACCCTTCGTGGATCCTGTCGGCTTGATAACATCGACCTGGTTAGTAGGAGGAGCGGCGGTATCGGACTGTGGCTGTGGAAAGAAGTCCGAGATCAATTTGGTCTGATCAACCTCGTTGATGGCAGGTTGTGGGAGATAAGCTGCGGTAGCAAGAGCAGTAATAGTGAGCGGTTTCTTCTTGGGCGCTTTCGGCTTCTTAGGCGCTTTCGGCTTTGGTTCCTTTGGTTCTTTCGGCTCTGCAGCCTTCCTATTTCGCTTCTTCGGCTCTTCAGGCGCAGCCACATCGACAGGATTCAAGCGTTTTCGCTTGGTGGTAGGACCGTCGCTCGGAGTTCGGGATATAGATGGAGAAGGTCTAGGGTTGTTCTCTTGATAGCCAAAGTCGCCTATCAGCTTGGTGAAATCCAATGCTGCGGGTGCATCACCAACATCGTTGTCGTCCACAGGGTCATGAATGGCAGCCAGTCCAGGGTTGGGTGAGGTATCGCTACTCTGCTGGAAGGATGGAGGGAGGGTCGACTCTGTCGGCGGAGTCCAGCCTCGTCTGCGTCTTGGAGCTGGATCAAGATCAAGACCAAGCACCTCTACCGGGGTTTCGACATGGACGACAGGCTGAGGACCAGAGTCTACTGCTTTCGCGGCATCGACAACAGGCACCTCTGAGGCGACTGTCAGATCATTGGCAACTGACTTGGATTTGGTCGTGGCCTTCGTCTTGCGAGGCTTAGGTAGCGGCTTTGGCTTTTCAGCAGCACCATCATTGTCGAGAATATCTGCAGACCCAGGGGCCTTCTTCCTTCCTCGCTTTACCACAGGCTTCGTGACTTCGACCGTGTCTGTTGTGGCAGTCGCAGCATGCTCAATAGCAACTGCCTTCTTCGGGCGACCTCTCTTGGATGCAGGGACTGCGTCAATCGCTGCTTCCTGCTCATCTGTGGTTGCAGCCTGTCTCTTACGCGCCTTGGGGTTTGCAGGAGCTTTGTCTGCGTCTTCGAGATCAGGATCGTCATTGGTGGCTGTCGTCTTCTTACGGGTCCGTGGTTTGGCAGGAGCAGGAGCATCGTCTGCATTGACGGCCTTCTTGGGCCGTCCTCTCTTGGGTTTCTCCGGAGGGGCAATCACGTCTGGACTGCGACTGTGCTGCGATTCGAGGTCGGCGAGGATGGACCTGGCCGTGACGAACCCTTGCGGACGTGGTCCTGTCTGTAGAGACGACAACGAAGGCGATGATGGCGAGCTCATCTTGATCGAGTGGTCACGAGCGCAACGGATGAAGACTGTGCTTGTCGCAGGTCGCCACAAGACGCCTACATGTCTGATTCTGCCAGCAATCTTCAATTCGCTACTCGACGTGCAGCGCGTTCAAAACACCATTGTATAACATGCCGTGTTTGTGTAGAATGCCGTCTTCTCACACGTTTCCCATGCCTGGGCAGAAAGTCGCGCGTGTGTACGTGTAACCGGCCGCGTCTCGACCCTGGCTGAAGCCCGACTCTTCACTCGGCGCACACTCCGCTCCCGGAGCGGCCTCCACAAGCTCTCTGCAACTGCCCACCCACCTGCCTATGCGTTTTGCCAGGTACAGTACAAGTAAGTGCGCCACCACTCACCGATCATCTCTTGTTGCCACCCTTGACCCCACAGACGCCTAATATTGCCCTACAGCAGTCCCCCGATCCACCTTCCGAAAAGATAGCATCTTTTAAAGGCTCTTGTCTCTGCAAATCCTAGGAGGCAAATCATGATTCTTCACGCTTCCACTCCTCTCTCACCATATCCTGAGCCACAAAGTTTGTATTCATTTTACTTTGATTTGCACCAACGCTCAAGAGCTGCGTCGCGGTCCTCGTTCCGGGAACAACCATTTATCTCCTGTCTTTATATATCGTCTTTGTGCCGTCGATTTTTTCGCCTCAGCCCTATAAGCTTTTCGATCACCTATCTTTCTACCGCTTTACCGCGTAGCCAGTAAGGCACCTCTACCCTGATCTGGCATGTTCATGAGCAGCCATGAATCAGGAAGAGCCGTCCGTTACTCCCTCTTCGGATTCCTATCATCCGAATGCAGCACTAATTCAGATGGTTGACCCCACGGGGGAATCAACTTCGAGTCCATCACGATCAAGTGGGCCTTCCAGTGCACTTCCCAAGAAACGAGCGCCTTTAGCGAGTGTTGCTTGTCAGGACTGTAGACGACGGAAAACAAAGGTCTGCTTCCTGTCCAGCAAGTTTTCTGACATGGGCTCTCGTTGACCTGATTTGATANNGTGCGATGGCAAGAAGCCTGCTTGCAGCAATTGTACGAAACGGGGCGTGCCGGCCTGCACATATGACCTCGAGCCCAACCAGTCCCGTGTTGCTGCATACAAACAGAAGATTGAGCAACAGATCACTTCCATCAAGAAGCTGGAAGAGGAAATCGAGGTACTGAAAAAGTCTCCCCTTCACACTGGAGGGGCAACTCGGACTCCTGTGCCTGAGCTAGCCTCGACATCACACAACAACTCTTCAGGCGGAGTCCCGATGCGACTCCTGCTGAATCCTGCTCCGGAACCAGGCGGCCTCTCTTCTGGCTTTAGTTCGTCCAATGCCCTTGGCCAATATAACCCAGCCTCACTTCCGACCATACAAATGGTTGACAGGGAAGCAGAGCTGTTGCGCTATCAACGCAACCTCGAGAGTGAGATGCGCAAACTTCAGGACGAGAATCGCACGCTCCGGACGCTGATCTCGCTGCTCAATTCAATTGATGATCGGGCCATGGCGCAGCAGATGGCCAAAGAGATTCACACTCATGGCGTAACCGACGATCTCCTGTCCATGGCCCAGCATTTGGTTGCTACGCAAGTATGGAGAACTATGCTCCCAAATTTGCAAAATCAAGCTAAATCCCAACCTCAGCGACCGCCTGGACGTGCCGCAGAAAATCCGTGGTCAATACCATGAAGACCACAACTTTTGGATACTAGCGAATGTTCTTTTGACGAATTGCAGCTAGGTATGCCGATTCAAAGCCAAGAAAGAATTCGACCTCAATCGTGTACCCAAGACCCATCTTTTCGCAAAGCCTGTCAGCCGTGAGACGTTACTCAGACCTTTGTTTCCCTCAACGTGATTCTCGACGTTCAGCATGATTGTGGTTGGAGGAGCAGCCATTTCGGGAGGAACTCAATTATCTCAACAAGCGATGGAGGTTATGGAAATTTGTTTGACAGGGTGCAAAACACTCACAGCCACATCAACAGATGTGCTTGGCGTACCCACGACGTCTGTTACAGCAGAGACGAACCGCAGCAAAGCCCGGAGGATGGTTCACAGGCACACCGAGCGAGGGGAGGGAACGCCTGAGGAACTGCCAAGACCAATGACATCACCGAGTCGGCGAACCCAAGCTCAAGTTGGAAGGTCATCGGTCACGCAAACGCCCTATCCGTGAGCAGAAGTGGAGTAGGCGAAGGATGGTTGTCACATATCGATGAGCAGACTACTCTTGGGCTTGTCACTCCCTCACGACCTGCTTTTCCTTCAGACACGGAGTGCTCATGATGAAGGAGATGAGAGAGACGAAATCAGCTCGAGACATGTCCTCCAACGACGAGCAAACCCCACTCATTCAAGTCGTCGGTGTGCGACCCCATCGTGATCGTTATGGAAACCATACTGTGAGTTTGTTTGCGAGCTTATGGTTCCGTTGAGGATGGATACAAGCAAAGACGGGTTGCTGAAACAGCACANNGCTTCGTCGCTTTTGCACCATAGCCCTGGTCGTCCTACCGCTTACCACGCTTGCACTCGCCCTTCTATCCTCCTTCTTTGGTCAGAGCGACCTATTTGGTGACGACAAGCTGGACAAACTCGTACCCTGGGACAGCCTGACCGGCCCCGTAAACCCACCACACTCGCAGTGGCCTGCTGGAGACGGCTTGAGCTACTCAGACCTCAAAGACATACTCTCCACCACACCCGACCCGGACAAGGCCAAAGAGTGGTCTCAATTCTACACGGCTGGCCCACATCTTGCTGGACAGAACTTGAGTCAGGCTGTCTGGACCAAGGACAGATGGGAAGAGTTTGGAGTCAAGAGCGAGGTCGTGCCATACGAAGTCTACATCAACTATCCTCTGGACCACAGACTTGCTCTACTGAAGAATGGAGAGGTCTCGTTTGAGGCAACTCTCGAGGAAGACGTCTTGGAGGAGGATCCCACATCTGGTCTGAAAGATCGTGTGCCTACCTTCCACGGCTACTCAGCCAGCGGAAATGTCACTGCGCAATACGTTTACTGCAACTTTGGTACCTATACAGACTTTGAGAATCTGGTCGCGGCCGGTATCGAGCTGAAAGGCAAGATCGCGCTTGTGCGATACGGAAGCATTTTTAGAGGTCTCAAGGTCAAGAGAGCGCAGGAGCTTGGCATGGTAGGAACCATCATTTACAGCGATCCTGGTGATGACGGTCTTGTCACCGAAGTCAATGGTTATAAGCCATACCCCGAAGGTCCTGCTAGAAACCCAAGCTCTGTACAGAGAGGTAGTGTGCAATACCTGAGTCAGTTCCCTGGTGACCCCACTACTCCTGGGTACGCCTCGAAGCCTGGTGTGCCTCGTAAACCTGCAAACGTCTCCACGCCCTCAATCCCATCATTGCCCATCTCATACGCCGAGGCCATTCCCCTGCTTCAGGCTCTGAACGGCCATGGACCGAATGCTTCATCCTTCCCTGCTCGTTGGCACAAGGGTGGCCTTGAACACAAGAACGTTTCTTACAACATCGGCCCTTCCCCACCATCTGTCACCATCAACTTGATGAACCTGCAGAACTACACTATCACGCCGATCTGGAACACTATTGGTATTATCAACGGATCCCTCTCAGATGAAGTCATTGTTCTCGGAAACCACAGAGACGCCTGGATTGCTGGCGGTGCTGGGGACCCCAACTCGGGATCTGCAGCTCTCAACGAGGTCATCCGCTCGTTCGGCGTTGCACTTTCCAAGGGCTGGAAGCCACAGAGAACCATTGTATTTGCCAGCTGGGATGGCGAAGAATATGGTCTTGTTGGGTCAACCGAGTGGGTCGAAGATTATCTGCCGTGGCTCAAGGACTCTGCTGTTGCTTACCTCAACGTTGATGTCGGTACTCGTGGCACAAGGTTCAACGCCAATGCTGCGCCTCTACTTAACCAAGCCATCTATGAAGTGACCAAGTCGATCAAATCGCCAAACCAGACAGTTGAAGGATCAACCGTATATGATCTCTGGGACAAACACATTGGTACCATGGGATCGGGCTCAGACTTCACAGCCTTCCAGGACTTTGCTGGTATTCCCAGTGCTGACTTTGGGTTTGGCAAGACTGGACCTCTTGATCCCATCTACCACTATCACAGCAACTACGACAGTTATGCCTGGATGGTCAAATACGGCGACCCGACCTTCCAATACCATGTTACAGCTGCCAAGGTTTGGTCACTCCTTGCAGCGTCACTGAGCGAGAAAGCTGTGGTGCCATTCAATGCCACCGACTACGCTTCCAGCCTCGAAAGATATCTTGACAGCGTCAAGCACATGGCCAACTCATCGGGCATGGCTTACAGAGACAAGGAGGAACAGGATGTGTCCATGTTCGTGGACCTTGACCTGGCCATCGAGTACCTTCAGCGTGCGGCACATAGTTTCGATGCGCGTGCGGCTGGTCTGGCTGCACAAGCCACTGCAGCAGAGGGCAAGCACAATCCTGCTGCCACCAACAGACTCTTTGCTGAGATCCGAGCTGTCAACACACAGTACAAGATGCTGGAGCGTGCCTTCTTATTCCCGAAGGGGCTTGATGGAAGAGGCTGGTTCAAGCATGTCGTGTTCGCACCTGGCAAATGGACCGGGTATGCTGGGGACACGTATCCAGGACTTGTTGAGGCGATTCAAGCAGGTGACAAGAAGGCACTTTACAGATGGGCTGGTATCATCGAGGGTGTTGTGTGGAGAGCAGCTGGTGTGATCAGCTGAGAGCTCAGTTGGAGTCAGACCTCATGGATCGGGGTAGTGGCGGATAAGGAGCGCATAGATGGTTGACATATAGTCTAGACCATGTGTATGGCATGAGTTTGTATGGAGAGTTCGGAAGCATGTCCTCAACATGTGATTGTGTGGTCGAGTTCTGAAGCTTCGAGTTCGAGCGTCCCAGGGCGATGTCGTCGACGTCACTTGGCGATCGATCCACACGCTCTACGCGTCAACCCATTGATCGGCCGTTGCGACAAAGAAGCACTTAGTACCTAATCTGAACAATGCCCTTCGCCATGTATTTGTGTCGTCTCCATCGCTACTGGCTACACTGTACATGCGACACGCCGCCGTCCAAGCCCGTGAATTGAGAGCCGTCCTTAGAACACCCACGCACCTACGAACGACCTTTGCCCACCCGAGATTCCTCACGATGCCTCCGAAGCGCAAAGCAACCTCCAGCACGCCCTCCGAAGCCCCTGCACTCAAAAAGACGGCCTTTGATGCCTTGCAACCCTCCGTCAAGTCGCACATCAAGACCGAACCAGAGATTAAGGTCAAGTCCGAGGCGCCAGAGTACCAAGACCGCGATCGCGAGATACTGGAAGAAAGATATGGAGTCATACAACGAGAGTTTTATCCTGCCGAGATGTCAAACGAACGTTGCGCTCGCTACAATGCCAACGAGATCACCCGTCCTATCGAGCTGCTCACTCAAGCCGTACAGAAGACGGCCTTTGCGCGCAACAAGATTGACGTAGGGTATGCCGTGGTACACTGGTTCAAGCGCGATCTACGTACGACGGATAATCGTGCTCTGCATCTGGCGAGTGAAAAGGCAAAGTCAATGGGGGTGCCTCTGATCTGTCTTTTCATCGTCAGTCCTCAGGATTACCAGGCTCATTTGACTGCACCCGTCCGTGTTGATTTTGAGCTCAGGACGTTGCAAGTACTCAAGGAAGATTTGGCCAAGAAGGATATTCCTCTGTATGTGGAGACTGTTGAGATACGGAAGAATGCCCCAGCACGGATCATCGAGCTGTGTCAGAGTTGGGGAGCCAAGCACATCTTCGCAAATATCGAGTACGAGGTGGACGAGCTGAGGAGGGAAGCTGGTTTGACGACTTCATGTCTTGAAGAAGGCATCGACTTTCATGCAGTTCACGACGACGTTGTAGTACCACCAGGCGACCTCACAACAGGTCAAGGCAAGCAATACTCGGTCTATACTCCGTGGTACAAAGCTTGGATCCGACATCTCCACGAAAATCCTACCCTTTTGGATGAGTTCGCTGCACCGCAACAGAATCCTGCTTCGGCACGCGAAAAGTATGCAGAGTTGTTCAAGACGGCGATACCTCCGGCACCCGAGAACAAGAAGCTCAGCGAAGAAGAAAGGGAACGATTCAAATCGCTATGGCCGCCCGGTGAACACGAGGCTCTCGACCGCCTAAGCAAGTTCTTGGAGAAGAAGATCAGTAACTACAAAGATGCTCGCAACATTCCTGCCGCGAATAGCACTGGCGTTATCTCGGTGCATCTTTCCACAGGCACTCTTGCTGCAAGGACAGCCATCAGGAGCGCTCGCAAGATCAACACATCTACAAAACTGGATGCTGGCAATGAAGGCATCAAGACTTGGATTTCTGAGGTCGCCTGGCGAGACTTTTACAAACATGTACTAGCTCACTGGCCTTATGTGTGCATGTCCAAGCCTTTCAAGTACGAATATACTAAAGTTAGGTGGGAGTACAACGATGAGCACTTCACTCGCTGGTGCGAAGGCAGAACGGGCTTTCCTATCGTCGATGCCGCGATCCGGCAGATGCACTCTATGGCCNNTGTAAGTGTTTCTTCATTTCTGTTAATGTGACTGGAACAGAACTGACAATGATCAGATATGCACAACAGGTGCAGAATGATTGTCGCCAGCTTCTTGGCCAAAGATCTTTTACTTGACTGGCGCATGGGCGAGAGATATTTCATGGAACACCTCATCGATGGAGATTTTGCATCCAACAATGGTGGGTGGGGCTTTGCTGCATCCACAGGCGTAGACCCACAACCCTACTTCCGTGTCTTCAACCCACTGCTACAGAGCGAGAAATTCGACGAACAAGGCGAGTATATCCGAAAATGGTTGCCTGAATTAGCAGACATCAAGGGCAAAGCAATACACGATCCTTACGGCAGAGGCGCGGCAAAGGAAGCAGAAAAGGCGGGATACCCACGACCAATGGTCGACCACAAGGTATGCAGAGACCGATGTCTTGCGCGATATAAAGAAGGTCTAGGCAAAAGCACTGCGTAAAGAGCCCTATAAGATAGTCGCTTAAGGAGTCTGTTATGCCGCTTAGGACCTATAAACCTCATCTCGCGATCCTCTCCGAGATGCATCTTTTAAGCACTCTTCGATGTCGATCGGTGCATGGGTTTTGTTCTTTCAGCCTCACGTATAAGCTTCGTACATACAAGATGCCGTGTTGTTTCTTTTGATCGAGCACGGCAGATTCTCCGTCGAGGAGGCAGTTCCGCAATTTCTGATAGAAGGAGCGGGGGTGGCTCCAACAACCCCACCTCTAGCGTATGGGTGCCGACAGCGGAGAAATACTTCCGATGAGACTACCCTCATCGGATGCACCATCATCTGGCACCCCGCAGGAGTATCTGATCTGTGAAAGGTATCTGCAATCGAGTATCCGCTGACTCCGAGGGCAGCTGCAGAAAAGAGGCAACCGAGGGGGATGTCCGGTTTCGACTGTTCCCATCTCGATGACTGTGAGATTGAATGCATACCATACGTACATGCATCACACATCAACTCTCAAAACCAAGCTATCGTATTCGTCAGCGCGCGCCTACAAGGCATATTCGTTGTTGGAAGGTAGATACTTGGGCGCGAAATGGAGAGAGGGTTGAAGTTGGAGGTGGCCAATCAGGATGGCGTCGCAAGCGCGGCTCTGGACGTGCGTGAAACCTCATGTCGTCCTTTCCTTCTCATCGTTCTTTGCTCCTTTCCATTAGTGATGACTTTCGAGTTGCACACAGCGCTTTGTCAAACTGTGATGTGAGAAGTTGGTCTCTAGCAGTTTCGAAGACGATAAGTCTTGCATCAAACCTCTAGACATTGTGGACTCGTTGAGGTCGAGTGCATGTGAGATTGTATGGCAAGACAAAGGAATGGCACTTTCAGTCCTTTGTTGAGTAGTTCTTACGTGACGTGTGAGGCTCATTGACAGGTCTTATGGGCTTGCGACATTCACATGGCTCAAAGCCGCTCAAGCACAGTTAGGTATAGCATCTTGCTGAGAATGTCGGTATACATATGGCGGCTGCATGTGTCTCGGAAAACCCAGAAACAAGTGCAAGTTCACGAGCCATTGGCCACGCGCGCGATATGTCAAAACTGCCGCCCGGGCTTGATGGTCGATGAGACACACTGATTGTTTGCTTTGGGGGCTGGACCTGCTCGAACGATATCTCCAATAGGACCTCGTGAGCCTGTCATACACACATAAGCTATCCTTGAGTGCCACATACAAGATTCCACGTTCCCGGCTCGAGGTTGCCTGGCTGTCGCTGTCCTTTGATTCCTTTCTCCTTTCCATTCCCCGGTCACACAGCTGCAGGCAGTTTAATCCTTTTCTGTGATCATTTCTTGCATTGGTGGTGTCAAGGCGTCTACAAGCAACCAGTTTCTTCTTCTTTGGAATAGTCTCGCTGTCACCGGTGGCTGTCAAATCTTGCTCGTTTGCATCGCTAGCTGGACTTAGCGCGTCGCAATAACCAAAGCGCAAACAACAACATCGCACGCCAACAACCTTCACTTCCACGACGCTCACCACCAAATTTTTCCTCACTGTTGACGATCTTTGTTCGATTGTTCTTCACTCTCATTCATTCAACAATACTGGTTATTGCCGCTCGCTTGACGCCCACAATCGTTCCCCTAGTTCCGTGCTATAGAGGTCATTGTTGCCATTGTGCCACATCCGACTTCCTTTGTGCAAGCATTAGTCCTGTTCATTGATCCATCGCCGGACGCCCTTGTTGTCTTCTTTCAGGTTCTTGTGTCTCTTCTGGCATTATCTGTCTACATAACCACACCCTCGACCAGCCTTGAAGGTTCTCAAAAATCGCATCTCAGACACAACGAAAGAAAGAACTTGACGCCTCCAACGACCAAAGTCCAAGACAATCCAACCTCTCGTCAAAGACATCGAGTTCTCGAAGTAAAAAAGAATCGACAATCTTCTCTCTCTCTCTCACCAAGTCTACAAAGATATTCCTTCGCAGGTTCGAGGATCTTTTGTCACCAAATCTCTTTTCTCCAAACCCAACACGTCTGTTCTCCAACAACACATCTCACAAAACACATCAAAAGACGACACTTACCAAAATGAAGTTCTTTATTACTGCTTCCGTTATTGCTGCCGTCCTCGGTCATGCATCTGCCCACTCCTGGGTTGAGGAGATGCAAGTCATCGACTCGACTACTGGCAACTACACTGGCGACTATGGCTACCCTCGTGGCTATGTTGCTCGCACTGATCCTGGGTTCAACGGCGACTCGATGGACTACCTGCTGCCAGCCCTTAGCTCGGGTCGCACTCGTATCGACAACACTGATCTTCTCTGCCACCCTAACCAACGTACCTCGAACTACGCCAACGCCAAGTACCCTCGCCTTCAGGCTGCTGCTGGCTCCTACGTTGCCATGAAGTACCTTGAGAATGGTCACGTCACTCTGCCTCAGAATCAACCTGGCAAACCCAAGTCTGGCGGCACTGTTTTTGTCTATGCCACTACCAAGCCTTCCAGCACTGAGAAGATCGCTGATGTCCTCAAATGGAACAGTGCCGGTACTGGTGGCGACTCGCGTGGTGCTCAAATAGCTGCTCAGAACTTTGATGATGGACGTTGTCACCAAATCAACTCTGGCACCATTTCTCTCGCACGTCAACAGGAGTTCCCTGATCACGTCTTCGGCCAGCCTGATTCCAATGTTGAGCAGTGGTGTGAGACTAATGTTCACATTCCTTCGACTTACAAGACTGGCGACACTGTCACTGTCTATTGGGTTTGGCAATGGCCCACTGAGGCTGGCGTTGGTGTCTACCCAGATGGCAAGGATGAATACTACACCTCTTGCGCCGAGATTGACATTGTTGCCTCTATCAGCAATACTGCCCCAGTTCACACTCTTGCTCAGCAGGACGCTCAACCCGAGGCTGTCTCTGACTTCAAGTCAAGAGCTGCTCTCACTACAAGTCCTCTCTACACTCTTGCTGGCACATCTGGTTCTGCTGCTGCTTCGACTTCACCTTCAGCTGCCACCTCTTCAACCTCTTCATCTGCCGTCCCATCATCGGCCTCTTCCTCTGTTGCATACTCAACCACCTCAACAGCCCCCACCAGTGAGTTCACCGACCTCCCCATAATCTCCTTCCCTCCCTTCCCTTTTACTAACACCTCTGCTCCAACCTCAGGACCCACCCACCACCCCTCCAACCCCTTTNNCCCAGCCACGCCTCTGGCAACCCTTCTCTGCCTTTTCTTCTCGCCTCCCGCTCAACTTCCTAGCTTTGTAACCGTCACCGACTACATCACCATGTCTGATGTTGCAAACAAGGCCCAGGGACCTGCTTCCACAAAGACTGCCACGCAGATTGTGACTAGTTATGTTACTGCTACTGCTAGCACTGTTATTGTGCCTCAGGCTTCTGCTCAGGCTGCGTTGCCTAGTATTGTGCAGATACCCGATCAAGCTGGTAATGCTGGGTTGATTGGTAGACGCTTTGTTGCTTAAGGGGAAGATGCAGGGGGTTTGATGCGTGATTGATGATGATGAACAATGATGGACGGTTTTTTTTCTGCTTTTCTTCTGCTTTTGGGAGGGATTGTTGTGGAGTTCTTTTTTACTTTGAGGGAAAGCCAAATGGTGCTTTCTTTTCTTCCTCTTTCTGCTCTTGATGAGTTGGGGGAAGGGTATAACGAATATGACAAATGCTTTATTCTCGATGAATTTTCTTTTCCCTTTCCTCTGCATGTGAGTTGTGCAACTACTAGATATTACCAACTGTGTGATTTATATGTTCATTGCTATTCTTTTTCTCTGGTGTGTATTGGGGTTGGCGAAAATTGTTGGAAATGTGTTTTTTGTTGAGCAGGAAGGAATCTTGGAAGGGCAAAAGGTGTGGATTGGGTGGCTTAGTATGCTGGTGTTGTGATCTCCATAGTGTTCAGGGGAAATACACAATACCAATCCTATCGAAGCATGCAAGGCACCTCCAACGACCATCTTCGTCTCGTGAGAAGTTTTTATAGTGTAAGATTATTTTTTGTTTATAAGGGGGAAAAAAAAGAACAGAGCCAAAAGCCGGGATGAGATTGCACGCTATGATACAAGTTTTATCGCAATCCCTCCCAGTCTCCAAGCGGATGTGGGAAAAAAAGTCTATCTGTACTCGGGACGGACAAAGTCGGCGAGGGTCTTGGGCTCGCCGTCGAAGTTGTGCGAGCCGTCGGTGTCGGCGTCTGTGGAGGTCAAGTCAGTAGGTAGTTGGCAGAGTGGAGAGGACAGAAGAGGTAAATTCGTACGGCCGACGTGGTCACCGTGGTGGCCGTGAGCGTCGTGGCTCTCTTGGGGACCGACGTAGTCCATGTTGTAGACGGAGCCGCACTCGGGGCAGCGCTCGATGGGGCGGTCGCGCGACATGGTCAACCAGGTGACGACGTGCGAGTCGGCGGGGCAGCCGGTGCAACCGACGTACTGCTCGTCGCCAAAGGAGCGGACGACAATGGGCTCCTTCAAGGTGCCTGTGTTGGACGTCAATGTCAATGTCTTGGCGGGTGGTGTGATATCGAGGATAGAGCATGGCTACGCACCCTTTCTGCTGGCGTCGAGGGGCTTCATGTCGAAGACGTCGATGCCCTGCATCTTTCCGAGGATTTCGAGACGCTCGAGACCGGTGGCCTGTTCAATGTCGGTGGGCACGGTACCGGGCTGGGCACCGGAGGGCATCAGGTCATGCTCGTTCTGGATCTNCTAATTTTGCGCAACGGGACCGCGTCAGTCAATCGGGCGAGGGTGGACAGATGGAAGACGTGTAAACGCACCCTCGAAGGGCTTGACTTTGTTGGAGTGTTGGCCGGGCTTGGGGTCGCTGTGGGCGTCGACNNTGGTGGCTTCTTAGTTGCGTGTGTCAATGGGCATATGCGCTGCGTGGAGCGGCTTACAGCGGGCAAAGGACGACGAGAAGGGGCGGGCGGCGACGGGGCGGAAGGCGGCACGCTTGGCCAGGCCGGATGCTACACGACGAACAAACATGGCGACGGTGAGGTTGTGAGTGGAGAGGTGTGTGGTATTCGAATCGCTATACCAGCGCGCAATCGCCGAAGCCGTCACACGGAGAGCTGCCCAGCGGCCAAAAGTCGTTGTTGCAAGTCTTGGCCAACCACCGTCTTCTCCTCCCACCATCGACCAACATCCACCACCTCTCTGGAAATCTACAGTATCAATGTCTCTGATCTAAAGTAAGCAAATTCACTCGTGCACACATGTGATCCAACAAGCATAGTCCGTTGCCCCATATCAAGGTTGGTACCACTTTGACAACTAACGGCCTCCCTTCGATGGACGACTACACACTTTGCTCTAACCAAACCAGCTGGCTCAAGTCATGGCCTTCTTTTTGCTGCCCTCTCGCTCCATCACCTCATCATTTTCCATCAGCCCAAGAGCTTGGTTCAGATGCTCGTCTTCTACCCCTGATTTCATTCGCCCTCCTGGACCTGTAGCATCCTGGACCCGCGACGAATACAATGCCTACCGACGATGGCGATATGCTACAGATGCCGATTATCGACAAGCTCGAATACAGGCCGCTTGCGAGTTCAGCAAGAAGTGATACTACAGCGACCCCGTCTGGCGTGAGAAGAAGATAAAGCTATGGACAGGCTGGAACTTGGCTCATCCCGAAGTAAGAGCAGCCCGAGACCAGCGTCTCAAAGAGCGCTATGCGGATGACCCCGAGTATCGAGAGTCTGTGAAGCAAAGGTTTGTCGAGCGCTATGCCGACGATCCCGAGTACTGAAAGGCTCTTCTCCAGCGTGGCAAAGAGCGCCACGCCAACGACGCTGAATTTCGAGAGACCAAGCTCCAGCGTAACAAAGAGCGCTACGCCAATGATCCTGAATATCGCGAGGCTTTGCGACAACGGAAGGCCGAACGATATGCCGATCCTGCATATCGGGAGGCTAGTGCACGGCGCTCAAAAGACCGCTACGCCAATGACCCTGTATATCGGGAGAATGTGAAACAACGTACTAGGGAGAGGTACTTGCGGAAGAAAGCTGATCAAGACACATCGAGCCCTCAGGAGACACCAGACCTCCAGAAGACTTGATCCTTTGCCGACAAGTTCTGATGAGACCTAGGCGTGGTGTGTATGGGGAGGCCTTATGATGGCATTTTCTACAAAATGTTGGTCAATTTTCGCCTGAACCAGTGCCTTATGTAGCATGAAAACATCGTGAGCTACGTGCTTTTGTAGTCTTGCAAGAACGGCAAGTTGGCATGTCCATTTGTGCAGGGTATAATATCTTCTGTGACCATGCGCCAAACCCTCTTCACCCAAAACGCCTTTTCGAAGATGCATTATTCGTTCCTGTTGTGCAAGAAGCAGCACATTTGCAATTTCTGTCCTTTTCGAAGCGTTCGTTCTTAAGCCTCGGCCATCTCCTGATCTCCATCCCCATCTCCCTGAGCACCGCCCCCAAACACATCCTCAAAACTGTCCATTGCGTCCTTTTCCTCGGCACCGTCAACCTTGACATCACCCACCCCTTCCATCCTCACATCCCCGTTGTTCTCTCTTTTTGCTGTCTCCTCATCCTCAACAACCTCATCCTCTTCCCACAAGTCCCGCAAACTCCATCCCGTGCCAGTGAGACAGTACTTCTCCGGCGGCAACTGCACACCCCAAGATTTCTGCACTTTGGGCAGCGCAACCCTATTCCTGTCCACCGCCTGCTCCATCATAAACTCTTTGGGCAACGCGCCCTGGAACTGGTAATCCTGGCGCGAAGCAATGGCCTGCCGCAGCGCATTCACAGTAATATTACTGCCGTCGGTGGCTTCTGAGCGTTTGGAATTTGTGGGTGCACCGGGGGCGGAAGCATAGCCTTCTGATGACAAACGGAATGCGTCGGCTAGTACGGAGGAGGTGTAGCGGTAGGCGAAATCAAGGAGTTGGAGGGGTACGCGTTCTTGGTATGAGTGCACGCCTTGGGCGGAGAGGATGAGATGGATGAGGCGGGCGTCGCGCGGGCGGCGGGAGAGGCCGTCGTCGGTGGTGCTGGTGGGTTGTTGATCATTGGTTGGTTGGGTTGTTTGCGCTGTGGTGGGTGCGGGTGTGGTTGATGGTGCTGGTTGTGATTGTGGTGGGTTGGAGGCGCTCTTTTGTGCCGTTTCGGTGGCTGGTGAGGCCATGGTGGGTTGTGAGAGGTGAAGAGTGTGAGGTAGAGAATCGGAGTGTAGTCGGAGAGTCAAGGTTGGATGTAGTGGCAGATTGATGTATGTTATGCGACAAGATGAATGCGCGCAGGTGGAGGTGTTGGAAGTCGATGCCAAGACTTTGTGGGGAATCGTGCCGACCACGTCTAGCCAAGTCGTAGAGTCACCCTGTCCACCAGCTTTCCACAACTCGATCACAAGTATTCACTTTTCACTCCACTTTGCTGACTCAACTAGTAGGAAAGCACACCAGTGACAACTGGTTTTTTCCATTTCAAATCTGCTCAAAATCTATCTCCCGCTGCATGCCATTTTCAACGTTTTGAGTGACAGGAAGTACGCAAGAGACTTGATGGTCCGAACCTGGTCTGCGGAGATGTTGATGGTGCACATATACTCTGACCTGAGCAACGCATTGCACATGCGAGTCATTGAGCCACTTGTGAAGTCTAGCCTCAAGTCCCGAACCTTCCAAAAGACAATCAGAACAGCCCCAAAGTTGGAAGCATATGTCCAGTTCCTTGACGCTTTTCATCTTGTCGAGCTCCAACAACATTTGTGGTGGTATGGGGACGAATGTATTTGAAGACAACACGACGATGCTCAATGCAAGCTTCACAATCTTCGCCAACACAGAGTCGGATGTGTGTGGGAAGTAGTCGGTATGATCGAGTATAACGCCACGGACCTTCCACTGTAGCCAGGCGTCGTACGTTATCGGTCCACGTCCTTCGACTACCCACCAGCGGTTGTGGTTGACATACAGAGCGGCTTCCATGTAGGTTTGCTTGCAGCAGCGTAGCAGATTCACGCCCACTTTCGTGGGAGGCGCCACACCTCGGGCCATCCAGACGTCTCCCCCTTTCCCTAAATGTATCTCGTAAATCTTGTTACGAAGCTCTGGAGGTAAGTCAAGGAAGCGAAATGCTTTGTTCTCGTGGTTGATTCGCATTTGCAGGCCTGTTGGCAGTTGCGGCCCAGACTGGGAGGATCGCTCGATTGACTGCCTCGTGAAGACGGTCTTCTCGTAGTGATTCTGGTCGTTCATTTCGTCTCGACAGCTGTGTATCAACACTGTGTAGGATGATCAAGTCTTTCTGTCTGGGTGCTGGGCATCCGATGGCAGATGGAGAGATGCAGTAGAAGATGATCACATCTCAAGACTGGTGCGTTTACAAGGTAAGTGAGTCACAATATATATCTCTGTCTTGCAGCCAAGCAGTGCTGTGAGACTCTTGCGAGCAAGTTATAGCACAATCGAGGGCATTTGTCAAGGGTAATGTGACCAGAGTAGAGGTTTGAGAGACAGACTCACAGATAATGCCTCTGGTCTGGATCATCAATCATACTCCTGGGGTTCAGTGTGACTGCTAAAAGTTAGGTGTTTGGGCTGAGGTGCTGCCCACGCTGGCCAAGAGCAACATGAACACCCCGAGGTGGTCCGTCTTTCCTCTCATGCTGTTTTGCAGTACATTGATCGTCTAGAATAGAAGATCGCTCGGGGAAGAGGATTGTCAAGTTCGTATGAGAGGAGAAGTCTGTGGTCAAGGCATGTCAAGGGTGGGGAAGAGGCCTAAGCGCATACACTGCCAAGAGCTTTGTACATCGCAGCACTGCTAGACTACTGCACTGCCCATGAGACAACCCCGACTGCTCTTTCATCCCACCTTACCGAACGTCGTACTTCTTCCATCTCCATACGTTTTGCATCAAACGCTCGGAGTGTTCAGTGGGTTGATTTATGTCAACATCAAAATCACCAAAATCAAAGATCATCTAAAGTCGATCCGCTAGTCATCAGCGCATCTTTCCTTTTCGGGTTTAAGCACCAGGACCGCACGTCACTGTCATCGGATACAAAAGACCCAAAACTCAGTCAACAATGATATCCCTGCTCACATCCGGAGAAGATGAACGATCGACCGTCAAGTACATCGTAGCTTTTGCTCAATGGAGATTGAGATTGGTCCTCAACATGCGCCCTCGCAACACTCCGCAAACGGTGATTGACAAGCTCACAACCTCACAAGGATTCCGCTGCTATGCTATGATGTATACCATCAAAAGTAAGTCCATCGGCCTTGAATCTGTGTGCAAATGCCAGTGACTATGCTTCATTGGGCCAAAGCATAAGATAGATCTGCCTGTTTGAGTTGACCTGCGATTTGATATGCATCAGAAGCTTGGACAAGTTGAAGAGAGCGGTACAAAATATGAAGAAGCCTTGTTGCCCATATTGGTTTGGCAGTTTCTCTTTCGACCAGTATTCACCATGGTCGCTTTTTCGCTTGCTTCCCTATCTTTGGTTGCCTCTTCCTTGGTCTCGGCCGCTCCTCTATTCACCCAGGTCCTTACCAATGGCAGACTTACCGGTAGCTCATTTGGCTTGCCAGGTGCAAATGCCACATATGACTACGTGATTATTGGTGGTGGTCTTGCCGGCTCGGTGATCGCAACTCGTCTTTCCGAGCAACTACCCAACCAGACCATCGCAGTCATCGAGGCCGGTTCCTTTGCAGAAATCTCGAACACGAATTGGAGTCAAATCCCGTACTACTCTGAGCAGTTTGCCAGCGCTGATGTAGACGAATGGCAACCTCTAATCGACTGGGGTTTGGCAACAGAGCCCCAGGGTGGAGCCAACGACAGAATATATCATTATGCTCAAGGAAAATGTCTTGGAGGCAGTTCTGAGCGCAACCAGATGATCTATCATAGGTACGCGACTCTGATATTCGAACTCAAGACGTCCTACTGACACATCGGNCATAGATCCAGCGCAGGTGCCTACCAAGTGTTTGCCGACCACGTAGGCGACGATGCGTATCTCTTTGAGAATATGGAACCCTTCTTCAAGAAAACATTCCACTTCAACATTCCCAACGAGGAAGTCAGACCGTCAAACGCCAGCGTCAACTACACACTCGAGGGGTATGACATCCCTGGAACTGGTGTTGAGCTGTCGTACAACAACTACGCCAATGCAATCTCCTCATACGGACCGGCCGCTTTCGCTTCTCTCGGAGTCGAGCCAAACCCAGACTTCAACTCTGGTGACCTACGTGGCTACGGCTACTTCCCAAGCACAATCGACCCTGTGACTGGCTTGAGAAGCTCTGCGGAGAGCGGACTCTTGTCTCCTGCGCTCTCAAAGGCTCCTCTGCTTACCGTCTATCAGTCGTGTATGGCAAGAAACATCTTGTTCGATGGCCAGAAGCGTGCTACAGGAGTCAATGTGACAGTGGAAGGTATCAAGCCTTTCATTCTGACTGCTCGCAAGGAGGTCATTCTCTCTGCTGGTGCATACCACTCACCTCAGCTGTTGATGGTCTCGGGTATCGGACCTCAAGCGACTCTCCAGCAGTACAACATCTCGGTCGTCTCGGCTCTTGAAGGTGTTGGCCAGAACGGCTGGGACACTGCCAACGTCGGCGGTCCCTCGTTCAACATCTCGACCGTCTCGGCATCGCGTCTGGGTTACCCAGGACCCGCACTCGATGAGGCGACAGCGTAACTCCTCGCCAACGGATCTGGTCCTTTGTCCAACATCGGCGAGGACTTCTGGGCATGGGAAAACATTCCCTCGGAGCTTCGTACAAACTTTTCTCAAGCAACCAAAGACGCGTTTGCAGCATTCCCCGAAGACTGGCCTGAATTTGAGTTTGTCCTCTCAAACACGGGCAGATCACTCTCTTCTACGTCCTCGAGTAAGAATGACCTCGGCGCCATTGGTGTATTGATGGTTGCATCAACCAGTCGCGGAAACATGACCATCAAGAGCGCCAGCAACGATGTTGCTCCCGTCATCTCGCCCAACTGGCTCCTCGATCCCGAAGACCAAGAGATGGCTGTCGCTGGGTTCAAGCGCGGACGTCAAATTGCTCAAGCACTAGGCAACTACCAAGGCGAGATCCTGCCTGGCTTGAACGTCACCAGCGACGCAGATATCCTGAAGTGGATTCAAGAGACTGGAGTTGGTGCCATTCACCACTGTACTGCGCTTTGCGCGATGGGCAGATCTAACAACACGATGGCTGTTGTGGATTCAAAAGCAAGAGTGTATGGTGTGAGTGGGTTGAGGGTTATTGATTCGTCGAGTCTGCCGTTTACTCCTCCTGGTCATACGCAGGGTACCACTTATGCTCATGCAGAGAAGCTGGTGCAGGATGTCATCAATGCTGCCAAAGGACAGTTTTGATTGTAAAGATGTTTTTAGCATAGCGATCAATGAGTTATCATGTTAGACAAGCACAATTTGAACATTGCCTCAAGAATCATGAATATCCATATGCCTTGTGTTCGAATCGAGGACCACAGCATGAATGCTTTACCAATAGCAGAACTCGATCGACATGTCAGACCGACTGCGATGTTACGGAAGAAGGAACCTTTCAAAGTCGTCGGTCAAGGGCGGGGAGGAAGAGGCCCAAGCGCGTCGAACGCCAAGAATCGTCGACGGGCAGCGGATGCGACATTCAAGCAACCATCGACGACCTCGTTCTCGACCATATAATCACACATACCGCCGTCATGCCGAGCATTACTGATGTGCCAATGAGAGAGAGGCAGCAGGTCCCTGCAAAGTCATTGAACACCCCCTACCCTGTATGACATGTTCCACAATCCATCACCAAACCACCACCACTGACAAGCCTCACANNGCTCATTGACAGTGACCCGTAAGCTCGTCCAGCTCTTCGCCAACCTCGAATACCCTTCAGTCTAACGTATCGTCTCTCGCAGNNTCACTTCAAGCGCGTCCTCGGCTATGCCCGTCCCGGCGACTACATGTACGGTGTTGCGTTCGGCGCCTCGATCCCTGCTACCATGACCCTCATGGAGCGCGTCTCTCCNACCGGTGTCTCCCGCAGCGTCTTTGCCAGTGTCATGCGTCTCTCCGGTGGCATCGGCCTCTTTGCCGGTTTCTACCTCTGCTACTCGAGATCCATCAGTGCGTCCACTCACCCCCGAATACCTCCCTCAGAAAGAGCTTGGAAACTACAATGCAAGGACCAGAAAGAAGCAACAACTTGCTAACACAGACTTTACAAAAAAACAGACCGCTTCTACGGCTTCACCGAGAACCGCCGCGAAATCGACATGGACATGCGCGAAATGGTCGACAAGGTCAAGCGCGGCGAGGAGCTTTACGGCAAGAGCCAGTTGACCGAGTACATGCAAGGCGTCGCCTCGCGCCAGTCGCGCTACTCCGGCATCTGGATCCACATGATGCCCTGGTTCAACTTTGTCAACCACAACCAGCACGGCGTCGACACGGCAAAGTACTACCAGCAGGCCGAGCGGGAACTCGAAGCTGAAAAGGCATGAAAAGAGGAAAGAGGAGCGGAAAGAAAGAAAAAACTTGATATCCCCCCATGAATACGCCCTCCCGTCTACCTCTTCTTTGCTTCGATGTTTCTTTTTGCAGATATTCTACTTTTTTTTAGGCGCATACACACCGGTAAATGATATACCTTCAGACTATGTTTTGTTGATCAAGTGCACATGGATTCTCCTTTTGTCCGTCGACTTTCTTTTGATGACTTACGCATGGAGCCTCTGATTCTCGTACTGTTTTGTGTATACTGACTTTCAAGATGCTGTATTCTACCAGACTCTCGTAATGCTAATTTTCTACCAAGTTTCCATTCATCATCGTATCGACAAATCTTCGACTATACAAAAAAAAAGGGTTCTTTCTTTCATCTCACTCATTAAATCGCAGGAGAAATATAATATTCTCACTTCTCATCACTGGCGACAGCATCAACCTTGGTCAAGATCCAAGTCGAAGCATACATATTGACTCTNNGTTTGTCCCGAGTCAGCAAAAACACTCATCAGAGTCACAAGCACAGGAAACGCGAAACATACCTATCGATGCAAGAGCCGGGAGGAATCCTCGCACCAACCCTCTTGGCAACAAACCCTCTGCTCTCAAACGTATCCACATACCAAGGCCTCAGACCTGCAGATCTCAACAACACTCTACCCCCAAACTTGAGGGCGCGGTTGACAATCTTGACTTGGTGGTCTGCTTCAGGGCCTTTGGGGTCGAACCAATCCATACTGTCCATTAAAACGGCAATGGTGAGAGTTTCGGGCGCCATGCGTGCCATGACTTCACACAGTTCGTCGGTGTGGATGCGTAGACCGTCAAAGGCGGCGGGTTTGGAGAGTTTGACGTGTGCTCGGGGCGCCAGGTACTCTGGGTGACAGCGCTGGGTGTACTGTCCCTGCAGACAAATCAAATAGTATGGGTTTTCCTCCGACACCAGAGTATTGTTGACGACAGGATCCAGAGTGTTAACCGCATACTCCCAAATCGCTTGTCCGGACTTGACACCCGTTAGTGTTTTTGCGTCTGCGCGATCGGTTTGACGAAGATAGTCAGAGTCAATCATTGCACGTTGGTTGGCAGGTACACCCAACGCTTTCCAGAGAAACTTTTCGGTGCCGATGACGGTGTAGTTGAGGAACTGGGAGAGGAGGACTCTGCGTACGCGTTTGCTCCAGATCTCGCGTTGTTCGTTGAGGGTGGCGGCTTTGCACATGTTTTCGAGGTCGGCGCGGATGCCGAGGAGGCGGCCTAGCCATTGGACTAGTTGTAGTGCGTGGCGGGAGCCGCCTGTGTAGTAGAGACCGCGGCTCTTGGTGCCAAAGGTGGTTTCGCCCTTGTGGAGCCAGTAGTCGAAGGCTTGGGATGAGAGATGGGGACTTAGATGATTGATGAGGAGGGAACGGAATTCGTCGTGCTTGCCTTGACCAAACAACTTCCATACATCTGTATAGCCGAGGGCGGTGAAAGCAGCGACCTTGAGTTCGAGAAGGTGGTTTTGGTTTGGGTTGAGATCGACGGCGTGGATACGCTTGGGTTGCTCGAGGGCATAGGCAAGGATGTTGTCGCCTGCACTGGTGATGGCAAGGATGACATCTTCGGATGTGATTTTGAGGAGACGTGCATCAACTCTGGCGTCTTCCCAGGTGAAGGCGTAGATGTACTCGTCACCAAACTGTCTGTGCTTTTGCAATTGCTCGTCGTAGTAGATGCGCCAGTGGTGTTGCTGGTACCATGCTGCGGGGAGAGGCAGGCTTGCCGACAGGTTGACGATGGCCGACTCGTATGCCTTGGAGCGACGCTCGGAGGAGGAAGCTCTACGTGCGCCTCCGACTGTCTTTCGCTGGAGGTCGAGCGCACTGATGAAAGGCGACTCTGTAACAGCGGCGTCGAGAGCGGCGAGTTTGTTCATGGACGACTTGGTTTGTTTGGCACAGCCGATCCAGATGTAATATGGGATTCTGAAGCCGAAGAAGTGGTTACGAGCGTTGGCAGTCAAGATAGTGCCAAATTTATACTCCAAGTAATCCTGCAAAAGTCAGTCTGCGAGTTCTGAATGTTGACAATGAGTCCTTACACGACGAGAAGAATCCAAGAATACTCTGTCCATCTCGAACCATGCAGCCCAGAAGACACGGGAGATCCACATACAGTGACGATCGATGACACCACCGACATAGTTGCGAGACTGGAACTGGATCTGGTTCTGGACGTAGAAATCTACAACACCCATGATACCATTGGGTGCAAGCAGATTGGCGAGAGAGTCGACGACGGGGTGGAATTCGGGTATCATGGAAAGACTGTAGCTCATGGTCAAAAGGTCTGCGCCGATGTTGTCGGCGGCACTGCTCTCATCGAGTGCACTCTTGCCAATGCTGAAGACTGCGCTCTCATCATTGAGACCCTCTTCGTAGTCGCTGAGCTTGAAGGTACGAGCATCCTGGCAGACAACCTTGACATTCTTCCAACCGAGGCGAGCGAATCTGGTTCTGGCAACTTGGCACAGAGAGGGCGAGAAATCGACAAGGTAAACGGCGTGGAAGAAGCTGGAGACTGGCAAGTGTTTTTCCATCTGTTCAATGTTCCAGCCAGTACCTCCGCCAACGTNCCTTCAAGCAGAAAGAGAATCAGCACAGTCCTCAAAAGCATCATGAACACAACTTACGACCCAGATTGGCTTGCGGGGATATTGACCCTGCTCAAGCTGATGGCGGAGTTGAGCAGCAGCCATTGCCAGCATATCTTCTCTTCCACGGAGGAGTCTTGAACGTGTGACATCGTAAATACCGGCTTGGGTCTTGTAGAAACTTTCGAGGGCATCTTGCTGGTTGCCAGTGTTGTCGCCAGTGTGAGGCTTCAGGAAGCAGGAGTATGCGAATTTCGCAGAAGTAGCGGCGGCATTGAACAGCTTGCCGACAGTCTCGAGTTCTGTGAACGAGAGAGTGAAGTAGGTGACGAGGAGAAGCACCAACAAGACGGTAGCAATGCTGATTTGGTTCAAGGGCTCGGTGAGCGCTTGAAGCACTCCTGAACAGACATTGTTACAAACACAAATAGAGATGCAAGAAAAAGAGGTACAAAGGTATGCAGATAGACAAAAAGAGATGCAGAAGCAAGGGTCAGGACCAACCTAGTATCATAAAGCATTCGAGCATACGACTCGTGCTCAACGTAAGCTACAACAATTTTCAACAGCATCATGGCACATTGTCACAAATCTCGTCCTCCACATGCGGCCTACACCCCGCTACCCCTCCTGACCTCGGTGTATCTCATTCGGAAAACACAGAGGACGCATTGTCAGCCTATAGATCCAGGCACATGCCGAGAACAAGCTGCAGGTGCAGCGTGAAGATCAAGGGTCCGGTGGAAGTTGAAGTTCAGTACCTGACACGGCGGCGTGAAAGAACGTTTGTTGTCATGGACCTATTGACGGCAAGGACTCGAGGCATGTGTCGTGGAGAAGCCACGGAGAGGCATGCCAAGTAGAGCTGGGGTGACCAATCATGGCGCGTCCTGGCAGCATGGGATTCGTCACTGGTGAACTTTGCTCCAACGTCTTCTCCTGTGCATGAGACCTGCGTACGAAAGAACAGTCTCGTCTTTCGCCCTATGGCTCGGGTAAATCTTGACAAGCTGTGGTAAAAGGTTACGTGCAAAAGCAGATAGCATAACGACGGCAGAAGTCCCGAGTTCATGCAGTTGAGGGCGTGCGATGTGCGTTGATAAGACGCGCAGTCTGCTGGAAGAGCGCTCGGCAATGCGAACCGCTGGAGCTGACTCCAGTCCTCAAACATTGACAGACGTCAGATCTCATATTTGCCTTTTGCGTCTCCGTGCTGAACGAGCAACATATAGCCAAACGAGCTGATAGATGGTCAACAACAGTTGTCCCCCAGCCACACCTCATGTTGCTGACAAGTTACTCCAAGTGAGATTGGCCAATGCCCATGGAGTGTACGAATTGCTCATATACGTAGCCGCAAGCTGTTGACGCCCAATAATCCGACAACAACGACATTAACATTCGGAATCATTCGCAGAGAAACAACCTTCGCATCATGGTTTCAACAGATAGACGACTTGCTACAGAAGTTTGCTCGAGCGGCATACTGTCTGGAGAGAACAATGTGCTAATCTAGTAATGCTGACCGTTCTGCGTGAGGATCCAGGCTCGATGCCGAAGGCGAACATGAGTTGGATGGCGATGCTCAAGTGCCACAAGATGCTTTGGAAAGTGTACGCTGTCGTTGGTCGCGGACAGAGCGATGAGGGACGCGTCACGAACAAGAGAAAGGGACACAACTTACTCGATGGCTAGCCCTGTAACAAAGGACGTCACGGATCAGCTTTGCTCACTTCACCTTCCGGAACCGAACTCAGGGTAAAACCGCTGTACGATCCAGAGAGTCAATAACGAATTCAACTTGACTCGCATATATAGCCAAGCTCGAATGGATCAAGGATACCGACATCGGTCCTACTTTCCTTGCGCATCTGATGGAAGAAGGAAGAACCATTGGGTTTGTTGTGGAACACATCGCCAACGCGCGGCATGTAGGACTGGAAGATATGACTCTGTGTCGAGCAGCGTTGGACAGGTTGCAAAAGCTGGGTATCAAGCATGGCGATGTCAACAAACACCATATCCTGACCCGAGACGAGAGTGTGACATTGATTGACTTCGATTGTGCGGTCAAGTGTCAAGATCCTGTACTTTTGGGGAAAGAGCTGCGCTCGCTTGAGTCAGAACTTCAAGACATTTCTGGTCGAGGCAGGCCCATGTTGGACCAGAGCGAGCAAAAATGACATGGCACGAAGTTACTCATAATGATCGTGCTGCAAAGCCTGTAACGCAGACGAACCGGTCATGGTTTTTATCGAATCAAGGATGCTTCAAATTGGTCCTTCTTGTGAGTTGGATTGTTGGAGCTGTTCTTTTCGTTTTATAAAATCCTTCCGAATTCTGATGTCTTCATAGCCTTTGGGCATAACATGGTCGGTTTTCATATAACAACCATGACACAACCAGCTCTCTTAAACGGTGATAGACGTCCACCATAACTTCCGACCGTTGACCCTTGTCATGGTACAGCCAGAGCAAGGATGCTCGGTCCTCTCTGTGTAGATGACGGGTCGATGAGTTGTCCAGGGCAGCTTCTCGCACACATCGATTGGGCACGAATTGAAGAAGAAGCTTGTGTGATACGATGCGATGGAGATAAAGTCTGCGGCATCCCAAAATAGAAATGGCAGGGGCGGGTGCCAAGAGTCAGCGGCTCCCGCATCTTCAAACAGTGGGCGGGCGCCGTCGTGGGTGAACGAGGTCTTGACTGACCGGCCTCATTTTTTCCCACCTCTTGACAAAAGACATCTTCCTGAGCATTCACCCCTCTCACCAGCTGTATTCTTAGTGTTGCAGCCATCCACTCGCTTGCGAACTTATACGATCCTCTGGCCGAGCAAGACATTGACTCCGCCACTTGAACCCCGAAACACGACAACAACGAGCCCCTGTCAGGCCGACTTCACATCTCAACGACTGCCCAACATGCGTCCGGCACAGCTCCTCTCCTCGATCGCTCTCTTCTCGGCTCTCAGCTCGGCTTCAGCACCATGGTCTGAATCCTTCCACCTCAAGGCCATTCGCGACATCAACGACTTTGTCTTCCCGCGACAGGACAACTCTGGTGCGTTGCAGTCACGTCCTGAAGCCTAGAATTGCCATCCTCTGACTTTCAAACAGCAGCAGAATCCACCACAGTCNGCTTCCAAGACTTCAGATGCCTCGAGCGCAAAGTCCACAAACGACTCGTCCGCACAGTCAACAGCAAAGTCGACAGCGAATTCCTCCAACAAGGACTCCTCGACCGACAACAGTGATGCCTCCACTACCGGCTCCGACAAGAGTGCTGCCGCCTCATCAGGTGCCTCCAAGTCGGATGACTCTTCAGACGCCTCGACCACTGGCAAATCGACTGGCGGTAGCAGCGGAACCAGCAAGGGTACAGCCACTACAAAATCCTCAAAGTCAAAGACCTATGGTGTTTCGGCCGGCTACGGCGGTATCGCCATGATCACTCCCAACATCTTCTCGTCCTCGTCATACTACAAGGTCGGCCAGTACATCACTTTTGCTTGGAACATGACTTCTCTGTCCGTCACCCCCACCGCCCTCGACATCATGGCCTCCTGCGCTGCCAACAACAACATGTACACCCTCGCTGTCAACCAAACAGTCAATGGCTCTACCGGTGCCGTTACATGGGACACTGGCGACTACCAGGCCACTGCCACTGTACCGCTACTCACCGAAACCTACACTCTTATCATTATGGATGCCGCCATGCCTGCCGTTACTGCCACTGCTGTCTACGGTGGTCTTCCCGTCTTCAGCGGCCATCGCTTCGGCATGTACACTACACAGCCCTACCAAAACACCTCGGGCAACGACACCGAGATCTACACCTGCATAACCTGCAAGAGTGCTGCTAGTTCGCTAGAGAGACAACCTCTGGCATTCATCCTCGGCACTGTCTTTATCACCATTGCAACCTACACAATTCTCGTGTGTGGCTTTGACATAATTTAAGCTGGCGACGCGACGGTCATCAAAATCACGTACCTGGGAGTTTCGGGAGGCTTTGTATGGGGGATCATTTGCATTGGGTCGGCGTCTTTTGAAAGAAGGCGAAATCTGGCGTATCTTTGTTTCTATTATTTGCTGTGTATATAATCTGCTGTTCATATACCGAACTCTGACACTCATTCGAGATGATCTCTGAAAGATTGCTTTGGTCGCTCATAAATGGACGTGGCTTCCTATTGTGAAATTCGTAGGAAGCGAGTGCGGCTCTTGCATCCATCCTCCCTGCCGTTTCCAAACATGAAGTTTATTTTCCACGTCTGCTATTTTTTGTATTTGCCATTTCTTGACCTCAACTTTCATTTGTTCTGTTGTTTGCATCTCATGGACCCTTCATCAACCATCATTAACAGTCATCCAGCGACCGGCTAATTCTCGCGGTGACAAGCATTCATCTATGGTTAACGTGCCGCATCTCAGCTTTTGGTGACGCTCTTTTTTTTCTCTCCTCCGCGCCACGTCTGGGTACTGGAATCGCAACTCATACATCAGAGTCCAAGCCGTCGGGACGGAATGTCTCGCGAAAAGCCAGAGGCCTGACACTTTGTAAAACGCAAGGGTCAACGTTCTCTACCGGTTCTCTACTCATCAAAGATGATCTCGCACGGAATCGAACGATATTCGACAAAATGAAATATGTGATTCCAGGCACGGTCAAGGGAACGACTGTGGAGAAGATTGATCTGATTGGAGACATACAGCTTGAGTTTGGTTTGGACCAGGATACGGAGCTCGATATCACTGACTTACGGATGCCTGTATCAGAACTTCCGGAGATTCCAAGGACGTCAGAGGTCCCAAAGGCTCCAGAGATTTCAAAGACTCCACGGCGTCCAGAGAGCTCAGAAACTTCGGGATTGACAGACTCTAGAGATCCTAAAGATTCCAGAGCCAATCCCTGGAAAAGAAAAAGATCTTAGACTTGACCTCTCGGGACGAGTCGAAGCTCACTCCTAGCGAAGATTTTGGCAAGCTCAGCAAGTTTTTGACTGTTCGTGGAATCAGGCGCAGCGTCAATATGAAGCAGCTCTTCGAGAGGTTTGCGGAATATTATCCTGTTAATATTCAACGCCACACTCTCACTAGTGCGCATATCGAGTTCGTTGATGTAGAGGCTGCCACAAAGGCTCTCAAAAGCATGAATGGCCGCTTCGTTGGGGGCAGGACTATCAATTGCTCGTTCAAGAGCAATGTTTCGAAAGAGAACCGAACAGATGCCCGGACGGTCGCTCTTGAGCCACCAGTTGGTGACTACAAGGAAGATCTGCCGTCAACTCATGGAACGAAACAGCATCGAGATGCTTTTGTTCCTCCAACAACGATCACAACCGAGGCTATTATCGAAGCCCAGACAGAGAGCATCAAACAGGATGTTGTCGAAGCTCCGACAAAGAATATGAAACAGACTATTATCGAAACACCAATAGAGAGCATAGAACCGACTGTTTCCGAAGCTCCGGTAGAGAGTAAAAAACAAGCTGTTGTCAAGATTCTGCAATATGTCACAACAGAAGTTGTGATAGAAGCTCCTACAGAGACCACCGCACAAAGGCTGTCGCTCTCTCCAGATCTAGCCTTGCCGAATCCGACGATTTGAACCAGGACGCCAGCTGAGCTGGAGCGTGCGGAACGAGAAGTTATGGACGCGTTTGAGCAAGAGCGCAAGCAACTCCACAAGGCTATTGATGTTGGGTATCTTGACGTTCTTTTCAATGACGAACTTGGCATCAACTTGGAAGAGGCATCATCGACCGAGCCTGCGAGTAGCATCTTTAGTAAAATCAAGAACTGGTTTGGTGCTTGAAACTTTGGCTGAGCCTGCTCTGAGTCCATGCTGGACCAACCTCTATGCCCGCACAAAGATCAACATTTGTATCTTCGCAGCAAGAAACTACGAGCTTACAGCCCACGACCCTTGTCGAGCATTAATATATCGAACACTATCTTCATCGCCTGTATGAAAGCATTCACAGGCTGTATGGTACTTCCCGCCTAATGTTCAGACTGACCTCATCTGTATTACGCAACACCAGATCGAAGAGTCGTCAACGCTGGACCTGATGATCTATCCACGACCCCCGACGATCTCCTAAGATCGACATTGATGGTCGAGCGCATGTGGGGTCATCCAACGCGCGTAAAGAAGCAAGAAGTCTAGAATTGCTTGAAGGTTGTGATCTTCTCACCGACTACATCATCACGTTTCGATGTCCGTAGGAGATGAAGAACGGCTCACAGAGAGGGAACGATATCTCAACTACCACGAATCGTCCTGCCTTTAGGGTTCCTTCAACCATGGTGTCGATTGATGCCAAATTTCTTTAGGAGGTGGTTTTCTGCTGTGAAACATCTACACAAAGCTAGACCACTCGATTAATATTGACCACGAGCCTACTCGGCTACGCTCCAACAATGTGATCGAGAGATATGCCATGATCAATATAAAGGCCAGGGTCGCACGACCTACCACATCGACCATTTAAGCTAAAAATAGCAACAAGCAGATATTTGAGACCATGCGCTTTCGTCTGCCAACTCACCATCTCACGCAAAACAGCAGATACTCGCATTCGTGTATGACGAAGCCACAGAAGTCTAGTCTCCATGTCCAGAACTCCAAGAATAACAAGCAACTCGTACACGTAACAAAGCCAAGGTCTGATGAGCAATCCACGCGCTTGGCACGAAACCCGCGGACAGCCGAATGCGTGGTTATTTCTTACCTTTGCAAAACATCTCTTTGTTCGGTCCGAACGAATTCTAAGCAACAGTGCATGTTGCCTTGCTGGTAGTGTATTTGATGGTGGTGTGAAAAGGCTTTGCTGCTATGAAATCGCTGATGTGAAGTGTTACGGTGATCGCGATATTGGTTGATAGTTGGGCAGCAAGAAACATGTGAGTTTGGTGCTGTTGCTGCCTTCTCGATATCGTACTCACGGTAAAGTAGATTGTACTTCTTCATGTTGATTGAGATGGTCAGACATATCGTGATTTTTCCCCTGTGGCTTCAGGTAGTGTTCTTCTCTTCGGACAAGGCGTATCCATGGCGTTTTGGTTGTGGGTGGTCACTTCTTTGATGGTCAGGGTTACGCTTTTTCCTTGGTCCCGAGGACGCCTTCCATCTGTTCGCGGCCCTGAAACAAGATGATGAATGTCGTGTAACCACACACCATCTGTCGCACACACGCCACACTAGACGAAAACGTGTCAAGGTTTATTCGCCAGGAACGGTTATCAGGGCCAGCCCTCTCGTCGGTTTCTTTGCATTTGACAGCGGTAGACGATGTCTTGGAATGCTGGCAGGAAAAGAGATTACCGCCAACCGAGCCCCTGGCTTCCTGCGTTGGCGCTTCTTTATCTGAGATCATCTGCCACCGTGCGCTGGTTGATTGGGAGAGGAAGAGGAAGAAGAGGCGTATGTATGTGTGGTCGTTTATGACGGGTTGACGGGACTTGTGTCTCCCATGCAGGTCGCCTAAGGCTCGTTATCTAGCCTGGAGGTGGACGTGTGGATGGCGCGAGATGAGGTGTTGATCGTATGCGCTGGAAAGAGGAAGAGGTGGCTTCCGGAGTACCCTAATACGACCTGATTCCAACAATCTGGTCGGTTAGATCCATTGGTCGCATCACGTACCCCTGGCTTACTTCCTATCTATTCCATGCTTCACCGCTTGAATGCGTGTAGTCCTGAGTACACTCACACGTGGTTGCAAAGCTTGGTTGACAGGCAGTCAACATGCATGCCTTTCTGAAGACGCGGTGAAGAATTGCAGGGAGCAAAAGATGTCGATACGCGATATTGTGGCTTGCATGTCTGCTTGTACTACCGGGAGGCGGTCATCTAACCAAGGCACCGGTATAGCTACCACCAGGCTAGAGAAGCCCCAAGCGCGGCGCGGGCGGCCGGAAGACGTTCACGGACTGTTTCGCGCGGCTTGATCAGTCGAGATCGCTGCCTGCACTGGACGAAGAAGGTTCTCTCGTACATTGATGGTCTTCTGGATACGCGGTTGGTTAGGTGGATGAACGCATATGCATTTGACGTGTCGAGGTTTCATCATAGCTGATGTGTATCACATAATACGTCTTTTTGTAACGAGAGCTGATTGAACATTAGGTAAATCTTGTTGAATTGCTCGCACAGTCAGCAGATGGCTACTTGTCATGGTCGCGTCGACCTTCTTCCAAAAGGTGTTTGTTCTCTCACTGCAGGGATGTGAAGAAGGACAGCACAGCAAAAACAACATCAGATGACAAAAGAAAGAGCAAAGAACGTGACTGCCGCGTAAAGTTCCCACATCCAATCTCTGAGCTTCAGCCTCCCAAGCCCTCCTTCCCACTTTTGTCATGTTTTCCTTTGCAGCCTGCTGCGCGTACTAAGAAGCGGGCCGAAGATCCCTGTCGTTTTTAGCTTACTCTGGGGAAGTAGCGGAACAAGCAAGAAAACATCGGTGTCAAACAAAGAGAAAGTTGGGCTGCTGGAGACGAAGCATCGATCAAGGGGTGGATGGGAGTGGAAAGAGGTGTGTCAGAGATAGACCGTGTGGAAAGGGATGTTCAACAAGATATAATAAGCAGCGTCCTCCCTTTGCCCAAACACTTGGACTTGTTTGACAATTCGCCGTCTCCCACAACACTCTTCCCACGTGTCTGGGAAACAGTTTATTCCAGTTTTCGACTCGGCTCTACTCAAGGCAGTCGCATCTATTGTTGTGACTCGGCTCGGACAGGAACCTTCAATTCAAATATCTATTCATCTCCCCTGGACCACAGACATCAATATCTTCCTATCGAAACCTTGGCCGTTCATTTCACCTGCTTTAGATATCGCAAGCAAGTCAGCCTCTCGTCCGTTGTCACCCACCAATCCTCGTGACCAATATCCTCTCCACCTTGGATACTTCGGCTCCACGTACGATACTACAAGACCAAGAGATAACAGAAAAGATCAACACTGGGCTTTCCCTTCGACCTATCTCATCGACTATCCCTTTCCCCGCAAAAGAGATCATCGGTTGTCCAGACCGGATTTGCCAGGGTCGCTTCATTACTGCTGATCGCATCCCATACTCCGAGGCTATCCACCACCAAGCTTTAGCACAGCCCGAGTCAGAGATACAAGCCCGCCTATCTTTTGTGTTGATCGCACTGGCGCATGTCATTTCTGACATCGAACAACCGAGGACATCCGTTTCAGCTTTGAGATTCCATAAGAACAAAACAATCCTCACCTGATTCTTTGATCGCTTTTTGGATCCTACTCGACTTTATCAAAGACTATAAGCGAGTTTGGAGTCGACTGCCATTGTATAATCACATCAATACTACATCAAACACACAACAAGCCACAATGTGTGTGGCCAACCTTAACGTCTCGACGCAAGCATGCTCGCACCGCTGGTACACTCTCGTGAAACCCTGCACCAGCACAACAAACCTGTCCAACTGCCCTTCAAAACTCGCCCTCGAGGGTTGGGAGACTAGACTGGAATCTTGCCCTTGGTGTGATGATTCAGCTTCCGACTCTGGTATCCTCGACGACAGCACCCATCGCTTGTTCGGTGGCAGTATCTCTCGCTCTCGCAGTGGAAGCATAGGAACTTCTGGTATCGGTGCCATGCCCATTGCTGCAGAACGACACAGACGCCAGAGCAGTGCAACCGACTCTACGACCTCTTTGTCGAGAGAGTCTAGCACTCGCTTCATACAGGATGAGAACACCGAGACAGAGGTTTCGGTCAGAGGCGAAAAGGCACGTATGATGAACTGGCGCATGGATGTTTACCTCATGGCACATCCTGAGCGCAAGCAAAGCATTGTACAGGAGGTTGAGGGCATTGCACCTGAAGCCTCTGTGCCTGAGCAAGGTGGACTCCGCAGATCTGGCAGTATCAGAAGATCTGGTAGTCTGCTTGGCAGGAAGATGAAGAAGGGTATGCGTTTGAGCAAGAACGTCTTCAAGGGTTGAAAGACCACTCTTGCCGCCTTTCTTCGCATCCTCTTACCAACAATTGGTCGTCTCTGATCACGCAACCACTGCCGCACAGGACAACTCCACTCCACCAAGCCAACAACTCTTCAGCAGAGTCTGCAGCACAGCTCCACATCTGCCTGGACGTCGACAGCATACCGCATGCTCCACAACAACCACGCCTGGCCAGCCAACAAGCGAGAGTAATCTATCACTCACCGCTATACCAGCGCAACACTCTACACCTTCCTCACCGCCACCAATGCGGCTGCGAGCTTCGAACACACTCTTCTCTAGACACTTGGACTATCCTTTGTCCATTTGTCATTTCTATCCTTTCTATTCCGCTACACTCTATCGTTTAGTGTTTTTCCTGTTCGAGACAATAAGCTGTTCTATACTCAGATTGATTCCTTCTTGCCGTTCTCGTCATTCTTGTAGATCAGAAGTACCCAGAACTATGGATAGTCTCTATTACGATAATCGTTACTTTTGAAATGTCTTTGCTTTTTGATAACCGTCATCCTCAGAAATGTGTTTGTGAAAATGCACAAACGTTTCCAAAGCCAAAGTTGTATTCAGAGAGCCGCTTTGACTCGGTGGGGCACCGTTCTTGTCTCGCAGCGATTTCCTGCAGATTCATAGCTGCAAGGTATTAAATGGTGGTTGACGTTTTCCGATCGGTATCCTTCATCTTAAGGGTTGATGGAGAGGGGGTGTGCCAGCTGGAAGCTAGATGCTCGTAAAAGGATCTTCTCATTAATTCGTGATAATCATGTGCGTGACTGCCCTATGAGTCTTCAGGCGCTGGTTCTTCCTTTGATTCTTCCTTTGCAGGCTGAACGCCCAACTCTTGACCCAAGCCAGTCAGGAAATCATCAGCTTCTATCTTGCCTCGCTTCTGTCTGATGGCGTTTCTTCGTCTCTCGATTTCTTCTTTGCGGTCCTTGATTCTCTTTTCACGTTCAGCACGCACTCTTTCTGTTTCCGCTCGTTCCATCTCCAGATTCTCGAATTGTCTCTTGCGTTCCTGGTCGTCAAGACTGAATTGCATGAAACCGACGCCCTTCTGTCTGATTTCCTTGGAAGCATCAAAGTGGGTGTCTGGCGGTGGAGTGAGTGATCTGTCGCGTTTGGCGGCCAGATCGGCCATTTGTTGTGCGACAGGCTCGTCTGGGTTGAAGGCGGCTGCTTGGACTGTATCGCCTACGATGAGGTTGGTAGGCATGTCTGGTCGCGAGCGCAAAGCAGCTTCTGAACCTAGTTGGGCGAGTCGTTGTTCGCGGGCGCGTTGAGCGGCAGTGCCTGTGCGTGCGCGGCCGAATTCGTCTTCCCATTCTACCATGTCTTTGTCGCTGTCCGAGTCTTGGTCTGATGAGGATTGGTCGGATAGCTGTTTGTTCTGCTGGTCGGCCCATTTGCGATCGAAATCTACGAGGTGTGTCTCATTCTCATCACCGACGTCGCCTCGTTTCATTGCAGCGTAGAGGCGTGCTTTCTCCTCCATCTTTCGCTTTGAACGGTGCCATGCTGAAGAATCTAGGGCTTCGGAGGATGTGCTGTGCTTTTGGTCAAAGGCAGGAGAGTCGTCGTCGAGATCCCTGGCAGCTCGTTTCTTGACATTGCGGTTGTGTGAGGCAAAGATGTCTTCCTTTTNTGGACGTGGGCGTGATGTGGAGGGGCGGGTGTTGTTGGCGGAAGAGTTGGGGCCGGCTGAGATCAGGGACTGCAGCTGCGAAGTGAAGGCGAGGGTGTTTGAGGAAGATATCTCGCGTGACGACTTGAGCTTCTTTGCAGGCTTGGGGGCGCCGTACAGGGGCGCATCTTTTGCTGATGTGTTTCGGTGCGACATTTTGGGAGACGAAGACAGGAAGATGACGATCGTGTCGCGCCTTCTCTCGCTGTGTGGGGTTCAGAAGGTTCAGACGGTGCAGACGGTGCAGACGGTTGCTGCTCCGAGACCGCTGCAAGTCGACCAGCCGCAGGAATCCCACATGGTCCTCGAAAAGCTCCTTCCTCTGCATCACAACAGTCAAGACGCCGAATACGTGATTCGTCCTCTGTCCGAAATGCCCACTCCCCGTCAAGTCTACGTTGCCGTCATTGGTATGCTACTCCCAGAATCTGCCCCTCCACCCCCGCCTACACTCCTAACAATGCCCAANGGTGTCGGCGGTGTTGGAAAATGCTTCCTGAACCAGTTCCAGGCCCTGAGGACCCGCATGTCCCAGGCACGCTCCCCCACCTATCTTGACCTCATCTTCGTCTCGCGCTCCAAGAAGGTTCTCTTCAGTGAGAGCTTCCGCCCCTTGAACCTCGACACTCTCGAACAAGACCTCAATGACTCCAAGCAACCCATCCTCGAAGCCTCTGCTCTCGTCGAGTACCTCGCAACCGCTCCCGAGAAGGTCATTCTCGTCGACAACACCAGCTCTCTCGACATCGCACAACAATACCCTACCTTCCTGCGCAAGGGCATCAGCATCGTCACCCCCAACAAAAAGGGCTTCTCCGACAACTACGACCTCTGGGAGGACATGTTCGCTGCTGCCTCCAACGGCTCTGGCAACGGTGGCTACCTCTTCCACGAGAGTACCGTCGGTGCTGGTCTGCCCGTCCTGTCCACCCTGAAAGAGCTTGTCGAGACTGGTGATGAGGTTACAAAGATCGAGGGTGTCTTCTCCGGTACCATGAGCTTCTTGTTCAACAGCTTCATGCCCGTCGGTGGCGGCGGTGGCTCTTTCGCTGCCGAGGTCAAGAAGGCAAAGGATCTGGGTTACACCGAGCCCGACCCGAGAGACGACTTGAACGGTTTGGATGTTGCCCGCAAGTTGACCATCCTCGCTCGTCTTACTGGTCTCAAGGTCCAGAACCCCACCAGCTTCCCCGTCCAGAGCTTGATCCCCAAGGAGCTGGAGTCGTGCAGCAGTGGTGACGAGTTCATGTCTCGCCTTCCCGAGTTCGACGACCAGATGGAGAAGCTCAAGCAAGAAGCCGCCAACGAGGCCAAGGTTGTCCGTTTCGTTGGTAGCATCGACGTTGCCAGCCAGAGCGTCAAGGTCGGTCTCGAAAAGTTCGACGCAAGCCACCCCATTGCCGCCCTCAAAGGTAGCGACAACATCATCAACTTTTACACAAAGAGATACGGTTCCAATCCTCTCATCATCCAAGGCGCGGGCGCTGGTGGTGAGGTCACTGCTATGGGTGTTACTGGCGACCTTCTCAAGGTCCTCCGTCTTCTCAACTGACGCCAGGAGAAATCTAGACTTTGAAAGTTACGCAGATATGAAGAAGCTGGATGACAAAAGTTATGGGATACAAAAGATAAATCTGACACTTGCTTCCACAAGCACAAGCTTGCAAAAGATTCTCCATCGTGATTAACAAAAATGATGATGCTCGACTCGTGAGAATTGTATACCGATAGGGCATGACTCGTTCATGACGTAGCATTTTGAGGCAGCCATGCGCGCATCACCGTTCCTTCTCTTTTGGAAATTCTATCTACTCACTTCTGTTTTCACATCTAACATTCATCTCTTTCGGAAGCCAGCGTTTCTCTGTTGCATCCCGGCCTTCTTTGGTTGTTCCCCTTGTTCTCTTTCTCTGCACACAACTTCCGGCGCAACCATGGACGACTCAGAAGTGAAGTCAGAGACATCAGAAACACAGCCCAACAAAGACCAGATCGCCGTCACGGAACCAGCTCTGTCAGAAGCCAATGATAGCACTACCGACCCAGCCGACCGCCCCTACGACGATGACGCCGACGAAGCCACCCGTATCGCCTCCCTCGCAGCCGGCATCCGTGACCAAGACGACCTCGAACGAGACATTGGCCGTCAAGCCGACGCCCTGCTCATCGAACAAGCAGACGAACGCGACAACAAACGTCTCGAACGCACAAAAGCCGACAAAGCCCGTCTTGACGGCCAGGTCCACCGTCTGGAGAAGAAGTTGACCGAGTTCGGGAACCAAGCAACAAAGAACAGATATCGTGCCGAGATTGCGAACTACAAGGCTCAGATTGATGGTTTACAAACGGATCTAGATCAGATCCAGAAGAGAATTGATGATAGAAAGAGTGAGGCTGCGGCGGCGGGGGATACTCTGCTGGGAGAGGCGGGTAATCAGAAGTTGCCTGGTGAGAGCCAGAGGGACTTTTTGATCAGGACGGGAAAGATTACGCCCTTCTCCAAGATGGGCAGGCAGTTGTTGCGAACTTCGTCAAGTCTGGCTGAAGTCATGTTTGATGCTGAAGAGGAAGAGGATGAAGAAGCAGTGGATCAGGAACTCCCAGCCGATGCTCAACGGTCACATCGTAATCTGAGGATGCCTGGATTTGCCGAGGACGAAAAGAGTGAGCCTGAGGAGGAGGAGGAGGAAGAAGAGTTTCCTGAGGAGAGACCTAGCAAGAGACGAAGACTAAAATCAAAGGGCAACGGAAAAGGTCCTGCAGAAGAGGATGAAGATATGGAGCTGGAGTCTGCTCAAGAAGAGGAAGAAGACGAATACATACCGGACTTGGATGACAAGGAGCTGGCTGCTGTTGGAGAGTCGAACGATGACGAGGAGCCAGAAGACGAAGACGTCGATGGCGACTTCTCTCTAGGCACATCAGGAACCAGCAAACGCAAGATGGGAGCGAAGAGGGTCACCAAGAAATCACAACAAGCAGCCAATGCTCAAGAAGATCTTGCTGGAATTGACGATGGCAACGAGAAGGTATACCAGGCCAGATTGCAAAGCTGGGTCAGAAGACGAAGTGCTGCACGCCGGAAACACCAAGGCTCAGCCAAGTCCGCAGGAGAACCGATCGACGTCGATATGGAACACGATGAAGATGGAGAGGACAAGCCGAACCAGGAAGGCGAGGACGAATGGCACCTGCCACATCCAACTCAGACAGATGCAGAGTTTGAAGGCGGCTACCGGATACCTGGCGACATCTACCCATCACTCTTTGACTATCAGAAGACCGGCGTGCAATGGTTATGGGAGCTCTACTCGCAGCAAGTCGGTGGCATCATCGGAGACGAGATGGGTTTGGGCAAGACCATTCAGATCATCTCCTTCATTGCTGGTCTGCACTACTCAAAAAAGGTCACAAAACCTATCCTGATCGTCTGTCCTGCAACAGTCATGAAGCAGTGGGTGAACGAGTTTCATCGTTGGTGGCCGCCTTTGCGAGTTTCCATTCTTCATACTTCTGGAAGTGGTATGCTGGATGTCAAGCGAGAAGATAGGCTAGAGGACGATCTGGACAATTTCGACTTTGATGGCAACCCAATCAAGCCTTCGAAAGGTAACAAATCCGCCAAGCGCATCGTGGACAAGGTTCAGAGAGATGGTCACGTTTTGGTCACCACGTACTCTGGCTTGCAGACTTATGCTGAGCATCTGATTCCTATGGAGTGGGAATACTGCGTTTTGGACGAAGGTCACAAAATCAGAAACCCTAACACGGCAATCACAATCTACAGTAAGGAGATCCGTACACACAACAGAATCATCCTTTCTGGTACGCCCATGCAGAACAACTTGACCGAACTCTGGTCTCTCTTCGACTTTGTCTTCCCCATGAGACTTGGTACCCTGGTCAGCTTCAAGCAGCAATTCGAGACTCCCATCAAACAGGGTGGTTATGCCAATGCATCCAACTTACAAGTCGAGACTGCCATGAAGTGTGCAGAGACGTTGAAAGACACAATCAGTCCTTACCTCCTTCAGCGATTCAAGGTCGATGTAGCATCCGACCTGCCCAAGAAGAGCGAAAGAGTCTTGTTCTGCAAGTTGACCAAACCTCAGCGTGACGCCTACGAGTACTTTTTGAACTCTGGCGATATGACTGCCATCTTGGCTGGCAAGCGACAGGCGCTCTACGGTATTGACATTCTGCGCAAGATTTGCAACCATCCCGACTTGACTGAGCACAAAACCTTGTCCATCAAAGCAGACTACAACTATGGTAATGCCAACAAGTCTGGAAAGATGCAAGTCGTAAAGGCTCTGCTCGAGATTTGGAAGAAGAATGGCCACAAGACTTTGTTGTTTGCTCAGCATCGCATCATGCTTGATATTCTTGAAAGATTCATCAGAGAAATGGGCGGCATCAATTATCTTCGCATGGATGGTAATACATCCATCAAGGATAGACAAACTCTTGTCGACAAGTTCAACAAGAATCCAGACTTACACGTCTTTCTCCTTACGACGAAAGTTGGAGGTCTAGGCGTAAACCTTACTGGTGCAGATCGAGTCATTATATACGATCCTGACTGGAACCCATCCACTGATGTCCAAGCCCGAGAACGAGCCTGGCGACTTGGTCAGAAGCGCGAGGTAGAGATCTACCGTTTGATGACTGCCGGCACCATCGAAGAGAAGATTTACCACCGACAGATCTTCAAGCAATTCTTGACCAACAAGATTCTCAGAGATCCTAAACAAAGACAGACGTTCCAGTTGAGAGATCTACACGATCTGTTCACGTTGGGCGAGGCAACTGCAGATGGCCAAACAGAAACAGGCAGCATCTTCAAAGGCACAGAAGTCCAACTATCAGGTCCAAAAGCCGATGATCCGGACTCCAAGACCACAGAAGAGCAACAAGCCGAAGCAACGACCGCAGCGGAAAAGGCCGCAAAAGTGAAGGAAATGCAATCCATTGTCGGCGTCTCCCACACTGAAGACTTCCAAGGTGAAGAAGAAAGGCCCGCGCCTGCTGCAGAAGACAGCACAGAAAACGGGACAAACACCAGAGACGAACGTATGCTCGGCGCCATCTTTGCTCGCTCGGGTGTCACATCAGCCCTCTCCCACGACGACATCATTTCCGGAAACTCTGGCAGCCGCAAAGTAACCGCAGACCCTGAAATCATTGCCAAAGAAGCCAAGCGTGTCGCTGCAATCGCAGCAGCCGAACTCAAGAAGGCAGGCGAAATTGCCAGAAATCTGCCTGCTGGAAGTGTGTCTTGGACAGGCACGTTCGGCACAGCAGGACGACCCGAAACACCCTCTCGTCGCGGTGGATTTGGTGCGTCAAGAGGCAGAGGTGGCATGAGTAGAGGTGGTCCTTCAAGCACTTCCATCCTTTCACACCTTTCTGCCCGTCAAGGCATCACTTCTTCTCGCCACTCTACTCCTTCAACCTCTACCTCGCGAGCAGCAACGCCTTCTGCTCAACCCCAACCAAAAGGTAGAGAGTTCCTGGCGCTGATCAGAGATTATCTGTTGGCGCATGGAGGCAAAGTCTACACCCAAAACTTGATTGATCATTTCAATCGGTTCTGTGGTAGCGCGCAGAGGACGGCAGAGTTCAAGGAGATGTTGAAGGTGATTGCGGTGCTGGAGAAGGGAAGTAGAGGACGAGGCAAGTGGGTTCTCAGAGAAGAGTATAAGAAGGGTGTTTGAGAGATCAAGAGGATAGGTAGTTGAGAGATGATTGCTGAGGTAATTCAAGCATGGGTAATGGTAATGCACAATGGCTCTAGCGAAACAGGCGTGGCCATAACGACAATAAAGACGACAATGGCATTTTCTAGACGACTAAGAATGAAAACAGATGAATCTCAAACAAGGTCTAACTTTAGCGAAACAAAAACATAAAAATCCTTCATGTACATGGTAAACGCCATCTGACGATCTTCAAGACGCGTACTGCGAATCGAAGAGGCCTCCGCTCTTCTTAACGGCCACTTTCGGGGCTGGAGTTCTTGGAGTAGCGGGAGCTTGAGTACTGGGAGCAGGCATGTCTCCGACAGGCTTTTCCACAGTTGCCGTAGCAGAACCGAACAAGGAGCCTGAAGCAGGCACTGGAGCAGAAGCAGGAGTACCAACACGCACAGGCACCGCACTCGGAGCAGATGTAGACAGCAGATCAGCATGGCCCAACATTGACACTGCAGCAGGCGGTCGTTCTGCGCTGGCTGCCACAGGAACTTGGACGTTGGAAGAGACGGCCTCTGGAGAGAACAGAGAATTCTTCGGTACCTCCACAGGTCCTGGTTGCCCTGCTGCAGCTCTCATGGCTGCGGCAAACCCAAGAATTTCAGAATCTGTGGCGGAGAACTCGGGAACAGCTTCAATGTCAGCAGGATTATGCTCAACAGGTTCAGAAGTTGAAGCATGTCTAGAATCCATGAGACCACCCCCGCTCGATGCTGTATTCTTCTTAGCAGCGCGAGTGGAGGCTTCAATGTCTGGATGTGAGCTTACTGGGTTCGCGGAGCTGGTAGATGTAGTCGAGGGAGCAGATCTATCCATAGCCTTACCCTTGTTTACGTTGCTGTCTCCAGTATTATGCGTGTTTGAGGAAGAAGATGCATCCTCGACTGTTGCAAAAGAGGGATATATTGGAGCACCAAAAGGAGTGCCAGAGCAAGGTCTTGCTCCAAATGGCGGTCCTCCACTTTCTCCAAAGCTGGATCTGAAACCTCTGGGCTCTGGCGTTTTGCGGTTTACAGAGCCCCTCCAAGAGCCAAAGAAGGGGACAGAAGTATCGGTGAGACGGTCTGCGATTCCAAGAGTATGTGCAGGCACGCTAGGCTCTGGCGCGGGTTGAGCAAAAGTAATGGTTTCATCATTGTCAGGAGTGCTGGCTCTCAAAGGATTGCCGGACCGACCTGTAGGTACAGGATTTGACCCAAACATGCCACCAGAAGTCGCTTCAGGAATCTTGCCCGCAGCCAGATCTGCCATTGCAGCCTTGAAGGCAGGACTACTCCCAAAAGTATGTTGAAGATCTTGAGCAGAAGACCCGAACAATCCACGCTGAGCACCAGTCCTATGAGCCGAGCTTGGGAACAACCCCTTTGGAGTGGGCTCAGGCTGGCGATCGTTGCTGGAGTCATTGTTTGAGGAATCATTGTTCTGGTTGTTTTGCGCCTGAGGAAACCCTTCAAACAAACGTTTTCCGGTCACTTTTGAATTTTTGAAATGCTGATAGTCACGCTGGGTGTTGTCCGAGAGATTAGAGTAAGATTTGAATATGCCCTGGCCGGATGGTTTGGTATTCGAGATGGTGGCCCCATTCAAGTTTACTGTCACTGTAGTGTTGGATCCAGGATATTGTGAAAAGAGACCCTGTCGAGCAGGAGGGTTCGAAGCATCAGGATTGGAGTTGAAGGTTCCGAAAATTCCCCTCCGGTTACCATTTTCATTTCCGGGGTGTCCGAACAAGCCCCTGCCGTTCATGTTTGTCCTAAACAATCCTCCAGCGGGAGCGGGACGAGGCTCATTGAAAAGACCTTTTTGTTCGTGTTGTGCCCAAATGCACCAAAAGAACCTTGACCATCTGTGTTGTTACTCCCAAACAGGCCTCTGTTTTGATCTTTATCGCCGCCAAACGGTCCTTCATTTGCTCTGGTACCAAAGAGGCCATCAGCAGTCAAAGCAGGTCCAGGTCCAGAAGAAGACTCTTGAGGTATACCATGTTCCGTTGGTGAAGATTCGGTGAGATCCGCATCCTCATTAACAGTTTCACGGAGTTTCTGCATAACCTTGAAGCTGGTTTGATGGAGCAAAGCTTGCAAAGCCTCTGTTGCAGAACCGTGAATGTCTTGCTGATTGACTGAGGGGCACACGTTTCCGGATTCGACGTCGAGGGCGATGGCTCGATATCCTCCTCCAGTATAGATCGTAAGGATCCTGAATCGTTCATTTCCCGCGATAAACTCCATATTTGCTTGCGTGCTGTTAGTTGTGCTTTCTAGAATGGATAAAGGGTGGAGAGTACCTGCTATCTGGGCACGCATGCCTTCAATGTCGAAAGTCTCCTGGAAACACATAATGTTTGGTCCATTTCCGATTTTACTGAAGCACATCCCGTAAGTGTTGGGATATAAAAGTGAGGATCGACGTTTATTGATGTGTGAACGATAGTGTGACTCTCTCTTTGTTTCGTTCATCAAAGAATCGGCCTGGCTTTGCAGAGTGAGCTGCAAACGGAAGTATCTTGCAATAGCTTACAAAGAAAAGCTGCAGCCACATAATTGTGGACACTGTTTCTCTAGAACGATAACGATACAGGCTGTCTGGGCATCAACCACGTGCGATGATCCCAAGGTTGTATTGATTGTCTGAAGATGAAGTCATGAAGCTACCACAGATTCTGAACATCAGAGAGCAGTCAAAACACCTTGATGCTGTTCTCCACTCAAGCATCAAGCACAAATCCGTCTTTGTGGAACTTGTCATACACCAGATCGCTTGACGAGACCAACATCTTGCGCAAAGCCAGTTCCGCAGTGTCGCAGCCCTTGCCAGTCTTCCAAATGGGCTTGTTGTTGTTGCCGTAGACGATGCACCACCAAGTGTCAGTGCGATGGGCGAGAACGATCTTAGTTTTGAGTTCCTCGGGCATGGCGATAGAGAAGTTGTCTGTGATGTCTTAGTTGTGAATTCTGTCTTTGTATTGAGAGATGTTCTTACCAAGGATCTGAGCGCGTAGAGCTTGCATCGCTTGGAGAGTGTCTGAACAGGTCATGGTTTTTGTGCATGTGGTTGATGACAATAGACGATTGCTTGTTTGCGCTGAAGCAAAGGTGATTGTTGTTGTGGTGGTTTGTGTTGGATCTTGTGTTGCGAGGGTGAAGAAGATCGATGTGTGTCATGGAACACTTTAAGGAAGTGACTGTACGCCTTCTCCTGAAATACTCCATAAAAAAAAAAGACAGCACCACATCTGCACGAGACTTTGTTCGCGGACAATCGGGCTGGAAGATGCACTGGACTGGTGTTCCCTTGAATTTCTCAATCTCTATCTCCATCAAGACTGCGAGTCCGTGGCACATCGTCCATAGATCTCCTCTTGTATAAACCCATTATCACTACCCTCTCCACAGAGTATCAGCTTGAAGCTCACTGCAACATCACCTTTCGCCCTTTTGTACTCTTCATCTACTTCTCCAGCGTTCAGCCTACTGAGCAACTCCCTCACCAGAAGCCGTCAGCGTGCTTATGCTCCTCTTGCAAACTTCCGATTTCTCAACGGCCAAATCTCTTCAGCTCGAGCAATCTGAGAGGAGGATAAATCAGAGCTGCCCAAGCGAATCCGACATAGTTGCCCATCTAGCTTGAATTAGCATACTCCTTCTTAATCATCTTCGTTCCACTTACGTCGGCACCATATTCTCCAACTGGCTTAGCCAGAGGACCAATATACCAGACCTGAGCCATACAGAGAATTGCTATCCTGAGTCAGATTATGCGTTGAGAAAAAGAAACAACTTGACACTCACCTCCAGCCCAACCAACAAGGAAGGCAACGATGGCGGCAATGCCAATAGGTAGCTTGCTCTTATCATTCCAAGAGTTCCAGTTGAACCCAAGACCTTTCCAATTACGGAAGATGAAATGTTCCTCAAGACTGATGGCAATCCAGATCGACACCCAATAACCCATGAGCGCGAGGAAGTTGGTGAAGATGGCTGCGAGACTCTCACGACCAGCAATGGCGCATACAGTATAGATAACAACACCCAGAGTGTTCCAGACAATACGAGGAACGACGGTCATCCACTGGCCGAGAACTTGAAAGTCCATACCTGCGCTGTAGGTAGGAGCGATCATATTGGCAATCAGACCGAGAGCGACAATGACGCCACAGAATTTGCCGAAACCTCCCAGTGGAGCGAATCCCTCAACGATAAGAGCACCTTGAGAGACCTTGTATGCATCACCCCAAGCGGCGTTCGTGGCAATGCCAGAGCCCAGTCCAATGCCAACAATGAAAGCAAAGGTGAAGGACAAAGCCAAACCGCACATGGTAACGGAGAAGATCTTCCAGCGAGGTGTCTCTTCTGGATAGTAGACGAAGAAATCCGCTGCACCACCTGCATAGGTAATCGCAGCAGAAAGACACAAACTGAAGAATGATAAGCGATTGCCAATAATGGTCAGATGATCGCCGCTCGAGGGCGTCTCAAGATCGAACTTGGGTCCAGCAGCACCAGCGAGCAAAGACAGAACGACGAGTTGGGGAAGCCATGCATAACGCTCGTAAAAGTGGAAGACGCTGTAACCGAAGATGGTGATGGCCCAGGTCAGGACAGCAACGATGACGATACCAACAATGACGGAAAGGGATCCATGCGGCGAGACAGCAGAGAGAATCTGACCGGCTACTACAGCGTCAATCAAGCAGTAGCCGAGCAAGACAATGATGTTGAGGACGACAACCAATTTAGCCGGATACCACCCCATGGTGTAGCGAGCAAAGACCATACTCCTGTTACCACTCACAGGTCCAAAGGTAGCGATATAGGCAACCGGGAGACATCCAACAAGCATACCAAAAACAGCACACAGGGAGCAGTCCAGAAAGGAGAGATAGTAGACAGCCGGACCAAGCATCCCAAGGGTGATGTTGTTGGCAGCAAGATTGACACTGAACCACAGCAGACCGACTTGAGAATATCCAAGGTTTCGCAGACTGTGGCGTTCATTGGGCATGACACGATGGATTCCACGAGCTTCGAGGTTATAATGAGCCAAGCTGTGCTCGAGGTTCTTGATCTGGCGTCTCAAACCAGAAGTAGCGCCAGCAAGAGTAGAGGCATCATCGAGCTCGGTGGGCATCAGAGAAGGGCCATCTTTCTCGACATCCTTGGTTGACCTTCTCATCTGAGATTGTTCATCCATGGCGAATTACCTGTAACGGCGTCAGCCTTCAAAACGGATAAGGAGAAGATGATGATAAAGCATGATTCTTTCGCAGGTATTATCCTGAAATCAAGTTCAACCGTGTCTCTCAGAACAACCGACTCTCCAAAGAGTCGATTGAACACCGGTTCATGCTCTACGTTACCTAGTACCTCGGCCTTGATAGATGGATAATTGCCTGCTGTTCGACATCATGACTGTTGTAGTCCGTACTTTAAAAGTGTGCCGGCGGATCGCGCGTGAAAACGAGTAGAATTGATCTTGTGCGAAGATGACAATGATCTTGCCAGTCTACAAGTACAAAGAGAAAATGTTGAGGAGGAGGATGAAGAAAGTGAGTCGAAAGCTCTCCGGCCTCGCTCTTCGAGCCGCGTTTTCAAGCTTGACCAATAGCACCGCACTGTTATGACACCACAACTTTTATCACATCGAGCATCTTTGTATCAATGTAGAGACCAGGCGCACTGAGTATGTCATGTTCTCAGAGCATATGTCTAGTTCAGGAATACATGCTGCGAGTCGAGGTGGTTAGAAAATACTGGGTAGCAAAGCAGCTGGGCGAAGGACGAGTCACAAAATCCACCTTCGTCATCGGTCGCTCCAAGAAATCAAGCGGCGCTTTCTTCTAAACCTCGATTCTTCCAACACAATCACACCTACGCGAAATGAGGCTAATCAAACAGAGCATTGAGAAGAAAGATGGCTCGGGCAGTGCGACGCTCCTGCCTGAGGAGCCCGAGGACATGTGGCACGCATACAATCTCATCCGACCGACCGACCTTCTTCGCGCCTCGGCCATTCGCCGCGTGACCACAGAGTCCATGACGGGGTCCAGTACATCCAAAAGAGTCCAAACCACCTTGACGCTTCGTGTTACTTCTCTGGACTTTGATCCGCAAGCCGCCCAGCTTCATGTCAGCGGTACCGTCGCCGAAGAAAACGAATGGGTCAAGCGCGGCTCCTACCACACTCTCGACCTCGAGCTGCAGCGCAACTTTACTCTAGAAAAGGCAGATGGATGGGACAGCATTGCTCTGGAGATTTTGAAAGAGTCGATTGACCAAACACAAAAGGCTGAGCTATGGGCCGTCGTCATGCAAGAGGGTCTTGCCAACATCTGTCTCGTCACAAACCACCAGACCATCTTGCGCCAACGAGTCGAAACTGCCTTGCCTAAGAAGCGTCCTGGCAAACCTAGCGCAGACCACGACAAGGCTACTCAACGCTTCTACTCCACCATCCTCGAGTCACTCCTCCGTCAACTCAACATGGCCGACCTGAAACCATTACTGCTGGCAAGTCCTGGCTTCACCGCTGGCGCTTTCCAACAATACATTAAGACCACTGCTTCTACAAAGGCCGACAAGAACCTATCAGCTCTGGCTGCGAAGACTATTGTCGCACACTCGGCCAGTGGACATCTGCACTCGCTCGCCGAGGTCATGGCTTCTCCTGCAGTCACTGCCAAGCTGAGCGACACTCGTTTTGCAAAGGAGACAGCTCTCATGGACAAATTCTTTGACTTACTGAGAAAAGACGACGGTCGTGCGTGGTACGGCCCGAAAGAGGTCGAGTCTGCTGTGGAGAAGGGTGCTGTGGGGAGAGGCGGCGGTGCCTTACTCATCTCGAATGCCCTCTTCAGAGCTCAGGACGTCGCTGTCAGACGGCGCTGGGTTTCTCTGGTTGATAAGGTCAGCCAGGAACACGGAGGCGACGTCAGAGTTCTGAGCAGTATGCACGAAAGCGGCAAGCGCTTAGAAGGCCTTGGTGGCATTGCCGCTATCCTTACCTTCCCCATCGAGGACATGGATGATGTTGAAGGCGGAGAGGACATTGACGTAGAGGAGCCGGCTAATGGGGTCGAAGGAAGACCGGGAATGCATGAAGATATTGAGATATAGAGCATCATGACAAACGAAATGACGATGAGACGATAGACGGTCAAAATACATATTCGATCCACGACTTCGCCCTCAGAGTGGAGAAAATAACCAGCACAGCCCGCGACGGGTTTCTGGCACCATGCCTTGCTTTGAGAATGATATGACCATACCGGTATACTACGCCTCGACGGATGAACTGCGCATTCTCCACAATGGAAGGAAAAGTAGAAGCCTGAGGTTCAGGCCGACTTGGCGTCGTCTCTACAGCGCTAAAACTGCAAAGCTTCGTTCGTGCTTCTTGACCAAACGAGTACTGCAAGTCAAGATCGCGATTTGAGAAGTTCGGCTGCACGGTATCTCAAATCTTGGAGGTGAAATTATCTGGTGATTAGGGCTGGAACTACTCGATTCCATGAAAAACCTGGTGGCAGTAATTCAGAGGATTTTCCAGCCACCGAGACAGCACCTGCCTCTTTTGGTACATTTACCTGCTATAACATATTCCTTCCCATCTAACAAGCTTTCTTCAAGTATGAGATTTCAAATTCCACAAGCAGCAATACATACGTAGGCGGGCCGTCAGACCGCTTTTACTAAGAAGGTACTTGATTCAAGGGTTGACCGGTCAGGCATTCATCTTCTTTCTGCCCCCTGCGAGACCCGTCCCATCGGATACTTCTTTGAGCAATAGAGACGTCCAAGACCAGCCTTGTTTCAGCATAAGCATAACACATATGTCTCATTCAAATCTGGAGATGGTGAGAGTAATATATTAACCGCCATTCTTGAAACACACAGCCATGCAGCCAGGAACGGAGTATTAGTCGACATTCCTTCCAATGCAATCTATTTTGAGAGCAATATACACGACTAATCAGCGGCCATGCCCCCGCATATTGTAGTTTATTTTTACCCTTCCACCCTCCTGCACATCCATGACCTGTCAGTCGATCAGCCGTACGCTGCTTAGTCGTGAGTAGACGAATCAGTTGCCCTGAAACACTCCAGAATGCGTGTTATGGTGGTGTCCTGTTCTCCAATCGAACATACACCCCACGCCAGTTCATCTCCTTCCCGCCGCACATCATCACACGCGATCGCATCCGATATATCTGCAAAATCGGTAAACGCGCTTGGGAGCCTACTCGAGTAATATGCCAGTCAAAACGGATTGTCAAGCCTCTCTACCTTGTTGCTATTTCTGGATCCAAGACTACCTGCCTCCTCCAGCAAAAATCTAGATAGAGGTCGATGAATTACTGTACCACTCACCGTATCTGACGGGAACAGACTATACCAGATGGTCTACAATATCTGAAATGTGCAAAAGACTACGCATAAGCCTACGCAGCTCTCCCGTCCGACTATCCATGTCAGATCATGACGACCAATGACTTCTGACAGCGCGCGTGTCCTGCGCCCAGCGTCGTGCTGCGGTTGCTCCCGAGCACGTCCCGCTACCACGGGAGGTCCACCATTTTCAATTTAGATTCATGGCGCGCTTATGCACTGGGCGTGTATGGAAATTTTGCGTGCCTCTCAGTACCAGTTCTTTGCAGAGGTCAAATGGTGCTTGTGTCTCTCCCAACAGGCCGCACAGGTAGTTTATTGATCCTTCAGAGACATTGTCCCGGGAGTCGTTGTGTTCTCAAAATATCTCACCTCCACCAGTTCGGCAGAGGCTCAGACATGGAGGCTCAGTCCGTGGTCTTTCGGCATACTAATGTCGAGTCTGCCACCAATCCTACAAAACGACCAACATGCCCGTCCATTGTTACTCAGGCAGGTACCACTACACAGACACAGCATCAGCATCATCCACCAACCTTCAAGTATCTCTCTGCATCCTTCGACACTAGTGTCTGTTGTTCCTTTTCCACTTAGTTCATCAAGCCATCAAACCTCTACTCATAACAACAACAACTCATCACCCTCACCATGGACCAATTCGAGTCTACAACATCGAGTGAGAAGATTGTGTGCACTGATGGCTATCCAACAGCATGGTATGCACCGACACCAGTAAGCTCAGACAATTCTTCATCATGTAGGAACATTTACTCATCCTCCCAGCTTGCCTACAACACTCCCTTCATGACACCGTTCCCTGCATTCAACCAGTATGACTTGACTGGATACTCTACTGGCACAGCTCAATGGCCAACACCACCGACATACCATGACCTGGCCATTCTTCCCGCGGGCCATGCGAACAACCTGATTGAGAGACCTCGCAGCAGCCCTAGCACTTTCGGACCTTCACCCAATGAGATCATCTGGCCAGAGAACCCTCTCGGCATCCGTTTCCCAATGAGCGAGCCTCAGATGATCCCAGCTACCACTGCCGTTCCCACAGCGACTTATCAGACTCCTGCAGCAGAATTCACCACTCCCAGCCCACCACAGAGGCGCAGCTCAGCAGACACCCAACGCTACTACCCGTCAATCGCACCCAACCCTGCCGGCCTTGTTTCAAAACGCCGTCAAGAACAGGAAGATGAGGATGCCATGCTCCGCTCAAACTCCAAGCGCCGCAAGCGCACACCCTCGCTCGAGCATCTCAACGATGAAGAGCGTCTTTTGATTACATTGAAAGAAGACGAAGCCCTACCTTGGAAGGACATTGCTGCCCGTTTCAGCAACCAGCTGGGCCAGTCAATCACCGTTGCTACACTGCAGATGCGGTACCTTCGCCTGAGACAGCGATTCCGAAACTGGGAAGAGCGCGACGTCGAGGCGTTGAGACAGGCGCACGAGTATTGGGAGAAGTGCAAGTGGGACATAATCAGTGCNAAAGGCAAGTCACCATCATGTTGTGGCTTTGATCATAATTCTAACAAGCTATCTTAGATGCTTGAATTTGGCGTCGAAGAGAAATGGCCTTCAAGACACTGCGCCCGCAAGTGGGCGGATATCGCGCCTCAGCATCTGCACACCAGAGGCCAGACGCCTCAGCAGCATACACCTTCGTCTCAGCAACACACTCCGACACCCAATTATGCCACCATGGCTGAAGGCTTTACGAACTATGGATATGCTCTTTCCCTCTGATCGTGTTTTTCGGAATCTTCTTTCTGGTTTTCAAAAAACGCAAAAAGCATCGCACAATGTTTACTCTGCATCATGACACCTCTGTCGTGGATTTTCCGACCTTGCATTTGCATTTGCATATATCCGGAGTTTCTGGTTTCTTGTTTTGTTCCTTCGCTTTTCATGGTTCCTGCATCGTTTTCCTGCTTTTTGTTCTTCTCAAGATACCCAACAATCGCTCGCTTTTCTTGCCATTCGTTGGCCTTCTGTTATACAGATGGCCCCTCCTTTTGTTTTCCTTGTATGGGCTGCTTGTTTTCGTTTTCGAGATGCCCTCTACCACTCGCTTCTTGCTCATCCTTCTTGCTGCATATTCATTCACGATACCCAAACCACTCGCTTCATTGGCATTTGTTTCTGTGCTGGGACATATTGCGCTTCACTATATAGACATTTTTTGTTTTGAGACACTCTTATATAGAGACATATTATAGCTCTTAACCTACCACCGTTGTCCACATGCAGCACTCAATGTGACACAAAAGGCTGAAGACAAAATCTCCGGTCCCGGATTCTTGGGTCAGGTGTCTCTGAGACGCGCACGCCCCCTTCTTATAACTCAAAGACAAATATAGGTCTTGCTTTTTTGTGGTTTTCTGCCGGCATACATTATGCACTTGATGCATACATGCATGTCAGATCAAGGGAAGTGACTTGCACCACGAGGTTTTTTCCGTCCAATCAACGTACATCGGGCTTTTTGTTGTTTTGTGCTGCTTTTATGGTTGTCTGTTTCTGTTTAGAGTATCGTTCATGAATGCATGGGTATATGAACGTTTTCATTCGAGAATATATACAACTAGAACAAGTCTGTCATTGCACCTGGATGGTATTGTCAGTAAGGGAGGCCGGCAGGAATGATGACAATAACTTACCATGACTGGCATCACCGACCAAGCGTTGATACTTGGCCAGTACACCGCGAGTGACATTCGATCTGGGCTTCTTCCACGCCTTCAGTCTCTGCTGAATTTCCTCATCTGACACATTCATGGAGAGCGTATTGTTGGTGGCATCAATAGTAATCATATCGCCGTCTTGAACAACAGCAATGGGTCCGCCAACAGCAGCTTCAGGACAAATGTGACCGACGATGAAGCCGTGGGATGCGCCACTGTATCTACCATCCGTGATCAAAGCGACGTTTGTGAGCTTCGCTCCCATGATGGCTGCACTAGCCTTGAGCTGCTCAGGCATACCTGGACCACCCTTGGGACCTTCGTAGCGGACGACAATGACCAAGTTCTCCCCACGAGGGATTTGGCCCTTGTTCAAGGCATCATCGAGTTCGTGCTCCTTGTTGAATACACGAGCCTTGCCGGTAAAGCTCATGCCTTCTTTTCCTGTGATTTTGGCAACAGCACCCTCGGGTGCGAGGTTGCCGCGCAGAATCTCGATGTGACCTGTGGGCTTGATTGGGTTGTCTAAGCTGCGAATAATCTCTTGACCTTGAGGTAGAGAGTCGAATGAAGCGACGTTCTCGGCCAGTGTCTTGCCAGTGATTGTAAGGACGCTGCCGTCAAGAAGACCTCCTGCGATGAGCAGTTTCATGACAGAAGGGATACCACCAATATCATATAGATCGGCCATCAAGTATTTTCCAGACGGTGCCATGTTTGCAATAAAAGGAATGCGGTTCGAAACTCTCTGAAAGTCGTCGAGAGAAAGGTCGACACCTGCTGTACCAGCCATAGCAAGAAGATGAAGCACTCCGTTTGTGCTACCTCCAAGTGCCATCATCATAACCAGAGCATTCTCGAAAGATTTCTTAGTGAGCAAGTCGAGAGGGCGAATGTTCTTCTCCATGCAGACCTTGATTGCTTCTGCTGCTTTCTGGCACTCTCGCATCTTGGCTGGCGAAGTGGCAGGCGTACTTGAAGACCCAGGAAGAGTCAAACCAAGAGTTTCAATAGCCATAGCCATGGTGTTTGCCGTGAACATACCGCCACAAGCTCCAGAACCAGGACATGCGTTTCTCTCGATGTCAGTCAGGATTTCATCTTTGGTGATCGAAGGATCGTCTGGGTTCTTGAGAGTGTCGAAGTTGTAAGCGCCGTGAGCCTCNNTGATTGTGTTAGCATACAAGAGCATTGAAGAGGTTGTATCCTTACCATAGCACGTTGTGATGTTGATCGTCTTTCTGAGTGTCTTCGAATAGCCAGGGTTAATAGTGCCTCCGTAGATCATCACGGATGGTCTGTTGTGTCTTGCCATTGCCANTCTAAGAAACGGATCAGTCTCAAGCAGCCGCACCTCGAATGAAGCAGAACTTACTACAACACCTGGCATGTTCTTGTCGCATCCAGGGATGGAAATGTTGGCATCGTGGAACTGGGCACATGTGATAGTCTCAATACTGTCTGCAATAATCTCTCGACTCTGCAGAGAGAAGCGCATGCCTTCGCCACNCCCTTATTCCTGTTAGCTATCTTCTAGGATAAAGCTTTGAGCAACTCACATTGTAATACCATCTGACACTCCAATGGTGCCATACTGCCATCCTAGCATACCCTGCTTCTCTACAGCTTGCTTCACAGTCTTTCCCAGATCGTGTACTGACAACATATTAGGTTCCTTTCATTTGTGCTTATCATGAATGTTGCCTACGATGGTTACTTCATCGTTGTCAGTATGCGTTCAAACATTGATATATCGATGCACTTACTTGCAAGGGTTTCCCTCCCACCAGACAGAGGCAATACCGACCTGAGGAGCCGTCTTCAGCATCTTCTCGTTTGGCACACCTGCTGCGTACAACATCGATTGTGCGCCAGGGAAATCATGGCCTTTGGTCAGGGTGGAAGAGTATTTGTTCAGAATTGGCGTTCCATCCTCATATTTGGCATCATCGGGAAGATGTGGGAAGCTCAAGAAACGTGGTTCTTCTGGCTGAAACTGTGCTTTGAGGTTTGCGGGATCCATGGCGAGTGATACAATGTAAAGACCTGTTATGTTTCGAAGGAAGCGTAGTTCAGTGTATGTAGTCGTCTTGACCTTCTTCTCCACCCTCATTCGTCAAGTGGATCATCGGCCTTCTCACCTCTGGTGCCCCGCGCACCCCACAAGTCAGCCGAAGCCGGCGACTCGGTTAGATCCGGGGGCGCTCGGCAGAGGATTATACCGAAACCCCGACGTGAGGCTCTTCTGTCAGTCTCAAGCCTCTTGAGCGCCATGGTCCACTGTTCTTGTCGGGACAAATCACGTACAGCAATACTGACTTGGACGTTCTTGTTATCAACAGATGACAAACAAGTCGTGAACTGAGTATGGCCTTGGACTGTACGCACACTTCGCCCACGCATACGTGTATGATGCGACTGATGGTAAGGAAGGCTCGAAAAGGCTGGGGTCATCGAGGGTACCTGAATGAACAGCTGATCCTGAGCCTGATGAGGGATTTGAAGTTGGTCTTAGCGACGACTCGATCACGGACACCCCAGAATTGATACACGTGCATATAAGGTTGTACGGATGGTCCTGCCGATGGTGCCTAGGGATGATCTATGAGAGCCGGTCTCCTCGTGGTCCAATAAGCATCCAAGTCGAGACCACCACTCAGATCTGGATACTCTCTATCCGGGGACATGGAAACAGCATCGGCGTGATATCTTCTAGAAAGAGAGCGATATAACGGGGATGATACATGATATTTTTCGTGATACCAAACCAAGAAAGGTGGTTGACCAGTGGTTCCGCCCACATTTCCGACCGCGCGCGATCATTGGTCGCATCTTCCTTCGCCAACCCTACCTGTATCACATCGTTTTGGACCTCTTCGTCCAACTCCATATTCAAAGACAACACACTAGTATTAACTGAATCAGCTGAAACATTCGTTGCGCCTTTGTACGCCGTGCGTCGTTCCAGATACTTCCGTCTGCCTCACGATTTTCTTCACGTCGACCAAAATCTTCGACTTCTGCGTCATCGCATCATTTCCCTTTACCCAAAACGCATCCACATTTCACCAACCGCATAACCATACTTTTCGACAAGGTTTCGGGACCCGTTCCTGTCAGCGCGTCGGACACAGATGTCTACCCTCGTGGTATTTGGAGGCACGATAGTGTTGGCAACTGCGTCAGTATATTACCTGTCTCGACTCGCTAGTGCAAAACGTGATGTTGATGCCAAAGGTAAGTCGGTTATACATAACTCCTTTCATCTCGATGCACTTGTCCTTTCCCTCCATCCAGATCCATCTTTCTATTACCTCCATTGTCTCCCTCGACTACTATGAAGGAATTTGAACAAACAGCAGACTTATACGACCCANTTAGATCCTTCAGCCTCCGAACCTGGACTACTGAGAAAACACTCCTCTCAAAAATCTTATACTGCCGCTGGTTTTGTATATTCATCAATCAGGACATTCTATCATCCTCATCCACAAGCCGACAAGCTCCCGACTAAGCCCACACCTCTACCACTCCTAGTCTTTGTTCATGGTCTTGGAGGAAGTGCTGCTCAGTTTGCACCACTCTTGACTGGACTGATCAACGCTGCGCCATGTCTTGCTATTGATCTTCCCGGATGTGGCTTGTCTGACTTTCTTCCTCAAACACGCGAAGCATACAAATCAGAAGCTTTGGCAGCCTTGATCGCCGAGGCTATCGCCCAACACAGAGATGCTGAAAATGATCAGAAAGTGGTTCTGATAGGTCACAGCATGGGTTGTTCTCTGTCGGCACTGCTGGCATCATCAACATCGCCGATGTCCCACCTCATCTTGGAGCACATTGTTGGTTTCATCGCCATCTGCCCTCGTGCTGAGACTCTGACAGCAAGCCAAGTATCACGTCTACAGCACATGCGTTACATGCCTATTCCTCTGTTCGAGGTCTTCCGTTGGTGGGACAGACGAGGGGGTGCTGAGAGCGCCAGTGTTTCTCGTTACGCAGGCAAAGATGCAGACTCGGAGACCAAACGACTTCAGCTACGATTCAACGAGCAAAGTAGATCTGAAGTCTTCATGGCAATGGCTCTTGGATCAATGCCAAAGTACCAGGATGACAAGGCCGTAGGAGGTCTGCCTGGTGAGGCCATTTGGTCTGGTCTTCGGATTCCTACATTCTGTATCGGTGGAGAGCAAGACCATGTAACACCACCTGAGAATGTCGAATTGATTGCAAAATGGCTTGGAAGACAGGTGCCATCGGAGCAGACAATCACCAAAGACAACTCTTTGCCCAGTTCTGCTGGCGAGATGCCTATCATCGACAACACTCCGATCGAAGAAAATGGCAGAAGTTTCGTCCCTGCTGCAACCGGTCAGGACCTGGTATCCGAGACTCGATCCGACAGTGCGACAACAGATCTCCCGAAGAAACCAAAATTCGTTCTCAAGACAACAGTACTGCCGCAGCCTGCTTCACATGCTTTACTGTACGCTACCTCGACCGTGCGCATCATTTCAGGCTTGATCCAGTCCTTCGCCGCCACACATATCGATCACCGTCTCTCTCTCGGCTGGCAGTTGCAACACCTAAGCACAGAGGGCAAGTGGGATGTGAAGAATCTCCAGAAGTGGCAAGCCATCAACCCTGTTTCTGAGCCCATTGCTGGTATCTTCAGAGCACAAAAGACACTGCGCGAGATTGATGAAGAACATACTCCATCTGTGTACGTGAAGCGATGGGGTACCAAGAGCGGTATCAAGCGTGGTGTCCGCATGGTCGTCGACATCAGTCACGAGAGTCCCGTCTACGATCCCAAGGGACTGGAAGAAGGTGGCATAGAATACCACAAGTTTCCTACGGTCAGCAAGCTGCCACCAACAGTGGAAGAGGTCGCAGCATTCATCGCTCTGATAGATGCATTGAGAGAGCAGCTCAAGAAGCCAGAGGAACGGGAAGGAGCAGTGATTGCTGTCCACTGTCACTACGGCTTCAACAGAACTGGCTTCTTCTTGGTCAGCTACATGATTGAGAGAATGGGATGGAGACTACAGGATGCCCTACAAGAGTTTGCGGAGAAGAGAGCTCCAGGCATTAGACATGAGCATTTCGTGAACGAGCTCTACGTGCGTTACATGGTCAACATGGAGAGAAGACCAACACTTTCGTAGATATTCCAGCGTTCAACTTCAATTTTCTGGGCGGTAGGAGGCGTACATGGAAACTCATTGGTTCTGGCTTGGTTAGCCCATGGTTTGTCACGCCTCACCTTTGAGTACGATCAGCTGGTATCATTCCAGCATACAGACATAGCATTTCTTAATGAAGAGTCAATCAATTGACTCGATTCTCACTCTCTTTCTTCAATGCCAGTAATGCTTTCTTGCCGAAGAGGCACAAGGAGCAAGAGCGGGAAGGCGGAAAGCCTTGGCGTCACGGCTAGCTCCGCAAAAATTCGGCACACGAGGATCGCAAAATCCTCAGCACGCCGCGACGCCTGACCTTCTCCTTCGACCGAGACGACCTTTTCGCACGCCTACAGACCTTACCACCGTCGACAATCCCCCCTTCACAACCGCCAAAATGCCCGGTGTCTCCGTTCGCGATGTCCCCGCCGACAAGTTCATCCAGAACTGTTAGTCTACACCCTTGGAGCTGAAGAGGAGTTTTCGCACAAGAGATGGAAGTCGTTTTGTCAAACACGACATCAGAGCGCTCGCCAAACACCACGCTGCGCTATCCGACCGATTGTTCTGGCATTGCGCAGTGTGGAACGTGGCGATGGCTTGAAAAGCGCTTCGACACTGCAGAAATGCTCGACGATCACCATCTCAATGCGACAAACTCCCTCTTGCTCCAATCTTTATTTTCTCGAGGATTATAGGCTAACACACAACAGACGCTTCCTTCTTGAAGAGACAGGGAAAGCTCGCCGTTCCCGTAAGTCCACCGACTGGGTCAACTTGAATCCCGCGAAATATCGGGGCCCATAGAGTCCAACTAACTCTTGTCCGCTATCAGGGTTGGGTCGACACTGTCAAGACTGGTACCGCCAAGGAGCTTCCTCCCCAGAACGTTGACTGGTACTACGTCCGCGCCGCTGCCGTCGCCCGTCACATCTACATGCGCAAGACCGTCGGTATCGGCCGTCTGCGCAAGGTCCACGGTTCCCCCAAGAACCGCGGTTCCCGCCCCAGCCGTCACGTTGACGCCTCCGGCTCCGTCGACCGCAAGGTCTGCCAGTCTCTCGAGAAGATCGGTGTCCTTGAGATCGATGAGGACAAGGGTGGCCGCCGCATCACCCAGTCCGGCCAGCGTGATTTGGACCGTATCGCCATGTCCACCCTCGAGGCCGAGCAAGAGGAGGATGACGAGTAAATTACTCTCCCTCCACAGCGGTTGATGAACAAAAAGATGGTGTAACAAGGCAACTTCAAAAAAAAGCTTTGGGGACTGGGCCGGCGTTGAGGATCTGGCTACGGCCATGGAAATGTAACTCATGGTTGAGCTTATATGCATGCGGTACTGCATTTTTCCATCACGGCGACACAGCACAGCGCAGCATTCCTTCAATTCGACCTCGCCTGTCTCTCTACCATCTGTTTCGTCAACCTGCAAAAGTTTTAACAATTTCGATCATGTTGATACCCCCATTGATTTTCTCTTCTTTCAATATGTGCCATTTTTCCACTGTCATTTTCAATGTGCCTTTTAATGCATTAAGTTGTTTGAATCTAATCTGAACATGGAGAAAAGGTCTGTGATGATAATGATGTCGTGATATTGAGATCATGATATATACACGTCAAAGTGTGGGTACACAAGGAGTCATACTTCCCACTGAAGACGTCTCGAGGACGGTGAAAGTATGAACTATGAGGCAACCAAGATTTCGTCTTGCAACGTTTCAGCAGAAAGTACAAGCCTTTCCACCTCCCCTATACCATCCCACGGCATTGCCTGGACGCAAGACGCGAAACAGACAGACCGCTCCTCCCGCCGAAGCAGAAAGACCTCGACACTGTCCTGGTGATGGAGCAAGTGGCTGGGTTTGGGGTGTTGCGTGTGCTATCAACACATGTACTTACCATGAGCCTAAGAGCATGGACAAGCAAATGACAGCAATCTCAAGTCTCGAGTCACTACCATAGCATGCCATGCATGTGAAGCGCAACAGAAGGAAATTTTGCTGCTGAGCGGAGAAGGAAGTAACGCGACAAGCAGGACACGGGACATGCCGTTGTGCAGCTTCAAGCATCGTCACTTCCTTGAACGTGGTCATCAATAGCTGCTTCTTCGACCATATAACGTATTCGCCAATTCTCTCCTCTTCCTCCCAACCCTCTTTACATCACATACATCATGGGCAAGAAGAAGCGCGGTCATCCCGATATCGAGGAGGTTCTCGCGCGTCCTTGGTGTTACTACTGCGAGCGCGACTTTGATGATCTGAAGATTCTAATCTCACATCAAAAGGCAAAGCATTACAAGTGCGACAGATGTGGACGCAGACTCAACACCGCTGGAGGTGGGTTGACGCGATTGACGAGAGTGAGGCCCAAACTGACTTGGAGCNNAGGTTTGTCCGTTCATATGAACCAAGTGCACAAGGAGAATCTGACTACGGTCGAGAATGCTCTGCCCAACCGCTCCGCTCCCGATATTGAGATTTTCGGCATGGAAGGCATTCCCGACGATGTGATGCAACAACACAACCAGCGTGTTAGCCACGAGTTCTTCGCCGCCGAGGCTGATCGACGCGCTGCTACAGGCAATCCTGTTCCTGGTTCGTCGATACAAGGAGCTGCGGGCACGAAGAAGCCGAAGCTCGAGTCACCAGCCGAGTTGAAGGCACGCTTGGCTGAACACAAGGCAAGAAAGGCGGCTGAGAAGTCGGGCCTGGGGAGCGCTCCTGACACGCCTGTAAGTTGGACCGTCATGTCGAATTGCTAGTCCGAATACTGACTCAGTAACAAGGCCGACGTCGCCACTCCTCCTCAATACCAGTCGAGCTTNCCCCCTCCTTCGGCACCACAAGCCGCCAGCCCACCACCTACCGCTTACCCCCCTCAATCCTACGGTCAAGCCCCTGCTGGCTATGGTCAACAACCTCCGCCCTTCAACTATGGCGAATCGCCGTATGGAGCACCTCCAGGGCCCTTCCCGCCAGGTCAGTTTGGATCCCAGCCATCATATTCACCCTCACAGCCCTATGGTGGTCAAGGCCCTCCTGCGCCTTTTGTTCCTCCTGCTCAGTATGCCTACCCTCCACACTCTGCAAGTCCATCTCAATACCAGAATTCCCGCCAAGCTCCGCCCATGAGTCCGCCTGCACAGGAGTTGCCGACCCGCCAGAATAGCCTTCCTTCAGCCCCAGGCCTTCCGCAGCGCCCTACCTTCAATGCGCCTCATGTCAGTAGGGAGCAACTCGCCGAGATGCACAGTGGAAATATGGGTGGCCCTGTCGCTCCTCCGCAAGAGTCTGGTGCTAACGCAACAAGCGTGGACGAACTTATCTCGGGCGCTGCGGCTCAACATTCCGCAAAGTCTGCTCCTTCACAACAACCCACGCCTACTCCAGCTCCGGAAAAAGAAGCCGAAAGCGCCGGCAAGAAGTCTAAGAAGGCCACACGTCTGGTCTACTCTGATCAAGAAGTGTCTCCCGAAGAGAAAATGGCCCAAATGCCCAGGTATGCCTTTACTCCAGACAAAGGTGGCGAAACTTACCTGGCTCCCGTCGAGGCAAATGTCACTGGCATTGTCCGGGGTCCCGACGATGTGATCGATGCACAGGGTTAGGGTCCGATGCACCAATTGCGTCTTCAAAGACTTTCCTGATGGAAGAGAAACAAAGGTGGGCAAAGCAGCGCCTTGGAATGGTCTCGAAAAAGAAGCGACTGCTCAGCAGCTAAGTGTTGCTCTCTTTGCTTGGCCATGGAAGACGATGACTTGAGAGAGCCAGTATTACTAACAGCGTCTCATGTCATGCCACTGAAGAATTGAAGGCATTGATTACGAACAGGAAGCAATCAGCATAGATAGCTTCCTTTCAATTGTAAGTCTGGCGAATATTGGGTTTCTCTTTTGAATATATGATGAACAGACTTCCCTTTCTTCTTACGTGCAAAAGGTTCATCTTTGACCGTTGTTGAGCGTCAGATGGCTCATTCTGGCCTCATACACATCTGTTGCAGCTCTATTTCTTTAGTCTTCGGCTGGACTCTCACAGCAGTAGCGGCATCATGATTGTCGACTTTGGAGCATTTGAGGTTCCCCTAGCTCATTCTGCCATCGAACAAGGTCAGTAGCAAAATTGTCTGGCTACGCTTCCACTGATGCTTGGTCTGGATGTCGATGATTCCTGAAGACTTAGTATCGTTTGTGCAGCTCCTCTATGGTAGTACCAACGTTAGCAGTTGCAATCAGCTTTTGTCTCTTGGATAGTCTGTGATACGTATGTAACTCGTAGCAATATCTACATAAAGCCCATGATCATGAGCTCAATGAGTTCACGTTATATAAAGAGTCTTGGTTTCCCTTTCAGATTTTGGATATGTGACTAAACTATGCAGCTGTTGTTGTTGGTGACGTGCCTTGATCGGTGGGCCTTTTTGGTGTAACGACTGATAGTGCTCGACCATAGTTCAAACTTCCCATGCAGTATTCGAATGTACCTTCTCGATCACTGTCTGTGAGGCGTGGTCGGTATCGTAGAGATTTGCTGTACTGCCCTACTGTCGTCGATGTGATCTGCGTAATCTTCCCTTTTTCTTCACGCATATTGCTTGCTATCCCGTGGAGTTTTAGTCCTAACAAATTTCTAGCCCTTCACTTGACAATCTGAGCCAGTGGCACATTGTAGTTGACGAAACGCCATCATATAGCATGTCACTTGATGTTTCAACCTTCACATGATCACATTCGACGTCGAGTCGACGACGAGGGTCAAGAGCGAGAGGGATATATTCGAGGTCAGGGTGGCATAGGTAGCCAGAGATTCGGATGTCGGAACCGAGATCAGCCGAGCACCGACAATTCGTCAGTGAGCTCTCGCAACGCGACAGCATTTGTGCTTTGTACCAAGACATCAATCAATCACCCACCCATTTCTCCCACTCCAGATTACTCTGTTTGTATCGTTCGACGCGTCCCACGCGATCAGTATATCAGTCTCGGCATCACCTACCTGGTTTCCCAACAAAAACACACAGGTATCAGAACACATTCTCTCACGACCATGGCCGACAGCGAAATGGACATCGATCAGCAGCCCCAGCAAGACGAGCAGGAACAGCAGCAGACACAAGACGACGGTCGCTCGCCCTCGCCATCACAGTCTCCCGAAGCCAAGCGTAACGCCCCTACTGGACCCGAGACACGCACTTCCACCGGAGCTGTTGCTGTTCGTTCCATCGAAGGCTGGATTGTCATGGCTACCAATGTCCACGAAGAGGCCAGTGAAGAGGATCTTCAAGAGCTGTTTGGCGACTACGGCGAGATCAAGAACCTGCACATGAACCTGGACCGCAGAACCGGTTACGTCAAGGTGTGTTATTGGAATATGGCAGCAGTAAGAGCCAGATACTGATGCATCCAACAGGGCTACGTCTTGATCGAATTCCCCACACTGGACGAAGCAAAGGCTGCCGTCGAAGGAGCAAACGACACCAAGCTGCTCGACCAGACCATCTCTGTCGACTTTGCCTTTGTGCGCCCACCCCCTACCAAGAGTAGCAACCAGTCGCGTGGTGGTCCCGCTCGCGGTGGAAAGTCCAGAAACAGAAGCAGAAGTCCTGGTGCCCGCAGAGTTGACGACGACGAGGATATCGAGTAGAGATCGAAAAGAGTCGAGCAAAAGAACTTGAGCCTGCAGCGCGTCACCGACTGGTTGAAGGCGCCTGAGGAACAGCCAGAAATGCGAGAACCCCCAGAATGATCGGATACGAAGGCCAAGGAAGAATGAGATGAGGATGGAGCTGCTGGATCAGGAGCACTGTCTCTGTGAGAAAACGAAGGACAAAGACAAAGAAGCAGGCAGTATCAACATGTTGCCGACTTGTCTCGCACATCATGACAGACAGGTCGGTGGTAATCACAAGTCTCGTTCGGTAAGTTGAGAGCTGCTCTAATCCTGGCTTCACATGGTCACCGTCGCTAGCCCCGTAGCGATGCGTTGATCATGTCGCCGGCGCCTCCGTTGTTTGCGTCCACTGCTAACAACTCTTTCAGTTTCACCTCTCTCTCCCTCGTGTCTTTGCGCAACACGTTCTTTCTGTGTCACCCAGCAACTACTACATCAGACAACACTACCAAATAGCAATCATGAACAGAGGAAGATCTGTTCTCAGCCCTCCTCCCAAGAAGCGTAAGTACATGGCAACATCCAATCTTTGCGCGCACGCGAACCGGGTACTCATACACTCAAAGCTCTCNACCCTCGCCGCCCTCGACAAGCCCCCGATCCTGCGTCGCGGCAGAGATGGCATGTTCATGACCACCGAGGAAATTGAGCGCGACGATGCTCGCATGGCTGCCGAAGAGAGAGCCCGTCCTTGTTCTCGCCCTCCGGTCAACAAGCCCGAGGAAGTCTTTCCCGCTTCGGGATGGCCGACTGCCCCTCAAGCTCACGTTTGTGCATTCCGACCGTAGTTTTTGTAGTAGCAGTAGTCTGACAAATATCAAAGCAGGAGAGCACCGACGAGGAGATCCTCGCCCTGGCCTCCACCACCACTCNNCTCCCCCATCCCCGCCAGAAGCCCTCTCCGCCTCCGCCGCACCCCTCCCGCTGCCACCGTGCAGCCCGACAGNCCCTCCTCCTCGCTGTTCGGGCCCGGCCCGGGATTCCAGCAGGGAGCTCCCTGGTCACTGACCGGGGCTCTTCTGCCCTCCGTCGAGCTGGCTTCCCCCTCCCTGGCCTCCTCGGCTCCTTCAGAGTACCTGGGTGGTTCCTCTGCTGCTGCCTCTGTTGTCGAGGACGAGGGACCTCGTGGTGTCGACTACAACCCCGACACCACGGGGTTGGCCTCTGGCTTTTCGTCTTCGTCGTCGTCGGGGGCTTCGCTCCTTGTGAGTGACGGTTCGGTGGTGGTACCTCGCCGTAGATGGACTGTGTAGGAGTATGGTGTTAGGAGTAAGGGAGGAGGTAGTATTTTTGAAATTGTAACAGTATACCCCAGCACTTTACTATATCATTGCAGAGTGAGATTAATGTGTGGTAGGTGTCCAGTGAGATGTAGGAGGAGTAAGTGGTTTTACCCTTGTCTCTGTGGTAATTGACACGTCAACATAGGGCTATAGAAATGCATGATGCTTTTCCATAAGCAAGCGATATCCAGAGAGAACACGAGAACCGACAGCTCTCTCTGGACACATCTCCGACCCTGCAGTATACTATGCATTCCGATAGCTTGTTTTAGAGGTCCCTGGTGTACACGAGAAGCAGTGAGTCTTGGTTCTGATGTTCGTTTCCAGTCTCGGTTGACACGTTGATATAGGACTATAGAAATGCAAGAATGTACACGTACCGTGGAGAGTGTCCAGAGAAGTTATGCCAGTTGGCCACACTCTCTGGACGTTCCTCTACGTTGCAAAACTATTGTGCATTTCTATAGCGGTACAATCGCGCTCAATTCGGAGATGAAATTCAATGCGCATTTTGGGTATGATTCACATTGATAAGCAAAGCAACGTGTGTCTTTTCATGCTTCTCGCTGACTTGTCTCAACAGCAACGACAACTAGCACTACTACACCGAACCTTCGAAACCGATCTCAGCCTCGTGCTCACGAAGAACGTCCTGGGAGTTCTCGGGAGCGTCCTTTGCGACCTTCATCTGACGACGAACAAACTTCTTGACCTCGGTCAACTCATCATCGCAGGCAATGTTGGGGTCTTGGACAACGGCGTTGCTGATGGCCTCAGCGAATCTCGCCGAGAAGAGCAGGTTGTCGGCGGCTTCGGTGGCTGTGTCGTATATGTCTCCTTCAATGTCCTCTTGCAGAATGTCGAAGTTTTCGTTCTGCTTCTCGACGAGGGAGGCTTCCATCACACGCAGCCTTTCCTCAATCTGCTCGCTNNGTATTGCATCAGTATCAGAGTGGACGACGAGATTTGGTATGAACGGTAGATCTCACTTGCGATCGTCGTCGTCGGCATCTTGCTTTTCCACCAGCTTGATAGCCAGGCTTCCACTGTACATGGCGGACTTGACAACGCTCAGGAAGTTGGTGTTTGCATCGCCTAGCTTGTTTTCGCCACCCTTGAGTCGGATCCAGATGGCTGTGGCTTTCTCGATCTGCTGCTGCTGGAAGTTCATCGTTTCAAGAAGTTGACCGACGGCGTCGGGATGATGGCGTTTCGGTGCCGAGACTTCCGTATGGGCATTGGCGTGTCTTTTACGGCTGATGATGGCGGCTTGGGCAATGTCATCGCTGGAAGACATGGTAGAAAGTGTGTGAGAGCTGCCGAAGTGGTGGGTCGATGTTGAGGTTGATGCTGGGGTGGGGGCTGAAGTAGAGATGAAGAGAGATCAGGCAACAGGCTGTCGCGTCACATGAAAGTGGTTGTTGGGAAGGTGCGTTTTGGGAAAGAGCTGACCACTGATTTTTGAAGCAGGGACGGAAGGTACACTCGATCTGACCAAGAATCTGATACGCGCATCTCGGAACAATGTCAGGTAAGATTGATGCTGTGATTTACGAGCTTATGCTCTAGCGAAGCGTGTTAATTTGTATTCACGAAGTACAAAAGAGCAGCGAGATTAGCAACAAGTTCTGGAGCTCAAATCTTGAGCAGCGATAACAGACCGTCCATCACTCCTGAATATCTCTTGCCAGAGCCTCTGATGACATATCCTCAACGGTGCTCAGACTGGATTTTTAGAAACTTGCCCAGACCTCGTCTTGTTATCGCCTCCTTCCACTGCAGGATAGTGTCGACGATGAACGGCCCGGCGTGTTCTTCGAAGAAGTCCTCGTCATCGATCTCATCAATGTTGTCGACTGTTCTGATGACAGTGGCGAGGAGCTTCTTCCCTTCTGCGTCACCGCATAGGCCGTTGAAGAAGGACAGAGCGTGGGCAACATTCTCATTTTTGGTGTCGCTGACTTTGCGCGTGCGAGCGCAGACTTGACCATGGTTTCTAGGACCTTCTCGTTCTTCGCCGCTATTATGGTGTCGTACAGGCTGCTTCATCTGAGGCGCTCTTGGTACCTTCGGAGCCTGTCGAAAGATCAGTATGAGATATCAATTTATCGAATGCAACTTACCCTTCATAGTCATCTGCACTGATAGCCTGGATGATCTTCTCAAGTTCTTTGACGCTGAAGTCGCACTTAATGCCTTGCGGAGTACTCTTCACTGACTCCAGAAGTTTCTCGAGGTCTTGTCTGCGAGTACTAGTTTCCAGATCGATCTCAACTTCGTCGTCGTCGTCCGCCTCATCGTCGAGTTCTTCCATCTCACTGCTGCACTCTTCTGGATCTGGTTCATCTGAAGATTCACGCTTGCGTTTGTGGGATGTGATTGGTAGCGAATTTCCATCGTCTGTCATGTCAACGATACCCAGGGACGTCGAAGGGGCAGACATGATGAGTATGAGTAAACACGAAGAAATTCAAGACAAAGAGAGGTAAGAGTATCGTAAGGAAGAAGGGAGGACCTGGGGTGAATTTGTGTGAGCGCGCTGTCACATGCAAGTGGAGAGAGAATTAGCGCGCTGTTGCCTGAGGAAGGTGCGAAGAGTGTCCGGCTCAAGACAGCCATTTCCATAAACAAGACTTTCCACCCATAGGCTCTTCTCTCACAGCGTGTTATGCACACTCCACAAGCGCTGGTTGTTGCACTGTCGAAGCAAAACCTGTAGTTCCTAAACACAAAAACATACCGGCCCATAATACATTACAACTCGGTTATGAACCACCATCGCATTGAAGGCATGGGCTATTTGGATCTGGGAAAGGAGTTTTCACCATACACGGCGGTACCTTGATCACCGGGCGAGTCTAGTACTTTTTGAACTCGATTCGTTTCAGTCCAGACCCTGGTCTGGTAGGTATACTGCGAGTACCGACCACTTCGAGAGAAAGCCAGCCAAATCAATAAGATGTTCCTACCAGCTATTGTATGCTTGTTTGAAGTTGTCCAGTTTCCTCCCACAACGGTTGGAAGGTGAGAAGTACTTACAGCGCACCACTCACCGCCTTGGAGTTCCCCGCAATGCATGGGGGACAACAACTCCAAAATCTTATCTTCCGCTTTGCCTACTTCAGTCCATGGCGCCTACCTTCTTGTCTTTGAGGTCATGCCGTCGGTGCGACACATACCAGATAACAAACGACGATCTCGTACGGGGTGTCTGTCCTGTCGTAAGCGGCGGAGGAAATGTAAGACCGCTCTTTTTCCACCCACAATGCAACATCAGTAAACCGCGTCATTTTCGTTGCTCTTGCCGCCACAACATTAACTGGGAGCGAAATCAGGCGACGAGGGAAAGCCAAGTTGTCTCAATTGCTCTGAAAGGAGTGTGACTTGCAGATACGGTGACTGGACATTTGTGTCTGATGGACCCCAAAAATCTCTCGCAGATGGTGGCGCGTCGCAAGTTGACGTCGGCGATGACTCTCATGCTATTACGGCGGCATCGCCATCGGTGTCAGCGCCGCAACCACACAACGACACTGTCAATTATCATCACGTCGCTGGTTCCGATTTATCACTCAGCCACATTCGGGAACCCTCTACCCCTCAATCTATGACCTCCACTGCCACGGCGGTGATTGCCACTAGACAAGGTGTCGTTGACAGCGACCTGACTACAGTCTGGACGTCAAACACATTTGTGGATGGTATGATCTATACGCCAGTCACACCTCGGCAGCCGATCGAAGGGCGCTCGTGGCAACAGCGTTCAATAAAACCTGCCTTGCTACATTTCAGATATCAATTCATACCTTGGATCGAAGCCAATAACTGCAAGTCAATGTTTGGGCCGGCAATCATGACTCTAGCTCGCGATAGCAAGATTGTTTCCGATTGCATCTCCGCCTGCGTACAACCGAGAGACGACAGCCTTGATCTGGGAAGTACCACGTCTGCTGGCTTGACTGTGCCCTCAAGGCTTCTGGAACAGCTGGCTCGTGAAGATACTTTTATCGCAGAAGTCGTAACTGCGCTGCTCACGGTCAGCAGCGTGTTCTACACACCACCCTCTGAGTGGGCCATCATAACCTCTACCTATGAAGCACGCCTGGCCGAGTCTGTTCTGTCAGGCGGAGGCTTTGAACTTACACCAGAGCCCTTGAAGTCGCTCTTGCGGTTGCAATTGAAAGTTGGTAGGTCATCACCAACTCCAGAATACATCCGACTCTTACTGAAGCGCATGGCATTCNNAGATCTTGCCGCCTCCATCGTGACAAACAAGCCTCCTTCGGCCAATCTTGTAATTCCCTCTGAAAGTTTGATGACCAGCGAGATTGATGATCCTCTCACTTCTTACGATGGCTGTCTCTGTTGCCTCGCACTATCTATGCGACTGGTTCACTTCGAACTTATTCCTATGCTATTCGGTTTCCACGAATCGCGTCTACAGCCTGTCGGTTCCCACGTTTCCCGGTGGGATCGGTGGTTTGAACTCTGGAGTAGCTGTATGTCGTGGTTCCAGGACCGACCTCGCAAGATGAGGCCTGTACTTGAAAGCCCAGATGAAGACCTCCGGCGCAAACAACCTTTTCCCATCGATGTGTTTACAAGTGCCACTGCTCTGCAAGCAAACCTTGTCATGCACATGTCAGCAGTAAATCTGCTATCACAGAAACCTCGTCTCACTAACGCAACCTCGATTCTACAGCGGTTTAGATCACGGAGTTGGCACGTTCAAAAGATTGCACGCATGTTAGTCGGTAATCATTTCAATGAGCAGTGGGACCCGATAGTGATTGCTGCACTGCTTTTTGTTGCCAAGGAAATGTCGCATCCATCCCAGCAGGAAGCACTATTACCATGCTTCCATGAGATCTCGAATACAACACATATTCCTATTGGAAAGGAAGTCGCCAGTCTTCGCGCAAACTGGCAGTCAATACAACAAGATGACCCACCGAACCTGCATCATCATTCTGAGAACGATAGTTTTGCGAATGCGAAGCAATTTTGATTTGCTATCGATCGAGCTTCGACGCCACTACTCCGACTGGCAGACAAGCGCAAGTACCACATGATCAAAATGGAAGTATGTGTATTCTCTTGTCTTAAGTCTAATCCAAGACCAATTCGTCCTTCCACGGTATCGAAACCTGAGCTCCCCTCCTGGAGACCGTTTTGGCAGAAGCAAACGTGCTCTTGGTGACAGCAGCACAAATGTCAAACTCCAGGTTGCGAGAAGAGGCCTCGACAGCAAGCACCGAATACATGCCGATGAAAGTATCTCCGGCAGCAGTTGTATCCACTACATCGACTTTCAGCGCTGGCACAAGGCCTTTTTGACCATTCTCGCTCATGTAGTAAGCGCCTTTCGCACCAAGCGTTATAACAAGATTTTGGACGCCCTTTGCCAGAAACTTTGTAGCCATTTTCTCCACCATGACGAGATCCTCAAGCTCAGCCTCGTCGACTTGCGCAAGCAGAGCCACTTCGGTCTCGTTCAGGATGAGATGTGATAATCCGTTGTATGCCTCTTCTGGAAGTTGGACAGCTGGAGCTGGGTTCAAGAGGACTGGCACTCCTGCCGATTTGGCTGCTGCTAGTGCCTCCAAAACAGTGTCGAGAGGAATCTCCAATTGCATAACCAACAAGGAGGGTCTCAAGTTGGCAATATTGGTGACACTTTCTGGTCGCAGAGAGGCGTTAGCGCCAGGAGTCAAGATGATGCGGTTTTGGCCGGTACGCTCGTCCACCATGACGATGGCATTACCAGTCGTCGAGTGTTCAGCGTGACCTTGTCTACGCGCGACTTCCGAGGTATCGACACCATATGATTGAAGGCTGTTCAATAATGTTGAGCCGTGGGCATCTGCGCCGACAGCGCCAAACATGGCCACTTTGATGCTTGCATCTTCTAGCGTGCGAGATCTTGATAGCTTCGCGCAGGCCACCGCTTGATTGGCGCCTTTACCTCCAAGAGAGACATTGGAGTGAGTCGATGTGAGTGTCTCGCCAGGTAGCGGGTGGTGGGGAAGGTAGTAAACAAGGTCGATGTTGAGAGAACCGAGAACACAGATAGTCGGGGTAGGCGAGACCATGGCCAAAGCTGCCGCAAAGTCGCGGTCCAGTTGTGATTTTGCAGTTGGTGTTTAAGTGATGTTGTCCTGCCTGGCGGTTCTCAAAGCTTTATAGTACTCAGTCGAGCGTCGCGATCCTGGGTGGTTCAAAGCGCGCAACCTTGTGGGTCTGGAGCACGCCCCACTCCCAATAGTTTAACCAGAGCTAGTGGGAGGCTGCTCCCGCTGCAACCGTTAATCAGAGCCTGATGCAGAAGATGGGATCTTGATCCAACTACCGACTAGACGACCTCGCAAAAGTTGTCAAACATGGCCCCAGTCAACTACACCCTCGTATCCCCATTCAACCTCGAGATCTCTGAGCCGCCACAAAGCCGCCCACCCAGTCTCGCGCTCTATACTATCTAACAGTTGAGCTATCTTCTGTCGCTCAGTACCGTGAGTGAGTAGCCTACCTGCAATGTAGAGAGGCTGGATCGAGTTCACCATACTCCCTGGATGTGGATTCGCACACGAAATGCCGCAAACTTGCCTCGCATGCCAAAGCGACAGAGTCCGAGGATCAAGACTACTCCCCGGTGGCTGCATCTCCAGCATCAAAATACAGGCAGCGTGGTATACCTGGTTGCTTGATATCGCCGCCCAATGTGGAAAGATGATGGATGGAAAATTGAGCTCGGCGTCTTCATCGATAAGAGAAATTGGTCTCATAGTCGCAGGACGCTCGTCAAGCCAGAACTGCAGGTCTAGCCAAAGCTGTTGCCATTGTTGCGAGAATGGTCTCTTGTCGCTAAAGTCGGTTCGACCAAGCTCCAGATAACTCGTTCTGCGAAATTTTAGATCGCATACTCTTGCGCATAGGTATATCGCCCAATTGGCATGCGCATCATGGGACTCTCGACTCTTTTCGTGAAATAACGATCTTACAAACTCTTCGCCATCTGCTGGCGATACTACAGATCGATTCAGATCAGGTGCCCACTTCCCTAAATCGAGAACCATGGTTTCGGCGCCATCAGAGGTAAAGCTCCCACACAGTTCCATTCTAGCGTACGTCCAGAACACGGCTTGCAGCAAACCGCCCGAGAAGCCATTGACACCAAAGACTTCGAACAGCGAAGCACAGCCTTCGACATGGCGTTTCCAGTTTCCTGTTTCGCTAGACATCAATTCAAAGACGGCGAGAACGCATGCCGTCACCAAGGTGACTGGGTCTTTGGCCTGGAGTGCAGGCGCCAACAATCTTATACTCTCTTGATATAGTTCGAGGCTGTCGTAGCATCCTTGCACCATACCTCTTCTTTCCATCTGTCGCGACGAAAAGGCCAAGATGGCATAGAGTAGAGCAGGAGACCTTTGCGCGACAAGAGGGACTTCGATCTGAAAGTGTTGCTCTTCGTCAAACTTGTCCAGCTGTGGCGCGCACTCGGTGATCCAGTTTTGAAGGTATTGCACAAGGCGCTCTTGCGGTATCTTGACCGTTGCGGATGAAAAGTCCAAGCTTGATGATGCTTCCGAGGCGCCAACCTGGACGATACGCGGTTGAGTAGGAGAGAGATGGGACAAGCCATTGAAGAGCACAGATCTGAGCTCCTCGTGAAGATTGTGGAACCGTGGGTCCATGGATGGATCCTCAGACGCACGTGTCGCCATAACGCTTATTGAGATGAATCTGATCAGCTGTCGTGCATGGGTTATCGGTTAGGCATGAAGAGTGCGAGAAAAGATGTCTATTGCCGAAGCTATACTCAGAGGAGGGGGCATAGCCACGCTCGGGAGGGTCAGAGCGCTCGTGCCGTGGGGGCTCGCCGAGATCCGGAAAGACGTCGCGTGACAATGTTACATTATTGAAGCATCAGCCCTGAACGACTTGTAATAGTACATGCAAGATGAATGCATGACTCTGGCTATTCAAGCATAGCCTTTCGCGACGCTGCTGCGCAAAGGCTCTATACTCTGACGCGTAGCCACTACTCATACTCACCCTGCCGAGGCAAGCCAGCATATCGGCGCATTGGTACGTGATGATCTCAAGATTCCGAGGGTTGATTCTTCTTGGTGTCATGGTGGAACTTTGGTTCGTTATACGTCGCTGATTATTCCTATGGTTCCTTGTTGCAATGCTTTCACACCACTTGAACCTCCTCCATATGCCCCTTTTCACCCTTCTCCATCCTGATCGAAAGCATGCTGAGCTCTTGCTTGGCCTCTGCAAGCAGCGCAGCATCTCTCTCACCGGCCTGACTCTTGAAGACACGGTCCATCTCCTCCAGAGTGGCATTCTTTGTCTCGGGAAGGAAAAACCACACCCACAGGATAGCGGCACCGAGGAAGACGCTGAAAAAGATGTACGTGCCCCAATGCCATGCCTCCAACATGGGAGGGACGAAGAACGCAATGGCGAAGTTATTGAGCCAGTTTGAAGAGGCGCCNNTGTTGAATATTGAGTTAGTGATTGCCAAAGCATCGCCGAGGCATGTCATTTGCTTACCGATTGAAGCGCCCTTTGCTCTGATAGAGAGAGGGAAGATCTCAGAAACGAGCGTCCAGGACACAGGGCCCCAAGTTGCTCCAAAGCCGGCGATGTAGACCCAGATGAGAGCGACGGCAGTCCAACCAGCGGCAACGTGGCTGGGCCAGTCGTGGCTGAACTTGGCGACGATGATACCAACGATGATCATGCAAACACCCATGACGACAGAGCCTACCAGCAACATGGGTTTACGGCCGACTTTATCGATGATTAANNCTGTATACCGGATTAGCGCTCAGATTCTGAAACATGTTCAAGATGGACGTACCATGGCAGGAATGGTACTGATGAGGAATACTACACCAGTGACACCAGTGGCCAACAAAGCATTCGTACCACCAGTGAGACCGAGACTAATGAATACGTTGGATGCATAGTATATAATCGCGTCGATCCCTGACCACTGTTGCCAGAACATGACAAGCCATGCCGTGCAGATGCGCTTGAAGTTGTCCTTCGATCGGAAGCACATACGGTATTGTGCAAGTTGATGCTTGAGGCGGCTCTGGCGTTGCTCGGCGAGAACGGGGAAGTCGCGAGCAAAGGCCTTCTGCTCGAATAGTGCTTCCGCCTTGATCTCGAGGTATTCGGCATCGACTTCATCGTGATCGATTGGGAGCTTGCGCAGCCATGCGAGCGTGTTCTTGGCTTCGTCGTCACGGCCCATCTTGACCAGCCATCTGGGTGAGAATGGCATGAACCAGATTCCAACAGCGAGACAGACAGCGGGAATGCCTTGGATGATCGAGGGGAGACGCCATGCGAGATTCGACTGGCCACTGCCGGTGCCACCGATATAGTTGCTGCCATAACCAACCCAGAAGGAAAGCATGATGCCAAGGATGGTTGCCAGTTGGTAGAAGGAGACGAGCAATCCTCTCATATGGGGAGCGGAAAGTTCAGCATTGTAAAGCGGTCCGACACCACTGAAAAGTCCGACACCGACACCAGTGAAAAATCGGCCGGCATACAAAAGCGATGGCATACCAGGTTGAGCACCGACATAGAGAAAACTGCCTAGGATGACCCAGCAGCAGGCCACAAACATGGTGTACTTTCTCGAGATGAGCTCGCTCAGAACACCGGCCGTAAGAGATCCGAGAAGACCACCGAGTTGAAGGATAGAAGTAAGCCACCCTGTGGCTCCAGCAGATTTGACAACAGTCGGGAAGTCCTCAGTGAATCGGGTCATGACCAACGACTGGCCNNTATACCCAGGAGTCAGCTCGGAACGATTCCTGCACTGTACCGAGGAGCTCGACTTACCCAGAACACCTTGCTGATAACCATATTCGAAACCGCCGANGTCTGCTCAAGTATAAGTGGATGATCCTTGAAGGTGAGGTGTGCGATCTTACGAGGCGAATAAAGCGATGAACAAGACCTTAGGGTTGCCCTTGATCGAGTGCCAAATTGTCGCGTTCGAGTGTTCACCCATATTGTCAGTCTGCCAGAGGACGTGAAGTGTCGTGCAATGGAAGACCATTTCAAGGAGACCGGCTGGTCCTTATATAACTTCCTCATGAAGAACACTCCGCGCAGATCTTCAAGTAACACACTCACTAGCCCCAGACCCGCCATGCAGCCCCAGAGAAAGATTTTGCGGAGTGTGGATGAAAGTGGAGTCTGGTGGCAGGTCGTAGGCTATGACCCCCGAATTGGGAATAGCTTTCTCCACTCCCCAGACGCGCCCTTTGGGAGGACGGCCCCTTCCGATTATTATCGACAAGGAGAATGTCGTTCATGCACACAAGGAACCATGGACGGTCAGCCATATCGCCATTTGACTCTACAATGCCAGCCGAGAACCTTTGCAAATATACCTGGACGACACATATCGCGATAACTGGCGATTTGCTCTGATCGATTCGAATTGAGCGGATGAATTGATCGGCTTACTATGTGCATGAAGGCGCCAGTGATCGAAACAACTTGCAAGTCGTAAAAAGTGGTATCATTTGGCTTAAAAACGAGGAAATATGATCGAATCACCTAATGCTTGCCGCGAGAAGAACCGCTGATGAGCTTCTTCTTGAGATGCTTGGGCATCTTTTCTTTTCTCTTCTCGCGCTTCTCTTCCTTGACTGCCTTTTTGTGCTCCTTCTTGGTATCTTTGTCCTCGAAACGCTTGCCTCTGGGTCTTTCGCCCTCGTTGCGCTTTCTACGCGGTCGGTCAGGGTCTTCTGAATCGTACTGTTCGCTTTCTGAGCCCTCGGCATCGCTGTCATCCTCAGCATCTTCGTTTCCGTTGGCGGTCTTGTTTGCGAGAAGAGCTTTGTAGACGAGATCGTCGCCCTCACCTTNTTGCACTCGTGCAGCATCACGCTCGACATCGTAAACTTGCTCGAGAGTCTGGGGGATGTATTGTTGTCTGAAAACTTGGTTGTCGACTTCCTCGTCATCTTGATTGCCCTGTTGTTCTCTGGTCTCGTACATCTTGGCAATGAGGTCCTCCATCTGAGGAGTCTCAACACCGCCTTGCTCAGATGTGATGAAGCCAAAGATGGCTCTCTCGGGCAGACAGTCGATGCCCTTGCGAGCAAAAAANNAGTCGCTAATGTTCTTGATATCCATGCGCAGGAATTCGAGGGAACGCGGGTGGTCGTGCTCAACACTTTGGCTGACATCAATAACGAAGATGCGACCTTGGTGGTACATCAGGTTGTATTCACTCAAATCACCATGGACCAGGCGGCAGGTCTGGTACATGACGCGCATGTAACCGAGCAATTGAATGTACATTTCTCTCCACTTGGCGGCATTCTCCTCTTCGGTGGATAATTGGAAGTCGACGTCTCTCAGACGAGGTGCAGGCCATCCCTTCTTGTTGCCCAGGAAGCTCATGACCATGACGTGTTGACGGAGGTAAAGAGGGTCAGGGCAGGGAATGCCGGCGGCGTGTAGGATACGCAAGTTTCTGAACTCCTTCTCTGCCCAGACCTTGACCATGGCGCGGTTGTCGCTCTTGTTGTACCCGCCACGGAATCTGAAGTCTCCAGTGACGTACTTGTCGCGGTCCTTGAAGACCAGAATACTCGTCTTGTAGACTTTGATGGCTCTGTGTAGAGGGGCAGCAGGACCTTCCGAGTCGTCGTGGGACTCGGGGACTGTTGCAGCGTGGTAGACATTGGCTTCCTTTCCGGTTGACAAGACACCGTTGATCTCGGAAACAACATTCTTGTTCAGGAGTTGCAGAAGAATCATACGAGTTCTGGGATCCAAGACTTGTTCGCTGGTGGCGCGGTCGCTCTTGTCCTTGCCGCCTCCTCTTTCTTGCTTGCCGCCGCCAAAGCCAGCCTCGAGATTGTTAAGGCGCAGCTTAGAGGCATGTTGGGCCAAGCTCTGGACCTGGTCGTCGACGCTAGAACGAGTGTTTGCGGTAGGTTTGTGGCCGGCAGGATTGGTCTTGGGCTTTTGGGTTGAGGAGACTTGGTCGTCGTTCAGACGTCTTTGGCGGTTGTAGGATTTGGTAAAGTCGGCAGGGTTGGAAGAAGTAATCTCAGAGTCATTGACCTCGTCGGCGCTGTCCTCGAACAAGTCATCGTAGTAGTCGTCTTGTTCATCCTCAATGCCTTCGTCCAGTGAGACGCCACCAGCTTGTTCTTGGTCGTTATTGGCATAATCGTAACCTTGGTTCGGCGCAAATGTGTGAGCCGGCTCCAAGGCCGCTGCTGGCGATTTGTTTATCGACATGTTTGGTGCTCTTATCGAAGGCAAAAAGATGTCGCAAGCAGTCGCAAAGAAAAAAAGATATTGGGCTGAAAGTTGCGTCAATCTACACGGAGCTAGCGGCCTTACCTGATTCAGAGACTCGGTGTGGCCAACGCAGCGAGAGCAGCACGTTGCAAACATGGTGTTGGAGAACATCTTGTTAGAGGACATCACAAACTCCTCGCTGTTCTCTAACGCCTTCCCCCACGTTACACAAGCCGCATGCGGTGCCGCCTTCATTCATCATCACATGTTGACCGCCGCATCTTCCTCATCTTCAGCATGGCGATTGTCTTGTACAGTCCGACAAGACGGCGCCATGGTACTGTCTACAAAGATACCTACTCGCTTTGCTCCCCTTCTGCACATTCGCCACTGCTCTCGGCCTCACGCCACTTGCATCCAAGAAACGCCTGTCGACCAAGTCGATTTTGACTTGATTCAACATCAACTCAACCTGAAATCTCCTGTCGATACCCTGCGAAGTCTTCTTTTGAACGACACGCGTTCGCTCTTTCGGCAGATGCACTTACGCTCTGTAGTCAAGGAGGCTCTGAAAGTTGACTTTCCCATCAATGGTCAAATGCTCGATCCTCACGAATTTCGCCAGTACGTATTCCCAAGTCTCGAGCTGTTTTGATACTTTCCATGTCTACATATGTAGTAGGCCCGACTGACTTGCCTNAGACATATGGCTGTGAAAACAGCTTATAAATTCCGCCGAAGAATCCTGAGGGAGCAATTCTTGAGGTGTCAAACCATCCAAGATCTCATGCGCGTTCTTGCTGTAGCCTTACAGCGCAAGGAGACCACGCATGATCTAGTCGATATGGATCTTTGTATCGTGCGAGCTCTTTACCGTGCCAGAGACAACACAACCGATCTCAAGATTTTCGGTGCCATAACCACAATCATCTCCCGTTTCCGGAAGGAGAACCTACCCATCACACGTCAACTCTTGGCCGTTGGTATCAAGTTCGCTGCTCGGTCGCGCAGTTTACCCGGCATGAAGAGATATCTGAAGCTGCACAGGGAGCTAGGCTTCCCAATCGCAAAAACCTTGTTCAGAGCCATCATCGCAAAATTCAGCGTTGGAAGTAACGGATATGGTGAGATTCGTAATGGAAGATGGTCACGTCGTGATCTGCTACAAGTCCTCCTTGGCTTCGAAGATACTGCTCCAGAAGACCAACACCATCTAGGTTTGTTCCTCGACAGGAATGAATGGACTCAGTTATTTGGATGGATTGTCGTCTTGTCCCGCTGCAAGGCATCCGACGAGCTCTGGAAGGAGTGGCTGTTGTGGCAGGAGAACCCTTTGCGTCTGAAAACAGGCAAAGTGGCATCCCTGTATAGCGAAAGCAAGCTCAGAGGCGATTATTCGTTCATCGAGATGATGGCTGACGCAGGAGACTCTCGTCGAGCTTGGAACATGCTCGGCGCCAGTGGGATTCCATTCAAGGATTGTCGAAGTCGACTGAGACGTACACTTCTTCGCGATATCCAGTACGCGACCGTTTGGGACGATCAGATGTCCCTCGACCTGCTCGAACAGTATGACTTTGAGTTGAAAAAGGTGGAGAATGCTTTAGGCGTGGAGTGGATCAGTCTTGGTAACGATCAAGGCTACCATAAGCCTACGGAATCCATGCAGGAATCTCTCGAAGCTCTTTCGTCGCCTTTCTTCAAACTAGAACCGGACTTTGGTTATCCTCACGATCTCAGTGCGGAAGGTATGTTCCAGGCTTTGTGACCAGTATAGAATGTTTACTCACTGCCACCAGAAATCAAGAAACAGAACGAGGAAATGATGTTGCATGTCGAAGACACATCGATCTATCTACCAAAAACTGCTCGCAGACCTAAGAAGCGCGACTAGAACATGACATCCTGACGACCTAACGAAATATTCATAGAACAGCATAGCATAGCATGACATGATACCCTAAGCATATTTTAGTCCTTTGATCAGCCCTTGCAATTGTCTATTTACCGATAGGCAGATTGGGGTGATCTGGTCAGCTGTCCGTCACGCGCACGACAGATGCAACTGGTGAGGATCGATCTTATGGTAGGAACCAAATCCGGATTCAAGCCGGCAGTGATGGCATCTGCTACACATCCCGCAACCACTCATTTGCAGTTCATCGTAATTCGTGAATGCCACCCCTCGCTACAAGTCTCCCCACTCAGATCAAAGCGGAGACACTCCATGGGGCAGAGTGGGAACGTGAGATGAATGCATGATCCTTCTTCGCCAACTGGGCACGCACTACTGGTGCCAGACCTGCAGTAGTGACCATGCCAGCTCGGTGTCATTGCGGTGCTATAGCTTCTACCAAGCCTGTAACGGCTTGCGGGTTCTTGTCAGCTCTTTTGAAGGGGCGTTCGGGAGGCTTGCTTGCCGCATCTCGGGGCGACTTGTTGCGGCCGAGTAACACGGACCGAGAAGGGAGCCAACTACACCTCGAGGCTTGAAGGAGGCTTCGAGGCAACTTTCTCATGCATGATACAAGGATGTTTGAGTGAAATGGTTGACAAGTGGTCGAGTTCCTTTTCTCAAGTGGTTCGGTTCCTGTCTGACGATGATCTTTCTGGGGGGTGCCATGGGGATGCATCGAGATGGGTACGCGTATGCAACAGTGTGCGTGCACAGTGCGAGGTCCACTCGCAAGGACCCACGCATGTTTCTAGTCTGACCCTAGAAAGAATGATCGGCAGGCAAGAGCACGCGACTTTGGTGCGAGCGCAAGATCTTTTTGGATTGGCAGTCACCTCTTGCTTCTATCACACAAGGCTTTGCTTGGCTTCATTCCCACCGCCGCGCTCGAGAGGTACACGCTCGTACAAGCTATACCGTATGTTCTTCACTTCGACATGCACCGCCAGAACATGATATTCCCGACGAGGCTTCCGTACTCGGCGCGACTCGTGCAGAAAACCGCCGAGTTTGTGGCTGGAACTTTGCTAGCTTAGGGCACGCTCCTCCCCAAGACCGTCGTAAAGGCTTGACCATGAGCTTAGGAGCGCTTGTCCACGGCTTGTGTGTTCTATTCTTTGCTTCAGGAGTTCGCGGCCTCGCTCTTATGTATACGGTCCTATTACAAAGTCCCCTATGAGTCGCAACACGACATCTAGACTGTCTAAATACAGATAGAAAGACGCGATGAAGAGGCTTGAGGCAAGTCCCCGTCATCAAGCATGGACTCCTGTGCTCGAGGTACGTACTCGCATGTTCATGTATCGGGTAGCGTCAGGCGATACGGCAAGTCAGAAGTGCCTTAGCGGTATGCCGATGCTCAAACCTCCTTACCAACTCCAACCTAGCTCCACAGGTATCGATTTCCTTTGCCGCAACCCGGATCACCAAGGTACCGGTCTCCACAATCCAGAGCCTGGAGTGTATGCACGGAGAAGTCGAGCCCATGGGGTGATTCGCCAGTCCCTGCCTGTTACCTCTTCTATATAAACACCAATGCCCACCTGTCGTTCATCTCTTTCCATCATTGTCAATCACTTCTTCTCTTCTACTCTCACTCCCATCTCCTACACAGGGTTCTCGACCCGATCTACACATCACAATGCCTTTCGCCATTAGACGGCCCGAGGGCGAGGTTGGTGCCGTTTGGCCCGCCATTGCTGTCGGTGCATTCGTTGCTTTTGGTGGTGTCCTATATGGTTACGATACAGGCACCATCAGTGATATCCTAGCAATGGATTACTGGCTGAGGTTGTTCGCTACCCACACCGACGCTACAGGCGCACCTTACATCACTGCAAGCCAGTCATCCGAGATCGTGTCCTTGCTCTCAGTCGGTACCTTCTTTGGTGCCCTTCTGGCAGCCCCTAGCGGTGATTTCCTTGGTCGCAAGTTGGGCTTGATGGCTTGGCTGTGCGTCTTCACTGTCGGTGTTATCCTCCAAACCGTTTCAACTGCTATCCCTCTCTTCGTCGCTGGTCGTACTATTGCTGGTCTTGGTGTTGGTGGTATCTCAGCCTTGATTCCTCTCTACCAATCCGAGACTGCGCCAAAGTGGATCAGAGGAACCATCGTTGGTACGTCTTTGTTGCATTCAGTATTGACAATCTTTTGCTTACATTGAACCCANGGTGCCTACCAACTGGCAATCACAATTGGTCTTCTGCTCGCATCTATCGTTGGTAACGCTACAAAGAAGCGCCAAGACACTGGATCATACCGCATCCCTATCGCCGTGCAATTCGCTTGGGCAATCATCCTCTTCAGCGGTCTGCTCATTCTCCCCGAAACTCCCAGATTCTACATCAAGAAAGGCAAGCACGAGCAAGCTGCTCGCTCTCTTGCCAGGCTCAGACGTCTTCCCGTCGATCATCCCGCCATCGAGGGTGAGCTAGCCGAGATTACTGCCAACCACGAATACGAGATGTCTCTCGGAACGGCCAGCTACATTGACTGCTTCAAGGGCAACCTCGGCAAGCGTCTCGCCACCGGCTGTGGTCTTCAGGCTCTCCAGCAGTTGAGCGGTGTCAACTTTATCTTCTACTACGGAACTCCCTTCTTCCAGAACTCTGGTATCGGTAACGGTTTCACGATCAGTTTGATCACCTCTTGCATCAACGTTGCCTCCACTTTCCCTGGCCTGTACTTGGTCGAGAAGTGGGGTAGAAGAAGACTTTTGCTTTTCGGAGCTGCTGGTATGGCTGTGTGTCAGCTTATCGTCGCTGGTGTCGGTCTCATGCCTACCTCGAACCAGGCCGCCCAGAAGGCTCTCGTCGCATTTGTTTGCATCTACATCTTCTTCTTCGCTTCTTCTTGTAAGTTAAACCTGTTCTTACCACCTCTCTTATTGAGATCATGCTAATTGTATCTCAGGGGCCCATGCGCTTGGGTTGTTACTGGCGAGATCTTCCCTCTCAAGGTCAGAGCCAAGTCTCTGTCGATGACCACCGCCTCGAACTGGCTCCTTAACTGGGCCATCGCCTATGCCACCCCCTACATGACCGACGCTATCCACACCAATGTCTTCTGGCTCTGGGCTGCATTCTGTTGCATGTAAGTATCATGTGATGACCTCTTTCTCCACCGAACTCTGCTAACGACGAGTGTCTGAAGCTGTGTGGCCTTCGTTTGGTTCTGCATCTACGAGACCAAGGGACTCTCCCTGGAACAGGTCGACGAGCTGTACGGCAAGGTCTCCAAGGCCTGGCAGTCGGAAGGCTTCGTTCCCACCGTTTCCTTCCAGGAAGTGCAAGACGTTACAGGCGGAGCTTCTCGCAACCAGTCTCTTGCCGACATTGAGAGCGCCGCCATGCGCAAGAAGAGCATTACTCACTACGAGAGCGTCATGGGCGAGAAGATGTAAAAGCATCTTTGGCCCTGTTTCTGCATCACCAGGCTTGCTTTTTCTTTGCTGTTTTTAGATATCCCCCATTGTCATGATTAATGTAACGAGATCGTCATTTGGCGAATTGTATAGTGTAGTTGTTTTAACAAAGACTACAATATTTTACCAACTCATTTTCTTCTTGGCTCTTTCCTCCTGAACGTTCTATTATGGAAAAGGCTAGACAATGGCTTCAGTGCTCGTGAGGTTCGAGAGCATCAGTCTGCAGGTTGGCACTTCTGTTTTGATCAGGTGTGTTGCGTTTTCTGACCTCAGCATACCGTCCATCACCACGCCTTTACATCGCTGTGATGAGTGTTCATCTCTCTCTACGACGGAAAACCCCTGCAATAAGTCCACACAAAGTGTCACGATTCAGACAAGCATCACAAAGACTTGAGTGGTCGTGTGGGAAAAGATGTTCTAGGTGAGCAAGGTAACATGATTACCCACCACTTTTCGATTTCCCAGCGTGTTCAAACAAAGCCATCCCTAGCAAGCAGTACTAAAGATCAAATCCAAAGCATACAACTGTTCATATAAGACAAGAAGACAAAAGCATGAGATGCAAGCCTGGAGCAGAAGAAACATTACACATTAAATTCACTCGTCAGAATTGCCTCCACGAGTGCCACCATAGTCGGCTCTTCTCACGCCAGTCGCACGTCCGGTAATATCAGACCAAGTGGCGCCGAAACGACGGCCGGTACTGGCGAGAAGACCTTCCTCCTCCTCTTCAGCAAGGTCATCATCAAGCTGTTCCTCATCAAGACGGGGAGTGCGGAACAGCATGACGACAAAGACAATGAAGAAGATGCCGAGGAAAGCGAATTGAGCCCAAAAGTCGACGAGTCCAAAGAAGGGGAAGTTGATGGTGATGCGGTTCAGGAAGGAGCTGACAACTGAAGGTGTGCAGACCATGCGAGCGACAGGGTTGTCGGCGGCCTCGCGACAAGAACGGATGGCCTTGTGGTGGTTACTGCAATCAGGCTGTGCATCGGGGTGATGAGTAGGTCTGTCGCAGTAGGTCTGGGGACCAAAGGTGGCGTATTGAGGAGCGACCATCATGGCGACAGCGTAGTTGATGGCGAAGACAATCAATGTGAGGAGAACCGTACCCATCAGGAGAGCTTGGGGAGCGGTGTGGCCCTTGCGAATCTTGAACAGACTCACCCACAAGAAGCGGATGCCAATAGTGGCAACACCAACAACGGATCCAGCGAAGAAGAGAAGGGTCAGGAGGAGGAAGATGACATAGTCGATGGGGAAGACCTTGGAGGTAACAACAAATAGCCAGTTGATGGGCTGGAAGATCTTGTTGTGGCCAAGCAAGTAACCACAACCAGTCTTGCACACCGAGTTCTTGATCTTGTCAACACCGGTGACCAGCATACTGGCCCAGACGATGAGGACAATGACGATTAGCAAAAGACCGCCGAGAAGCTTCAGGGGTCTGAAGACGGCCTCTGTCTTGAGCCAGACACGGATGAAAATGTTCTGACCCTCGCCCATATCCTCGGCAGCAAGACGCTCGCGGCGAACAAGAGTGCGTTCCTCGCGGATCAGAGCTTCGAGTTCACGACGGTCGCGAGTGTCGAGACCGCTGTCACGGCCTTCGTTGCGGTTCTCGAGTTGTCTTTGACGCTCACGGTTTTGCGTCAGCTGAGAAGATGTGTTGGCAGCCAAGGTGGGAGCAGAGACGCGAGGAGCGGTCTTGATCAGAGTGAGGGGAAGGAGAGCCAGGCCAGGAGCTGTGTAGATGCAGTAGAGGAGGGTGCCGAGGGTCAAGAGAAGGCCAACGCAGAAAGTCAAGGCACGCTCGCCATCTGTAAAGAGTCAATGGTCGGGTCGCTGGTAAGGGGAAAGGACGAACTTACGGTTCTCAGCCAGGAGATCCTTGAAGAAGTCGAGGTCGAGATGCTTCTGCGGTCTGTTCTTGGCGACAGGTACGAAAAAGCCTACGAGGAAGATGATGACAACAAACACGATAAAGGCGATTGTGTACTTGAAAGCACCCCAGAGACGGCCAGCGGCAGTCTGAGTGCCCTCTTCGGCGGCTACTTCATCGCGTTCCTCGTACCAGAAGTAGGTGAAGGGAACGACGATCAGACACAAGACGGCGTCCAGGCTGTAGAGGGTGTAGTAGACGATCTTGAGCTGGAACAAGATGTTGTCAACAGCATCAGGAGTAGCCCAGTCTTTCTTTCTGCCGAGCTTGGAAGAGGTAGTCGAGGACACCAGGGCGACATCGACGGGCAGCAGCAGAACGGTAGCCAGAAGAGACAGTACGGTGGCAATGCAGACGATTGAGACGACGGCAGAGCGTTCGCGAGGGGCCTGGTAGAGGTAGACGAAGATGGATGCCACGACTAGCAGGATTGCAAGTGCGACGGCATATGCGACCCAGATGAGGGAAGTCTGGATGAGTGCCATGATGTTGGGCAGGCAGGAGCTATGCAACAGCTCAGAAGAAGGTTACAGAAAGGCAGCGCTCTTTCACACAGGGCGCATTGGAGGCTTGCAAGAAGAAGGAGCTTCCCACGCCAACCGCAAGTCTAGAGGTTCCTTCCCTGATTGTTGCTCTCTCCACGATTGGAAGGCAGACGTCATCTTGGCGCTCCATCCCGCCCGCCCGTCCGTGCGCTGATATAGCACCAAGCTTGGCACATGCAGCTCCGTCTTGTCTCGGGCGTGAGCTTCGTCCCCTTGACAATTGCATGCAATGCGCGACGACACATAATGCAATGCTATACAGAACTCGTGGCGCCAACCGCCGTGTCGAACGCCGTCGCTCTACCATTTATCGCTCCCGCCGCGACTAATCTCGTTGTTGCAAAGACTTCATTGCTCCAGGTCTTCGCTCTCAAGACAATCGCGACCGACGTCAAGCCATCGTTGCTGGTCCCCAATGCCGACACGGGCGCCATCGAAGGCCCTGAAAGTCTTCATCGCGTCGAAAACACGGCCAAACTAGTTCTATTGGGCGAATACCCCGTGTCAGGAACCATCACTTCGCTGCAGAGAGTCAAGGCTCTGAACACAAAGACTGGCGCTGAAGCCCTCCTGGTCTCTACACAGGATGCAAAGATCAGTCTGATCGAGTGGGATCCTCTCAACCACCGCATCTCGACCCTATCCATCCATTACTACGAGCGCGAGACGACAAACACCCTTCCCTTTGGGCCATCCCTTGCAGACACACCTAGCTATCTCAGCGTCGATCCAAGCAGCAGATGTGCCGCTCTCAAATTTGGCACCAAACATCTCGCCATCATCCCGTTCCGCCAATCTGCCGATGATCTGGCTGGAGAAGATGACCTTGATACGCCTCCGCCCACAAAAGCTCCCGTCACAGGAAACGAAGCCCAAGCCGAGACTCCCTACTCGGCCTCATTCGTCCTACCATTGACCGCTCTCGACCCCGCCCTCACCCATCCTGTCCATCTTGCCTTTTTACACGAGTATAGAGAACCCACATTCGGCATCGTCTCCTCAAACAAGGCTCCCAGTCATGGTCTGCTTGAAGAGCGCAAGGACATCTTGAATTACACGGTCTTTACTCTAGACTTGGATCAGCGCGCTTCCACGACTTTGCTCTCCGTAACAGGCCTGCCTTTCGACATCTTCCGCGTCATCCCACTCCCTTTACCCGTCGGGGGCGCTCTACTCGTTGGCGCAAATGAGCTGGTACACGTTGATCAAGCCGGAAAGACAAATGCTGTGGCCGTGAATGAATTCGCCAAGCTGAGCTCCAACTTCGCCATGGCTGATCAGTCTGATCTTGGCTTGCGCTTGGAGGATTGTGTGGTCGAGGCCTTAGACCACACTAACGGCAACATGCTGATCGTCTTGAACACTGGTCGTCTTGCCGTATTGTCTTTCCGTATCGATGGTCGCTCGGTTTCTGGTTTATCCGTTCATTTGGTAGACTCTGCGCATGGCGGCCATCAGCTAAAGACTGCTGCAAACTGCGCTGCCTCATTGGGACGTGGTAGATTGTTTCTGGGCAGCGAGGACGGTGACTCCACTTTGATTGGCTGGTCCAAGAAGACTGCGCAATCACGCAAACGAAGTCATGCCCAGATGATTGCCGAAGACGCCGAGCTCTCACTGGACGAGGAGGATCTCGACGACGACGCAGATGATGATTTGTATACTGACGAAGCTCCGGTTGTAAAGCAAACGGCCTCCCAGACTGCCGATTCCAGCGGCCCGGACAGCTACTCCTTTAGAGTACATGACAATCTGTTCAGTCTGGGTCCCATCAAAAACGTCTGTCTAGGCAAATATGCCACGGAGCTACCCGAAAACGATATCGAGCCGCAACTCTCCCTCCTCGCAACTGTTGGTCGGGAGCGTGCGTCGAAGCTTGCGTTTATCAATCGTGAACTAACCCCTAGCCCACTTCGGACAGTAGATATCCCTCACGCTCAAGCAGTCTGGACCGCATGTGCAAAGCAGGTAGCTCCACGTGGCTTGCCCAAACCTACAGATGGTACCCAAAACCCCGAGGCACAGCTTGCATCTGACATGCAGTTCGACCAGTATCTCATCACTTGTCATGCTGATGAAGATGGTGCTGAAAGCTCAAAGGTATTCAAGATTGACAATGAAGTCACCGATATCAAACAGGGCGATGAAAGTATGATCTACACTGAGGTGACCGGAACCGAGTTCGAGGGTGAAGGTGAGACTTTGGACGTGGGGGTCTTGGCCTCTGGCACAAGAATTGTCCAGGTGAGGAAGCATGAAGTCAGGAGTTATGACGCAGGTAAGTCTCGAAAACATCTCCCCACTCACAAATCACCTTGCCCATATCCAAGCATTTCCCTATCTATCCATCGTTCAACACGGCCTCAAGGTTATCTCACCTGGAAGCAGCGCCTTCGTGGAGAATCCCAGATGCACAGTCATTCGAGGATACCAACACTGAGGATGTCGTATATGTCATCATGTGTATTATAGCCTTTCCAATACAAAACTGTCATCTGCCCATTGCTTGCCACTTGCCTCTATATTCGTCTGTCCCAAGATTGTGTACTAATCAATGCGCTTGTAGATCTTGGTCTTTCCCAGATTTTCCCAATCATCGATGAGGAGACCGACGCAGAACTTACTGTCGTACACTCGTCATTCTGCGATCCCTATCTTCTACTGCTCAGGGAAGACTCGAGTCTGCAGATCCTGCAAGTGGACAAGAGTGGTGACCTTGACGAACTTGAGCGTGGTGATGCCGCACTGGCCTCTAAATGGTTGTCTGGCAGTGCCTACAAGTCCGAGAAGACGGGTGACAAAGCACTAGCTTTCTTGCTCAACGCCGATGGAGGTCTTTCGGTAGGTTTAGCTTGTCTTCATCGACTCAACACACAGCACGCTAATGGCATCCACATAGATCTTCGAGCTTCCGAACCTTGATCGACCTGTGTACGAGGCTCCCAGTCTCTCGGTCTTGTCGCCCGTAGTCTCAAATGAGAGTGCGCCTCGTCGCAATGTTGGCAAGGAGACTCTGACCGAACTCATCTTTGCGGATTTGGGTGATGAAACAGCCAAATCACCATATCTCATTGTAAGGCTGCCCTCAAAGACCTGGTAATCAAGTTCTTACTGATGTGTCTAGTTGCGCTCATCGGCCGACGATTTAATCGTATACGAGCCCTTCCACCATCCTACAGCTCCTTCTTCGCCATTCACCACGAATTTGAGATTCCGCAAAGTGCCTGGATTGCATATGCCCAAGTTTAACGACGATCCCTCTCTCCAGAAGCCCGCTGCTCTAAGGTTGTTACCCAACGTTGGCGGATATTCTGCTGTCTTTATGGCAGGTGGCTCGCCAAGCTTTGTGGTGAAAGATGCTTCGAGCCTGCCGCGCATTGTCAGTTTGCGAGGAAAGGGCGTCCTTGGACTTTCTGGACTCAACAGTCGCAAGTGCGAAGCTGGATTTGCATGGGTTGACACTGCCGTAAGCCATGAAATCCCTGACCCTCCGGCATTACTAACCATGACACCAGGGCACAATACGTGAAGGCCAAATTCCAGTTGGTACAAGATTCGCTTCCAACGGATGGTCTGTCCGCAGATTCTCGCCCTTCTCTGAGCATATCGAAGTTCAGAAGATCGCGTACCATTCAGAGCGCGACATATATGTCATCACAACGCAGGAGGAGGTCGACTTTTATCCCCCTGAGGACGACCCGAGGCATCCAGCAGCAGATGAGGGTATGATTACTCGATATTCATCGAGAGCAATGCTAACACTGTTCCTCAGAAATCACACTTCGACCAAAGACACTCCAATCCCGCGTACACTTGTATGATGCCAGAGCAGATCGCGTCATCGACACTTACGAAATACCTCCTTACGAACTGGTCACATCGATGGAGGTCATGCCTCTTGAAGTCTCGGAACTCACACACCAGCACAGGCTGCTAGTCGCTCTGGGTACTATTTCACAACGAGCAGAAAACTACGCCGCCAAGGGTTGCATCTACACGCTCGAGATTATCGATGTTGTGCCAGAGCCTGGTCAACCAGAGACAGGCAAGAAGTTCCGTGTCTTCGGCAGAGAAGAAACCAAGAGCGGCATCACGGCACTGATGGGCATAGCTGGTCTTGTTGGCACTGCTCAAGGACAGAAGCTCATGATCCGTGGACTGAGAGAGGATGGGTCCTGTTTGCCTGTTGCCTTCCTCGACGCGCAATGCTACATTACATCATTGAAGACTTTGGCAAGCAGTAAGCTCTGGATTGCTGCAGATGCTTGGAAGGGTCTTTGGTTTGGTGGATTCGGAGTAAGAAATCTGTGCACCATTTTTGGAAGAATGTCGCTAACACACCCGTAGGAGGAGCCGTATAAGCTCTCGCTCTTCGGAAAGTCACGCTCGCAGATGGAGGTCGTATCGGCTGAGTTCCTACCGTTTGAGGGCCAGCTTTATATCCTCATCATCGACGCGGATCTTGATATTCACGTGTTGCAATACGACCCTGAACGTATGTGCCATGCGATATCGTTTCAGATTCTTGTGTGCTGACTTTTGTAGATCCCAAATCATTGTCTGGTCAACGTCTGCTGCATAGAAGCACCTTCCACCTTGGTCATATGCCTACTTCGATGACACTACTCCCGTCTACCCTATCTCCTTTTAACGAGCAGAATCCAGACGAGGACATGGCAGACAGCGAAAGCGAACCTTCAAAGACATCTGCATTGAACCACATCATGATCACCACACAAACCGGCAGTATCGCATTGCTGACACCCCTCGACGAAGCTACCTACCGTCGCCTCTCAGCACTGCAAACCACACTATCCAGCATCCTCGAGCACTCGGCTGGTCTCAACCCGCGAGCCTACCGTGCAGTTGAGAGCGAAGGGCTTGGTGCTAGAGGTATCGTTGACGGAGACTTGATAACCAGAATCTACGAGTTGGGCGCTGGCAAGAGACTCGAAGTGCTCGGCAGAGCTGGTGCCGAGGTCTGGGGCATGAGAAGCGATTTGGAGATTATTGCAGGCGAGGGATTGGGATATCTGTAGATTTACCAGTTGCAATGATATTTCGATGTTATTCTTTTGCATGAGATCTGCTGCGTGTCAACAGGATGGGCTGTTGAGGTCAATTCTCGAGTCTGTAGGTCTGACTACTCCTCGACCACTTCCCCATTGACCACCTTCAACTCAACAGTATCTCCAGACTTGATCACCAAAGGCGGTATATCTCTACTGAACAACTCTTTCTCAACCCTCGCATCATCATCATCTTCCTCGCAAATGTCTTCTTTGCTGCCTACACACCACCAAAATCTCTGCTCTCTCAATCCGACAATGTAAACCCCATCATCGTGACCATAGAGTATGGGATCAAGAGCAATGTGTCTAAGTATCTGTTGCCCAGGCTCCAGAGTAAACAGATCTTTGCTTCTGGGTCTTGGATCGATATTTCCTGCCGTTAGACCCAAACATCCCGGGCGTGGTCTGTGAGTCGGGATTGTCGCTTTTGTGGTGGCGTTTGTGATGGCGAGACCGAAAGATGAGAGTGGTGCTTCTGGTTCTAGGGTACGGTATAGCTTTGGTCTTGTGGTTGTGCGATCGCCTAGGAGATCGCGAGGAGCGAGATATCGTTGTGTACCACGGAATTGTATGGATATTGGCTGTGAGGTTGGGTTTGCGATGCAGATTTCGAGGAGGGTTGGAGTGGTGTCTGTTGCGGCGATGAGAGACAGATGTGTAGAGATGTTCGGTGGCCAAGGTACACAATCTACGACTTTGAAACCAGCATGGCCGGCTGAGGGTTTACTGTTGACCAATCTCGGTGTTTCTGAGGGCCGTGATAGTATTTTGTCGTCGATAGGTAGTGAAGGATCGTCAACATAGGTCCACCATTTTATGCCCAAGTCCCTGGTCGCGAGTTTGATCCTGTATCCCTTGCCCTTTTGCAATAACCCAGCAAGTTCACTATCCTTGTCGACTGCATACTCGAACATCGTAAAGCAATCTCTATAGTGTTTCGTCCTTCCCACCGGCGAAGGAAGCGTGATATATTGTTTCGCTCCAACTTCCTTGCCAAACCCTACTTCCTTCAATCTCTGCATGTCACTCTCTAATGTATTGATGCCATGCGAAATCAACAGTCCACGGCCAAGAGCATAAGGAACATCCAAAACCGAGCCAGAAATATCCAGTACCAAAGCCCTGGAATCGGTATCTTGAGACGAGTTGCGGCAGAGTCCAAAGTCGATCGTAAAAGAAAGTTCCCCAGAAGCGTCAAAGAGTAGATGGCTGCTTTGGATGAGAGTGTGTATCTTGAGTTCATTCATGGTTTTTCCAGGTTTCGTGTCTGCATTCCGTGCGGGGACATGTTCCAAGATATATAGGTGAGGTGGTTGGAGAAAGGAAAGGCTGTAGTTGTGATGACTCAAAATGGTAGTGGATGCGTGTGATTGGCCACTGAGATTTGGAACGAGCGCACCTCTATGACCTGGAGAAGCATATTCGTCAGACTGCTTTGACAGAAAGAGCGCTAAAATGTAATTAAGAAGGACGATCGAAAGAATTTCGAAATGTGATTAACTATTTTTTATATGTATAAGAGTAGAGTAGAGTTGGTATGATAGAAAAGACTCGATCATGCAAAAGTGCAAACAACATGCTTGAACGAGAGTCAAAAAAATAGAGTAATGTAGAAAAACAAATCATTAACAGAGGATGCTGCTGTAAACAAGAAACCCCGTCTTCCCAGATATTGTGAAAAAAAAAGAAAACAAGGAGCATTTACATGTACAAATCATGGTCAAATCTATGCCGTCGACAAAACCTTGAGAATCTCCTCCTTCTCTTCGACGGGCAGCATGCTGAGCATCTGGGCGATACCCTTGAGACCACCCTCCTTGTTGGCGCGCAGCATGGCGGCGACATCGTAGGCAATCGATTCCTGCTTGAGGTTCTCGATCTTGGTGTAGATATCTTGGCGGTTCTTCTCGTACCATTCGGCGACCTGCTGGTCTTCAGTGCCGAACTGAGGGATGCCTGACCAGGACTCGAGGGTCTGGAGGTTCTTGGTGCGCGAGACCAACTCCTTCGATGACGACTGGGCCATGGCCTTGAGCACGTACTCCTCGTCCAATCTACGGCGGAGACGCCAGTAGAAGAAGCGACGAGCGTTTTGCCATTGCAGAGGCATGCGAATGGTGTCCTTGGCCTTCATGCGGCCTGCACGGTCGTGCAAGTCGGCGTACTGCAGAGAGATTTGCATGTACACGGGCAACAAGAGCTTCTCGCGCTCAGTCATCTTGGCCTTGACCTCGTGAGCCTCCTCGGCAGACAGAGACTTGTCAACCGATCTGGCCTTGAGCTCGCCGTATGTGGGGTCGAGACGGGCCATGACCTCAAGCTGCTTCTCCTTGCGGAACTTGATACCAACGATACCCTCGGGCTCGAGAACACCACCACGAGATTCCTCGTCGGCGTACATCTCCATGTATTGAGGGTTGATGGTGGGGTCGACGACGACNNCTGTGATATACGTTAGTATCTTGTAAAAAAGGGAGACGTATTCATTAAAACTTACCCATGAACCACCACGAAGCTCTCCGAAGGGAGGAATGTAGACGAAGATGGGCTGCTCGTACTTGACGAGAGCATCGACAATGTATGAACCGTACTTGAGGACTTCGTTGTACATATCTCTCTGACCGCCAGAGAAACCTCTCCAGTTGGCAAGAATCATCAAGGGCAATTGTTCACCGTTGTTGAAGTCCTTGATAGCCTGGGCAGTCTTGAAGGCCGAGTTGGGGTACCAAACACCACCAGCCTCGTTAGTGACTTGCTCAATCGAATCGGGGTTGGCAGGGTCAGCGGGTGTGACATTTTCAACAGAGCGAGTCTCAACACCAATGACACCGACGGGAATACCACCAAGGCGAGCACGACCAACAACGACAGTACGAGCCCAGCCGCCAAGAGCCTCCTCGAAGGAGCCCTTGTCGAACAGACCGGAGGCGAAGCCGTCGTCGTCCTGCTTACCGTGAATGAGCCATCTGACATCGTAGGGCTGCTTCTGGGGAGGGAAGAAGGTAATGTCACGGTCCCAAGAGTCGGTCGAGGGCGAGATGGGGATGGGGTTGTTCTTCTTGTCAGGGATGAAAGACATCCACTTAACAATCTTCGAGACACCCTCAAAGTCGTCACCAGCAGTCATGTGAGAAACACCGTTCTTGTACATGATCTGAGTACCACCAAGCTGCAAGTTGGAGGTGTAGACCTCACGACCCAGAAGCTTGTTGATAGCAGGAGCACCAGTGAGAATGATGGGTTGACCCTCAATCTGGATGGCACGCTGACCAAGACGGACGAGGTAGGCACCAATACCAACGGAACGGCAGGTAACGAGAGTGATGGTGAAGATGTCTTCGTAAGCTCTCGATGTCTCACCAGCTATGAGACCAGAGCCCTTCAAACACTCAACACCAAGACCGTCCTCAGCACCAACAATGGTAGTGATGACGTGTCTGACCTCACCGTTGACGGTGGTCTCCTTGGTGATAACGTGCTTGAGTTCACCGTCCTCGAAGCGAGCCTTCTTCTCGGGGGTCAGGTAGAGGTACTCGAAGCCAGCCTCAGGTCTGGATGCATCCCTCCATGCAACGGAGAAGTGGGGAATGAGCTCCTCGGCCATACCGATACGGGCACCGGAGTTGGCAGACAGGTAGATTCTGGGAATGCCAAGCTTTCTGGCCAGCTCGGTACACTTGTGGAAGAATCTATCTTCCGAAGGACCGAAGGAACCGATCTTGAAGGTGATGTCGTTGGCGATGATGATGAAACGTCTGCCACGAGGGTACTCGGGGGTTTTGGCGGTGATGAGCCATGCGACCATACCGATAGTGTTGGTACCAGGGTCACGGTTGACCTCGGCAAGGTTATCTGTGTCGTCGAGAACAAGCTCGTTGTACTCGATGCACTCGCCTGAGATGGGCTGCTTCTCCTTGAGACCGGGGTGGGCAGCGGTGACTGTGTTCCAGCTGTTCTCGATGGCTTGTCTGAAGAGCTCGGGGAAGTCGTAAACGTACTGGGTGCCCATGATGTGAGCCTTGTAACGCTTGGGCTGCAGAGCACCCTTGGTAGTGTAGGGAGTCGACACAGGACGCAGGTGCATGGAACCGATCTTGGTGCTGCCACCAATGCTCTGGAAGTACCAGTCATTGCCCTTCTCTGACTTGCGCTCGGCGTACAGCTCAACCTGGATAATGTATCCAGAAGTGTTGTTGATCAGGACGCGAACGGGGTAGGCCTCGCCAGTGGTGGGGTCAGTGCAGATGATGCGAACCTCGACACCAGTAACGCGGAGGCGCCAAGCACGACGACCGAATCTGTCGAGGAACCCGGCAAGAGCCTCCTCAACCTCGCTGGGGGTAAGAGGGAAGACAGGCGAAAAGTTGATGAAGATGTGGTTCAAGTCGGAGTTGTTGTTGCCAATAATCTCCAGAGCGTCAAGAATGTCGGTCATGAGTCTATCGGCTTCGGAGATCATGTACTCAACAGTCGAGATGTCGTCGCGAACACGACCGGGACGGACGACAGCGCGGGTAAAGTAACGCTTATCGTTCTCGACACCCTTGCCAACAGCCTCGTAGATGTGGATGTTGCGGTTCTCGGTAAAGACGGGCTTGATGTTGAACTTGGACAAACGTCCGAGCTCAAGCTGGAAGGCAAGAGCAGGCTCGATGTGACGAATGCTAGAATCTTCCTCGTAGGCAGGGCCACGGAAAGTGTAGTATCCGGGGTAAGTGCCGTCCTTGTGACCACAGATGAATGTCAGGCGACGAACGCGGCGTGCGAGAAGCTCCTCCTTGTACTCGTTCACGATAGGAACGAGACGAGCAAGGATCTCAGGGTCGTCGAGGGACTCGGCATCCTTGACAGCGACGTTGCAGACTGCGGTAAGCTCATCCGTGGAGTCGATCTTGGGGGCAGCAGGCTTGCGCTGTCTGGACAAATCGGCCATGAAGCCAGCATTTGAACCACGCTGCTTACCACCGTGGCTGCCAGCAAGAGGGAAGACCTCCAATGCCTTGGACAGGTACTCCTCAATCTCGTCAATGTACTGGACAGGGATGACTGCACCCTTGCGAGTAGGCTCGTCCTTGGTACGGGCGTTGAGGTAGCTCATGTCGCTGATAGAGTGCACACGGCTGAAGCCCCCAGGTCCGGCAGGAGTGCCAGGTGTAGAGGGGTGTGATGACTCGATAGGCAGACCGAACTCAGACTGGCCGACCTTGCGGAGGGAGAAGTCCCAAGTCAGAACGTAGGGAGTGTCGTTCTCGGTAACGTACTCAATAGTCTTGAGCTGGTAAGCACGGTAAGCGCGGCGAGTGTAGACCTCGAGAGCAGCCAATGAGACCCAAGGGTCGGTGTGGACGAAGAACTGGGAAAGCACATCGAACACGGTGTATTTCGAGTCGACAACCTCCTTGATGATCTCGAAGCTGGGCTCACGGTGGTCCCAACCGGCCTCACCGTAGCGAGATTCGAGAACAGAGGAGCGAAGAATGTGCTCCATCTGCGAGGTACGCTCCTCGAGCGAAGGCATAGCGCACTGGATGAGCAACTCACGGGCCTTCAATGAGACCTTGGCGGTCTGTCTGGACTCGAGCTCGGCAAGCTGGCGGAGCGAAGAACGCAGGTACTTGGCGACATTACCGGCACCGGGCTTGTTGGGGCGGTAGTAGTCAAGGATGGCGATGATGAGGTTGTTCTTCGAGTTGACGCGGGTGTGCGACAAAGCAGTGTGAACAACCTTGATCAGGCTGTCCTTGTTCTGATCTCTGAGAGCAAGAATGACCTCCTCGTCACGGTTCTGTCTCGCAGCGAACAAGCTCTCGATGTCGTAGTATTGCTGGAAGAGCGAAGACATGACAGTGAACTCGTAACCCTTGAGGCCGTCGTTGAACTTGGTCATGACCTCAAGGATAGGGCCAAGTCCAGC